TTTCTCCTTGGTTGTTTTTGAATCTTGTAACTTCATCCAAAGTCAGTTTTTGCCAATGCATCACTACAAAAAGCTTGAATCATCGTCGAGCTCAACTTGTTTCTTAGTAACCAAATGCCCCCCTGATTCTTAGAAATTTCATTGACGCCAAAAACTTCCTGGTTTTTCGTGATCTTTCGGGCCAACTCTCTTTTTGGAAAATCATTTTTTGAATCGTCTATAGAATGACGAGACAACTTCACCAAAGCCATCGATCTCACGAGATTCACAATTTTCAGCTTTTGAAGTCATGAGAAGCTTAATTAGTGTCTCATCAACGAAAACAAGAGTTTTGAGGCGTTTTCGCGTCATTTTCGTTTTCTTTATTGTGTAGGAAGTGTAAAAACACGCAGTTTTGCCTTTTTGAATTTATCGTAAACCTTTTTTGTGTATCGATTGTTTTTTTTTCTTGCAGTCGCAATCTGGGCAAAATAAAGTTTTTCCTGTTCATTTCGATCATCTTTTTTGAGTTCTATCGTCATTTTTTTCAACAAAAAAAAATCACAAAATAAGATTTCAGGCTTTCTTTTCCACACATTTGTCTGCTATTTGCGGGAAACCTGTGCCAATCGAAAAAGAGGTGTGTTTTTACATTTTGAAGTTAGGAACGAAAATCTCAAGCCAAACAGTTTTTCTAAGGGGGCCTAGTTGAAAAAACATTGAATCAATTCAAATTTTTGTTTTAAATTTCAAATCAGAAGCCATATTTCTCGCAATAACGTTTATATTTTTTTAGAATTCTTTTTAAAAAAATGTTGGGGAATCGAAATAAAGTTTTGCATTTATATGTGAAAAATGTTGATCTATACTTTCCAAACTTTTTTTCTTCAATCGAATATTAGAAAACTTGACAAAAACAACTTTTCCTGAATTTTCATTGACTCGATACCATCATGTGGATTTTCACAAATTATGTCAAGCCTTTCAGTTTTTCCCAAATAGTTCTAGGAAAGTCTGATAAAAAACGAATTCTACTGAAAGATGATTCATCGAGACTTATCCGTTCTTCTAGGGATTGCAAGTGCGTTCTTGATTTGCTCTATTTGCGAGAAAAAAAGAGAAAAAAAAAGAAGGAAAGAACACGAGGAAATTGGCGGAAGTGTATGTGGAGAGGTGTGGCTTGTGTATAATAACTGCTAACTTCTTTTTTTTTTTGAAAGAGGGGAAAAAAGTTTGATAAGCTTGGAGCCACGAAAAATGGACAGATGAACGTTTTGCGCTATATGCTGCACTCCAGCCACGATTTTCATGAGGTTTCCTGGAATTTTCTCGTTTTTATTGTTTCTTTTGTTGTATTGGATAGAAAAAGGTTCTCATCGAGATCATTCAAACTTCTGAAAGTTGGAAAAAGTCTACTTTTTGATATTTAGTTCGATTTCCTTGTCAAAAAGATGTCGGTTTTCTTTATTATTAGTATTCAGAATTTATTCAACTACCTCGAAGATTTATCCCAATAACCAGAAGCTTTTCGTAAATCTATTCGAAGCAGTTTTGCACATAAAATATCAGAATTCAATTTTTCTTGCAGTAGATTCACTAAAAGGCGAAAAAAAGCATAATGATTGCAACTGTCTAATGGTCGCTTTAGCCATCGAGACTTTCAAAGTTCTATATTAAAGAGCTTAATTTTTTGATCTCAGTCGAGTCAATTTTGTAGTCAAGAAGTCTTATTATTTGTATTTTTATGTTTTTCAAAGATATATTATGAAAAGTTGTTACATTTTTTCCGTGAGCAGCTTTTTTCTAGTAATATCATTTTCATGTTCCGAAAAGCCCACTTTTGACTCAGAACTATCAATTTTCTCTCAATGAGAAAACAAGGGAAGTACTCAAAATACTTCGAAGAAAAAGGAAAAAAAGATAAATTGAAGGCTTTGTAAATTTTTTTTATTAGATATTCAGCGAATTTCTTCACTTTTTGTGCGAACTAATTATCAATTAAACTCCTGTCTTTTTAATCAATTATATTGTTTTCGAGTTATCGAGCAAAGTATACGGATGAAGTCTCTGAAAGGAGGTTTTCCAGTCTCCTTTTTCTTTTTAATGTTTATTTTTTAGAAATTCCGAAAATTGATACTTTCTCTCGACGGCGTTAAATTGAATTCTCTCACATTTCCGCGTGTTCCGAAGTTATACTAATGAGTGGAAAAAAAGCCTTTTGCGGAAGTTTTAACTGACTCATTCATCTTTTTCACTCATATTTTTTGTTCAAAGTTAATATCCATGGATATAGGGAGAAAGTATAGCGGAAGTTGACCAGAGGATTAGGTTTTTTTCTAGGATAATAGGAGGGAAGAAGCCTGAAGCTTTGCGTCAGGACCACAAAAAAAGGCGAGAGGATTTGCCGATGTGTTCTTTAGAGATATTAGCGGATATGGTTTTTTTTTTCCTCCACTGATAAGAGGGGCTGGAGTCCTTACCGAGCTATTGAATCTGGATTTTCGACAGAAAATTTTGCTCCATTTTTGTTTAGTTTTCATAGGAATTTGATCGGAAAGCTTTGTTCTTTTTTTCATTCTGCAGTCTTGAGTTGAATAAAAGGATAGCAATTAAAAGTAGCTCGAACTGACGGTCTTTTTAAATTTTTTTTAGGTATACTTAAAAAAATTTTTAAAAGTTTATTTGATTATCAAACTCAATAATAGGTCTATAGTTTCACAACCGAAAATATGGCCTTCACCTCATAATTCTCAATATTTCCAATCTACTAATTCCTTTCCGATTGTGCTAGTACGAAAAATCGGCCTTTTCTGAACCTTTTTTTTCTAGGTTCTCTGAGCTTTTAGTGCTACAAAAGCTTCAAAAAGATAGTATATTAAATGTCAGTCACGAATATTTTTTTAGAATTTCTAACTTGGAGATATTTTTTTTTGAATTTACCCATCACTCTTCTGAATTCGCCCCTTGTTTCCCTATATTTCCTTTTTTTCTTGGAGGAAATTCAAACCGAATATACATGACCTGTATTCGAACTTTCGCAGGCGTTTTTTGTTGGATTACGGGGTTCAAAAAAGTGTTGCAGAGCCAAAAAAGGGAAGAAAAAACGGAGTCCTTTGTGACCGCCGCACCTCGGGAATTGCGTTTTTTCTTTTCTTTTTGTTCAAATTTACGCATGGTTATTCAAAAGTTTCGTCTTTGAGTCTGGTATATTTGAATATCTAGATTTATTCTCTGGCTTGAGCATCGAAATAAAACTTCAACATTAGAAAATAGATAAAGCGCTCATTTTTGAAATCAAAAAAATGTGACTTTTTTTGAAACTTTTTTTGGTTCGAAATTCCCAACGCCGAATGTTGATATCGACTTTTGGCATGCCAAAAACATTGCCTTTCTTTCTATTTTGCTTTTTAAACAACATTTCTGTTTCTTCTTATCTAATTTTTTTCGAGCGGAATAGATATTTTTTTCTTATCTAATTTTTTTCGAGCGAAATAGATATTTTCCAATTGTTTTTTTGGATACCGTTATACTCTCATAATTTTCATAGAGTATTGAAAGGTGGAGTAAAAAAAGTTTTTTTCTTTCATTTCTCGTAAGTTTAGATTTTGGATATGATCTAATAACTCAAACCCTCTGACTTTGTTTCTGTCATTTTCTTTTTTCATTTATAAGGAAAAAACGATAGGAAGTTGGATGCAGAAGAAGTTATGACTCCATTTGATAGATATAAAGTGAATTAATTCAAAAATGAAGAGGGAAATAAGAGTTGTGGACGGCGGAAAGGCTGCTCCCGACAGGACCCCAAATGCCACGCTTTTGTGTAGACATTTGCACCAACGAATGAGTAACAAAAGCGCCTTGGGAAGGAACGAACACACGACGGCCCAATATGTACGATCCTGGACGCCTTTCTCTCTTTTTGAATTGATTGGACGGAAAAAATCGGAAAATGATCGGAGCTCGGAAAGGAAATGAGCTTGCAGAACGATTTTATTTCTTGTAATGATAACTTTATTTAATTATTATTGACTTAAGATTTTTTGAATTTCTCACTGGCTTTAGAAAATCGTTCTCAGGATCAGGAGGAAGTCAGAATCGGGAGTTTTTATCTATTCGTTGGCGGGTTTCTGAAGGCTTTTGAGTCGAGATTTCAAATAATTTTTTCAAGCACACTTTCATAAAAAAATTTAGAGCCTCCTGTAATCTCTGGAAACTTAAGAAAAATTAACTCTAAGAAAAATTAACTCAACTCGAAGAAAATTAACTCAAAAAAGCCTTAGTTCTAAATGTTTCGGGTTGAAGGAATAGTAATAGAACGAGAAGAATAAAAAAATCTCAAAAACGATTTCTTTACTTCGAAAGAAACAAGTAAGTCAGTTTGTTTGAATAATGTGATCAAGATTATTTTTTTGAAGTCATTTTTTTCAGATAAATTCGAAGCACCTTCAGCCTTTCAAAGCTCTCAAAAAGTATATACAGGATACATTGATCTCGATTGAAATATAAAAAAGTCACAGCTTTTTTGAATCGAAAGAAGTCTTCCAATTTGCAGAGAACCTCGCTGAATCTTTCTTGTCAATATTTTTTTAGGAAAGTAGTTTTTTTAAAAAAATTCAGCTGGGTGATTTTTGCAGCCTTGAAGATGAATTTCTTCAAAAAAAGTGTATCTTAATTATCTTTAAGGCTCATCATTAATTATTAAGATATTTCTTCAAACTAACTTTTTTTTTGCAAACTTTAAATGATAGTTCAGTTTTATGAAGGGAACTTTTCATTAGAATTTCTTTCAAAAGTTGGAAAGCCTCAAAAATTTTCAAAGTGGTTGAGTAACTTTTTCAGAACTGTTGATCTGCTGGTAGAACTACTGAGTAGGACCTCGAAGACCAATTTAATAAAATAGAATGAGGAAGGTGCATAAATAGTTTCGAAACGAACAGGAAGAAAAGCATCATCGTCCCATTGAAACGTTCTTAATTAGCGCCCAATTAGCCGACTCATTCAGTTCAATTATCAAATCAATAATGCCCCGTGGGCGGTCGGTCCTCATCTCGAGCACTTCCTTCCGCCTCTCCACAGTATCGGCCGAGACCTTAGAAGGAGCGAAAAAGTGGGCGTGTCCCCCGGCGACGCCGTACTGTAGCCTGCTCCGTTTTTGCATCGATCGATCGACACGCCTACAGCCGTCCTCCGGCTCAGTTCTCCTCGAGAAAAGAGAGACTCCTATTATCATCGTCTTCGGCCAGTGAATCAGACGCCTTCTAATTGCTTTATCATCGCCGTGCCGAGCAAGCTTCCGCGGTCGCCGTCGTCGACAAGTCACGACTGATTCAGAATCAGTTACTCAGACGACGTCGTCATCGTTACTCAACACATCGTGCAGCGAGAGAGAAAATGTTCGCAAACAACGGCGCCAGTCTGCCATACTTTGAGAGCCGCGACGACGCCGAGAATCTTCCTGAAGGCCGGTCCGACGGCCCTACAGGCCCGCACACTTCGGTGATCGTCCGACCGAATGGACTCCTCGAAGAGATGGGGCCTCAGGGTCCGCCGGCCTCCATGGGCTGTTATCCGACCACGCCGACGGCTTCCTACTATTCTGGAACTCCTGGATATCCGAGCCCCTATTCCATGAACTTCCCTTTCCTTTTCACCCACGACTGGCCTTTTCAGGTATCTACATTCTTTGTTTGATCTTAATTCCTTGTGGACTTGTTTACGATTAAAAAAAAAAGAAAGTTTATTGATTTTCTGATATTAAAACTAGTATTCTGTTTCCATTCTCACTTGATTCAACATCTAAACATAGGACTGTAAGTTCACTGGTTTCATCCAGAATCATGACCTTCAATGTAGATTTAAATGATCTTTGCGGAGTCCTTCTCGTGATGAACAGCTCCTTCAGAAATTTCCATTTTTTCATAAATTAAGCTGAAGTCGATCTGCTAAAAAAATCGATCACGTTTTTGTTTTTAGTCTTCAAAATTGTTGCTTACCTTTTCAATACAAATTTTTTTTAAAATATATATTGTGAATATTCTTTCAAACTTCGCCTAGCGAACCTCGATTTTTATTTAAAGCCATCATTGATTTTGTTTTCCTTTTTTTCCTGACTTCACTTTTCATTCGCTCTGCACCTTTAGAGAATTAGGCCTAGAAATGTTCATCAACTCTCCGAACCTTTACTCAATTTAAAAACAATTAACGGAAAAGAAACCGGTTTTTACACGCTTTTTAATATCTTTTATTGTTTCTCTGACGATTGTTGTTGAAACTAAACCACTTGGTCTTTGAATCTGGAATCTTTGTACTGCTGATTTCAATTAATTAAATATTTTAATAATTGTCAATTAATCTGGGTTGGTTACCGATAATAATGAGTAATGGGATGTTAACTAATGAGCTTGCAAACAATTTTTCTTCACAATTTTTTCAAAATCGATCTTTTTTCCACTTTCAATGATGTTTTCGACATGAAAATAGGGTAACTTGAAGGGTTTTCAGATTTTTTTGTTAGGGAAAAAAGAAGATCGGATCATTAAAAGAGGTTTTTTTAAAAAAAAAAATTACAGTTTGAAAGCTACATGAATAGGCAAACTATAAATGAGCTGAATTCAGAAAAAGTTGCTAAATCCATGATTCATTTTTCTCAAAAGTTTTACGAGGCTTTCCAATTTTTATTAATGAAATGCAGATTTTTTAATAATCAATGTGAAATAGAGGGATCTGGGTATCTGGATGGTCACCGTGTTGTTTATTTAAAACAAATTATCGAAAAAAACAAAATTTTTCGAGCTTTTCTTAATATTATTGGATAGATTTTTTTCACTTTTTTTGAACCTATTTCCAAATTTCTACGGAAGAGCAATGAATTTAGCCAAGCTTTTTAGCAAGATTTGAAAATATTTGAATCTCGACTCCGTCGGCAGCACCGCTACCGTACAAAGTAGCCGCTAATGGGCTCCTTTGAGAGACAAACCCATAAACTTTTTTTGCGCGCGGCTTCCTTTTTTTGATCATCCCAGCACGCGTCGAGACCTTTTCAAACGCCATTTGAACTTTAGAAAAAAAAAAAAAAATCGACAAAAAAGATGATTGACTTGATAAAAAACTTATCTATTCTTTATTTTGTCAAAAGATTAGAGGCTTGTATCGAAACGCGCGGATTTCTCTTTCCGCTCTGGACTGTTTGCTAGCCTACCGTAATCTTCAAAGGTTCTCCCTTGCCTGTTTTGGGACCAGATGATGCATTGCGGATTCCTGGGAGGATACCTTGGATTTAAGTCGGAATATATTGAATGTTGAGTCAGCAACTCAAATAGTTCTTTTTTGGGTGAATAAATATGGAGTGGACGATTGAGAAATTTCAGATCTAGTACATTTTTGGGGAATATAGACAAAAATGCTTTAAAGTTTTCGGCTTTTCTGATACTGAAAAGCTTCGGCAAAGTTCAAGATATCTCGAAAAAAACTTCAACTTCATAAACAAACCATTATTAAAGGAGAATAAACAACCAAGGCTTCTTGAAAATTTCACTTTCAAATCGATCGATAATGATGAATTTTTCAGTTTCCGCACGGGGACGGCACGACTTCGCCTTCTCTGAGCCACCATCTGCCTTCTCCTATTCTTGGCAATCCCGCCATAGGTTTTTTTTTCGAAACTCTCAATTTTAGAAAATTAGAGGAAGGTCATAAAAGTTCATATCAGTTGAGCAGAACACGAATCTTTTTTAACAAAATATATTCTTGCAAGTTTCGAATGTTTCGGCTCTCGCATGGGGAATGGCTCGGAGCGGCTTCTTAGTTATCTCAAATAATATTGCTTGGTTAGAACCCCTTTTCATGAAAGCGAAATGCGCAAGTCGTTTTTCGGTCGGTCGCGCTGAAAAAACTTAAAATTTAAAGATTCGTAGTCGTCGAACGTTTAGCTATTTCTCGTGGGGCTATAACTTTTTAAAACGCAGAGAATTTAGTTGAATTACTTTTAAGGACAATGAAACTCGGACTTTTAATTTAAATCTTCCATTTGGTTAGCTGCTGTCATCGCCATGGAGCATTCTGTGTCCGAAATAGAGCACTGAGTTGAATTGAACAGACTTGAAGCGAAAAAAGAAAAATGTCCTGGATGAACTATGATTAGATTTTCGAAAAGAACCTCTTGCAGCAAATCGGCTGAATCCGCTCGGGAGTCAGCTGCACTCTTCGGCCGGTCGACACGGTCTCCACGACTTCAGCGTCTCCTCGTCGCCCATGGGGCAGTACAACCCGAAGAAGTCGGGACGACGGCCGCGAGAACTTTCGGTTAGTTCCGACCCGAAAAGAGAAGCTCCAGAATGGTAGTGGGTAGTTTACCTTCATTGAAAAAGTCACAAAATCAATGTGTTTCCCATCAATTTCGAAATAATGAACGATATAACAAAATCAACAAAAAACTGATCGGTCGGAAGTTTGAAGATTTAAAGACTGTATATAATAACTTTGATTGAGAAATATGTAACTGGCCTGGAGTCTAGTTGATTTTTGTTTCAATGCAAACATTTTTTTTTTGAAAATAAGTTTAAAAAAAATCAACGCTTTACCTAATTTTTTTCATTCAACTCGTTCAGAAGTCGTCAATTTATGGAAAAAAAAATAGAAATTTCAAAAAGCTATGGAGAAGAATTTTGAAACTGTACAGTAGCGAGCCCTTTTACATCATGATTGGAGCGTTTTTTTTGGGAAATACAGTAACCTGGAGCGGACCTCCTGCCGTTTAGCTTTCTTCTCATTTGGGGAGCATACTCGGAAAATTCGAGACAATTTAAAACAATGAAGGCAATGTTTCTTTTCAAAAAAGTACGCTTCAATCTTTTGAAAAAAATTTAACCATTATGAACAGCCAAAAGGAAATTTTTCGTAAATTTCACGGAAACTCTTTTTTCAAAGCTTTTATGATGATTCTATAAAAAACATTCTTTTGAGATGCTCAAACTTTACCAAGAAAGCATACCGTTTTTGAAGCAGAAAATTCTGGTTTTCGATGCTCTAAGAAGTTATGTAGAAACTGGTGAGGTTGAAAAATGAAAAATGGAGCAATAGAAAAAAATGTTTGATATATATAAACGTTGGAGAGGAATCGAGCCGCCCCAATACCTGACTCACGGTGTTTGTCACCTACCCCTTTAATCGATCCCCATTTTCTCGATTTAGTCATCAGTATAAGAGGGTTGAATCACCGAAATTATCAAGGAGAAATTTCGATCACAGAGCAGTTTTCTTCAAAATTCTTTTCTTTTTCTTCTCTTCCAGAAGCATTTTTGAATAGTTTTGAGAGACTGTTGGTCTTCACGGCGGGCGGATTAACAGAAGGAAGCTCGAGAATGGCCGAAAAGAGGCTTTTTGTTGAGTGGCACTTGAAGTTAGGAAGAACTAGGAGAAACTTCTCTACCTATCATAGGCGTTGGGTTGAAATTTTGGAAAAATATTCAAGAAAAAAGAATCGTGTAAAATTTACTATAATTATTAGGAAATTTTTTTCATAGTTATAAGAAAAAAATATAAAAAAATTTTTTTTTCTTCCTGGTGCAAGGTTTGGAATTTTTTTCAAAACTGTTGTGTTTTTTTGTGGGACTAAAAAAATGAAATTAATAAAGTTTTGCTCATTTTTTTCTCAGAAAAAGAAACACGAAGGCTCGAGAGAGAGAGAGAGCGTATCACAGGACAGATCTGAATTTTGAAGCGACTGCAATTTTTTTCCATTTCTCATTTTTTTTTTTGACTAAATACATCAAGCGTGCTCCGAAAACTCGATAATATTCCAAATCCGGCTAATCCGTCGCCAGAAAAAAGACGCCGCGATCCGCTGCCAGCAAACTTTGCACGATCCTCGACCGCCTAATACGAAGCAATCAAAGGCGGGGGAGAAGTTGCGAGAGTTGTTGGCAAATAAATACCGGAATTAGTCAGCCGATTCCAGAGTTTTACGAGGTTCACGATGGGTCATCGTCGGCCTTTGTTTGCTCACAATTGCTGGTGATCTGTGTTTGGATCAGCTTGGCGGATTTTCTTGATGCGGGAAGTTCTTTGGGGTAATTATTGAGTGGAAGTTGAGAGGAGACTGAGTTCAGCAGTGGTTTGAGGCTTTCCAGCTCTTTTGAGTCAGTTTTTAACTTGAATTAAATTTTTAAAATGAGAAAAATTTTCGTTTGTTTGGGGGAAAATGAGTCACGAAGTTTTGAAGTTCTCAGTTAATCAAGAGTTTTGTTCAACGATCGTTCAGACTTTCTGAAACTGCTTTCTTAAGAAAAAAGAGCAGAAGCTCGAGAATTTTCAGCTTATCAAGAGAGAACCTGAGTTTTTTCGTATGTTCTGTCCTCAACTTTTGCTTCCTGTCAATCAAGAAGTCTATGAGATTTTAATATTTTTCATGGTAAAAAGTTTCTTGCAGTATTTATTGAAGAAAAGGGACAAAAAAATAATTGGTAATTAATTCAAATCGAACTTTCTGGGAAACTAGGGAGATGTCGTTGTCCTCAACCCTTCGAAAAAATTAAAAAATTCGAAAATTGAAATGTATGAATAAGGACTTGAATAGAAAATTAAACAAGGTAAAATAATAGTTTTTTTCAAAAAAATATGTCGCCCTCTCTTTCATTCTCTATTCTCCTAAAACTTTCCTGGAAAAATTTAAGACAAAATAATTTTTAGAAGTGAAAATTGCGAAGACTTCCAAATCTCAGCCTGAATAATAATTTTTCAGGAGGAAATGGAAGATGAAGACCAGGACAAGCGAATCAAGCGCCGACAGAGGAACAAGGAAGCGGCGGCGAGATGTCGTCAGCGTCGGCTCGACCTCATGACAAGCCTCCAAGAGGTGTTATTTGAATCCCCAGTTTTATTTATAACACCTTTTTCCAGCAAGTCGACCGCTACAGGTCGGACAACGATCGCAAGACGGCCGAGATTCGCGTCATCCGTTCCAAGGTTTTTTAATGATGACCTTTCATTGTAGCCATGATCATCTACTCAATTGACTTATCTTGATCATAGAAATTTCTGAGTTGGAAAAAATACCTTACAACAAAAGTAGTTTCGAAAATTTAGAATTCCTTGAAAAGTGCGAATTTTGCGATGGTATCTCGACATCTGAAACCTAGTCTTTTAGTGGAGATAAAAAGGTTTTCTTTAAATCTACTAATAGGTAAAAGTCGCACTTTTTGGAATAATCTTTGACCAGCATCATAGGTAGATAAGTAGCGAACTCAATTAGTCCAGGAGAAACGGTTGAATCGAGAATTTTTGAAAAAAGGCATATAGGAACTTTTAACATCAGTGAGGTAATGTCAAATGAAATCTCAACCTCAGGAGATATTTTAGTTTAGCAAGACTCGGTAGGCCTTCAAATCAATCTCTCCCTGTATGGCATACTGTTTAAATGCAGCTTTTACCCGAATCTTCAATCTCAAATGTGAAATTGATGGGAAGAAGATCCATGTAAAGAAGAAACAGTACTCAATTTTATCCTTTTTCCAGATGGACCAAATGGAGTCGTTCCTTCGCAACCACGACTGCAAAATGACGACGGCCGAACGAGAAGCGGCGCTGCCCAAGTTCGGCGGCCAGTTGCCCTCGTTCTCCGCGACGTCGTCCTCGCATCCGAATCCGCCGCCGGCCATCTCGACCACCTCGGCGCCCATGCAACGACACGAGTACCAGCCGCCGCGGTTCACGCCTTCCCTGGGCAATATCAAGCGACCGCTCAGCTCCTCACAGCTCCCGCTTCCCGCCCGCACCGAAAATGGCCTTCTCGAACCCGATGCTAAGGTAATTGAGGAGAAGGGACTAGGAAGTACTTGAAAAAGTCTTGAAAATGCAGTCGAGTTCTTTGGAGCTTGACCTAAAAACAAAGATATACAGATGGAGTTGATGGAAATCTCAAAAATCTCAACTTCAAAGTCTTCAATTTTTTCTCAATTTTTTCTCCGTCATCAAATTCCATGTAGAGTCAACTGTTTGAATTTTGAACATCTTCGAAGTATTCGGCGAAAGATTTCTTTGTTCAAAGGACAGTTCATAGCTCCCAAATGAAATCCTTTGATTACGGCTTCATATTTTTCTAACAAAGAAATGTTTAACTGAAAAGATTTCTGTTTCAAGACGCTCTCAACGTCACAGCATTTAAAAAAAGGTTTTTTTTTCAGATAATCAAGCTCGAGGTGGACCCGCCCCTCAACCAGATGAACCACACGGAAGACGTCGAGAGACCGTCGGCCCTTCCTTTGGCCAACGAATCGGCTCCCGTCGCCCCGTTGACCACCCCTAGCCGGTTGGTATCTATTGATTTTCCAATAAATGAAATATCTAATAAAATAAATCCCGATGAAGTTTCAGGATGTACAACACGGTTCCAACCTTCAACGACAATTTTGCATTACCCTCGTCTCTTTTTTCTAGCGGCCCTATGGGTTGGTTTCCGCTACAAAGTTCAAGAAATGTGGTGGAATTTTGGTGGGACAGCGAGAAAAATGAAATGTTTCGAAAATCAAAATCTTTATATGCCCTTAAGGCCGCTGTGAACAGACCGTTCTCATGAGTAAAAATTTCTTTTTTTGATATGCTTTTTTCCGCCACATGACTTGTTCATTGTGTTTGTGTGTTTGTGATGTGAAGGAGTTTTTCAACCATAGATCAGATTGTCCATTTCAGATGTTTCAGGGGACTTTTTGGCTCAGAACACAGGCCTGACTCCCTCGGGACAGCCGCAAATGAGCTTCGTGAACACGCCGACGCCGATGCACACTGCAGACGCGGACCTCAGGCCTCTTTGACCCTTTTTTGTACCTACCGAGACCTGTTTCCTACGTCAGTTCGTTCATGATGACTTGCTGGGATTTCTCTAAAGTCAATATCGAAAAAAGAATCTTCTCTTTAAGTCCCAGCAATTTGTTCCGAATGAACTGTATCATTTCTTGTCGTGATTTCAAAATACGAGAACATTTTTTCTTCGTTTCTTGGTGAGTCTTTGTGATTTTTCTTACATTTCATTTTGAATACGTCTAGGTGCCCATTTTGTCTAGTTTGGAGTCAAATGTATCTAGTTCATTCGATTGTTTTACTGAATTTGGAAATTTTCATATTTTAGCTTGATTTTGTTGATTTATCAAGAATTTGACAATTTGATACTGGATTACCTTTTTTCGAGTTTTCATCCATAAATCAAAAAACGTTTTTTTCGACCAGTATTTTGCTTGTTTTACTTAATTTCCCTATTATCAAAACATTTGTCAAAAGATCCTATATTTTATTGCATTTTCAAAAAGAAACATAGCCCATTTCCCCCAAAAAGTTATCCATCTCAACGTCTACACCACTGGTATTTTACTTGTCGATTTTTTCTTTTCTGCACTTTTTTCTCATTCATTTCAATTGCGATTGTCAGTTAAGAGAGCAGAGTATTCCTCGTATGTACTATAAATCTTGTATTTCGAATTTCGATAGTAGATTTGTTGTACCTACTGTAAGAGAACGACTTTATAATTGGAATGAGAATGAACTTTTTGTATTTTTGCTGGAAAAAGGCTCTGAAATGGAGCCCAGAAGGAAAATCTGCGCGACGTCAAACACAACAGAAAGTACACGCGGATGAAATCGAATCCAAAGATGGGTTCAACGGTTGGCAAACATTTGAGGGGAGAAGCTGCGTCGAGCTGGTTCTATGGACTGTTCGAGCCGTTTTGGCAAAGAAAATCACGGCCTTATTTCCGGCTTTTTTCTATCCGATTTATACGGTTCGTAGGGTTTTTGATAGAGAATTTTGTTTCGGGTTTCCGTCTTTAATTTCTTTTTAAGTTTTTCTTGTTTAAAAAAAAATCGAATGAAAGCCTATCAAGGTGATGAACCTTTTTTCACGAAAAAAAAAGATCTTAGACAAGGCCCTCCAATTTCTTCAAAGAGCGTATTATTTTTGATTATTGAAAAATGCTAAAATAAAATAAGTTTTGTTAACTTTTTTTAAGGTTATTCAAAAACATTTATCAGTTATTCTTTCTCTTAGATTACCATTTGAAGCTTTTTAAGAACCGTAAATCGGATAGATTGAACTCTCATATCGGTATAACAAAAACAGTCTTCCCCGGCGTACCTATGCACAGTGTGATTACACAGTAAACACCACAAATGACGGAACATTATTTTTTATTTTTATTGTTATTTTTTATTAGAACTTTTTCACGCCTTTTTAAAGCGACATCGCTTTTGCTTTTTAAAACTAGAATTCTTTCTTGAAAATTATCAAAAAAAATTGTCTTTGGGTTACAAAATATCGATTTGCCAGCAGACTCGATTGTTTTCTGATAATCAGGATATCAAGTGAATGATAGTCTGGACCACTTGAAAAAGATGGCTCGCAGGCAAACACAAAACGCCGGTCATTTGGAGCTCGATTGTTTTCTGATTATCGCTGCCCCAATCGGCTCTCTTCAATCCCTTCCTCGGATCTCATTCTCGTTTCCTGGTACCTTTTTTTCGCCTCATCTGGAATCATTTAACAGTTTTTTGTTCATTGTGTTCAATTTGAGAAAAATCAACTAGAAATTTACCATCTACGATATTTGGACTACTTTAAAAAAATTATACATCTAATGACGCTAAGTGCAGTTTGACATCAGAAGCTTTGGAAAAAGCGAAATTTTGGTGAAATCCCGCATTGATAAGTGTAAGGGGAACCCTTTGAAGAGTTACACGGAAATCTTCTACTTTTTTTTAGTTTGAAATTTCATCTTTTTAAGCTAAAATGAACCTCAGAAAAACATCCAAGAATTCTCAAAAAGAATATATTATTCCATTAGGAAACTTTTAATAATTCAGTTTTATTTCTCTTTTTTCTCCTCAATTTTTCAAAAAAGTTTGTTCAGTGTTTTTGAAGAACCACGCCAGAGTTTTTTTCTTTGAGTTATTGAAGAATTCAAAAGGTTTTCTATCCTTAAAATACATTGATAAAATGTGACCCAAATCCTACAACTTTCTAGCCTTTCAGATGCTCTTATGGCTCTTATTGGCGTCACAAATCCATCTGAACTGGAGCTGTGACCGAGGTCTCACTCAACTCCGCCATAGAGACACATTGATGTTGATGAGATGCGTCCCTACGATCCCAGTAGGACTTTCCCTTTTGTCTTTCAACTGTTACTGCAGCTCTTTTCAGGGACAACCAGATCCCTGTATAGTCCAAACGGGCGGCCGGATGTCCTGGTGCCAGCAAGACGGACAGGACTACGTCTGTTGCGGCACCACTGAACTGCTCATAGAGCTGCTCGCCGGAAGGAGTGTCAAGGTAAGTCTTAACTGAAGGTTAATGAGAAGGAAGATCAGAATTCAACATTTTGGAATCTGAAAAATAAACTTTTTTTTGATTTCTACTTTTGCTTCCTGTGAACATTGGTCAAATTTCTTCTCAAAGAGTTCAATTATCACTGGGTAAGTCGCTGAACAATGCTCAATCTTGGAGAGGAGGCGTGTCAAAAGTCTTCTGCCAGAAATCAGAAAACGGCGCCAAATATCGAAAAAAAAGAATTTTTTTGAAATAAGAACTTACAGTTGACATTTGGGATATTAATTGATTTCTTTGTGCTTATTCATAGATAAATTATTCCACCCCGTGCAGAACTGAGAAAAGAGTACTTTCAAGAAAAAAAAAAGCCGCCTGTAACTATTCAGAATAAACATGTTTTTTTAATGGACTGACGTCTTTTGTCGAAATCTTGAAGAGTTAAGCTAAGAAGAAGTTTTTACACTGCGTACACCAAGAAATCTTTGAAGTTTTAGAAAATTCCGATGACTGACCAGTGGCGTTACTACCCACGGAACTCCCATTTCGACTATCAAGTCGTCGTGAGAGCTCAAACAGGTTTCCTCATTTACTATTTGAATTAAACTAATTGGGGGCTTTTTTCGCAGTCGAGCTGAGCGACGAGGTTCTGACCAACAACGTGATCACAACGCCGCCGCCGGCCTATCCACCAATCATTTACAAGAAAATTGGTTCTCAGGTTTGTTAATAATTTCTGTTGAGATATCTTCCAATCTCTATGAACGATTGACCAAAATGCAGAAAATGTCAAAAAAGAATTTTTTTCTGAAGAAAAAAGTCTGTCGTCCCCTCTCTTTTTCAAAACTTTCGTTCACAGAAACTGTGTTCCCTTCAAATCGAAAAGGCCGTTTCTTGGTGCTCAGACAGAAAGAAAGGCTTTGTCTGGACTCTCCTCGTTCCCATGATCCCTCTCCGAAGATTCCCAGACCGTTTTTGTATAGCGCCGGTGCCACAGCCGCGAGCGGAATTTTCTCTTTTTTGTTCCGTCGCCATCTTTCCCTTTTGTTTACATCCCGTGACATTCTGCGCAGCCAACAACAGTAAGAACACAGATTTACACATCGCGGCTCGACAAAATGGTTTTTGAAAGCTTTTGGATGAGTCGAGCAACGGTTTTTGAGATAACACTAATGGACGTTTTAAAGTGGGTCATGGGACAGGAAAACATAACGGGAAAGAAGAAAGCCAACGTTAGATGATAGAGTCAAAAGAGCTGCAGAAATATATTTTCATGAAAAATAGGCAAAAAGTAACTACGTTTTTTCTTGACTTTTCAAAAATAGTATGAAAATGTAATGAGCTATCCAAAACGAAAAAAGTTAGACGACACATTTTTGGAAGTTCGTCATATGAAAGTGGTTTCGAGCTTGACCTTTCTGACTCTTTGATATATTTAAGAACCGCAAAAATTTAAAACTTTTTCTAATGCAAGCATAGCGAAAACCAAGAAAAAAACTGTAAGACTAGACACAGAGCCTACTGCCAACGACGTCGCTGCACATTCTATCCGTGCCAATGATCGCCATGGGGAACTTCACAGACTCGCTGCGACTGGCGACCAACGTGGTCGCAGTTCGCGACGGCGACTGCACCATCGTCGTCGACACCGGCATGCCTTTCCAGAAAGACGAGCTGATTCGAAGTCTGTCAAGGTGCGACTGAAGAGATTCATGCGCTCCATTCAGATCTGCACGAGTTTGGAATGCGCGCCGCTGAAGTGCAGTTCCTTGTCCTGACCTCCTCGCTGCCGCAGTTCATCGGCAATCTGAACGTTTTCCCGCACGCTCAGGTCGTCGTCGAGAAGTTGTTCATCTACCAAGACCACGCCATCCGCGGAGGGATCACCGAGGTTTCATTTAGAAGTTTTTTTCCAAACTTGAAACGAATTTTAAAAAATCTTTTCAAATCTTCGATAAGAGCTGCCTTTTTTTACTGATTTTATTGGTTTGTGGGATGAAAACTTGAAGCAGATACTTATATTCAAACGAAAGCATTTTTGAGAACATTCGGGTGGAAACTTGTTCATCTAACACCTATTTGATGGCTACGCCGGGCCCGACCGCCAATTCCGTGACTCTTTTCGTCAAGAATGTACCTTCCATGGGAACTGTCGCCGTGACAGGTTTTCCTATATAACATTTCCATTTCATAAACCCATTAAGGTGCCTTGTTTATGCACGACGACAGCATAACCAAAATTGATGAAGACTACACTTGGAACTCGGCAAAAATAATCAACTCGAGGAGGAAAGTCATCTGTCAGGTGCGTGAAAATGTGAAAAAAAGAAGTAATTTTTGGATTTCCAGGCCAATTGGATTATTCCGGCACACGCTGCTGCGTTTCCAGTCTCCAATGAGTTACGAAAAATGGCGAACTGCGAATGAGAAAATAATAATAATTATTATTAATTTGTTCTGAATTAGCTACGGGTGTATTCAATTGACCGTGAAAATGAAGTATTTCTTGACGAAAATTGCCGTATGTCGGGTACTCTCTGTGATATTAGACTTGAGTGGAACGATCTCCAAAAAGTTAAGCGATATATTCATGAAAAAGTCAAGTTCTTTTTCAGATCGAAAATTACTTTGATGACTTGCTAAGAACCGTCCGCGTTAGTGAAATCGAACGAGCCGTTTTTATAATTGGAAGAGATGAAGACGTATTACACTTTTTACTGATCAGATTGAAAAAGAACTTTTGAGGGAATTTATCTCAAACTGAAATTCATTCCTATCGTGCAGCCGTTCTCCGACACTTTGAACGACAAAGCGGTACGAAATTTCAATAAGTCAAGTTTGGAAAAAAAAATCTTTCGGAGCGGATTGATTTTTTACTTCATTAACACTAACATGTTCTAGTGCATAACAAACTTGGAGTACGACCAGGACGAACTATACTGCTACAACGTTGAATACGAGCAGCACGCGGAAAAATTGAACAAGGCGTCGATTGGGCTCCAAACTGGAAAACCTTACGCTAAAAAAAAATTTTGATAAAAAGTTTTCCTTGAGCTGAAGAATTGTTTTGGGAAAATTCCATATATAAAATTCAACCAAAAAGAAAAAAGAATTGCGCAAATTGCAGAAGCTGCAGCATGCGCGAATAGGGAAATTATTCAAAATGTGCCGGAAGTGTGCTCTTTGGCGAAATGGTATTGAAAGGAATACGGCAACGGCGCATTTTTTTTTTTGTTTTTTTTTTCCAATAATTTGTGGTTTTATGTTTGGATTGATGGCATTTTGATATCTTCCTCTATGTTTTTGTGTCTCCAGCTAGAGATTAGCTAGTAACATTATCGAAGGGCTATGAAAAGGAGAATAATAGTTTTCGGCATAATTTTTTTTCAATGTAAGAAATATCTTCTTTGTCTTAATTTTTTTTTGCTGAACTTGGTGAGTGAATTGAACTGTATTTTTTTTGCAGGAAATGAACGAAACTTTGAATGACGCTGACAACTCATTGCAGTCGCACGTAATACTCAAAAATTCTTCTTTTTTAAAATTGCTATATGACTTCCAGGGAAATTGGGCTTCTACATTTCCTGAATGCATGGATTCAGTCCCAGACTCCCTAACTTTTTTGAATAGATGTATCTGCATTGGTGTCTCGACGATTCTATACAAGCGCGGCGTCATTCCTCAACAATGCTTCAAAGGAAGATTGATTGGTATTTTCGAAATTAAAAGCTTGTCATAAGTTTTGATTTGAGAAAAATATCGAGTCTACACAATGAACACTTCCAACGCTATCGGCAACAGACTCCATCAAAAGATCAAAGGAGTTTGTGACGCGATTCGGGTTCGCTGCTTTTCTTTTAAGTGACTTGCTTCTTTTTTTACAGCAAGGTTATTTGGATGAAATAGCTGTCGTGTTTTTCCCCAAATTAAATGTGGAAGAAGTTTTCGAAGTTTACTCTTTCAAAATTAACTACGACGATGATAACAACCCGAATATTGATTTTTCGAGGTTTGATTAGTTGTTTAATCTTTTTACGGAGTACTACGTCTGTTTTTTCCGTCTTAAGATCATTATATTTCATTTAGAGGCCTGAATGCAACCGATAAGCAGAAGCTGATGAGTTTCAAGTACAATGGACCCGAACAGGCGAAAGGAGAATTTTTTCGTTTGGTCAGAGTCATCCATGATCTGACTCGAAAGTTTATGCGACCGTTGCCACCCAACTGCGACGCTGGTTTCCGTTCTGCCTATAGAACACGTTTGTTTCTTTCCCTGAGTTTTTTTCAGAAACTGTTCCATAGATACTCCTGCCGATTACCAGGCTCCAGGATTCGTTCCTTCCGATATTTTCTACGAACTTGTCCCAGAGGCACAACGCGTCGAGTTCGGTCATATCCGAGGAGGCCACCATGAGTTAAACTTGACATTATGGCTCATAAATATGGTTTTTTTTCAGGTCTCTTGTGGTATGTTACAGTACGCTGTTGGAAGAAGCTGGAAAAGTTCGCGGCGCAGTTGAAAACTGCAATAAAAGCCGAATGAACCAATTCATTAATGAATCTTTCGCGGAGATTTCTGTTTGTTTGTTTGTCTCAATCATTTCCACCATAATTGATTCCAGAATGTTTCCAATAAGTCTCCGAAAAATACTTCAAAAGATGGGTATTCCGAAAACTCGGTAAATTTAAGCATTCTATTTTTTTACATTTTTACATATCTATTTCAGAAAGGACGAATCTATCCTCTATATGCACGAACGAAAAATGTTAAGGCTGTTGTCTAACAGGCTCTTATAATATCATGTAAATCATGTAAATCTTGTAAATGTTTGTTGTTTTTGAAAAATTTAACGAAATTCTATTGAATCTGTTATATTGTTTGAAATGAAATTTTCAATTTTTTGAATTGTGTTTTTTTACATGTATGAATCAGTATTTATTGAAAAAAATAATTAAATGGAGTTTTTTTAAAGTTTTTTTCAGAGTTCGAAGGAGATTTTGGGCTAAAAAAAAAGCGAGTGATGACTTCGAATGAACGAAGGTATTCAACTTTTGATTTTAAAATCAGGCTTTGGTTTGTCGAATGGGGATATTCATAGAAAAAGTGTATCTATGAGTTGTACAGTTCGATAAGAGACTTGTCAAGAATAGCACATAACTTTCACCTGTTAGATTCAAAAAAAGTGTGAAATGCACGATTTGATACTCTCTACCCGCCCGGGACCCTCCTCTGATCGCCGACTGCCTCGCCAATCCCTCTCGTTGTCCCACTTCTCTTGTTCTCTCTCCGTGTCTCATTCGTTACGCGCGGCAAGTGCAACGACGCCTCGCTCAGAACCGCTGTTCCGTCGGCCGTTCGCTTTTTAATTCCTTAATTTAATTTCTCAATATTCGGCTTGACTCTCTCACCGAAACGCTATGTCGAAAAAGGATAATTCCTTCACTTCATTTCCCATTTTTTCAATCATTCTTCCTGGCGTGGAAAGGTGTGTTCTAAATTAGTCCTGAAAATTCCAACAGCTGTTCGAGAATGTTAATTAAGCCCTCATTATGTTTCTCATTCATTATCATACGTTAATTTTAACTTTGAGCATTCGTATATAGACGTAATAATTTTTCCTTGAGCTGCATTCGACTTTTTTTTTTCTTTTCAAACTCGCCGTTCGCTTATTTTTGCCCGCCTTGATAATTCAATTTTCAATATTCTAGGCGAAATTCTCGAATGATATAATTTCATGGAAAGTTGGGGTGAATTGAAAAACATTTTCGAGGTTATTTCTTTAGGAAAAAAGTTTTTTTTTGGCGCGCAATCTTTTGCAGGGCGCATTTTTCTATTTCGAAGCGTTCTAATGATGATATTTCGAGACAGGTTCCTTTGACTCATTATCGGCCAAATTTAATTCTTTTTTTTTTACTACCTTCTTGATTTGCATGGATTTTTTACTTGGAAATTTTTTTTTAAATTTCCGCACAACCTTGGAAGCTCATTCATCAGGGAAATGAATTTCTAATTTGTATGATTAATATAATTATGACTTGAAAAACACCTGAAAAGTTTCAAAAATAACTTGTATTACAAAAGATTACACACTTTTTCCTAGAATCGCCCTAAGTTGTTTTGAAACGCCGTCTGAGTGCTTTTATTCAAGGAGAAACGGTTTCGAAACCACATGATCCCGAAATAGATTTTGAAACCTTTTCTTGTTTCAATGGTTTTTCGAGATTTTTGTTTCCTTCTTAGATACCGTATCCAAAGTTTTAAAAGCGGTTGAAGGCGGTTTTTTGTTGCTTTTTATCTGAAACATTTTTCGAGAAACCCACCTAGAGCACGGACGAGACGAAGGTCCGTAAGACCGTGCTTTTAACTTGATCAACGACACCTTCGGACGTCTAGCTCGCCAAAGGCGATTGTTTGTTATAGTTTCAATAGTCCTTGTCCTTGTTCATCCATGACTGAAAAAAAAAAATACACTAATGAAAGGAAGTAGTTGATGTGAGAAATCTACCTATAGGGAATTAATCTTTTTTTCGTTTTTTCTTACAAAGTTTTGTTATGATTACCTTTCGCGAAAACAATTTTCGCGTCGTCAAGTGACTCGAAGTTATATACGACCGTTTTTTCAAACCTTTAAGCTGGAATTTTTTTGTGAACTTCTATTTCAATCGTTCAGTGGGATGTTGTAATGTATAAAGGAAATAAGGAAAATAAGACGAAAATTGTGTTTTCCGCCTATGATAGTCTTTAATTTTTTATCTTAACCTCATTTTGCTTCTTCAAACTTTTTCGTAACACAGTTTTCTGTTACTTCTCTGAAAAATATGCGATCGCTCTCATCGAACATGATTTTCAAATTTTCAGGGTAGCAGATCAATACTTTCAATGTTGAAATTAATCTGAATCCGGCAAGGGGAAATGCCAAAACCAATCCCAGTCTTCTGTCGCCGCCCCGGTTTGTTTTATTTTTTGTGCTTCGCAGTTCATTGATTTGTCTTGCCTTGATGTCATGCGTTCTTTGAAGAAATTATCGATTTAAATAAAAGTCCTTAATCCAACCGTCTAATCCCTTCGTTCAAAAGAAAATTGGTGAACAAAAAGTTAGTAGCGCTTTAGTTTCTTTCTTTTCTTAATTTTTGCATATTCATTTTCAGACCATGGAAGAATTTAGCTACAAAAATTAAAGTCGCCAAAATCGATAGAAATTTAATTTTAATGAATAGTAAGTTGGCTCAAAGGGTTTAATATAATCTAAGAGAGGCTTCTCGTTCAAATAAAAATTACTTTAATTCCAGGGAAGTGTTTAAAATAATGTTGGAGACTAAAACTTGACTTTTTCTTTAAAAATTTCAAACATTTTCTTAGTAATTAGTAGAAAGAACCAAAATGTTCAATTTTTTTTATAAATAAAGAGATATTTTTTTCAGGCCGCCGACCTTTTTCGGTGGTGGAAGAACAGAAAAAAATCGGCGTTTGGAACAGCTTCTTCTGAACGGAGGCGCGAAAAATTGCCAGTTTTCGACTCTTGATGGCTGCAGAATCTACAGAATCTCCTACGGACACTTCCTCCACGATTTCGTCAAAATCTGCGATGGAAAAACTCATCCCGGTTCGCTTTTTTTGTGTTGCTCACTGTAAAAAAAGCGTGAATTTTTGAAATTATTTCTAAAAAAATTTATGAGTAGGGACTTTCAAGGTTGAAAGATATTTGAAAAAGTTCGAAAAATACATTTTATGTTTGATTAAATTTTTTTGAAAAAAACCATTTTTGTAGGAAATTTGCTACGATAGCTAAAGATTTTTTTCGAAGTTTTTTTCATATTTAATCCATCAAGTGAAACGGTTTCGGGGTATTTTTTTAAAGTTAAATAACAACAAGATTCCGAGTTTCAAAAAAAGTTGCTGATTGAAGTTTTTGAAGGTGGTAAATTAAACTTTAAGCGGTTTAGTACGATATTTTGAAAAAAAAAAGTGCTCAAAAATTTAAAAAAAATGATGAAATTTTCGAGAAAAATTCAATATTTAGATCGATTTACCGCAAGAACAGCCGGATAAATATTTGGCAGTCGAGCAGTTGATGCGCGGATACGACCATATAAGAAAGCAAATCGAAGACGAGATCAAAAAAGACGCGGTGCCACGTCCGAAACGCCCAGACGTGAGGATCCTGTCTGAAAATAAAAGTCTTCAATTTGGACTTTAGCTGTCAAAGTATCGGATCGTGAATCCTTCGTTCCGGAGAAAGAAGAGGTCCGAGAACACAGATCCTGAAACGCTCGGACGTTTTGGAAGTTCGAACAGTCCTTCGTCTTCGTCTAAAGAAATTGTGAGTTCCTATAAACGTATATAAATAAACGAACGAATGATGTTATATGTCAAGTTGATCAAAGGGGCTGGAGTTATAGTCTATTGGAACAAGCTTGAAAACTTTTTTTCGTCGGCACCGTCTCGAAAAATTTGAATATTAAATTTAGGGTTGATACACATATTGCATAGCGTAAAAATTCTATCACCTAAAATCAGTTATTTTGTTTTCAATGCTACTTTGATTATCACTTTTTTTCATATTTTTTTCGATGGTTTGAGTCATTTATTCATTTTCATTTGTTTAATTATTTTTTTTCTTTCATAGGAAGTTATAACAATCGGAGACGACGACGATGATCCAATCAGAAAGTTGGATGAAAATGAAAAAAATATCCTCCAAAAGCTCGATTGGCACCTGAAGACAATATCATTCAGGTAAATGCGATTTGAAATTGGCTCCGAAACGTAATTTGTGATAAAAATGAGATCAGGAGAAAGCAAAAAAATTTAAATATAATCAAATTCAAATTCATAACGTTGTTTAGCAATTTTTTTGGCAAAAAACAAAAAAATTTTTTTGATTCGATAAAGGTTTGTACGGAAAGCGGAAAAATTTGAATTTCTTTTTATTAATTAATTCAAAAAAACTTTCGAATCTATTCTTTGGAAATGTTCGAACTTTGAGTATGCAAGAAAACTTTCAGAGAGTTTTCCTGGGCAATTTCGTTTTGGCGCCAAATCACGGCGACATCGAGACGGTGACGTACGACGACAAAAAACTGGTCAGTTCTATTGAAATTTTTCTCGCCAAAAAGGCGTTTTTCCTAATTAAAATTGTGACCCAAAAAAGAAAAATTGTTTTTCTGTTATAAATAGAGAAAAAAAATGGAATAACTAAGTTTTTTCAAATTTTAAAAGCTACTTTTCAAAAATTTAGTTTTTCAAAAAGATGGCCAATGGATCTATTATTGAAAAAAAAAGCTTGGAAAGAAGAAGAATGTTCAGTTTGAAAAATTGAGGGACTTCGAATTTCTTTCAGAAGTTTTGTTTCTCGGAAAATTTCTAGAATGGAGTTTTGAAAAAAATGCGTCAAAAGTTTGATGACTGAGTACAGTTATCAAATGAATAAAAGCGGATAGCCTCCAATTTCTTCTTGTTGGAGTTTCAAATTCGTATCATTTTTACCATCGGCTGTAACTTTGAGCCTTCGAAAAATAGGAAATTGAGAACTTTAAGCGATTTGTTCGGTACAGTCAAAAGTTTTTTGCGAGAGTTAGACCTTCGCTGTCAGTCCAACTGTTGCAATCTCACTTTTCTGTATACGATCGCATTTTTTCCTTGATCACACGTTCTTCAGCTTTGCCTAATGACATTTGATCTATTGGACAACCGGTTGGTTGACGCATTTTCAACTTTTTCGAAAATCTATCTCATTCGACCAAAAATATTCATAATTTATGCAAAGAAAATGAAGAAAGGGAGCTGAAAACAAGAAAGAGAAGAAAAAATGAGTGGGCAGGAATTCAGTAATCTCGATGTGAGGCCGGACGATTTCCGCATGGCTGGAATTGTAGTTAATTCGCGAAACAGAAGGATAACTCGGTAAAAAGAGGTTCCAGATTATCACAGCGACCCCCATGTCCGTTGTTATAGAAACACGACAAAATGATAAGTAAACGAGGATTCAGCGCGGTTTTACCCGTTTTATCCTTCTCCCCTGATCTCATTTTGGCCAGCTTCCCAGTGGAAAATGTTTGAAATGCAGGCCTTTCGATCAAATTTCGAAAAAAAAAAATTTAAGGATGGGGTTACGGTATACAGTAAGTTACTGTACGTAACGTAAACTTGAAATTCCAACAAAGTAATGGATTTCCACCGATATTTGATATTTTTAGCTTGAAAGTCCTTTTCATTCCCTAGTAGGACCATGAAAAAAGTTCGATTGATAAGGTATAATTAGAGGTTTTGCTACACGTTTTTTTTTTCTGAATGGTATAACGATTTTTGCTGCAATTTTTCACGAAATAATATGGCTGCTCTGATTTTGATCCTTTTTTCTTCAATATTTAGAGTTTTGCAATTGAAAAAAATTTTTTCAGACAGACAGTATCATACTGAAATTTGAACTAAATTACTGATTTGAATGATTTTCAATGAAATGAATCTTATCCGTCCAGATTTTTGAGCTCTCAGAAGGTTTTTGATGCATTCTTTCTCTAGACTTTCCTATATTTTCGAAGAAAAAAAATGATAGAAATAGAGTGCTTTTATCTTTTTAATGTTCTGAGTTTTTTTGTCAATTTTTCCAAAAAAATTTTTCATGTTATTTAAAAATTTTAAAAAAATTTATGAGAAGAAATTCTGAAAAATTTTTTTCCTTTCTCTCATCACTGACTTTTCTGAATTCAGCCAACTTTTGCGCCGGAACGAGTGATGTTTTTACCGAAAAAGTGGAGAAACGCACGAGTTTCCCCTGAACTGTCGCAATCTCCGCCGACCACGAATATTCCCGGTTTTTAATCCAAAATTATTTTATTTCAATCGAAACTCTTTCAGCTACAAAACAAGCAGAAATCCCGGTGGAAAATGACGAGGACGAGGTTATTTGAAACGAAAGATCAGCTGGAAACTATTGGTTTTTCTTTCAGGAAAGCATGCGACACAGCGTCTTGTACAACATTGTCCGAAGTTGCAATTCGAATATTCCTGGATGCGCGACGGCGAATCCCGCACAGGAAGAGCTCTCCGTCGAAGTCGGAGACGTGATCTCGGAGCTGACCTCTCTTATATGTCAGTATTCAAAAAACCCATGGCACTTAAGCGATCACTCGAAAGCGAACTTTTCCTCTAGAAGGATGAGATCCGATTAGGGAGCAAAAATGATTTTTTTTTTTGAAAATTAATTTTTAAGCTCGGAAATTTGCGAAACGGAATAAGAGACTCCTTACTAGTTAGATGAAAGGCAAAATAAGCTCAGCTTTCAGATTTTGAAAAAGTCTTTGGCAAGTATGCTTTTTATCAAATTGCGGTCCTTTACGTGGGGTTTTAAAGACCTAGAAAATCTCGAAATGAGCGTGTATGAGGAGACAGACACTCTGAAAAAACCGACTAATCTCCAAAATCTGATTTTATTTTTCCAGATAACGGTTCTCCCGCGACTAACGATGTGCCTGAAGATCAAGGCGACACCTCCTCGTCGTCGCCTTCTGCTTTGCGTACGGCGTCCTAATTACCTTGACAATTTGCAATGTTTTGCTTTTTCAGCTGATTACACCGCCAACGACGGCGCCTTCCCTCTTTTGACGCCGGAAAACTCAGAAAACTTGCTCCATCTCGCACTCGAATGTTGCACGAGTACTCCGGCTTTCAGTCAGAGCTTTTTCTCATCTTTCTTCTGGAATCGTTCCGATTTCAGGTCCAAATGTGACCAGTCCAAGTTCGCGACGTCAGTGGAAGTCGAAAAGTTGCCAGCCGACCCCGCAAAAGGCCAAATCTCCAGCCAAAAAAGGTAATCGGGGCCTTCCTTTTTTCTAGAACTGTATAGACTCAAGAAATGGAAAAAGAGAAAGGTAGCAAAAAAAGTGCATAAGATCCAATGAAATCGGCAACAAAAAAAATGCCTTTGTTGCTCTAAACGGAAAATTTCTATATAGCCTCTTTCCACCCTTCCGACTTTGCCTATGATTTCGAATGCAGCCAGAGATTTTTTTCAATTTCTCAAAGCAATCTCTTTTCTTCCAGTCAAAACGAAATGGGTCTCGAAGGTGCCACCGGAAAAGAGAAGAAATCGTGTCAAGAAAAGCGAGACTCCGCAACCACAGCCACAGGAAAACAAAAAAGGTTTTTCAGTATTCTAAAATAATTCCAACGTTAATTTTTCAGAAGCCAGTCCCAAGGACAAAAACAAGAAAAGAGGCGCGTCTGAAGGTAGGAAAATGAGATAGACTATCTAAAGTCATTCAATAAAATTTAAGTTTCAGTCGAAGAATTGCAAAATTTTGTCGCCGACCAAGCGAAACAGATTCATGCTCATCTTGCCGCTTTGGATCTTCCAGGTAAATTTGAATAATCGTAAAGACAAGAAACTGCGGCGGAATAGCTCGATGCGTCGCGATTGCGTCGAGTTTCAAAAAAATGTCCAGTTTTAGCGCTTATTTTTTAGCTGCGCCCGACTTTTCGCGCTTTCCGACGGTTTGAAACAGTTTTTGAGACTTATATTCCTCAGAGGGGTTTCGTTGACTGCAAACAGTAAGAACTCGTGTTCAAATGCGAGAGCAACGCATTGAGCCATTCCCTAATTCCCAACGCCCATTTTCATTGTGAAACGAGAAAATTGAATTCAACGTATTTCGAAGCTCATGAGGAAATTCAGAAGAGAGTTATGACCACGAAGAAATCCAAGACCCGGCGAAAAACTCCAAAAGGCCGTCCGAGGAAAGGTCTTTGACCCCGGCGCTGATCATCGATGAGGATTATGTTCCCGGAGATAGTTCGTGCAAACGATAATTATCCGTAAAATTATATTTTTGCAGACTTTGATCTGGCGCCGCTGGATCGTCTCGTTTACACACCGATTCCCGACAGTAAGATCATCCCTTTTTTTTCCCAAATTTCATTTTAAAAGTCTCAAAATGTTCACTTTTGATAGGAAAAATAGTATAAAGGACAGTAGGAAAATTCGACTTTTGTTATGAAATTTTCGCAGTTTTTAAGCATCAGAAAGTTGATTTGTGACACTCTCAGGCTTTATTTAAAGGAGTTTTTCGGCTTTTCATTACTTCGTATTTGATTTTTCCTATAGAAAAGTTTTTTTTTATAAAAGATAAATCAGTTACACGCTTGAATTAAGAATTATTTTTTGCTGAAAAATACTTATTTTGTAACTAATCATTGTAAAAAGTGATAACAACATACAGTACCGCTCAAAAGTATATTAAGTTTTGGTTTTTTGAGGATATCTCAGCGAGTACTCATCCGATTTATACATAACTTTCAGGGATAATGTAAAATATACTTTGAAACATATACGGTATACAAATACATGTCCGCAATCACTGTGACGCGTTTTAGGAATTTTTTTTTGAATTCAATTTTTTTTGTTTTTTATGCTTTTATTTTTATTTATTTTTATTAAATTTTTTAAAAGTAATAATGTTGCCATATGTTTTTTTTCATGTTTTCAGACATGGGAAGAACCTCTGGAAAAAAGGATTTGACTGATAACGACAAAAGAGCCATCGTTGTGGGTCGTCAAAATGGACTGACCATGATGACATTGGCAGGAATGTTCGGCGTGACAGAGGCGTGCATTTCTCAGTTCCTAAAGCGTTGGAAAGCTCAAGATGGCTCTACTAAGAGCCAACGCACTGGAAGACCACGTGTCACGGATCTTAATGACGATAGAAACATTTTGAAGACGTCTAGAACCAATCCAAGACTCACCGCCCCTGTGATCAGAAGGGAAGTTTTCTTGAATTCGCCATCTCCGCCATCCGTCTCAACTGTGAAACGACGTCTGAATGCTGCTGAAATCATGGGAAGACGTCCAGTGAAGAAACCGCTGATTTCTGGATAGAATCGAGCCGCCAGGGTGAAGTGGGCGAAGGAGCATCTCAACTGGACCCGTCAAGACTGGAACAAGATTCTGTGGTCCGACGAAACGGTCCTCCACCATGTTTCACAGTGGGTAATTGGTATTTCGGATGATATCTGGACCCAATTGGTCTACGAACCCACTGAATTCCGTCACTTCCGAAGAGGAGGAACTTGCTTTCGTCGGACCACAGTATCTTGTTCCAGTCTTGACGGGTCCAGTTGAGATGCTTCTTCGCCCACTTCACCCTGGCGGTTCGATTCTTTTCAGAAATCAGCGGTTTTTTCACTGCACGTCTTCTCATGATTCCAGCAGCATTCAGACGTCGTTTCACGGTCGAGACGGATGGCGGAGATGGCGAATTCAAGGAAAATTCCCGTCTGATCGCAGGGGCGGTGAGTCTTGGATTGGTTCTAGACGTCTTCAAAATGTTTCTATCGCCATTACGATCACTGAAACGTGGTCTTCTAGTGCGTTGGCTCTTAGTAGAGCCATCTCGAGCTTTCCAACGCTTTAGGAACTGAGAAATGCACGCCTCTGTCACGCCGAACAGTCCCGCCAACGTCATCATGGTCAGTCCATTTAGACGACCCACAACGATGGCTCTTTTGTCGTTATCAGTCAAATCCTTTTTTCCAGAGGTTCTTCCCATGTCTGAAAAACATGAAAAAAACATATGGCAACATTATTACTTTTTAAAAAAATTTAATAAAAAAATAAATAAAAAAATAAAAAAACATAAAAAAACAAAAAAATTGAATTCAAAAAAATTCCTAAAACGCGTCACAGTGATTGCGGACATGTATTTGTATACCGTATATGTTTCAAAGTATATTTTACATTATCCCTGAAAGTTATGTATAAATCGGATGAGTACTCGCTGAGATATCCTCAAAAAAACCAAAACTTAATATACTTTTTGAGCGGTACTGTAACTGAAAAGATCAATTGGATAAAATTGCCGAAAAAGTCTGTCAAATTTCTATTTTAAATATTTTCAGTTGATTGCCCCACGCCAAGGCTTGAAAAGTCGCCGGTATCACCGAAAGTTGTGGTGAAAAAGAAACGCGGAAGGCCGCCCGGACCTTCACGACAGAGAGCCGCCAAAAAAGCTCCCATCTTGGAGGATGAATCCGAAGAATCTCAAGGCATGTGCTATTGGATTGAAAGAGAAATACGATTTTTGCGTTGTAAAAATAATATAAAATTGTCTTCCGATCCAAAAAGAAGATTCTTTGGAGGGTTTCAATTTTTATCGAATCTCAAGCCATGTGCTATGAAGTTGTAAAATAAATAGAAAAATTACGAATCTTGCCTTAGAAAAGGATATAAAATTGTCTTTCGATCCACAATAAGATAATTTTTCAGACGGTTCCAAGGCTAACCGAAAAGCGAAACGTAGGTACTTGGGACAGGAACATAACGCCGCGAAAAGGACGAGGAAGTTGACGGATCGAGGTGGGTTCGCGTCATTCTTGAAAGAATGAATAGAATGTCTTACGAGTTTCACAATGATAATAAATAAGTAGTAAGGAACTTCTTCAAAAAAACAAAAAAAAAGATATTTATAACAATGATTTTTTTGTTCTTTCTTCGCATAGTTCTTCCTGTGAGAGCTATCAATTTTTCTGAAGAATAAAAACTCCAGATTCCGCGACCCCGAGCCACGTCTCGCGTTCTCGATCGCCGTCGACGTCGACGTCTTCTTGCTTCAAATACGAAGACCTGGGAGCGCCGCTCATTCTCAAATACGATGACGTCAGCCCTTCGACGCCTACTGCCCGACGTCCGAATCTGTCTTCTGCGGCCAGCGTCACGTCTTCTATTCGACAGGTACGAAAAGAGCTTTGAAGGCTCGACTCTACGTACATTTTGTTGCAGGGATCTTATTCTTCCGCCATTTCTCTGCTGATCGATGAGGAGTAAGTTCAGGGAAATTTGGTTGATTTGCTGTTGGCTTGACTTTTTGGGTTTATGGAAAAAATCGCTGTGAAAAAATATTAATTTTCTTAAATTTTCATCTAAAATACTGTTCAAGTAGTATCGGAACCCTCTCAGTTGCTATAAGTTTGTGGCTTGACCTCATTAATTAGTTGCAGTCGTTCTAGATCGTCTGAAAATAACTAAAACCCTATCTTATCATGGCAAGTTTTTTTTTGAACCATCAAATTGCCACATCTGTTTGGGAACAGAAAGAATGTTTTTGTTGTGTTTATTGTGACAATCTGGCGGGGAGTAGAGTTCACGGAGAATGCCGGTCGGTGACCTCAGAAAGGATTGTTTATCCAAAAGCAAAAGGCTGACCATCTCTTGTCACACATCTGGCTGGCACCTGGAGATTGACCTCTTTTGATGCCAAGTTAGAGTTGGAAGGGAAAAGAACAAAGGCTCAAGTTTTGGGCAACTGCGAATGGTAGAAAGAAAAGAAACTTGGAGCGCATTTTTTGAAGATTTCCCACAGACTTTCTAATTTTTCGACCGGAAAAAGGTCATACCGGATGAGGAATACAAGGTTTGATGATTCAAAGTTTTGGTGGAGAAAATAGGTTTTTTTTTTCACCAAGAGTATCTGGTTCAAAGATTGAGCTTATACTTTCGAAAAATTTGGTTTTTAGTTTTTTTCGGAAAACAATTATTAGAAAAAAAAATTAGTCTTAGGCATTCTTTTCGTTTCAAAGAGTAACAATATTTACTGACTTTTTCTCGAATCTTTATAAAAATATGTTTTCAGAGAGCAAGAACAAAAGCCGGATCGGGAAGTGATCGTCGTGGGTCCAGTGGCGGCGCCGATCGTCTACGAAGAGGACGACGATATCATCTTCATCCCGCAGCCGAAAGAAGAACCGGAGGACGAGTTCGTCTCGAGAAAGTTCCAGAGAATAATCTCGACCAATTTTCCAGAATTCAATGTATCGAACCAGCGCCTGCGCAATTCCGCCAGCCGGCTCCAGTCCCAAAAGTCGCGCCGGAAGTCGCTTCATCTGCTCCGGGTTCGAAAAGATTTCGCGTGGAAATGATTGAACCAAAATGATATTTCAGCTCTTTCCAATGCGCCCGACGATTCGACGCTCTCCTTGACCGAATTCTCCATCAAAAAACTCATTTTCAGCTTCTTGAACGGTAAAAATGGGAAATATGGACTGCTTTCAATAACTTCTTGTTTGAAGATCTCTTCACGGTTGACCCGGAATTGTTCTGCAAGACGGTCGTGTGCTTGGAAAACGACAAAAAGAAAGAGGGACTCGTTTATCGTTAGTGTTTTTTTTTCTCTGAAATGATGAAATAATGCGCGACGGTGAATGAACCAGCAAAAATATATTTCCTTGGTCCGAAAAATTTAATATTCACAGCTTGAAATTTATTTTATGGAAGAGCTATGAAAAGTTCAAGCTTATAGGAGAGTTTAAAGGGTGGAAAATGCTGGAGCTCCAGATATTAACTCAAGGATGAAGCTTTTGAATAACATTTTAGTGAATAAGTTTTAATTCATTTTGATGAAAAAACTTCAAAAGAAACTGTTCAGTCTAAAAAGCCCAAAGTTAAAAGGAAATAAACTTATTCTTACAATCAATACTGAGATCATGAATTTTTAGTTTGAGTTTTCTCTAATTTTGTTCAATTTTTGTGAACTATCTTACTAAAAAACGAAAACTTCCGAATTATAAATGGCTCATAACGTTGCGGGAACGCTGATACACTCGAAAAAATAATCGCTTCAAGAAAACTGAAGTTTTGAGCAATATTTTTGAAAACCAACAAGTTTTACAATCCCTGACGAACGCGTTCTTTCAACTTTCAAACTATATCAGTCAAATTTATCAGTCAAAATTACCCGTTCAATCTTCAACAATTGAACTTGATATGAAATCTCTTTTCAGTGATGAGCGCTACGTTGAACAGCCGCACCAACCAGTACACGGAAGAGTTCATGGAGTTATTAGCCAACAGCAACCAAGATGAGACCTATGCCAACGCCGATTGTAACTATGATCCCCTCAGAAACCCCCGAAATGCGGCCTTTTCAGGGAGACAATATTCGAATTACACGGCGGAATTCCGGTCCCGATGCTCCTTGGCCGATATCATGAAAGACGAGGTGAAGCATTCCAGAAAAAATAAAAAATGGAAGTTTTTTGTCTTCAGTTGAGCCCGAAGACTTTCTTCGAAATAATCGAAAGCATTATGGACATCGAGAAACAGTTCCTGGAATACGTCGCATCTCACGAGGAAATCAATAACGATTTCACAAAGGTAGAATTCGGCTTTTTTCGTGGAATTTATAGCATTTATTCTTGACGAGGAAAAGCTTGAAGGAAGGGAAAACACATGAGTTTTTAGACTCTTTTATAGCTGAAATCTTAATAGTCGAGAATCTAGCCGTCCCACTGTTCTGCAGCTCCTTCATATTTTGCTATCTTTTCGCGGGGGGTTTTTTTTTTCATATACTCAAATTTCAGTCTCAGTGGGACAAATTTTCTCGAAGTTCTTCAATTTTCTTCCATTAGGCCGAAAGCCGTGGTCAGACATCGATAAAAACTGGTTCCGTGAACTTCTTTCTGAAGCTGTAGAAATAAATGAAGTCCGGCCCCTTAGGCATTTGTACAGGCTCTGAGGGAAATGGGTGCTTTTACAGCAAATCGTAGCGGAAGCGGTCACGAGTTTGATCGCGCGAATCGCGGCAAGCACCTTCCAAATGGCCACTCTCACACACATCCACTGGGCTCCTGCCGAATACGTTCGACGAAGATTGGTTTGAACCGAAGGGAACTCGAAAGATTCAAGAAACACGGCCTTCCAGAGAATGATCGCCAACGGCTGGCAGGAGTTCATCAGAAAAGGCGGTCTCTACAAGATCATGCAGTTCAAGATGAGGTCCTTGGAACCGTCGGCCTTCTCGGAATTCGTCGACAAACGGCTCGAGGAAACTGGTAATTTGGAGGATCTTCACGATAAAATCGCAAAATTTTGTGAAAGTTTTTTTGATTTCTAGGTGTCCCGCAAAACTATTTTTTTTTTTATAAAAAATGGATTTTAGTAATGTACGGCTTGAAAAGTTGTTGCGAGCCAAGTTTCTTTCCGATTTTTAGCGATTTTATTAACGATTCCTCGGTTTTCAATAGGAGAACTTGAGATTCCCTAATGAGATTCAATTCCAGACGACCGTCTCAATTTGGCTATCAGTTTGCTCACGATCCCTGCTGATGGGCTGAAGAACAAGATTCTGAATGAAATGGAAGTTTCTGCGGAGGAATTCGAATTCATGGTGACCAACACGACGTTCGACGACAACAAGCAGTTCGTTCCAGCAGAATCAGATGCAAATATCGATTTGTCTCGTTTTCAGCTACAGCTACCCGTGCACCCAGTGCAGAGGTCTCGTGCCGCGTTTCAGAGACGAAGAATCTCTCGAAATCCACAATCGACTGTTGCATTCGACTGACTGCGACTGTCACATGGTGAGGACCGGAGGGAAAGAACTTTTTTCGAAAAAATATAACACTTTTGAAAAAAAATAGTTAGTAAAAATTAGCCTCAAGTTAGGGGAAAAAAGTGCTTCGTGACATTCAACTCGGGCTTTTCGGGATATTATTTGAAAGTTCGATATTTTCACAAGCTTTTTTTAACAGTACTTCAACCACATTCCCTCTGCTTTCAGTGTTTCGACGATTTTCCCAACAAAACGGCGCTCACTCTTCATATTCTTATCAAACATCAAGGAGATCTGTCCGCGGAAGACGAATAATCTTATTATCTTTCTTGTTATTTTTTGCCAAGCGCCTCATTCCATGTACAAAACGGCTATATTGTTTTTTTCCATCGAATACTTTCATTTTTTTTTTCTTTTTTTTTTGTTCTGAAAAAGTACAGGGTTACACACGTGATTCTCTCTCTTTTCGACGGATCATGATGCTAACCTCGTGTTTTTTTTGTGCTTATGAAAAATCGGCTCAGTAGGAAAAAAGTCCTTAAAAATAGAGGACTTTAAAAAAAAATTCGATTAGTCATGATCTTGCTACACTGACAATATCCTTTAAAAAAATGAAATCTGATTTTTTTTTTGTTTGTGGAGTTAACTTTCACGGGACTAATCGACTTAATTTTCTGATAATAATTTTCTTTTGGTCATTTTTTTGGGCTCACTTGTAATCTGATTTTTCATTACCTTCATCCTTGATTATCCACCTTTTTTCATTGAGAGTGTAACTCACAAATTTCACATTTACGTTGAACAATTTTTCGAAATTTACCTCGTAGTAAATCCAGTTCAGTCAAATGCTTATGTGAATATTCGATTCAAGGAGAAATTTATTAACGGACCTTTTTTAAGAAAAAAAAAGCCTTGGACGTTTCTGCGCAATCCTAGAGATCACTTAAAAGCGCTGGCGCCGCTGAAGTGTTCACTAGGAATGCTTCGACACGACAAGACCGGCTCGCGTTACCAAGGTCTTCTCGGACATTGGTAACCGAAACAGACTCGAATAGGATCTGTCGGGGCATTTCTAGTGACCGCTTTATTAGCGACAGCCCTCTTAAGTGATCCCTAGAATAGCTCAGGAGCGTCCGGAGCACGTTCATTCCGCGTCACCGATGTCCGAGTAAGAACTAGTTGATTTGCTCTGTTTTATCCTTGACGAAGATATTCGCAAAATAGTTCAACTCATTTTGATCAAGTTGTTCATATAAAATAATCATTGGGTTTTTGTGTTTTTGTTTTTTTGAAATGTGTGTTTCTTGTGTTCAACTTCCATTCTACCGTTTTGTGCCACCTTTTTTGTGTTCCTTCATTGAGCTTTCCGCATTTCTTTAGAATTCATTCCAAATGAATATCTAACCCCGTTTCGCTTTCTTAGAATGTCTAACATTTATAGAACTATCCACGTTTTTTTCATTTTTTGATAATCACGGTGAACGTTTCAGAAACTATTACATGTCAAACATACTTTTCATTTGATTTTTTCCCCAGTTATCCAACTTTCTTTTTGTTTTTCGCTTACGCCTAATTTTCATTTTGCGAGTTTTGCCTTGGATTTTAGTTTAATAAAACAGTTTCGCCAGACTTTTTCCGGTCAAAGTTCGACGTCGGACTCTCGCGTACTACTTTGTTTGACTTTTTCCACGACACTCGGGTCTTCCTGGAAAATTGAAAAATAATATGAATGTAAGAAAAGAAAGACCTCAATAATGTTGGGAAGCTGTTCGTCCCATTTTGGTCTGTCGATAAAGGTTTCCTTTTTGACATTCCGCTCTAGACAAGGCTTCCTCTGGAGCTTTCGTTCTGTCTGACCACATCCAACGATTGAAAATAGTAAGAAACTCTGAAGTTGATCCCATTCGGGAAGAAATCAATAAAAAGCATTGATAATGCTTTTTATGAGCATTTTTGTCAGCAGAGAAAAAATCTATCGATTTCAGTTTTTCGAAAAAATTCTATGATTCATGAATCTGAAAAACGTCGTGAACCTGAAAATTTTGGAAATGAATAAATTCTCTACGAGTTTCTGAAGTCTCCCTGGAAAATTTTCGGTCAGAGGAAGGTTCTGAGTTTTGAAAAATGTGATAATTTTCTGTGTGTTCATTATTACTATTGACTTGACTGGGATAAGTTTTAGGGGCCCCTATAAGGCCCCCTCCAAGGGGCCCTAATTTACCCCCTATAGGGCCCCCTAAAACTTATCCCAGGAAGGAGGTTATGAAAAAAGGTACATTTTTTGCATTCTCGAAGACCAAACGTTCAAAAAAGCTGTATTTAAAGTTTTTTTCCTCTTAAATGATTTTATTTTCCATCATTTGCAACTGACCCATAAGAAAAAGACGGCTTCGAAGAGCGACATCATTTAGAAATGAATAATTCGTCGATGTCGCGTGAGATTCTTAATGCGATGTATCCGGTTGGCGGACGTCTTCTTCTTCGATTTGCCAGTCTCGAATGGCTGAAAACTCGACCGGAACACTTCGATCTTTTGGATCGATCGTCTGGAGTGTCCTGGTTTGTGATTATTTTTTGAATAAAGGTTAAAAAGATTGATTGATGGTTTTTTTTTTTTGAAAAAAGTTATGCAGTTTGACATCCAAAGAGTTTTTGACCAGGAAAGTAAGTTCAAAGATTGAAACATCCTAATTTTGGTCTTTATATTGACCAATTCTTATACTTCTATTACCACCTATTTTCCAACTTTTATTCGATTTTACATGAGTTTTTTAAATCTTCAATTTAAAAAACCTAATTGCCATTTTCAAGACCATTACTTTGCTAATCGAATAGGTACTGTTTTCAAGGATTTATGTGACTGTGGACCTGTTCCGGAAAGTTTTTGAGGTTTGGTGAAAGAATATTTTCCTAAAAATTTCCAACTTTGCTTCACAATTAATCCGTGAATTATATGTTAGAAAATCCGCGAATGGTGGAACAACGCGAGAAAACGACTGCAAATCGTCGAGCGAAGCGACATCGACGAGGCCAACGTCCATGGAACTGCCAGAGTCGAAAAACAGATGACCTCAGAGTGAGGGTTCCGGAATAATTGATTTGTTTTTTCTTATCATTGGTGTTTGAAGGGTGGTTCCATTTTAGTTAGACAGCTCAAAAAAACAATCTAAACTCTATCTTAGCAATAGAATTCGTTTCAGAAAATGCATAACTGATTGTACTGGAAAATCTTTAAGAAAAATTGAATCTGTTCCTTTTTGAGACTGATTGAGGGATCCTCATCATTGTAGAGAAAGTGTTCAAAGTTTTTCGCAATTCTCTAAGTTTTGAAATCCTAAATTTTGATGAGTGAGTGAGGGAGGACATTTGATTTCATGTGATCTTATCAATAGAATCTTCTGAAATCAGGATGACTTCAAATAAGCAAAAAGTTGCAGCGTTTTGATTGTTGTTAAAAGAGTTAGAGAAGTTTCACATAAAAGGTGATACTAAAGAGACAAAATCGCTTTAAATCATGCATTGCTGTCTTTTCGCACTAGCATACTACCTCAAGGAATACGCTTTTTTTTTAGAATTTTAAAGACATTTCAATTTTTACAATATTTGACTCTCGTGCGTCTGGGCTCTCTTTTCGTTCGCCGACCATCTTTTTTTTTTATGAAAGTAGTAAATAAAACTACTATTTTCGTTATTTTGAATAGATCACTGACGAGGGAAAAAAGAGCGCAGATACTACAGATTGTTCACCGTAATTTGTAAGATATTTCACTTTTCACTTTCATCTCTTTTCTTCGAATCTGGATTTCGATTTCCTGCTTTCAGATCATGGTGGACCTGGACGGCAATAGACGATACAGGATTGCCCTTCCATCTCTGGACCATGTTTGTGTGCGGCGTCTGTATGCATCCGCTCATTTTCCTCGCTTTGTCCGTTTTTCCCGGAGTTCCTGAATTTCTCGACCGAACCAAAAACGTCTATTTCTTCATCGACGGCGTTTTCCTTGTTGATCTGCTCGTCCTCACTAGAATCGGCAAGTTATAGTCTTTCTCAGGTTCAAAGGCGAGATGGATAGATTTGCAAGTGTGACGCGTTGCGTACGCGACGCGGCTTTTCGCGGGAAACTCGAGCCAACAAGTTTTTTTTCAAAAAATCCAAAGAAAACTATTTCGTTGAGCTATTCCTGTGTAGTTTGAATAGGCTCATTATCTTTACCCTATGGCGCTTAGCAGATATTTTATCTTTTTTTGAGTAACCTCACCTAGGACTATAACTCATTGCGCGCGGCCTGCCTCTGTGTATGCGACAAAAGTTTCTGTTACATTAAAGGCGCATACACAGAGGCAGTCCCCTCGCATTGCAAAGGACCTTCCCGGAAGGATTCTCTAGCTCAGAAGTATTCAAAATCATGAAAAGCTGGCGTGGAATGGGCTATTCCTCACACAAAAGTTGGGACCACGTCTGTCATGTTCACCACACACACTCCCCTCCTGAGAACATATTTTGAAATTCTTCTCAATAATCTCAAAGATTCTCACCTTCTTCTTGTTTTTGCAATAACCCAGGACCGGAGAAAAACAAAAAATATTTGCAGTGTTCACGGACCAAGGAATCGTGATTACCTCGACGAAGGGCATGTTTTGGCATCGGCTCAAGTCGTGAGATAATTTCGTTTTTATTTTCGCAGAGTCTGTGGGCAATCCATTACAATAACAGGGGTACGGTAGAGCGCACCTCTCTCAGTGCGTGGGAATGTTTTCCGATTGAGGCTCGAAATCGAAAGATCAGAAAGGTACCATCCACCGATCGGCGCGGCAGTTGAATAATAAGGAAATTGATTCGAGAAGAGGAAAAATATGTGTGTGTCGTGGGAAATTGTTCTATTTTTCGAGTTGAGAGAAAATTTTAATATATCTGATTGATCATTCGAAAATACTCGAAAGCTGTTGGAAATTCAGAGTCTGTAAATTTGAAAAGAGACAGTCTAAAAATCTCAAACTTTTGATTTTTTTTTTTCAGTTTTAGAAATTTTTTTTTCCCAGTTTTAGAATGAAGGATTTTGAAAAGTATCTATGAAATTGATTTCCAAACTCAGGTCTAGAAAAACAGAAAAAAAAAGTCAAAAAAATTTGAGATTTTAGACTGTCTTTTTTCTAATTTACAGATTCTGGGTTAAACGCGGCTCCGTTGAGTTCAGTTCTATAGGTTACAAAGCTTGAATGTTTCAGCTTCCGAAACTGGATAAAAAAGGCCAATTTTATATTTTGAAAGCAGAAAAGCCGGATTTTTCGAATCTCCTTTTTTGGTTATAGTCGAAACAAGATCAACTAAACAAGATAGACACTGGAAAACTAGTTAGATAATCTTTCAGGAAACAAATGATTTTGGACGTCATTTGCATCCTTCCACTGCACTTGGTCCCTTTTTTCAGCGGCTATTTTTTCCTACAGTACATGAATCGGGTCTTGAAGGTGAGTTTTCCACGGGAATGGGGGAACTTTGCAAAAATAACGACTTGATTAAAGTTTGAAGAGCTTCAAAATCAATAAATCCATTTTGTTTTCTTAGAATTTCAAATACTAGTTAAGAGAAAAAAAAACAGAAAAGTAAAATATGGCTTGGAAATAACTTTGTGAAAATGATTTTTAATAAAGCTTATACTATAACACGTTGTAACATGCTCATTTTTCTAAATCATAGCTCGATCTTCAGTTTTAAAATGTTTTCCAGTGTTACCGAATGACGAATTTCGTAACCCTAAGCGAAATCAGAACGAGCAGCCCTCATGCCTTCCGACTTTTCAAGCTCATTTTCATCTGTTTCATCATTTTCCACTGGAATGGCTGTCTCTACTTCTACATCAGCAAGGTCTACGACTATGCGAGTTGGTTTCCATCGAAACGGCAGCTTTGATGGGAAAGTCCGCAGACGCCTACCTAGAGGACTGGATCTTCTCCTACGACAAGATCATCAACCCTGTAGTGGCCACTTGCAACACGGATAACCGATATTTGCCGGATTACTGTGACGTGGACGATGGCCCCAGGATCACTCATGTCGAGGATGAGGAGCTCCAGTCGTTTGTCGAGGATTTCATGAGGATTTGGAAAAATCGGTTCGTTTCGGAATGAAGCAAATAAGAAGCTGTTTGACAAAAATGTCCTTAAAAAGCCAAATATACTTGAAGATTTCTTTCCTCTCACTATTAAAAAAAAACTCATTGTTTCTATGTCTCCAATTTTTCAGCACAGACGTTATCGAATTCGATGATTTTGTACGGCAGTACGCCTTGAGTTTTTATTGGTCCGCCTTAACGTTGGTTACTCTTGGAGAGCAGGTTTGAAGTTCAAATGGAAGTTTGAAATTAGGAACCGACCTCAACTTTTTATCATTGTGCGCCCTATAGTGGATATATTCTGTCCAGACTATGTATCTGAGAAAGTTTCTTAGAAAAAAGTGAGCTTCCTTATGTAAATCGTTTATCACATTGTTAGGCGCTTAGATCACTGGAGTGATCACTTGATGGACCAGAGTTGTCTTGTCCCCCAGAGCATCACCGTCGCGTTTCTGAGTAAGCGCCTGAAAATCTTGAAAACAGAGAAAACATTGTTTTTCTCAAAAAATCGGGATACAAGCTTGAGATGTTCTCCGAAAATAAGTTTTCTCTCAGCCCTGGCCCAGCAACACCTTCCAAAACGTCTTCGAAATCGGAGACACCTTACTGGGCCTTGTCATTTTCGCCGTGATTGTCGGCGACGTCGGCAACATGGTTTCCAGTATTAACCTCCGTCGGTCGGACTTTGAAAACGTCTTGGATGGTTGTAAGAGATTCATGGACTATAGGTGACTCAGATCACAGTTTCTGATCAAACTTCATTCTTAGAAAAGTGCCTCACGGACTGCATGTGAAAGCGGTCGACTACTTCACCTACATGTGGGTTCATGGCGGTGCTCAGGTTGATGAGGAGGTCGGATTTTCTTGAAACTATGATTCAAGAAGTCAAAACTCTCAAATTCCAGGAAATCGCCGAATTTCTTCCACCAAGACTGTACGGAGAGATCGCCGTGGAGATTCACATGGAGACTCTGAAAAGAGTCAAGCTTTTCGAAGTTTCTCGCATTCTCGGAACATATTCCAACTGTTTTTGTTGAGAACTGCGACCCTCGACTGCTCTACGAACTCATTTTGAAGTTGCAGCTGCGCGTTTACAGGTCCTTTCAACTTGTCTATCATTTCCAATCATTTTGTGGAGGAATTGAAAAAAGTCTAAAAATGGGAAACGCTCTGGGCGAAACAATAACCGATGAATCGTCGTTCCTCATTGTGAAAAGTGTTCGAGAAATCAAACATTTTCAGCCCTTTGGACTACATTTGTAAGAAAGGGGAAGTCGGCACGGAAATGTACATTGTGAAGAAGGGCAACGTTGAAGTTGTCAGCGAGGACGGCAAAAAGGTCTTTTTTCAGAAAAGAATTCCGACTTGATGGAACATAAGTACTACCCATAAAAGTGTTTAGAAATGGTCTTTTATGCATAAATTCTTCAAAAATTGGTTCAATTTTTGACACTTTTCTCAGTTTTAAAAATGATATGTAGTGACTCATTTTTCAAAAAGCACAATCTATATATATTTAAATTATCAAGATTTTTCGTCACTTTGGGGTCTGGCGTTGTTTTTGGCGAACTGTCGATTTTGAACATTCCTGGAAACAAAAACGGCAATCTCAGAACGGCCAGCGTTCGATCTAAAGGGTATTCTCAATAAAGAAAAAAAATTAAGAGAAAGATTTCTTTCAGATACTCTGACCTCTACGTTTTGGACAAGGAAATGCTGTGGGAAGCGCTGCACGAGTACCCAGAAGCCAAGGCTTCGTTGATCGAAAAAGGTTGACCTTTTCTGTTCACGAGTTCGCCCGAAATTTGATATTTTATCTTTTTTGTATTGTTGTTATTTGATTTTGAGATGTAAAACAAAACTTCTCGGTTCAAAGCCTTCTTAGATTTCTCGCCCGTTTTTGACTAGTAATTAAAATGAAGGCTGACTTTCAAAAATACGTTTCAAGTTTTTCTTTAATAGTTTCGAAATGATAGGCCTCAATTTCTAAATCTGTAGCTGGAAGAAAACTCAAGCCTGTTTTTCCTTTGAAATTTTGCAAGCTCGTTATTCCTTTTGATAAAAATTTCGATAAAGTGTAATATGTATTTATCAGTTTTTTTCTGAAGAGGGTATTCAAAAAAGGAACTTCAAAAATGATCCTTTCAAAAAGAAGCTCTGAAGGTTTGCAAATTGAATCTCACTGTCTTCACCTAGTACATCAAATGCTTTTGAAAGACATTTTTGAAAGGTTCTAAATCGCAAATTTTTTCCCCGCAAGAGTTCAACTGAAGTTTTGAGACTTTCAGGTCGACAGATCTTGGCGAAAGACAATCTTTTGGACGATTCGATAGCCGGCGAAGTTCTGGACGACGAATATGGAATGCCGATGGAAACGAAACTCGAGAATTTGCTGGAAGACTCCCGGAGGCTCGAAAAACAACTCGAAGAGCTTGAAATCAAGGACAGGGTGAGGTATACTAGCCTAAGTATTTTCCGTCGAAGCTTTCGATGTTTTCAAAAAAAGCAAAGTTTTTCACTATAATCTGAAATTCAGTTATTTTTTTCACTCACTCTGACGGCTGTGAATTTCACGGAATCACTTCAAACACGGCATTAGGTTTTAATTGGCACCTCTGTGCATACACTATTTGCGATGATATTTTGAAAAAAACTAGCTGTTAAAATTTTTTTATTTTCCTTTATTTATTGCAATATTTATTTTTATTGATTGAACTGATGAAGCGTTTTCTCGGAGAGGCTGTAGATGGGTGACGTAGGAAGAATAAGAACTAGTCGAATAATGATGTCAAAAAACCCGCTGCGCTCTTGTCATCTTTTCACTGATCCGAGAAACGACCAAATTTTTCTCGGTACAAAACTCAAAAATACGTACAGTACGGAAAAAAGGTCATTTTTGAACAAATTTGAGAATACTTCACAATAGAAACAAGGAAGGAGACTAGACTTACATTTTTGAAAAATCGCAGAATTTTTTTTAATTGGCTCCATTAGCATTTGATAAAGAAAAACTATCTATTTATATTTTACAGGAATGGAGCAGGAAAATGAAGCAGTGGTTATTTCGTCTGGAAGAAGATTTCATCGAAGAATTAGAAGAAGCTGATCTTCTAAGGAGAGAAGAACTGCTTGCATTACCGCAATCGTAGATTTTTTCGTATGTTTGTACATTTTTTTACATTTTTGATCATTCCGATGAAATAAACGGGAATCATCTGTCGAATTCAAACTCTTTCCGTTAAAGTGATGTTCAACAATATTCCATGATTTCAAGAAAGTTATTTTTGCTCGCCACTTCGTCCAAATTCCTGATTTGAAAAACAAAAGATGAGAAACTGGGAGGAGCGATTGGAAGATGCCACGCCTCCATCTTCGATTGAAATCTCCGCCTCTTTTTGCCAATTTTTCCACTAAGAAAGTTTTCTCAGATTTTGATCGCTTCACTGGTATATTCCATATTCCTAACTACCCGTGAAAAATAGTCCTTTTTCATACGGAAGCTAAAAAAACCTAATTCGGAAATAAAAGTTTCGGAAAAATTTTCAATCAGGTCAAAAAAATTTCAGAATCGAATGAAAATCGCCAAATTTCTCTTTAAAAATTGTTATCCCATAATGCCTCATCCGGCGCGCAGTGTGTTGAAAGCACGAGGGACAATGAGTCTGCCTTCTCGGCCCTACGCCAGCGTGCCGTCGATAGCTCAGTTGGTAGAGCGGAGGACTGTAGAGCAGTGGGTATCCTTAGGTCGCTGGTTCGAATCCGGCTCGACGGATGGCTTTTTGCCAGTTTTTGTTTTGATGGAGAATTAGTTTCTTGCGGTTCCAGTAACACTGGAACGATGTTTTTGCAGCGAGTTTCATGTTCAGCGAGTGTAAGAACGGATACTGGATTAATCCACTTTTTGAAAAGAGTAGTAGTTTAAAACCAATTTATTGAAACTATCAGTCATGTAAGTTTTTTTTTAATTAGAGAAGTAATTTTGGCGTTTCTTTGAAAGCTAGGAAAGAGAAAATTTCATTTTGAGAAACTTTCGAAAAAAAAAATTGAAACTTTCCTAGAACAATAGGAAAAGCTTGGCGTCGCGAAATCGAATTGCGCAAGACGTTGGATGTTTCAAAAAAGGAAGCAAAAAAGTGTGATCGGCGGCATCCAACACGTTTTTCTGGCCGACGACTGGGATTTCGGTCTCTGTCTCTCGAAATATATGAATTTTCTCGCTGGCCAGATCTCCCACCACGATTTTGGCGTCCCTTGTTCTTTCTCTCGTTTCTCTGAATCCTCTGTTTACCCAGTAACACATTCGCAGGGCAGTTATGATTGGTGTCAGCAGCCCAAAAAAGGAAAACGAAAGCCACAGAAATGAACGTCCAGGTCGACGACCTCCTCACACAGATGTTCCGTGAGAATCTCTCTTTTTAACATTTGTTCCTTATTTCAAACGGTCCCAGTTTCAGCTATAATCGTTTGTTTTATTTTTTTAAAAAAATGATCTTTTTTTCCAAATTACTCCTATTTTGCAAAACTGAAAAATCTCAGAAAACTGGATTTCTTACACTATTCACTCATATTAATTTTTGCTTGAGATATGCCTTCATTTTTTGGATTTTCTCAATCCATGGAGTTTGTTAAAGTTTCTCTATGAATATTTGTTTCTTTCAGGTTTTCCAAAAAAAGCCATTCCCCAATTTAACCTTCTCAAGTTAAAATGTTAGTTTCTTCTCTTATACACCTTTTTCACGACATTTCTCCTTTTTAATGGGCTGAAAAGCTTTTTTTTTCAGTTTTGCGAGGATTTCTCCTTTTTGAAACGACCTTTTTTATGGAGTGGTGTTTTGTTATGTCATTTTTTCTTTCTTTTTTTTTCAAGTTGCTAGCCCCGAAAAAGTTCAATAGATGGAAACAACTGGAATCTTTAAAACCTTTATTTCAGACTGAAAATTTTAAGTCGTGAATTTCTTGAATGTTAATCTCGTTCTGAAAATTATTTTTTTGAGTGGACAGCTAAAAGAATTGGAACTCGAACTGTTTAAAAGAATATTTTTAGGAGGTTATTTCCTTTGATTTTTCAAAGTTTCTAGTCAGAAAATTGCTGACCTCAATTGATTTCAAGTAGCTAGCAAACTTACTTTCTTCCAATCGTTTCCAGGGCCCGCAAAAACCAGAATCAATTCTCACTTGACGTCTCCTTCTTCCTTGTCGAACCCGAGTTGAATCCGGCCGACCGGTGCCGAAGAAAAACCAGTAGACGTCGCTCTTTGCACTTTGCGTTTTTGGACGGCGACTTCGCCTTGGGGCGATTCTTCCTCTGTTTCTTCCCACCGCCATTGTTGCGTTTCTGGATTTTTCTTTTCTCGGAATCGCGTCCTTTTTCCTCTTTATACAAGTTTGGAACAGCCTGCCAGTTGGTTTCTGAGATTAGAAATAAAAAAAGAAGAAATTGTGGCACGAGAAAAGGCGAGATGTTTCTTATAATCTTGGTAATCGAAAAATTAAACAAAGGAAGGCCCCAAAATGAAAATATTAGTCCAACCGTATTCCCATGAACTCGAAGTTATAATTTGAAAATAGCTTAAGTTTTGAAAGGAATTCATTATTAATCTGCCTATAATCATTTTTTCGCAATCCCAAGACCAGCTATAAAAAAGATCACATTTTCAAGTGACCTTTTATGGCTTTTCCTTGGAGGTATTTGCAACATCGAATTACTTTCCCTGCAATTTTTTGCCGTAAAATGAGATTTCTATGAAAAGTGAAATTAATTCCAAAAACGGAGAACTTTGTGTTTTGCAGGAACGATTACTTTTTTTTCAATTTTGATTGTTCTATAAAGCTCCCAGAGCGATGCCTAATTTGCGATGAAGCCTTAGTTTATGTACCTTTTTGTTGTTTGAACACCTTTCGGCTAGTGAATAATATGAATCCATCGATTTTGAAACGCTTCCTTCCTTCGAAGCAAGTCAAAAAAAGCCGAAACAGCAAAAAATGAAGGTGCAGATTTGTCTTCGAGATTCCTGACTTTCGATTTTCCTGCCTCCCAGTTTTTTTGTTCAATGAGTTTTTCCCTCAGCAAGCTTTTTCTCTCACTACAAACAACAACTATACAATGCTGTTTGGGTTTTTTTTTCTGGAAAAATTTTTTTTTTTTTCACGTTTATTTTCACACGAATGACGAATAAACCTTTTTTTTCGTGACGTTTCAAACATGATTCTTTTTTTGAAATTTTCAGACTGCCACGAGAAACATTGAAAAGCAAAAGAGAGCGATTTCAACGCGAGTTCTCTTGGACTGGCCATCCGAAAAATGGCTAACCGCCTTTTTTGGAAAATTTTTCTTTTTCTTTTTTTCGCCTCTCCAAACTCGTTCTGTCTCGTTGGGCGACGGCGAAACGTTGCCCTTCAAACAATTTGTCTTGCCGCTTGTTTCTTCTTTACTTTCTTCTGTTGCTCGTTATTACAAGATCTTTCAACAAGTCCATTTCAAGGTTATTAAAAGGCAACGAAATGAGCAACAAACCCGCCATCGAGCAGATCAAACGGCCGAAAATGCTTTGCGAAGGTCAAAGGTTTGAGTTTTCCACTGTTGTATGCAATAAGAGAACTGAGAAAATTTTCAAATTTGAACTTGGAAAAAGGCAAAAAAAAAGTAGACCTAAAGTTTGTTTTTTGAACCGTCGCTTTAAATTATCGAATAAAAACTGAAAAAAATGTTATCTGCTTTAAATAAAAAAGAAAATATCGATTTTTTTTCATTGTTTTTAATTAAATTTAATTTTTTTTTGTATTTTCCATTTACTTTCAGTTCCAGGTTTTTTTCGCTTTGAAATTTTGAAAAATTTAATTTAGAAGGAATTTAGAAGAAGTTTTTTCGCGTTCTTTGAACTTCATTTTAATTTTGTCAAAAAAATGTTTTTCTAATTTTTTTCTCAATTCTACAAGATATTGAGAAATTCGTTGTGCTCCGTGTTGTTAGAAGTCTGGAAAATATCAATGCAAGGAACTATTATAAATAATTCGCTCTTTTTTCCGAGTGTTTCATTTTCATATGCATTTTTTGCAGAAATCGTTTGCCGGCCGACGAGTACATTCATATTGAAACAGTGTCAGTGTGGGAGTTGCTCAAGCCGATGCTCAGATGGGTTAGTTTTTCTGAAATATTTTTGAAGAATAAAAAGTTTGATGAACCTTTTTTCATGTTCAAAAGAATATAAATCATTGTTTTTAGGGAGCCGAACTGTTCCGTATGGCGATGCCAGTGCAGGTGAACGAGCCGCTGAGTTTTCTCCAGCGACTTTCGGAAAATACTCTTTATTCCGATCTTCTCATCAAGGCCAATCAGTCTGAAGACGATGTGGAGAGAATCAAGGTGAGAAAATTCAGCCTTTCTTATTGAAAATATCGATAATATAGTTTAAAAATTCGTTTTGAAGTTCTGCCAGTTCAAGGGTTTTGCTTTTCAATGATTTTTTTTATCCAATACTCCCTTCAAATTGTCGTCATGACAAATAAATTTGAGCTCGTGAGCGCATTTGTTGTGGCGACGATTTCTTCGAACTACAAACGTCTCGCTAAGCCATTCAATCCGCTCCTTTTGGAAACTTATGAGCTCGAAAGGTTGATTGTTTCTTGATGGCGAGAAAACCAAGCTGTTCTTATTTTCAGGAACGGAGTTCGCTACCTGGCCGAGCAGGTCAGCCACCATCCGCCGATTTCAGCCGTTTATGCGGAAAGCGATGATTTTGTGGTTGAGGTGCCTAGTGCGAAGAAAATGTCTTTTAATATCAAAAGTTGAAGCTGCGGGATTCGATACATTAGTTTTTCTGTTCTGAACTTTCATCCCCTTTTCCTTAGAAAATGTTCCTATTCGTCAATTTCTTCTTACAAAAGATAATTAATTCCTTGTCCTCTCAATGGTTTGGTGTTCAGGCGGTCGTCTCGCCGACTCTGGGTGTCAATTGGACTGGAATGGTCGCCATTCCAAACGCGAAACTGAAGCTCACTCTCAAAAGGTTTTTGCGAACCCCGAAATGATTCAACATGAACGTTTTCTGAAGAACCGGCGAAACTTACACTTGGGACGCTCCGAAATGCTCGATTTGCAACGTCGTCGTCGGCAAAATGTACATGAACTTTGTGAGTTTGACTCGTCGCTCTTCAAAAAAAAAATGCGTATGATTTTAAGGTGGACATTTGATATTAGAGCTATACCCTTAAGTTTTTACCTTACCGATTTATTTTTAGAGCGCGCCATGAAAATTTTGAAATAAGGACCCAAGTTCATCGGCTCATAAGTTATCATCAACCTTGATTAGTGGAAAGTTGACAAGTTTTTATAGTCAATCCTTCTTGAGTAGATTAGCAAGAGTAGCGCGTTGTGTACGTGATGCGGCTTTCTGGCGAAAAACGGTGAAAAAAATAAGAAGAAAAAATTGAGTTTTTCATTATTTTATACTTATATCCGTCAAACAACCTTCTTTTCCGCATAGTCGAGAGTTTTTGCAATAGGCCTCGGACGTTACGATCAAAAGCAGTGGGAAATGTTTGGCGGAGCTTTCTTTTACCGGCAAAGGCTACAGTAACCCGCACGGTGGCAGCGATCTTCACGTGGAGGGCGTCATTAGGAAGGGGTGAGAGTATTTTTGTAGTCGGATAGTAGTTATAGTTATTTTATTGGTTCAAAAATAAGTTCCAGAGACAAGCCTGTAACTGCGCTCTACGGCAACTGGGCACTGTATCTCGCGTCGTGCGACTACGATTTGTTCAAGAAGAACCGGAAGGACTACGTCAAAACTTTCAACGTTGGTTTCCAAATAATTCTTTCTAGAAAGTGAGAAAAAAAGTAATGATCAAGAAGACTCGAAGGAGTTTTTAGTAAGGACTACAGTGAGACCTTGCAGGAGAGCTTGAAGGCCGAGGATCAGGCTGTCATCATTCCTGGATCGAAGACGATCTGGGTGGCCAACGTCCTGCCGCCTTTGTTCGATGAGGTTTCTTTCAATCAAAATGGAAATCTGAATCGGAAAACCGGAATGAGACTTGAAAAGGAAAAATACGAAGTCGAGTCATTGAATGAGACTCACCAGATGTAAATTTTTACGCTTATTTCGAATTTGTCCTCAAAAATGATTTTTCGAAGCTCCGCGAAGGAAATGTGGACCTGGTTAGATTTTCGGTTTCATGTTATTTTCATGCGAGTTTTTTGCTATTCTACAGGGTGACAAATAAATATTGAAACGCGTTTGAAACGTTATAACTTTCTCAAAAGTCAACCAAACACCACCAAACTTGGAACAAATTTTATTCATACAATATAGAAACAAAATTCAAGAATAGTTTTCGAAACTTCCTCCTTTAGCTTTGATAACGGCCTTCAGTCTCTTCGGATACGCATCGATCACGGCACGAAGGTAGTCGTCGTCGATTTCGTCCCATTTCTTGATGAGCACGGTCTTCAGAGCTTTGATACTTGGGTAGTTCTTAGAAGAGACCTTCTCGGTCAGATATATCCACCCGGCATAGTCCATCGGGTTGAGGTCGGGCGAGGAAGCAGGCCAATCAGCAGCCGAGATGAACTCGGAAAATTGGCGCGATACCACTCTTGAGTCCCTTTGGCGCGATGAGCGGGGGCGCCGTCTTGCTGGAAGGTCCATGGTCGGTTTCCGTAGTGAGAATTGGCTCAGGGCAACACCCTCAACTTCAAAATCTACGCCCTGTAGTATACTTGGTTCACTTTGACTCCAGGATCCACAAAAAAATCAGCGGAGTTTTGCCGTCAGCGGTAATTCCGGCAAAAAAACCATCACGGAAGCCGGATGCGAAGTTTTATTCAGAATTTTTTTCCTTTTTTTCACAGGCACTCTGATAGTCAGTAACGATGATCCGATGATTTTGGCCGTTCTTGTTCGCCTCCACAGTGAAGATTTTCTCGTCGGTAAATAGCGTCGTCAGATGCGAGCCATCTTGCGTGCCAGCGAGCAGCTTTCGAGCCTTTTTCATCCGGAATGTCTTGTTTTTTTGATTGAGAAAGGCTCCTTTCTGCATACGGTAGGGAATCATCTTCAGCTTGTCCATGACAATAGTTCTCATCGATCCTCGACTCATTTCGTATTCTTTTGCCATCTTTCTCATGCTTCTTTCCGGAGTGCGTCTGATTTTCTCTCGAACGGCTTCGACTGCTTCTGGAGCCGTGACGGTGACTGGACGTCCACTTCTTTGCATGTCATCTGAAGTACCGAGATGCCGATAGCGTTGTGCAGTTCGAAAAACGAGAACACGAGACACTTTCAGCTTTTTAACGATCTCTGAATACGTCCTTCCGCTTTTGACACAATCAATGATTGCGGTACGGTACGGAGATGGGGCCACCATCACCTGAAAACTGAAAAGTATGAGCTGTAACTTCAAAAACATAATAAGTGAGCATGAATGAACGAAATAAACAAAAAAATTCAAAGGCCAGTCCTTTGCGCAAAAAGCAGCGATCAAACAAAAAACGGTTTCAATATTTATTTGTCACCCTGTAATTCTCTACACGATGTCAATAAATCGAAAGAAATTTATCATTCTGCAGTCAAAAAAATGTTTTTTTTTCAAGCAATTCCACCTGCCGTACTATGTCTTGTCGCTGAACGAGATCTACGAGGGAATGGGCGACAATTTGCCGCCGACCGACAGCCGCAGAAGGCCCGACATCCGAGCCTTCGACGAGGGATACTGCGGTGAATTCCTTCTGGAAAACTCAGAAACGGAAGGAAGTTTTCCAGACATTGCTGAGAACGTGAAGAGGCAGCTGGAAAACGAGCAGCGCGAGCGGGCGAGGAATTCTGTCGCCCAAGTCCCTGTGTCAGTAGTTTCTCGGGATAGCTCCAAAAAAGAGAAAATAACGCTCTGGTCATTCATCCTAGTAAAAATGATAAAAAGGGTTTTTCCGTTATCAGCATAAGGATTACTTTCGTTGTCAGGGAACCGCCTTTTTCATTCAGTTTGTCGGCGTGCTACTTTTCCCAATTTCAAAAAGTTTTAATTTCTTGCACGTTCTCACAAATAAAAAATAAAGAAAAGAACAAAACAAGGAAGATAATGCGAATGGGTTTTGAGGTTCACTTTCTTCACTCTGCTCATAGGAGATCATAGGATAACTATAGAAAAGACTTCAGAGGATAAAAGAGAGTTGGAAAATTGTTTGAAAGTTTTATTTTCGCTTTCGAGAAGATGACGATGTAAGTGTGGTTTTGATCTTTTCATTTTTATCAACGACTTATTTCGAAATGATGGTTTGAAAGGAAAGTCTGATTCAGGTGGTTCGAGAAAGACGAGAATGGCGACTGGAAGTACAAGGGCAAGTACTGGAACCGCAAATACGCGGACTCGCCGGACCTTTTCGTCAACGGAAACGAAGTCTACCTGGAGCTCGTCAATCTCGCCCGCAAGGCTGAGGAACGCCTCACTCTGTGAAAGAGCAATCATTTCCAATAATCCCATCATTCACAGTTTTTTATCCAGTATTCTTACGAATCCTTACGAAATTAATTAACCAGAACCATTTGATATGACAAGACTTTTCTTTAAAGAAACGTCTCTCTTCCCATTTTCTTACCTGTCTGTATTTTTTTCGCTTGAAAATGTCCCAAATTGCAATTTCTGTGAGTATTATTGTACCCCATCCTTATATCAGAGATCGAGGTACCTTTTCTGTGAGTGTTGAGAGCCTTATCTTCCCGGCAAGTTGTCATTCTTAGTCGATTTTTCGCCATTTATATATTTAACCTGTTTGGAATGAAGTTTACAGTTTATCATCCTAAGATCTTTCAAAGAAAAACGGCTTCCGAGCCCCACGCGAAGTTTTTGTCTACAACAACTTGCTTTACATTCGAAAAGTTGTAGAAGAGGGAAAAATCATTACTAGCCAAATTTTCGGATTTTCACTTTCCAAAAAGATTTGAACTTTTTTGATCTATTTTTCCATCTTAAACTGTCTCGGTAAGATTTCAGGCTTCGAGTTTCAGGTTAAGATGTAGTAAGCCAGCTGATTGTTTATTGCTTGAACATTTTTTTAAATAATCAGATCAACGAAATTTAGCGATCAAATTAAGCTTTATATAAAGACGTGTCAAGTTTCCTATAGACTATAGGCTATAGTGAACACTGTTTTTAAACTGTTTATTGCATTTTCAATGTAGGAATACATGTGCAATCGGTTTTCATTGATTTAACTGTGTTTAAACGGCGGCAGGAGCTGTGGCTTAGGCAGAGAAGTTGTGAAATCCGCGCGTAGAACATCAGGTACAAGAGAGGTCGTAGGAAGAGTTACGGTGGCGGCTTTCCAAAGGCCGATGGCAGAGATTGAGCCTTTTCGCTGCATGCAGCTTCCAATATTATCTACCCCGGAGGGATGAGAGGCTTGGTCGACCTCGGGGGGACTCGAACCTACGACCTCGCGGACGTTAGAAATGAGACTTACCAGCTGGGCTATGCCGCCCCGTGAACACTCAGTGCGCTAATTTTATTGCTCAAAAATCCGCTTTTTTGCACAGATAACCTGTCCAATATTTCCTTGACGTCAATGCAAAACACATTTTGCCGCGCTTTGATCTATCGATCCTGTGCCGTGTTCAGTGATTTCGGCGATTCCAAAATTGACGCGTAAAATTGGAATTCCGGGACTAACTTATAGGAAGTCCTTTTCTACGAAAATTTCAAACTCGCGCGTAAAACTCCCGACGTATCTATGCATAGTGTGATTACACAGTAAACACCATAATTGACGGAAAATTCATTTTTATTTTTCTTCTTATTTTCATTGAAAGTTTTTCACGTCTATTTAAGGCGACATTGCTTCGGTCGTATTACTGTAGTTAGAATAGGTTTTTTGGTAATGAAATGAGAACGTTTTGTGACGTAACTTACCTTGTAACCTCGAAAAATAGATCCTCAACAAATTCCAAGAAAGATAGAAAATCAAAAAAATTTCATGACTCCGAAACTGACCGCGCAATATTGACAGGCCGCCGTAGCACTGTTTTAAACATGCGTTTTTTCTTATTGTTTTTTATTTCCCAGTGGGAAAGTTTTCTATGCGCTTCAATCAAAGTTTCCTTCCTCATTTTGAACATTATTCCGTCATCTTATTTCAATTCTATTTCGATATTTATTGCGTAATTTGACCTCTTCAATGCTCTTGCGCAACGTGTAAAACAAATCGCCAGACGTTTCACGGATTAGCTGCGGAAAATACAAGAAGGTATCGGTGTCCGCGCCAGAAGTCATCAATTGCTGACCAGAAGCCGTTTTTTAACGAGAATTTCCTAAGATGCTAATTTGGCTGCTGGCTTCAAAATATTAGCTTTCGCATGAAATTATACCGATCATTCTTATTCTAGTTGCTCTTTTCAGCTCTTTTTATGGACTTGAATAGAACATTTCACGTATAAATGCAGTTTATTCAGTTTTTTCTGAATAAAGTTACGAAAATCATATTCAAAAGGCGATATTTTTTTTCCTGAAATAATTTTTTTCTGAAAAGAAGAATTATATCACCATGAATCTTCAGAAAACATCTTCTGTTTTTTTATCGTTTTTTCGCGTTTTTTTTCTAGTTTTACGTTTTTGATGAATTTTCTTTCAGATTTAGTTCTCTGGAAGCTGAACCAATAAATATTTCCGATTGAACAGCTGGACTACGATTTCAAAGGTGATGTTTTCTCTATGTAAGGCAACTGTTCAAACTTCTTTTTTTTTAGTTTTCTGGAATTTGGAATTCATGCTATACAATTGACAAAGGAAGTCATTTTAATTTGCGGTTGGGATTTTCCTGAAAATTCACCTGAACGCTCTTTGATCGACCAGGAGAATATTCTGAAAGTCTCATTGTACACAGCTGCCTCGATTCAAAAAAAGGAACTCAAAGAAAACTCTCAAAATCCATAGAAATAGGCAATTTTAGGGCTTCAAGTCCTTATATTTCGAAAACGAGAGTTGTGCAAGTTGAAATTTTGAAGAACTTCATCTGATACATCAAGAAGTGTTCTGGTCAATTTTTAGGTAATTCCCAACCCAAAGGAAACGACTTTACTTGTGAGAACAGGTTTGAACTTGCTTTATTTCGAAGTTTCATGGAAGAACCAGAAAAGGAAAAAAAAACGAGAGAATTTATAAACATGTTTTCATGAATGAATTCCTATCAATAAAACAATTAAGGTCAGTCAGTTCAATGGAATGCGAAATTTAAGTAATAAGGGTGCTAATTTCAGAAAAAGTTTTTTTTTCATTTTTTTTTTCTCACAGAAATCGCGTTCTCTTATCTTCCAATTTGTTTCTGCAAAACTTTTTTTTTCGGAAAAATGACTCATTTTCCCTGAGATTTTCCGTCTGATACAACTTTACACAGCACGAAACTGCTATTTTTTCTTCTCGACGGGAGTCTCCCAGGCGGTGCAAAGTTCTTCTGAATGAAATAATCGGTTTCGCGTATTTCATTTTGTAGGATCTGTAGGAAATCTCATGAGAAAAGGATTTTTTTTCCTCATGACTTTTGAGGAACAAACTGCTTTCTGAGCAAAGTTCTTAATCGTACACATCCATCGACTGGACCCCACATCAGCCTTTTGCGCGCGAAAAAATATTTGAAAGGCTGCACCCCGGGGTGGGATCCAGACGTATGATTGTACAGTTGGAACTCAACTTTCCAGAGGTACGGAAAACTGAAAAACTGGTTTAAATCAAGGAAGTTTTAATTTTAAAAATTGATCCAAATATTTTTTTCAGATTCCCAGGAGCCTTTTTTTAAAAGATTTAAAAAAACCAATGATCATTTTTTTGTTTCATGAACACTTAAATCTTTATCTTTTTTTGAAATTCGTGTCTGTTCTTTTGAAAACCCAAGAAAAAGCAGAACGTTTTGATCGAATTTTCGGTGGAAAATGTTCAAAAGCAAGTATTTATTCTGGAAAACAAAACTGCACTTTTTGTAAAGCTGAACCAATTGGTCTCAACTTGTTCATAATATTTTCCTCCGATTTCATGACCGAGAGAAATTTTGCAATATTTCTATGTGCTCAGCTTTGTCTGTTCATATAACTTGGCGCCAGGCCAATAGTCTGAACAAATTTAGAGGATTTCCCGCATTGTCCTTTCCGGAATATTGGTAGACCTATTGGGAAAAAGTTTTTTTTAAACAGAGGAGAAGCGAAGAAATTTAATTTTTAATTTTTAATTATTTTTTTCAATCTTACCGCGAAGAGAACTGAAAACTAAATTTTCAGTTTGGATAATTATTTCGAGAATTTGGAAAAAAAAATTCGTTGCCAATTTTTTTTCAAATTTCTATCGAACCGTTTTCAGGGTGATTGGCATCACTGTTGTCTTTTGAGCCGAAGTATATAATATACAAGAAAAAGATTGGCTTTCTTCTTATAGAATATTATCTCTTGAAACTACAAAGTTTCGTCGGCGTTTTTTTTCCTTGCTCCCATTTTGCATATTTTCTTCCTGTTCACACGCTTACATAACCGGGAATGGATTTACCAGCAAGGCGTGTGAAAAAGAGCCGAAGATCAGACTAGAAAAACATGAGATGAAAGGGAAACGTCGACGTTTCCCACATACCTCATGAATTATTGAACTTTTCCAGCGGATCTGCTGATGCCCTTTCCACCAAACTCTAATGGCTTTTCCAACTGCTTTCTCTTGGTTTGCAATTTCTCGAAAACGGTCCATCCGAAAAGCCTTTATCTAACCTGCCCTCCACCAGAAACAGATATAATTGAAAGTCGCTCGTTGAGATTAATCCTAAAATCGCTGTTCGCAGGGATTAATTTTTGTATCATGAGTCGAATGAGCAGAAGCTCCATTTAAGATTAGGATTACCTAGATTTGGAGACAATACAATTTTTTCGACTTTCGTAATAGATGAAATGCCCACATTTCTAGTTAATTATAGAGAGTTGCGAAGAATAAAATATAAAGACCCGGAAGATCTTTTTTGAGTGTGCAATGAGGGTTATCCTAATCCCTCGACCTTTGATCATTCCAGAAAATAATTCGAAAATTGAGTTGAGGACATTTTCTGAGCATTGCACGATAATCCATGTGTCTTAGAGTTATCTGAAGATATATCGAGAACTGATTAAACAAAAAGTTTCTGACTACAACGCTGACGTTAGAACGGTCGAATTTGTTTTCTTGGTTCCATAATCCAAATAACTTTTGATCCAAATCAGGAAGCCTTAAAGAAATCTGCGACGTTTCGAGCGTCAAACGGTGTCTTTAATCGGATCCCGACACCCGCTAATCTTCTTCCGATTACATGTCTTTCTCGCAGTTCAATTTTCAGCTCGAGTCCGCTTTCCTAAATCCGTGTTGATCTTTAGAGCAGTATCAACGCTTCAGACTTCGTCTCTCGTTTTTATTTATTTATTTTTTTCGAAGAACACAGTAAAAGAGAGCACTTTATGACATTTATTCATCATTTTCAAAGAGTTCGAGTTTTGTTAGTTGAGAAAAAAGGTGTAACACTTTTAATTAAGGATTTTCGCTGGTCATTCTGAAGGTCGGGCATTGTACTAAAACTAGTAGTTTTTGGAGCAGAGACCTATGAATTTGTGATAAATTACCTGTTTCAAAGATTGCCACCGGTGAAGGTAAATACTCATACCTCTAAGCTTCTTTACTGATAACTCAGCTGCTGATCTTCAGAAAAGTTTCTCATTCAGTTATTTCGCCAAACTTACAGTTTTTAAAGCCTTATTCAGCACAGAATTTCTAAGGTACATCAAGAAATTTTGAAATAATTTAACGAGAACTTTCGTCAAATATCTTATGATATAATCACTCAAGTTAGCGAAGTTCGGCAGAGCGTGTTTTTCTTGCTCGATAAAAATCTCTTTTTATTATATTCTACTTTAAAAAGAATCGAACCTTCTGAAGATTAATTTTTTTTAAATAATAATTTACTCACAGATAGTTGATTGATTGCTCTTATTTTTTTGGTTATATTCTTCTTGTTCACACACTTGCGCCAGTAAAGAAATAATTATCGGGAATTGTTTTTTTCACTCTAATTTTTTCAACACCCACCCTTCACGTCGAAACCACCTTATTTTTTGAAAATTGGCTCAACACGGCGGATTAGATTCGAAGTTCGATTTCCTAGAACAAAGTACGCAGCAATAAAAGGGTCATTGAGGGTACACAGGAGCATGTACTTTTTGTTTTTGGCCCCTGCAAATTGTACCAGGAAACTTACCATTATATGATAACTTGTTTAGTTTAGTCGGTACACTTAATTGCAGTGAAGTTCAGCTCAAAGCCAAACTTTTTGTCTTTGGCTTTCCACCTGTCTGGCCCTTGTTATCAAACACGCTAAGCAGGTCATTAGTCGTGCTCAGAAATTGGCAGGTGCAAGTTAATATCCGTGCGGAAAAACCTGCTCGTTATTTATAATAATGCGCTAGCCGCTGGCCTATAACTATCCCCTGATAATCAACAATTATCAGCTGACAGCTTTTTCAAAGTTCACGCTTTGTCCACATCTGGTCAGGAGAGTTTTTTGACTTTCACAGAGAATATATAACGGTAGTCCCTTCAGAAATCCATTCTTAGTTTTTAAAAGCGCCCAACTTTCATGTCTCGAGGCAGAGATTCGTTTTTTTTTAATAAAAAGGGAATTTATTTCAACTTTAAAATTCGCGAAGAACTTCGAAGCTCTTCAAAAGTACGTATAAAGAAGCCCTAGAAAGTTTTTTACGGGAAGCAATAATTATTTCGACTTCGTTCGAAGGAAAAAACCGCTCAAAACCAAAAGACAAGAAAATAAAATCCGTTACGAATCTTTTTCATTTGAAAAAAAAAATCTTCGCACAATAGCTTTTGAAATTTTGACTACCATTATTTCGAATCTCCCCAAAAACAACTCTTTGTTGTGATTGTAGCCTTTCTCACGCACCGAAATTTTTATTCGGACTTTTTTCCTATCCCTTTATTCCATTGTGTAGACAATCAAATGTCGTAGAAAAAAGGTCGCATTTCCCGGACGATTTCTGGGCGGAGCTTCTTTTCGTAGGCGTGTCCTAATGTTACATTGCGGCGAAGGTTGATGTTCTGTCGACCCCATCCTGTACATCAATTTTTCTTTTTTCAAATGTCCACCTTCCTTGTGATTCACTTTCCCGTTATTTGGAACCGTCTTTTGCGTCATTCCGGCTTGTTTTTCCTCAAATGAAGTCTTTTTTGAAAATAACCTTATTTGTAGGTTATTTTTGACTATTTTTTGCAGAGGTATATTCATACAAGTTTTGCAGCGGATGAAAGTTTTCAGTCTATAAATTGACTCGAAAATTACCCTGAAAGTACTCTTTTTCTTTGTAAAAAGAAAACACTCATTAAGTTTTCTTCAAATATCTCATTATGGTGCTCAAAATCTTCATTTTCTCATTCATTCGTATCTGAAGTATGTGTCATAGTTCATGTTTACCTATGGCACGTTTGCGATCATCTAGCAAATCAAAACAATTTTCACGATTTCTGAAACTAATTATGTCCACACGCTTAAAAAAACGCCCAATCTGGGGGCGGACCAGCCTTAGCAAACTGTATTCAACTTTTAATTTTTTGAGAGTTCTTGTTTTTTCTCGACCCAGAAAAACTCGCGAGGAATCGCTTTGAAAGCTGTCCCTGCATCTGTCCTCTCGTTCTGAATGATACTGTCTTGCGCAAGTAGGATATGATCAGACGTAATAAAACGGAAAACCTCTAGAAAAAACTACGATCCCAACTTTTTGAGCGAATCTTTGCAACTCCAAGTAGTTTTTAATGCTTTTAAAAATATTTTTGATGTCGATTCTCAATCAAGAACTGCCCTTAGAAGAAAATAAAATAGACCTTTTTTTTCAAATGTTCACAAGCCAAGAATTTCAACAGCCGGAAGCAGGTGAAGTATAACTTGATTGAACACCTGCATTCTGACCTTTCCTGCACCGAAACCTTCGAGTCAAGTTTCAGACAAAGCGATTTTTAGTTTACCGTAGGGACTTTTATTTATAATGGCGCCAAGTTGTCGCGGCTGATAATAAAAAGAAAAACAGTGATAACATTGTTTGATCACCCTTTTTTACCGCTTTCCTGGTTTGGTCAAGCTTTATCATGTTAAGATGATAAGTTCATCTAGAGACGTACATAACAGTCACAAGTTTTCGCAATAGTCACCCCCAAAACACTACGCTACATGGGGATCGCATCCGAACTGATGTAAACAGAACTTTAAAGTCAAATTCATATCATTCTTTACGACTTTTATAGCCCGAACCATATTTTTTGTTATATTTTTCTTATCTTTTTCTTTTTGTTATATTTTTCTTATCTTTTTTTTCTTAGGTGTAGTTCATGACAAGTCTTGAAACATTTATTATTATTTTTTTGAGTTTTTTTAAATTCAAGTTCAAAAAGTAACAAACTCCTTCAAAAAAACAATGAATAGTGAAAAGGATATGAAAGGAAAGTGAGTACTGCATAAAGAAAGTTTTTCGTTTCTTTTTCAACTTTGAAGGTTTTCGTAATTCTGAACACTTTCCGTCTTTAAAGTAGAAGCTCTCTAATAGTTTTCATAAAGGTTTTCCTCATATTGAGGCTTTCGAAATTTTTTTTTTAAATGGTGTCCACAAAAAATTTAATAAAGATTTCAACAAGTCTGCTCTGTTGGCAACATTATATATTAAACATGTCTCTGCAAAATTCTTTTTTCGAGTCCTATGACATAATACTTTTAAAAAATTCTTATTTTTCATATAGCTTTTAAGTTCATCACAACCTTATCGCCTACCCTTAATAATCTGTTTTTCGTCCTTTAAAACTTCCGCTTCATACCACAATCACTTCATCTTTTCCATTAGGCGGAAAAAAAAGCAGAGGCGTTGATAACGGTTAGGACGACTTTTTACGAAAAAAACTTATTTTTTGCCGGATTTTGTTTTCGATCCATTTATTCGATGTGATCGTACTGAGAAAGGCTCCTTTTTAAGTTCGCCAATTTCTCCATCCGTTATTAATTTGTTTTTCATCTCTTCGAAAATCCGCTTGATTGCTCCATCTCCTTATCAACCAGTTCGATGAAGCATGAAAAAAGTGTAGGCGGTGGAAAACAGACTCACTCCTTCGCGCCTGTGATTCTGATCAGTTCCTCTTGTTTTGTTGGGATATTTATTCAAAAAAAGTTCCAAAAAAATTACGAACTTTTTTTATATTCTCAATGCCTTGTCTTCATGTAACTTTTTTGTTTTTTCCTTTCAACCTCATAATTTTTCAAATTTCCTGTCTTATTTTCCAAATTTAGAAGTAGAAATGGACGCGGCACGAAAAAGACCATTTGATGAGCCGATCGACGCTCGTCCGGCGAAAATTCCCGAAGAAGCCGGTTGGTTTTTTGATTTCTATCTTTTTTGGAAGATTTCAAAAGCAATAAACCGAAAAAGCTGTTATGACGTCGTTACTTGGCTCGTCGCCAAATGTCCGCCGCCGCCGTTATCTCATCATAAAAGTTTTTCGTTTTTATTTGCATTCCGTTTTGTCCACTTTACGGCCTTTCAAAAACACATTAAGACAGAAACGAAACATTTCAGATTTAAAATGGGGGTGAGAAATTGTCGGCTGATTCATCGTCGGTTTTTATTTGCAACGAATTGCGAAACTAATGGGTTTTTAAGAGCCTCAAAAAAAAAAAAAGAAGAATCGAGGCAATTGTGGTCAAAACGTCTCCAAAAATCAGTACTGTATTTGAAGATAATGATGAAAGGATGAACCGTGAACACGTGTAGAATCTCGAAGGGGAATGAAGCTTGTAGGCGTTAAACGGAACTGGAAGTTGTTTTGAAACGCACGCTCAGTTCTAGAGAATTTTCGGATTCCAAACCAATAAATGTTAGGTTTTGCAATGGTATGGCTTAAGGTTCAAAAACTGTCGATTCGCGTTGCCACAAAACAACTTTGTCTCACCAAAAATGGTTTAATGCGTAACGGCTACTAAATAACAGTTCAATTTGAGTGCGTCAAACCGACTTGAGCGAAAAAGCATCTGGAAGCGTCAAAGTGAGCTACTAAGTTACGAGTAGGATGTAGACAAGATATCAATAATTAAAAAAAGCACTTTAAATTACTGAAAGTGTGACGCGTTACGAGGTTTTTTCAAGCCTGTCGCACTCAGCCTTAACCTTTTGGATGTTTTAAAAGTTCCAGACAGCGAAGAAACGGTCGCCAAGATCGTGAACGCGATTTTTGGGAACACAGCGCTCGGGCCAAGGGCCCTCGGAGCCGTTATAGAGCAGCTTCAACTTGATAATGTACGATTTTCTATCTGGGAAATGGATTAATCTTTCATAATGTTAAGGCGCAAAAAGCAGAGACTGAGAGGTTATTGGCGAATCTATCAAAAGCTCCAGCAAAGCCTCCAGTGAGCGCGGCGGGCGGTATTTTTTTCCTTTTTTTTTCTGCAAAAAGTTTTTAATCTAATATAGGGGTTGTGATGTCTGCTTCCAAACGTGTTTCAGAAAATCTCAGTAAGAAACAGCCGTTAATAAACTCTTTCCCATTATTCCAGCAGCTTTTTCAAAAAGTTCAAAAGGACAAGCAGCTGAAAGCCTCTTATCTTTGTGTTTTTATAAATTTAACATTTCACTTCCACTTTTACGTTGTCTAGCGAAATATAACATTATTCCAGAAGTTTTTCCCACAAAATCTATTTTAGATATGTTTTTCGGCTGTGAGAAAATTCAATTCACTTTCTCATCAACTTGTTAACGGACGTGGTTTTTCCTATCAGCGGAACGCGATCTTTGATCAGAAAAGTATGAAAGAAACAATTTCCAATCAGTTTTTTTTATCGCTTTTCGTAAAGGAATGGGAACGAGGAAGCTTTCGAAAATCGAAAAAAGAGGCTAGACGGCTATTAAATTCTTGTGGGATCGACAATACATTTTTATTTCGCTTTTGTTACATCGAAGATCTTTTTCTCGAATGGGGGCAAAAAAAATCACCAAAGGAAAAAAATAATTTTGCATAATCTGCAGAACTCGAACAAAACCTAAAATAATCCGTATAATCAATCAAGAATAATTTATCCTTTTTTTTAAAAAATTTTCGGAAAAAAAATTGAGAATTTATTAGATTCCAATTTAAAAACTTTACAGTTTTCAGCCAGATATTTTGTTCATTCTCATAAGCAAAAAAAACTTTTAACGTTGAACCTATCGAATTTCATGAGAACTACATCATTTTCCTTTTTCAGCGCCTCCTGTGGCCAATTTCGCTCAGCCTCAGCCGTATCCGGGAATGATGATGACACCGATCGCGATGTTGCAGTTGCAGATGGCGCAGAACTTCCAGAACAATCAGCAGGCCTACCAGATGTCTCTGAAGGAAGCCGTGCTCCGGGGACAAGTCCCTCCAAATGCTGTCCCGCAGCACGTTGAGCAGCAAAAGGTTTTCGATCTTCTTTCTCATTCTTTCCGAGGTCACCGCGGAAAGCAGAACCCGAAAAAATTACGTGAAACGGTTAAAGAATGGCACGCTATCGATCTAGATTTGTTCTCAATTTAAGAACTCGATAAGTCTGAGAGACTCACAAAAAGTTTGAGAAAAAGGGAATGAAAGCAATCAGAAGGGAGTCCTGACTTCAATTTAGGAAGTTTGAAGTTGGTCTCTAGAAAAGGTCTGAACATTTTAAGTGTTGGTTTATTATCATTTTTCTTTCTGGAACTTTGAAAAAATGGTTCAAGGGTGAAGAAAGAAATTCAGTATATAAACAGAAGTGAAACACAACAAAAAAGACTTTTTCCAATTAGCTCAATATCATCAATAAATCAGTTCTCTGATTCTTAAAATTTGAAAATAACTGACCTACAGATCCCTGCTCTCGCCGCAGCTCCTCAAATTTTCCCTCCCGCGGGTCCGCAAATGAACCCTGTACCCATGCCTCATCAGGTTAGTTTTCATTAGAAATCAACTCGCAACTTTTCGCAAAAAAAAAAAACAAAAACAAAAATATATTTCAGCGCGGTCCTCGATCTGTTCCTCAACAGCGTCCTGGTCAACCGCCGATTATGCAGATGGGCGGTAAATATTGAATTTCGTTGAAAAATAGATCAATTTCTCTCATGAGACTTTGGCATTTTTCAAAAGGTTTTTTTTCTAACTTAAATCTTCTCAGCGACCCCAGACCCCTGGAGTAGTTCCTTCAGGATTCTTTCAGAAATCCTCAAAGGAACACTTTGAATATCCCTCGTTAGTTCTCAAAATAAAACATTTTTCACTTAGGACAAATTCGACAAAAGTTTAATTGTATGATTCGAATTTAGTTTAAAATAATCAAACAGTATCTGTATTTTAATAAGTCCCGAGATCAAAACCCGTTTTTGAAGATTCGAAGATTTCAGGATTCTTTTCGAATCCTTCCGAACACATTCTAATTTTATAATCCTTGTCGTTACTTTTCCCTTTGATCTTCGGAAAACCATCTTATCACCTGGATTCTTATGAAAATAGAAGGCTTCTTTTATGAAAGCTTTGAAAAGAATCCTTCAGGAGTCCCTCCGAATGGACATCCTATGAACATGTTCAACCCCATGGTCACAGTCCAGATGCCAGTTGTGTCACAAGCTCAGCTGAAACACCATGAACACTTCCATTTGAATGCGCAGGTAGGACGAATAAATGGAAATTTGGAAGAAAATTCATCCTTTTTCCAGGCCGAGTTCTACCGCCAGAGGCTGCGCGAAGTCGAGCAGCTCATGAAACAGAACGAGGAATCTTCCAAAGTCAAAAATCAGCAGGAGCCTAAGAAGAACGAAGTCGTCAACTTGGATCCCAAACCCATGCAGGTTTTGCAGATTGAGATATTTCTGAAATAATCGCGTCATTTGGAGACTCTGAAGCCGATGCTCCTGCATCCGATGATCAGACCTCTTCCGGCTCAGCAAAACCAACAGGGCGTCATTTTCTCGGCCCCCAATTTCGTTCAGCATCATGTTCCTCAGCCCTTGATGGTGAATAATAACGAAAGTTGATTCACTTATGTAACTGACCTCAGTTGAAAATCAAAAAATCTTTCTTTTTTTTGCGGAGGCTTTATTAGAATTCGCAGACATGAAGATTTTCAATCTTACATTAAAAAACCTTTTGGAATTTCCAGAAAACTTTGGGCTTTTGTTTCAGGCGCAGCAACAACGCCCGCAGAGCTTCCAGAATCCTCACCCGATGCAGTTCCCTACGCAAAACCAAATCCTATCCCAAACTCCGTCGCCGTCTTTCACTCAACAGACGCCTAAAAACACCGAAGCAAGACCTGAAAACTTCCTGAATCGTCCGATTCCGATCCGGCAGCCAGTGATCCTCGAGAATGTCCCGTCGTCGTTGGAGAAGCTCCAGGAGTCCTCGCGAATCCTGACTCCGCCCCAAGGCGATCTGTCTCCGGCCGTTCATCACCAGCAACCCGACGAAAACCAAGTGTTTTCCAGCTTCTAATCACAACTTTCAACGTTTTACCTTTTCCAGAACTCCCGGTGTTCTTCAAAGACTGTTGTCGGCCAAGCCGAGGACCTTCCAATGACGGAGGTCAACGATTCAGAAGACGTCAACGTCGTCGACGTCGAGGAGGAGGACGAGAGAGATTCCGCAAACAATTGGTCCGTCGTCACTATCGCCCTCCCCACTCGACTTCATAAAAACTGTGATTGTTTCAAAACACTCTCACATTAACTTTTTCATCGCTTCACTATAATTCCCCGCTACCTTGATTCGTAAATCGATTGTTATTTATGGCTTCTATTTTTTTTTCAAAAATTACCTGGAAAAGCTAGCGGTGAAGCAAGCTTGTTTGAAACTTCTCTCCAAATTATGTTTGAAGGAGCATAAGCAAACTTAACTGAAGTCTCGAGACGAAGAGCTTCTAGCAGTGATTTTTTTTTCATCTCAAAATGCGCCTTTAAACATTCCAGCAAGAATTTAGAACACAACATATTTCGTTTTTTCATGTGCTATGCTCACAATTTCAAGTTTGCTGCATTCAAGATCTACCTGTTCCGATCTCACTTCATTTTCTATTTTTTATTTTTATCTATTTCATGTATTTTATATATTTTGCCTGTGGTAGTTTCTTTTCAGTGTATCTTATGTTATTATTTTACTCAACTAATGTGATTCCTTATAAGTTTCCAATAATGTATAATTCTATGTTTCGTCTTGTTGCTCTTTCATACATTCTCAACTTTAAAATTCCTCACTTTTTTTTTCGATGGTATATATCTCGACGAATGGTTTTCTCTTGGAGAAATAAATGAAATGCTTCTGATTTGAAGATAGTTAATGGAGAAGTATTATTCAACAGTTTGTGATTATAATGTAGAAAAATATAACTTTGAAAGTAACATGTCCCTTTTTTTATCAAAAAAAGATTCAATTTTTTTCAATCCTTCATCGCGATTTCGCTGTTGAAATAAAGTGAAACTAAATTTTTTTATTTCGCTCACAGACAGATCTGTGGCGTGTTACTTTATTTTCAAATGATTGACAAATAGGTGACGATTCTCAAAAAAAAAGAAGAAAAGAAAATAAACAATGACAATAAAGAAGAATAAAAATTTAATAAAAAACTAACGTGCACGCTGAAGCGTTGACTCAAATTTAAATGATTACTGTAATCCATCAGTACGAGGCAAGTCACCCTTGAACCGAAAGCGCAGGACTCTACGAGATTTGCCGAAGTTTAAGTCAATATTTTTGTTACAAAAATATTGCGTTAATATTCGTCAAATTTTTTATATGCGTATATATACTCGTTCTTCTCTCTGTATTCCTATTATTTGGCTTTTTATTTCATGTGTTTGTTCTTTTAGGAAAAGTTTGAAAACAAAAAATCAACATCAAAATCCTTAATGGAGTGTTCATCGGCGCGCTAAAGTTGCTCCAAAATAGTACTAATTTTTATGTTTTGGAGCGATTTTCTTGAGTTTCGAAGCAATTTTCCTTTTGTCCGATGAACACGCCATAAACCCTTTCAAAACTTTTATTGGGCTATTTTTATTTTTATAGTTAGTTCATGGAAGTTTTTTTACTTCGTGATTTTCAAAAGTTCTATGTTTCGAGGTTTTTCATCGCTCTGTCGTTTGCAAAACCTTTTTACCAGAAATAGTAAGAAACGAAATTTCTCGCATTTTTTTCACGTCTTTTTTTAATTTTTTTGAAACAAAGTTTATTGTGCATTTTATCATGCAAATGGGTCGTAATTTTGTTTATCAGAATTTTTCAGTATCTGCTTTTTTTATATTAGCCGGGAAATGCGACGCGGTCCACCTTGTCTGGTAACTCAAAAACGCCAAAAAAGTCAGATATTTGTGTTGACAGAAACTGAACTACTCTCGACAGCAAAAGCGATTCGCTTCTTCTAGAGCTGCAAGCGGGTATTTCATTAGAAGCTTTCTGTCTACATTTTTTACCAGCGTCCCGAAGTTTTTGGGTTTCTCCATTCTTTCAACGGCTGCTGGTGTTGCTGGAGTTACTGCCTACGCCACATATGATGCCTCTTTCCGGGAGAAAGTTTCTCTTTCACTACTTTGAATCGACTTTTTCGATTTAAGGTTGAAAAGAATGTACCCTACAGCGAGATGTTTTTCAAAAAAGTTTTGAATAAACATGAAATCTCGAGTCTTGTGGATTTACCAGGGATTCATGCGGTTCCATCAATTGTGAGTCTTCAGACGAGTAGTTTTTTCAAGACTTAATTTGGAATTTTTTTTTTAATCTTTAATTCTACTTTAAGCTAAACGAGGTTTTTTGACAGATTTATGATTATTGGAAATTATAAAAGTTTTCAGCCGAAGAAAGCGATTGAAGATCAAAAAAAGAGTTCTACAAAACTTTTAGAAGAAAAGACTGTAAAGCCGACCGATCAAGATAAAACTCCAGTGGTAAGATTTTTTTTTTCCAAAAATTAATTTCATCTCAATATAATCAGACTCGAAAATCGAATGAGCGATATTTTGGAACTTCTTTTTTTAACTTTCCAATTATTTTTTTTGTTTCTAAGGATGAAATAATCAGTTCAAGACAAGAAGTACTTCTATTAATTCAATTCGAGAAAAAAAAAATTGAAACGGAATTTGAAAAAATTAATTTCTTTGTTTCAAATAACTTGTAACAGGTGAGTTGAATTTTTATGAAAACTTTCTGTTTTTACTTTTTTTATTTTCCTCATCTCGACACTTTGAGAGTATATTTGCAGAAACCAAAGCTCAAAAAAACGATTCAGATCATTGCAAACGCAGTCGAGCCGCCTGCGAAAAGAGCCCATAATCCGTACATTGGGTCCGATCAAGCTGAAACGAAGAATGAAGGTAAAAAAAGCGAGTAGAATCTGGTCGTGAAATTTCTTTTCTTGCCGTTTGAAGTGAACCAAGCACCTCTTAAGGAATTTTTTAGGCTTTTGAACTTTCCAGCAACATTTTCTTTTTGAAAACCGTTCAACTCAATTTTTAGGTCTGAAAAAAATGTTGGTTGCCAAGATCGCGAAAGCCGAAAACGGCGTCCGCGAGGCCACCGGAGCGAAATTGAAAACGATCCGAGCTATTGAGCATCATATTCAAACCCTTCGCGTATTTCCCCTCAATCCAAAAGTTTCCCAAGTTCCGAATTTTAAGGAAGCGATCGAAGCACCCGAATCTTCCGGCGACTGGGATCGTGTGACTGAGGCTCACGTCGAGGCTCAAAAGATGAAATTAATCGATTCTCGAACAGAGAAAGAAGCAAGATTGTTGGTCGCTGAATTGAGCGCGGTTTTCTTCCCTTGAGGAAAAGCTAAGAGTTTCATTAAACAGGAAGCGAACCTTGGGGCTCAAGGCGAAACGACGATGTTCAATCCTTTGGTTTCTTTGAGCAAGGAAACTGTGAAGCAGCTGAACTCCCAGTTGGAGAAGGCTTGCGCGATGGCCCGTGAAGTTTGTCTTTTGATTTCTAGGACTAATATAGATTTAGTCGAAGTAAACCAGTACTCAAATATGTTTTCGGCATAAAAATTTGAGAAAATTTAATGAAAATCTAGTTTCTTTCGTTTTCGATTTTTTTTTTTCAATGAATGACTATCGTGGTTCTGAATGTAAAAATAAAGGGTTTTTCTGAAATTCAAATCGATTTTTTTTTCTAAAAAAAAAGTCCAGTTTTATAGAATATGAACATTTTTTCACGAGTATTTTCATGTGAAAGCTTATATTGATCGTGGAAGTACCTGAACTTTTAGGAGTTACACTTACAGTTTCAAATCCTCTTATTTTTCAATCGATTGAGGTCGAATCGGAGAAGATTTTCATGAGAGACTATGAAAAGCTCGTGAAAGAAGGCCGGAATAGGTTCGCACTGGAGATTCGGGCCGTTCTGCCGGACTTCGACTGGGAAGAAGGGGCCAAGATGAAGAAGGCGCAGCTGAACGCCTTGCTCACTCATGCTCATCTCCGGGTCGACCAGCTCTCTCGGCAGCTTCTCGAGCAGAAAGTTTGTCGACTTCCCAGAACCTCTAATATTTTCATTTTTCCACAGTTGCGCGAAGACGAAACCATTCGGAAGGCCGTTGAGAAGAAACGAGAGAAATTCGAAGCTCAAGTGAGTTTTTGGGCCAGGGTCAAGAAAATGTCCATTCTCAAACATTTTTTCGATTATTCATGGTTTTTTCCAAAATAGGAAAATAGGAAGAGTTTGAGACATTATTTAAAAGAAAGAGGTTTTCATCTGTGAAAGATTTCAGAGATAATTTCACGGTTTTTTCATCATTTTGAAGTAGGAATCAGTCCGTTACAAATAACGATATAAAGAGTCTTAACTCAGACTTGATTTGGAGTACAACCAAAATACTCCAGCGATTGCTTGATTATTATAAAATTTAAAGAAAGTCGTTCAGACATAGTTGTGAAAATCGAATGAAATCTCGCAACGGTACATATCAATAAACTGGTATTTTATTCAGCTTTGTCGCTTTCTGACTTCTTTCCAGAAATACTACTTCTTTAAAACTCTCAGTTTTTAAGCGTTTCCTGAGATTTGTAAAGCTTGAAATGCAGAGTTCGCGATCAAGATTTTCCAGCAAATTGTATTCCATAAGCTTAAACCACCTTCCTCGGGAAGTTTGTTATAACTTTTTTGAGGTCGCCACGGATACCGCAGTCACTCAACAGCAGGTCAAGCTGGACAACGCCAAGCTCGACGAAGAGTTGAAGAAACGGCTGGCGGAGGCCGAGCAGACGTACAAAGAACGGCTTGAACAGGTCGTCAAGACCCAGAAGCAACTCTACGATATCGAACACGCGCGGGACGTCGAGAAGGCTGTGAACGCCGAGCGAGACGTCTGCAATGTGAAGGAAAAGGGAATTCTTGCGTGATTTCAGACCTATAAAGCGCAAATCACGCGGGCGCTGGCCCAACTCGAAGGAGTCGAGGTGGCGCTGAAGAGCCACGTTGCGATGGACGTCGAGAACAGGAGGTCGAAGCAGGTCTGGCTCGCCGTCCAGAATCTCGTCAACACCATCGAGTACGGCAACCGCGCCAGCTGCTGCATGGAGGGACGTCGGGCGCCTCTCGAACCGCAGATGAAGGTGTGGAAGATGCGGACGGTTGAGAAGTTGCTGATGTTGGAAAATTTTCCCATTTTGAATCAGCAATTTGAAGCTCTAACGCTAGAGAATGTTCTCAGTGAATAGTAAGCCGATTTGAAGAGACTAGGTCTATTAAATTTAGCGTGAGTTGATGAAAAATGTTTGCTCAATGTTTAATTGAAGGTCTGAAAAGCCCTGAGCCTAAAAGAAGATTCGTAAGTTAATGTATTGATTTTGATTTTTTTTTAAATTCAAATATCAAGTATTAATGTTTAGTGATCACCAGGGATTGTTTTTCTTTTCGATTCAATGATTTTTATATGGAATTTTTCAACATGAAACAATTTTATCAGATGTTGATGAAATGTGGAAGCCACGACGGCTTCTTGAAGACCATCGACGAGTTGATGAACAAAATCACGAAGACCAAGGGAGAATATGCGCGAGGAGACCTGAACACTCGCTTCGATAAAGTTTCACACAGCTTCGAATCAATTCTCGATTTTGCTCTCCTCTGAAGGTCTATCGGATCGGTCGCCGTGTTGCTTGGGTCGACGAGAACGGCGGCGGACTGATGGCCCATCTTTTTTCGTGGCTCCGATCGGCCGTCAGCTTCTCTTTGAACGAAGCGTATTCTCGTGAGGACAAGTGGGTTTTTTGAAAATTCCGCCTGGAAAAAGAAATCTCTAGAATACTTTTCTTTATAAAAAAGAAAGCTACTTATACGAGAACCCTTTTTTGCAATGGCTATATCTTTTTATCTTCCGGAACTTTTCGAAGTTGATTCTCTTTCCATCTTCCTTTTCTTCAGAATCGTCCCCTCTTCTCAATCAAACTTCTCGCTGTTGAACCGAGCAAAAGCCTACTGGCAAGCCGGCGACGTCTTCAACGCGATTCGCGTCCTCCAACTCACTACCGGAGCAACTAAAAGGTAAACCCGAAGAATAATTTAGCGAGCCAACATTTGTTCTGATTTCTGTTCCTGGAACTTCTTTTTGGGCCTGATTATGATTTTACTTGCTCAGAGTCTCGAAAGACTTTATCGACGACGCGCGTCGCCATGAAGAAGCCAAGTTCATGGCACGTCTTCTTCTCGCCCACAGCGCTTTAATGTCCGTCAGATCGACTTATTGAAGAAAAACGTCACGTTCAACGTGCAAGAGATTTTACTCGTTCCCTTTTTTTTCTTTCTTATTCAATTGTTCGAATAAATTCGAACGTTTCAACAACAATAGTTCACAACAAATTTTCAAATTCAACAATAGGTTACAAGGCTGTCGACTTCTTTTCTGCTTCTTCTTCTTTTATTTGCTCCGTGGTTTCTGCTTTGAAGTCTTCAACCTCTCCGGGTTGAGTCGTTATCGCTTCTTCTAGTTCTGGTTCGGCTTTGACGTCTTCTTCAGCTTCCATCGCTTCGCTTTCCAGAGCCTGAGAAGAAGAAACATTGTAACAAAAATATATTTCAATTCTTCTTTTCAGAAACATTCCAAAAATAGAGATTCAGGGATTTGAAAAAAGTATATTAACGTTTTTTGAGATAATCGGAGTTATTATTCGAGAAAGTGAACTTTGTTAGCGCAGGCGACGGCCATCGTGACGAAGGTCTTGCTGGGCGGCTCCTCGGCCTCCGGGTCGGCTAGATAATCGTGGCTGTTGAGGTCCGTCAACCATTTCATCATTCTGAAAAAGCTCCCAAAGCTCCACAATGATGCGGATAGACATACCCTTGGGTCAGGAGCTCCGTCTCGAGCATTTCCTTGGTGATGAGCTCGAACTTGACTCGTTCAGCCTCGGCTTCCACGATGTCGCCCCAAAAAGTCAGCGGCTCGTGTGTCGCCGAGTGTTTTCTGTCGTAGCTGTCGTAGTGGGTCCGTTCGAGAAGAAGTCCCAGTCCTGGCGCCATCGGAATATCTAGCTGGAAAGAAATGAGCGGTGACCGGAGATTGAAAAACTGGAAACCTCATGATTGTGGTTAGATACGGAAGTACTGACTTTTAAGATTTTTCATTGAGAAAGACGAATAAAATAGACTCTAAAATGGTACCACTTTTATATCTTTCCATTAGGCCTCAGTTGATTACTGCGTGAAGTTTAGAAGTTTCAAAAAGAGAACTGAGCTCCTTACGCCAATATGTATAATTTGAACTTCTTTTTTTAGAATAATTAGATAATTAGAAAAAAATCTCTGCTTTCTTAATATTTTCGCTCACGGAGACCCTCAGATTCAGTTGAAGATTTCTAAACATTCGAACTCCCACCCTTTTTCCTTCAAAAGATTTTTGAATGGCACTTTTCAGCTGCAGCTCTCTGATAACAGTGATCACCATGCCTAAAAACAGGAAAGGTTAATTTTCTCATTATTTTCTGCCCTACCGATCATTTTGCGGATTTGATGCAAAACGAAACTTTGGCCCTTGATAGTGATGGTGATGAACTCAACTTCTTGTTCTCTGAAACTCGGAAGGATTCTATGAAATCTTCTTGAACTCGGAAACAACCTGTATGGATCTTTGAACAGGAAAGGTTCGCCGCATTTGAACGAGATAATGTACCGGTTACAGCTTTGGTCATTGTATGCCCTAGTCAAATGAGAACAATTTTTATAAGTTTCTGAAGATACCTTTTAGCTGTATAATTGAAAAAGTTATGTGTTCCTAGGAAGATTTCCAAAATCGAATTCACTTCGTCGACCACTTCTTTCGTGATCCGGAAACTGCTGTCAGTCAGCTGAAAACTTGCAAAATTTAGCTTCTCAAGGTTTTCGGTATATTCTGAGTCATATTCATCATTCACTTTAAATTCGGTTTGGAATTTTCGAGTAACTTATTCAACTTTTCTTTTTTCACTGCCGCCGTAATCATTCTTTTCGAAAACAGAATGATACCTGATCAGGCTTGGCGAAGACAAAAGTCGGCGTCGTGTAGCTGTAGGTGCGATTATCGCACTGTTTCTGAGGATGGAACCAATTGGTGGCTCTTCTCATACCTTTGAAAAGTTCGAAAATGAAAAACGCCTCGAAAACCTACCGAAAACGCGGATATCTTCAGGCAAAATCTTGTTCAAATCGGCGGCCCCGTCCAGTTTATAATAGTCGTCCCTTTGAGGCAGTTGCATGCCGCACATCTCAAAATGCAATATTCCATCGTTCAATTGGTTTTCAAAAGCAATACTATTGAAATAATTTGGAACTAAACCGAGGAAATACGAAAGATCATGAAGAGGGCTTGAAAAAAGACAGATAAAGCCAGAATAGTTTCGGACAAAAATTGAATAAACCTAACAAAAGTGTTCATTTTTGACAAAACGTTGCTTTTGTAAATTTGAAAGTTGACTTAAGAAACTGTCCAAAAATGATCAACTCTCTCAATTCGACAAAATTTGTCGTTTCCAAAAGATCTACTAGAAACAAGGTCTCACATGGCGATAGTCCTAAGAAGGGGCTTGGCTTTCATATAACAATAAGCAGTTTTGAAAGAAAAAATGCAACATATTAAAAAAAGTTACAGATATAACGTTTTCTTCACCTTTCCTCTTCTCAAACACCATACAAGACTCTCTTTTTTCAAGTTGAAAAAAGCTACAGTTTTGAGGAAACAAAAGTATTTCAATTACGTACAACCCGACCTGTCGAGCCGCAGAAACGGCTTTGTCGGTTCTGGCCGCCCGTTGGAAGTAGATACTGAACGGATTCGCGCGCTGTTCTGGCGAAATCCAGCCCAACTTCAGCATCGCGTCCAGCAGATGCATCTCTATCGTCGGCATATCTTTTTGAATCTGAACTTCGGAAGATTTCAAAAACTCACGAAAATAATTTTTACCTGCATCCCGAAATATTTCTTGCCCTGGTAGCCCAACAACATGGCGTACTTTCCCAGCTTCACTCGGTTCTTCTTTTTTGCCGTTTCATCCTTCGTTTTCTCGATTCCGCCATGATGTACGTGGTGCAACGACTGTTCTGCGGCCGATTCGTGAGTTTCTGTCGTTTTGGTCATTACACTGCGTATCCTTCTGAGGAGCAATTTAAGCATCCAAGTATGAGCCGACCGAGAGCTAAACTTCCACAGATAAAGAAAAACACAGCTTCCAATAAAAAGAAAAAAGTTCAAACGAGTATACAATACTTTAAATCTCTTTCGCTGATAAATCCTGAATGGATTCGAAAAAAATAACTTCAAAACAACTTTTCAAGTTTATCTAGATAACAGTGAGATATTTAATGAAACCGATAACTGCTAAGAACCTAGATTAAAAAAAAATAAGAAGCACTATCGATAAAGATCTTTGAAGGCCGCCGGCGGAAATTCAAGAAGTTTTTAAAAAGTACGAAAAAAAAAAGTGTTAACTGCGCCTTTTTTGCGCTATCGCGACACAGTAAGCCGTCTGGCCGATTCAAACTTCCTCTCGATTTTCCAGTCTTCTTCATGCCGTGTCGAAGTAATTCCGCGAAATTAAAAATAGCAGTCAGAGACTGAAAAAGATATCTAAATTTTGGAGAATCAGATTAAATTTTGAATTTCGCGGAAATAACTTTGAAAGCCGCATAAAAAAACCTTTTTTTTCTTATTGAATTAAAATCATTTTTCCAATTGAAAAAAATCTGACGAACAGCAATTGTTCTTCAGTTTGAAAACATTTCTTTGTGCGTGGAGGGATGTTCTCGCGCTATCGATTTTCAGGTTCAAAAAACCTGTTATCATCATTTGAGCCTGCGCGCCATTTTTCACCAGTTTCAAACTTTAGAGGCTTCTCCCTTATTATAAAATGGCTTCACTTCGTAATCAATCTTTTCACTACTTTTCAAATTGCAGTTATGGCGTCTGCAACGCAAAGGCGAGATTCAGATCAGCCAAACTCCTCTAAGCCCGTAAAATACATTCTTGTGACCGGTGGTATAATTTCTGGAGTTGGAAAGGGAATCATTTCATCCAGTCTCGGCGTTCTATTGAAAAACAACGGCTACAAAGTATGTGGCTTTCTTTTAAATACAGTTTCGAAATTTGAGATTTCAGGTGACGGCCATAAAAATCGATCCATATTTGAATGAAGATGCTGGCATATTCTCCCCATACGAGCACGGTATTTATACTAATTCCCAAAATTCATCTATGTACCTTTTTCCAGGAGAAGTTTTTGTTCTGGATGACGGCGGCGAAGTGGATTTGGATTTGGGGAACTACGAGCGATTTTTGAATATCAGAATGACTCGTGATAACAATATCACTACCGGAAAGATGTTCAAACACGTAAGGAGATTCATATTTTTTTTCATTTATAGTTGTTTTTAGGTGATGGAAAGAGAAAGAAGAGGAGACTATTGTGGAAAAACGGTCCAAATGATTCCTCACCTTACTGACGCCATTATCGACTGGGTGGAGCGAGTTGCGCGGATTCCGGTCGATGGATCTTCCGACGTTCCTGACGTTTGCATCATTGAGGTATTCGAAGATGATAGACTTTATTTCAGGGTCTTTTCACAAAGAAAGCGGAACATTCCATAAGTATGATAGGCGAAAGACATATTGTTAGAAAAAAAACTGTTTTTCGAGAAATCTTGGAAATAATATGTCCGATTTTCGTTCAAACCTTGCTCCAGATTCTTTAACTTTTAATTTTCAAGCTCGGTGGAACGATTGGAGATATCGAGGGAATGGTGTACCTAGCCGCTTTCGAACGATTTCAAAGGCCAGCGCTCAAGAATAACTTGATGAATGTGCACGTTTCCCTAATTCTCCATCCGAACGCGACAGGAGAGCCGAAAACCAAGCCGATGCAGAACTCTGTAGGGAAAACTCAGTAACTCACCTGGAACTCTCCAATTCAAGGTACGACATCTTCGAAGTGCCGGCCTTATTCCAGACCTTCTGATCTGCCGTTCTACGGATAATCTTCAACCCCATCTTCGGGAGAAAATAGCTGGCTTCGGTTTGGTGGACCTGGAACAGGTAAAACCCCTGAATTTCGTTGTGGTTAAGCAAATAATATCTGGAATTCTCTCTGAAATCAACGAATTTGACATTTTTCAGGTCGTCGGCGTTCACGATGTCTCGAATATATACAAGGTGCCGCTGTTGCTCGAAGAACAAGGTGTTCTGGAAGCGATCATCAAAAGATTGCAATTGCCGGCGATTCCTGACACTGTCAAGCGTCATCTGAAGTTCAATATGCTCCATTGGACACATCTGAGCGAATTGTGAGATTTGAATGGTTTTTATGCACGGCTTGTTCTTAATTTTGTCGGGTTCATTCGTAGTAGTTTTTAGAGGATACCTTCTATCAAAAAGTTATTTTAACGTTTTCTATGAAATTTTTTTAGAAACTTTTGTTCAAACATGCGTGTACAACCCTGAAAACTTGATTTAAAAGTCCAAAAGCTTCAAAAACATGAAAAAAGGCTGTAAATGAAAAGTTGGAGATACAAACTATTTGGTTTTTGTAATATTTCAAAGCCTATAAGCAGGCTCGCACCGGGATAACAATAATTATTGACCAACTCTCATGAAAAAAAAAAGAGATCAATTGATTTTTTCTTTATGAATTCGTGTATTTGCTCATTTTTGAGGTGTGACACTTTCACGGAAGAAGTCGTGATTGCGATGGTCGGGAAATACGTGAAGATAGAAGACGCCTACGCTTCCGTCAATAAAGCACTTTCTCACGCGGCTATACATTCCAAGAGGAAGCTTAAAATCAAGGTATCGGCACTAAAAATAAAACGACTCAATGTTTTCATTCCATTAATTCAGTACGTCGACTCGGAACTCCTCGAAAACAAGCCAGGATTTGAAGCGCAAACGGCCGCGGCTTGGGAAGTCGTCAAAACTTCACAGTAATTTTCATACCTTTTTCACAGATTTATTCTTTCTTTTTTTTTTTCTGCACATAGAATTTATTTTCAGTGGTGTCATTGTACCTGGAGGATTCGACAAACGCGGCGTCGAGGGAATGATCGCCGCTTGTCAATATTGTCGCGAGAATAATGTCCCATTCCTCGGTGTTCGTTTTTTTCCAGAATTATTCATTTAAACTAGAAAGTTGAAGAATAATTTGATTAGATGGTACAATTTCCCTTTAAATTTCATAGGAGTTTCTTAGGGTCCTCTTCTCAGCCAGCAAAAAAATGCGGAGATTTTTCAAATAAATATTCTTTTACCTTCGAATAGATTTCTTTTTTTCCGCCCGTTTTTCTTGGCCACGTCTGAGTCTGTATGAGGTTTTTTGTGGAATCGTGAATTTTTTCTTTAATCATCTTCGGGCTCCTATTTTTCTTGAATTTGAAGTTGAGAAAACTTTCTTGGTTAGTTTTTTTCACAGATACTTGTTCAGCTGCAAATATTTTTCCAATTTCTTTCACCATTTCATTAAGAAAAACCACAGATTTTTGGAGTATCATAATTTTTTTTTGCAGGTTTGCCTTGGTATGCAGTGTGCAGCTATCGAGTTCGCTCGGAACGTCCTCAATATCGCCGGCGCCGATTCGCAGGAATTCGACACGAATCTGACCGCCGAGCAGCAAATCATCATCGACATGCCCGAGCACAACGGCGAGGAGAAAGGCTTGGGCGGCACGATGCGCTTGGGCCGCCGGACCACGGCTTTCCTCACCGAGGACTGCAAACTTCGTATGTTGGAAGAAAGCTCTGCAATGGCAGATCTCCCTTTTTCGAAGTTTTCAAGTTGGAAAATATCTTTCAGAACAGATATATGTCCTGATGAAGTAGTTAACGAGTTTCATTCTTGCAGGCAAATTGTACGGCAGCACGACGGCTGAAGAACGACATCGGCATCGTTATGAAGTGAACCCTAGAGTGGCTTCCGAGCTGAGCAAAAAGGGATTCCTGTTTGTTGGTGAGGATTTCGAACATTTTGGTGTTATTCAACTTCTGAAATTATCTATTTGGTTCTCTCCCTCCACCGCCACAGAATGTTTTTGGACGGGAACAAATGAATTGAATGGGAAGAAGAAGACCTTCGTATACATAGCACGCAAAGAGTTCTTCTCTAATCTCATCCTCAATCTTCAATTTTCATATTTTCCTTTTCGTACATTTCTTTTCTTATACTCTTTAGAATGAGTGCGAGTTAGGTAACCCAAAAAAGCTCTCCCTTTGTCTTCAAACCTAAGCAGAGAGGGAAATTGCTGACGGGGGTCGCCCTCTTAAGCCGTACATTTTGAGACCAGAAACGGCATTGAACTCACATTTCCACTTTCTCATATGAATGTGTTCATTCATTCCAATTTTTCACGAAACCTCACACTTTTTCATAATGATTTTCTTTGAGGAATGGGCGTCGACGAGCAGCACACGACCATTTGGGAGGAAAAGAAAAGAACGCAGAGCAGTGCCGCCTTGATGAAGATGGCCGATGAGAATGGGGTTTTGAACTTGAAAACGCACGAAAAATACACTGCAATTCCGAAAAAAAATTAGAAATAAATAAAACGTACTCCACGCAAAATTCTACGTACTAATCAATGAAAATATTTTCATAGTGCGGTTTTTTTTCAGGGAAAATTCCAGAATCCCCCAGCTGCATCAAATGTGGAGGCTATATCTGATTCTAGAAGCGCTCCAACCGATTATGGGATAAGCATTGCAAGCATTGCCCGGATTAGCCCCCCCTCCCCCCCACATTCTAGAATCGCCCCCACCTCATTTTATAATGGCCCCCTTCCGCCAGTGGGAGGCCATTCTGGAATGATCCTGATTTTCTTTCGAATTTCTCATTTGAAGAAAATCTTTCTAGATTGCAAATAACCGGCCAAATGATCTTCTAAATCTGCCTTTTTTTGGTGAATGCCTTTTTTCAGAAGGATGTTTTTTTTTTAAATGGAGGAGTACGAAAGAAAATTGTTTTTTGCTTTTCTCTCCTGGTTAATTCTCAAACTAAAATGCTTTTTTTTCTAATTAAGTGCTCATCGGACAAAACGAAAACTGTTCCGATACGGAAAAAATTGCTTCAATACAAATATTAGTACTGTTTAGGAGCAACTTTGTGCGCCGATGAACACGATTTTGCTGTTTGATTTTTTTTTTCAAAAACTTTTTTCCGTACCATTTATTAAACGGTTTCTCGAAATCCCGAGAAGATTTTCCCCTCATTAAGCCTTGCCCTCGAAATGTTCACTTTGCAGGAGCTTCTCGACAAGATCGACGACCTTTGTCATCGCGGCGGCGACGGTGTCACTCGGCCGGCGATCCGAATGGAAATGTGTGAACTGAAAGGTTGTCTGATTCCATGTTTCCGTTGAACTCCGACGGGTTTCAGGACACTCGTACTTTGTCGGCGTGCAGTTCCATCCCGAGTACCTGTCGAGTCCTCTGCAGCCGAGTCCGCCCTTCCTCGGCCTCCTTCTGGCCGCCACTGGCCAACTCGATGTATGATTTTGTTTGAATAAAAAAAGAGACTAAATTCAACTTTCGAAAAAATAATGCCTTCCTGGTTGTTTTCCCTTAAAACTTGCAAGTATTAGGAGGAAACTGAGACTCGAAAGCTTTGATTTATTTTTGAAGTTTTGAAAATTAATTTTCACGCTGTCATTGAACTGATCATTGACTGACCAAGCTTTCTTCTGCCTTTTTCAAATTCAATCCGGTTCCATTTCTGAAAAATGATCATTTTCAGGATTTTCTTACCGGAGCAAAAGCTCCATCGCCCATGATGACTCTGAAGGAAGATTCTGAATTCGTCTCTGAAGATCCCGGAAATTCCCTCGTTCAGAAACTGAAAGACCTCACGACGGCTGGAAGAAATGTCATTTTCGATTGATTTACAAACTGAAAATGTTCCTTTTCATTGTTGATTTGTAGCCTTTTTGCTCATTTTTTTATATTTGTTTTCTCACTTGTTCGTTATAGTTTCTTTGAATTTCTCATTTTGTTATTAGAAAGTTTGCGTTGTTATTTTTTTTTTTGCTAGGCTTTAGATCTAGAACATATTGTTATTCCACATCGTTATCCAGTGCCATTTGTTGAAAATCACTTATCATATTCATTTTTGGTTAGTTTTCTCAAGTTCTCCGGTCTTTTTTCTTTCTGACTGGTACACATTTCTTGAATGTCATGTTGATGAAGTTGCCTGTCCATCAAGTTGAATAAATTATTCCGATTAGAGAGATATGAGCGTTTTGAATCGATAAAATGTCGTCCTCCCAGCAGTACCTGGCTGATTTTCCGATTTAAAGGCTTGATTTGAACTTATAACCAACTTACTGCAAATGTAGAATTTTGGTAACAGTCCGAAGTGTTTTTTTTACTCATTTTCGCGTTGAGTGCTTTCAAAGCCTTTTTCTGATTGGATTGTAAATGTTTAAGGGGAAGGAAGGATTTGAAGCCGCGAAACTTTGAAAATGGCGGCCTATCAAGTGGGACAGCTCGTCGAGAAGATGTCCAATCCAGACAAGGTTGTTTCTGGGAGCGAATTTCATGGAAGAGCTCGAAATGTTGAAGGACTTCCGTTTCATGGCGATCAACGACTTGATGCACTCCCTGACCGAGTCCAACGCCCTCGTCTTGGACGAAGATTCCGCCGCCAAGGCTTATTTTTCAGAATCTTTCTTTTTGGGAAATGTTCAAGTGTGTAATGGGGATATAACTTGATCGAGATTCCTTTAGAAAGATTTTCAATCTCTTTTCTGTGAAAGCAGAGCTATTTTTGATTTTTTTTTTTTTAAAAGGGACGTAGAAAAACGAAATCCATATTCTTCTACAGCACATATTGAACTTTAGTTTTGTCTTTTCTTCAGCGCTGCTTAATAAGCGAAAAGAAGAAATTGAACTCTTTCCCTTTTAACCTCTTTTGATGTCGATGATTCAGCAGAAAATCTCAAAGAACGGAACTAATGTAACAAAATGTTTCTTTAGATACTCCATTTAAATCATGTTGTTAAAGATTAGGTTTTTTTCTTCTACAATTTCCTCTTATTCAGGTGGTGAGAGCTCTGGTGAAGTTGTTGGAAGATCAGACGGGAGAAGTTCAAAACTTGGCGATCCGATGTCTCGGAGTTCTTACCCAAGCCAATAAATTACGACAGACACAGGTAAAAAAGTCGAGCTTCTCTCGAAAAACACTTGTATTCTGCAAACATTTTTTTTGAAGGTTGAATGGCTTGTGGACGCGATTATTCCGCAGCTCATTCGGAAAGACGACCCCGTGCGCGACGTTTTCACCATGGCTTTGAAAAATGTCCGTTTTCAGCTTTTTTTTTCTACAAAAATTCCTCTCTAGTCTATTTTCAAAGGGCACTAGATATTGGGAGGTTCTGAAAAAAATCTTTAACCCTGTTCAATGAAATTTTTAATACTATAAGTATAACATAATGATTGAACTGAAAAAATATTCCAAATTTTTTTTGAGGATTAAGAAAAACCTGTCCCTTTTTTCAGGTCAATGGAGTTATTGTTTTGACCAAAAATAGCCAAGAAAATCGTCCCCAAAAACGGTGGAAACAAATTTCAAATCTCGAAAGATTTTGCTCAAAATAAACGACCGATGGTTTAGGTTATAACGAATCTGCCGCCTGCCGGACAACACGGGAGTTTCAGCGCAGCCATAGCCAAGAAAATCGTCCCCCGACTCGACCAGCATCTCAGTACTCATCCGCTTTAGATGCACTTCATATAATCTTCCTGTTCAGTGTCGAAAACCGACGAGACGGTGAAGATCGAGGTGATCGATCTTCTGGGCGAAGTTCTGCTCCGCTTCGGCGACGTCACCATCGAGTACCATAACGAAGTGCACGCGGTCCTCCTCGAACAGCTCAAATCGTCGCGACAGACGATCCGCAAACGTTGCATCAACGCCTTCGGATACCTCGCCGCCGTCGCCTCTTCCCAGCTCTATGACGTCATCGTCGCCGGTCTTCTCGATAAGTTCGTTCCTACCGCAAAGCCTGGACATTCCAGACGACAACGGATCTCCCAGTGTCGTTTCGCGATCAAAACGATTATTAGATAGAAGGGTTCTCTTTAGGGGTGCTGTAAATGCTTAAGTGACTTCTCCATTCTGTCAGAACAAAAAGAAGTTTCCAAAACATGCGCACGCTGAAAAATAGCCAAACGAGCCGTGAAAACTCTATTTAGCTTCATTTTGCGTTTTAAAGTGGTCACTAAAGAGAGAAGGAAAGATTTCAGTCTGAAAAACGTGTTACAAAAAGTCTGGTTGACGCAGAAGTTAAAAATAAAACAAAAAGCCACCTATAAGGTTTTAGTTTATAATGATGTTTTAATCCTGACTTCTAGCGAAAACACAAAAAAAAACGATTTTTTGCGATTCTCCTGCCATTTCAATTTTTCCGTGGACTTCTTCTTTTGTATTTCATCTGATAAAAACCTTTTTTTTAGATTGGGCACCGCCAAAGGCCCCAGCACTTGCCGAACTTACATAGTTGCTCTAACTTTTGTGGCCAAATCCAGTGGAGCCAAGTTTTCTGATCACCTTTCCAAGGTTTTAAGTGTTTTGAGGAGTTTATTCGAGACGAGACTTCATTCAGGTCGTTCCATATTTGATCCAGTTCCTTCGGTCTTCGGAAGACGACGAGTTGAAGGAGAGTTCTCTTCAGGGACTCGAAGTCTTCCTTTATCGGTGTCCCAGCGAAGTCGCCTCCTTCCAGACCGACGTTCAACAAGTTCGTCAAGGAAATTTGAGAATAAAAACTGTTGAGTATCACCTTGAACCTCCATAGAAGCTTATGAACTTTCAAAAAAAAAGCTCTAATTTTTAGTTCGAATAGAAAGGCTGCCTGAGCATCTGATTTTGAAAAATAATTTTGGGCCTACATTTATATAGTGAGAGCTCAAATTATGACATTAGGAAACACTTTTCGAAACAGGGGATTTTTATTCTTTTTTTCTTCTGAATTTTAAAGAAGATCATCCTTTTTTTAATATTAGGGTTAGCTCTTCGAGTCGAACTTTACCTTCATTAAATTGAATAGAAGGAAAAGTTTCTTCTCTTTCTTTCACACAGTACAACAGTGGCTCTATGAGGAGATATTTATTATCAACTTCTGAAACTTTCTGAGATTGCTCATTAATTTCATCATATTTTTCGGATTTTTTCGGTTTTTGTGTACTTGGAAGATGGATACATGGCTTTCCTGGAATTTTCTCCGAAAGTTTTCATTCATCCATTTTTCTTCTTTCTCCAGGTTCTTGCCGCGAATTTGTCTTTCGATCCCAATTACGAATACGGCGAAGATGACGACGATGTGGATATGGAATCGGAAGGTTCGGAAAATGTTCGATTCTCTCATAGTTTTCATTTGCAGGAGAAGAAGAAGAAGGCTATTCGGACGACGAGGACGTTTCCTGGAAAGTTCGACGAGCTGCCGCCAAGGCGATTGAGGCTATGGTTTGTTTGACAGTTTCCGGATTTTTTTCTAGTAAACCGTAGTTTTCTGGTTTTTGTGCTGTCTGAGTCTCCTTGGAAAGTAATCTTATCGAAAAATATTTCAGCTCTGCTAGTGAATTGAAGTTTTTTTAGTGTCTCGAAAAGTATTTCAAGTCTTCTAGCGAAATATTCTGAGCCTCTAAGAAAATTTGAGCTTCTTAAGGACCTCATATTCTTGGTCTGCTTATAGGAAAACAGTTTGAATGTCTTAGAAAAGTATTTCAAGACTCCTAGCAAAGAAGTTTCAGATTGTGTCGAGACGGGAAAACCTCCTCGCCTCGATCACCACCCTCGGACCTCTGCTCATTTCAAGATTCCGCGAACGAGAAGAAACTGTTCGGAATGAGATCCTCTCGGCCTACATCGCCCTTCTGTCTCAAGTCATCTTCTCCCTGCCCAACATCGACAAAGCGGTCGTGGTTGGACTCTCTCCAGGACTTTCCCACTCAAAACCTCTTTTTGAGACGGATTCCGATGGCGAAATGCATGAAGACGTCGTCCAGTTCGGCAATAGAAGATTCTCTTCTTCGGTCCTTTCTTCCGAGCAGCTTTCCATCATCGGAGCTCTTGACGAGCAGAAAGATCGTCTCATCAAGGTTCCCAAGTTTCTATTTCTGATTGGAATCTGGGCAAAAAATCTAATTATAAACTTGCACAAGCCACTCACAAATTTCAATAAGATAACGCTAACAGCTTCACAAAGCGCCAAGTTGGATGATAATCTGGTTTTTTATGAATTCGGTATCTAAAGTTGATAGTTATAAGTAAAGGACAGTTCGAGTGTAAGCTTTTCAGAAAGATTCCGGGTTTCACGATAAAATTGAAGTTTTTCATGTTTTACAGCATATTGCCGTTTTTCTCCAGCTTGAAAACATTTGAAACAAAATTCAGTCAATTAACCAATCAATTACAGCTTATAAAAAAATCGATGTTTTGTTTTTCGTATCGTTTGAATTTAGCAGACTCAAGCTTGCCAAAAAAGTTAGAAGATTGCGATTTCAAATCAAATCATTTATTTTGTTGTTTTAGTCCGATGTAATCGACTAGGCGGTGAACAAGAACTTTAAAAGCTATAACGAACAACCGCCTTTGGCGAACTAGAAGTCCAAACGTGTAGTCGAAAGAGTTGAAAGCATGGTCTTACGGTCCTTCATCTCGTCCTTCTGCGCGTAGTTCATCCAATTGCGCCTTGACGAGCTCAGAATGTAGCGGATGGTGTAGCTGGAGCCCGGAGACCGTGCTCTAGGTGGAAGCCTCAGAATGAGAGCGACCACTTCGAGTGAAGATTTTACACGGAATGAAGATTTTACACGGAATGAAGATTTTACACGGAATGATTTCAATTTCGAAGAAAAAATATTGCAAGTTTAACAGTCTGTCTCTGAATTTTCAAAAAGTCTCAAAAGCAAAGAGTACAAAACAAATTTCATTTTTTGATTTCGATGAAACTTCATCCAGTGTGATAACCCATCCTCAGAAATGCGATCGCAACTTTTTGAGCCTTTTCCTCTTACTGTAGCCGGGTTACGGTAGGCAGGTGGGCACCTGCGTATCTAAGTGTTGAAGAGTGTTTACTAGGTAAATGATATATCAATCGATAGGTAATCCAATTTCAGGATCTTTTACAGTAAACACTATGTTGGATTACTGTAGAAATTTTCAAGATCCGGTATTTTTTGTGTGTTAAAAAGTCGGTTTTTCGGCCACCCTAGTCATCGCCATAGAATCGCATTGTGATTGCTCTCATGGAATATGTCTTTCGGTATGCTCTAAACGATGCCACAAAAAAAGTTAGAATTTCCAAACCCGTCATCTCGAGATTTAACTCCGAACGCGCGCAATTTCGCACTTGGCGGCCAGGGTTGCTCGGGGTTGACGATTTTTCTTATTTTTATTTTGTTAGATTTTGGTATTACACTTTTTTTAAATGGTACAACAGTGTATTATCTATCATTCGAAGGGGTTATAATATATACCTTTACGCTACATTTTTGGCAGAAGCTTCGTTTTCAACTCCATTTTGACTTGAAAAAGCAGGATTCGCTCTGAAAATATCGCTTTTTAAAAAATTCCGAGAAATCCGCTGAGCATACATGGGATGAGCATGACCGTTCGTCCGATCGTATAAAAAAACATACGTTCATTTATAAAAAATCAATATTTTTTTCTCCGTTTAAAATGTTCGGAAAAAGAAAAAAACAGGGGGAGGGAGACTTGGCTGTTGCCAGTCATGCTCATCCCATGTATGTACGATACGAAAAATAAAAGATCGATTTTTTTATAAGCTGTAATTGATTGGATAACTGACTGAATTTTGTTTGAAATCTTTTCAAGCTGGAGAAAAACGGCAATATGCTGTAAAACATGAAAAATTTCAATTTTATCGTGAAATCCGGAATCTTTCTGAAAAGCTTACACTCGAACTGTCCTTTACTTATAACTATCAACTTTAGATACCGAATTCATGAAAAAACGAGATCATCATCCAACTTGGCGCTTTGTGAAGCTGCTAGAGTCATCTTATTAAAAAAATTTTTTTGTACACGGTGCTTTTGAAACTTTTTGAAAATTACAGAGATAAAATGTTACTTTTTATCATTTTCAATAGGTAATCATTTTTTCATTGTGACTTTATTGTTGAAAAAGTTTTTACCTTTTTCAAAGGTACATGAACAAGTCAAAAAAATCATGGGTAATAAAGTCAATAGACTATATAAATTTTTGAAAATTCAAACATCTGTTTGGAAGCTATTTTTTATTTATTTTTTATATAGTTCGACTTTTTTTGATGACGTGGAAGGCAAACTGAACAGTAGTTATCATTCCAATCATCATGTTTTTTGAGTATGAATGGATTCCTTTACTAAAAAAACCATTTTTAGGCACTCATCCGACTCTTGCGCCGCAATGGAAAAAGCTCAGCCAGATGCCTGGAACTGCTCAGCGCCCTTGTCCAGTTCGACCCTTTTCTCGCTCCAAATGGATTCGAAATGAACTATTTCAGAGCGTATCCAGGTGTTCTGGAAAGCTATTTCCCGGAAGTTCTTCCCGGAGTTTATAGAACTTTGACCGAAAAAGCAGCTTCGGCTCAGAGCAAAATGACCGCCTTGGCTTTCATTTCTCGTCTTTTAGAAAATCATCAGCCTCAGGTTTTTTTTTCTTGGATTTTCAAGGCATACTTAAGATCAACAAATAAAAATGTTTCTTCATAACTTTATCGGAGTTTCATTTGTTCATATATCATCCGTCACAACCTGAAACTGCATAGTTTCTCTTCTTTTCCTCGGAAATCCTTTTTTCACGTGCTATTTTCACATTTTACCTTTCTGTTGAGGGAAAAGAGAGCGCAGACAGGTTAGAATGTTTCAAATCGTGGCGACTATTGCATTTTTTGAACTGAATTTTTTTGTAGGCCTTCCAAAATGAGATCGGAATGATCAATGACGTCATCGTCACGGCTATTGAAGATCCATTCTACAAGGTTTTTCTTTCTGTCCTCACATTATTTCTTATCCTTCCCCTCGTAGATCTCTGGAGAAGGACTGGTTCTTTCTGTGAAATTTGGTGAAGTCGTCAAAGCCTGCACAAATGCTGGAAAAGTCATCGAGAAGCTTTTCAATTCGGCCAATAGCAAGTACAGTGCGAATGACACTGATCAGGTTTCCGAAAAAAACGGCTTTTTATCTGAAGAAAAAGTTGTTTGAAGGATGTTCGAGAACGGTCGATTATTGCTGTGGCTCATCTCGTTTCGACGTTCCCCGAGGAGCTTAAGAAACAGGTACATTATTGTCGAGGCATTTTTCAATGACATGGTTCAGACGCCAGCCGTGTTGGAGAAGCTGACAGACCGGATGAAGCGCGAAATGACGTGTCTTATCGCGACGCGAGCTTTCGGCGAGATCGCTTCCTCTTCAGTCGCCATAGACCCTGCGACGATCGCCCATGTCCTCACGCAAATGGCCGATTTCGTCCGGAAATCGCCGCGTTCCTACCGTGTAAGAGTTGTTTGGAAGGGAAATACGAGCCCAAAATTCAACTCATAGCTTTTTTGTAGGGATCATCATTTTCTCGTTTACAAAGTTTGTACAAGTGCTTTTTAAAAGTAAAAAAAAAGGAAATCCGAAGCCTGAAAATGGCTGTCCGAATCAAAGAAAACGTTCAGAACTGGACGTAAAATCGAAGCTGAATTTTTTCTCAACTAGGAACGAAGAGAAGCAATTTTCTGCACTCTAGGTCTAGAATAATGGAAGAAACAGTTATTTTCTGCCGAAAAGCAGAGGTTTCTTTTCAGTTGGCTTCTCTGTCGCTTGTCGAGTCGCTCATGAAGACCCACGACGAGAGGATCCCTTCAAAGGAATTGACCAACGTTTGCTTCAATATCGAAATTGTCTGGTATTCGTGATTCTGTTCAGGTTTTCAATGAAGTCACGGAGCTGATCAGCGAGAACGACCTTCAGATTTCCCATCAGGCGCTCCGAGTCTTGGCTTGTCCGTTTCCCATCTACATCTCATATATTTCAAAATAATAAAATGGCTTAAATACAAATTCTCCCAATAGCCGAAAATCAATCAGCAGTATTTTCGGTATTCAGATGGATTCAACAAATTTCCGCGTCAAATCGAAATCCATCTGCAAAAGATTCTGAAACGCGTCGTCATTCTCCTGCAATCTTCACTCCTTCAAGTTGGTCCTCGACCTCTGAATTTATGGTTTTTGCCATTCTAGGGAGTTACTCTGAACGGTTTGATGGACATGCTGGTGAGCATCGTCACCTCGAAAATTTCGAACAAGCCGAAGTTCGAGGTGCGTCTTTCTTCTTGGAAACGTCTTCAAGCAGGAATTTACAGGAGCTGCTGGACCATCTGACCGCCCCCGTCTACGACAAGACCCCCCTCGCCCGACAATGCTACTCGGCGATTTCTACCGCGACCGCGGTCGTCGCGACGGCGACCAAAGACCTTCCGTTGGGCTGCACTTTGGCCCAGAAACTCGCCGAACAGTTCCTCGATAAATGTTCCACTGAGCCCATTCGTCTCTTCGCCCTCGGGACTATCGGAGAGCTCGGACGACGTTTCCCGGCTGTCTATGACGGATCCCAGATTGAGTAGAGTGATATCATTGATTCTCGTTTGGAAGCTTAAAGAACCGAAAAACCATATTTGAGTTTGACAATATCCGTAGAAATCTTATTCACATACCCTTTTCCGTACCGTACCGTCCGAGAAGATACGAAAAACGCGACTTTGGTGACAACTTTCTCGTAAGGAATTCAATCTTGCTGAAAGTTTCTCAAGCTGCGTTCGTATTCTGTGAACTAAATCTTCATCAGAGGTTTATAAATAACAGCCATCACAACTCCAGAAAGTTTCAGAAAGATTGAATTCCTCACAAGAAAAATGTGTCCGAAACCTCTTTTTTCGTATATTTTCTGATGGCACTGCATCTTCGCGGAAATTCAAAAATTGACAAACGTCCAATTTTTTTTCTAATAGCTTTGAAAAAAAATTTTGGATCTTTTCGTTTTGATCTCTGTTTTATCCTGATTTTCTTTTGCTGCAGACCAGAGAACTTGGCGATGGGAGCTTTCGAAACGGGTTCCGAAGACCTCAAAGCTGCTGCTGCTCATGTAAATCTTTCGGAAGCGTTATTTGAACCCAATTGTCATTTCAGGCCCTGGGAGCCTTGGCAGTTGGAAATCTCCACAAGTTCTTGCCGTTCATTCTCAAACAGATTCAGTCTCAGCTGAAACATCAGTATTTGCTTCTGCATGCTTTGAAGGAGGTTTATAAGGCCTTCTCATATTTCGGAACCTACATTATTCCCATCAGATCATCTTGTGGGAATCGACCGAATCTCAAGGTTCGACGGAACTTTTCCGATCGGCCATCAGCGACATTTGGCAGCTTCTGATCGCCAGCACTGGTGGAAACGAGGAAGGGGCCAGGTCTTCAGAGAATCGGAATTCAGTGTTGAGAGGAATTGTTCAGAGGGATCGTTGCCGAATGCCTTGGAAGACTTTGCGCCTTCGATCCTCCCACTTTGCTTCCTCATCTGAAGGTAGCATATTTGGCAGAATCAAAACTTTTGGTTAAATAAAAATTTGGACTTTTAAGCGCGCGTTTGGCCAGGTCTGAGAGAATCATAATCACGTCGGGACGAAGGAAAATTTTTCTATATTATACTATATTTTTTTCTATATACTATATTTATTATTCAAGTTTTTTTCAAAATGTACATTACACGATTTGAATCTTAAGAACTTTATTTCCGAATCGAGCTATTTAACTTAAAGTCCAGAAAAGTTCAAGTCTTTGTCCTTTTAGAAGTTGACGCCTACAATATTAATGATATTGGGAGTTTAAAAAAAGATGTTTGTCGGTTCGCGAAACTGCCGTTGATCAAGAACGGTGCGTAGATCATCCCGTCCTTTTCGAAATAGTAGCAGACGGTTTTCGAGTGTTCCGACGATCAGCTGCGTCTCCATGTAGGCTCAGCTTGTCCAGGGCTGGCGGGGTGTCGGATTAAACCTCTTGCAAAAAAGGAAGATTCCGGAGGTGGAAGTTAGATAATACATCCGAGAAAAAAAAATTGGGAACTTTCAAGCTTTATCAAAGTCTTTCAGGACCTCGTTCATTCACCGAACGGCATTGTCCGCGCCACAGTTGTTTCCGCCGTCAAGTACCTGATCAACGACGACAAACGCGCCAATGACCCGACTTTGCAAAAGACGATTGGTATGGAGCGACTCTTTGTGAAGATTTTGAAATATATTGTTACAAACTTTTCCAGAAAACTTCCTGTCTGCCGTGAAAGACGACGATTTGAACGTCCGACGAGCGGCTTTGGTTGTATTGAACTCGGCTGCTCATAACCGACCAGCTCTGGTTCCAAATCAACTTTGAACTTTATCAGAAAAAAACTGTGTTCGAACAGATCCGCGACCTTTTGCCACACTTGCTGCCGGCCATCTACATCGAAACTCAGCTGAGGACGGAACTCATCCGAGAGGTCGAGATGGGTCCCTTCAAACACCAGGTCGACGACGGCCTCGACCTCCGCAAATGCGCTTTCGAATGGTTTTTTCTAATAGTTCCTGGGGCTAGTTCCCCCTAATATAGCATTTGCTACTGTTAAATAATACTCCGATTTCTCAATCCTAATTTATAGCTGCTCCCGACCTTGAGCTGTTTTTGTTCTAAACTAATGACGTTCTAACAAGAAAACTTTTGAAACCGTGAAGTTCTGAGGATTTTCTTTTGCGACATAACCATTATCGGTTGTGAAAAACGAAAGATTTTTGGAGCTTGATTTCTTGGATTGTTTTAAATAGTTATAAAATCGTTTCAAGTATGTACACCCTGCTGGAGAACTGCAGCGACAAGATTGACGCCAACGAGTTTTTGGCTGTCATGGAAGTTGGACTCAAAGTTGGTTCATGTTGGATCGCACCGATTTTATCTATTTTTCCTAGGACCCTAGCCACGACGTCCGACTTTTGAACTACCTTACCCTGCAGAAAATCGCCGTCTTGGCGCCTGGCCAAGTCTTACAGAGACTTGAGAAGATTTGCGAGCCGTTGAAAGTTTGTTTCAGAGATTTATTGGGTAAAAACTGACCTAAGAAAGTTGAGAAAAAGCAAGTTTCACTCAAAAGTAGAGAATAAGTTTCAAAAAAACTTGAGAGGTTTTTTGGGGGTTTTTTTTTAAATAAACCTCATTTTTATTTAAACAATATTTATTCAAAAGTTTTTTTTTTCAGCAACAACTGACGAGCAAGCCGAAGGGTAACGCCGTAAAACAGGAGCTCGAAAAGCTCGAAGAACTGAAGAAGGGCGCCATCCGCGTCATTTTCACCCTCAAAGTAGATCCCGTCTATTTTCTGTAATCGTTTCAAATTTATCTTGTTCAGCGACTTCCGGACGTCGAACGACAACAGCAGTTCGTCGAACTCCACAACACCATCAAGTCTAATAAGGAATTGAGAGTGAGTTTCAACGGACATCAGTTCAAGTGTCTCCATTGAAAAGTTGCGAGGTAAAAAGAGTATTGTGGCGGAAAAGTCAAATATCTGGTCGAAAAGGCTCTAAGTTCACGACTTTTTCGCTAATAATGATAATGATTTATTTCATTCACTCGTTTGAACGATATTTCCAGAAAATTCTTTTAAAAACTCAACTGAAAGTCAGTTTCAAGCCGTCAAAAAAGGCTAGAGGCAAAAAAGGCTACGCTCCATGGGCAAAAACGGAAATTTGGGGTTTTTTTTTATTTCAAAGCAACTTGAATGATCTTCCCCGCTTTTCCGCTTCACAGACGATATAAAAATTCATACTTTCTCTCTCATTACAAGCCCTCAAACAATAGCATGGAGCGCAACGTAAAAAAGCGCGCCAGATTTCGATTGATTCTGAATTAATTGTTTCATAAAGTTGAGCCACCCGAAAGACGCTCGAAAAATCAGTTCGATGTGCTCAATGAAGTTCCTCAAAGTTTAAATTATCTTTTATTAAAAAGCGTCTCAATGCTAAAAGTAATATGATTTGCTTTACTCTGAATTTCTGAAGAATTTTTTTTTTATCAAAAATTTATTTTTCTCTATTATTTTCACTTCAGGAAGTCGCTGACGCGGTCGTCAAGGAATCCCAGAGAGCCGTCGTCTATGACGTTCCGATGGAAGCTTGAAAATCTAATTCGCTGACAAACCTGAGCTTTTTTTCTTGTTCCGCCCCCCTCCGCTTCAAGTTCTTCTCATTTTCTTTTTTTTTTCTTTGATCCTCCCATGTGAACCACATCCCAGACTCTATTTTTTCATAAAATACATGTATATCATATTCGAATAACTTGTCAATGTATACAAAGTTTGTGTGTAATTTATTCACTTTCAACGAGTTTTTTCTTTTTTTTTGTTCTTGAATCTACAAACGCTGGTCGGTTTTTGAAATACAAATCTACGTCAATCAGTACAGAGAGTTTTGTGTGCGTGTGTGTGGTTGTTTTGCCAGAAAAGTCTTTTGGAAAAGTAAATTGTCTTGTTCGAAATTTTTGAAAAAAATCGAGTCATTTGCAGAGAAGTGTGTTATTAGCTATGAAACAATCAATGCGAGGCAAAAATGAAAGGAAAATCGATGGATTGAAGACGTCGCCGTCCGACTCGTAGGCTTTTTTCCGATTGTTTAGTCCATTCCTGGTCTGAATGAAAATATTCCAGTCCAAAAAAAAAAAGATTTTCGACCTTGGTTTCGGAATAAAAGTCAGCCAAATCTTGTGGTCCAAGTAACGGCCTGACTGCAGGTTTCCAACTTTTAGCTCTGGTTTCCAGTTCTTCACTAAAAGGTCAAATTCGAGTTTCCTTTTCTTTCTTCTTCACCACCTTTCAACTTTTTACTTGTAGTTGCTTCGAGTTCTTTTTGCGATTTTTCGTCATCTTCGTAGGTTGGCAACAACTTTTTGTACTTGTGTAACTAAAATGAAATTCTTCGCCAGAGTTCTTGGAAAGCTTTTCAAAGACTTCCCCCAAATCTGTGCAAACCTGAATGTGGCCGATAAGTTTCCCATGTTTCGTTATTTTGATCGGGTTCCTCAGGATATTGTGTATGAACTGTTCGAAAAAAAGGTTTAAAGTTGGAAAAAATTGAACAGATTGTTACCGTAAATTGGCCTTGAAGGTAGATAGAGAGCGTGTTGTTGTGGAGCTGATCGCCCACCTCGATCGTGTCCGGCAGCTTGTCTTCCGTTTGCGGGTCGACCTTCTCTTCGATCTCAAGTTTTTTCATGATTATCGTGAGAAACGGCTTATAAAAAAAAAGCAAAGAGACGTATTTTGCCTTTTGATCGAGATGGTTTCGAAATACATACTTGCACTTCACTTTTCCGCTTTCTCTAATGATTTTGTTTATGTCCCGCGCAAGCCCCTACGCATTGAGCCATTCCCATTGCGACCAACTCATTTTACGGTATCCTTGATATATTATGGAACAGAGCCAAGTTAATCCGAGACTTCCGACACCTTCACATTTCCAAGTCATGGATAAAAATCACAGGTTTCGAAATAGACCCACTTCGATGGCTCCCATCATCCTCTTGTTTCTCTCCTTCTTGGCTTCCTTGTCTTTCAGGGCGGCTTCTCGTGATTTGTATTGTGTATACACCTCGATCTTCGGCAGGTCCCTTTTAGCTTCTGGGATCGCCGGACTGGAACAAGATTTCTAACTTTGGATCAAGCGTTTTTTTGAGCTCAGTTCGAAAAGTCAGCAGTAAATGGGATGAACCCTGCTCACAAGTGGAAAGGGCAATCAAAAAGAACGAACCAAAAGTGGAAGATATACGGATGTTCTTCAACAACTTTTTTTTTCTTATTTTTCTTTTCCTGGGATTTTGTCATTTCCGGCAAACACACTCGAATGCTTGGTAAAGCATACGATTCCACCGTTTTGTACTCCGGAATCTCCTCCTTTTTTTTCTTTTTGCGGCACTGAAAATCATGGAAATGTATCATCGATTCTCGGACATCGCTAACGAAAACCGGACGTTTCTGAGCAATTCTAAGAATCATGAGTAGGCTGACGTTACTAAAGCGGTCACTGGGAATGTTCCAAAACCTCCGGAGCGCGTCCGATTTGCATTAGCAAGGTCCGAGTTGCTTGAAATACCAGAACTTGGAAAAATCCGACCTTTCTGTGTCCTCTTTTCTCTCAGCGACACTCTCGTGTTTAAGTGCTGTTTTCAAGCTTCTATGATCTCTTCGGGGGAGAGAAAAGAGACTGGTCAGACTTTTCAGTTCAAGCCCGCCTAGAAAATTTCGAAAAGAATTTTTTGAAAATTGTATAGTCGGTTCAGATTTTGAATGTCAAGTCTTCGCTCAAACTCCGCCCCTTATACGTAGATCAAACCAATCAGAGAGCAGGACATCCACAGAGCGTAGTTGGGGGCGGAGTTTGCTGCTTGACGTTCAAAATCGGAACAGACTATAGAAAAGCGCAGACTGGTCAGACTTTTACAAGTCAAGCCAAATTGGAAAAAAGTTTATTTTGCTATAATTGGGGATCAGTTTCAATCTTCTTCTAGATTTCAAGTACTATCCGGAAAACTATGATTTTTGACAAAAATTTACGCACCGTAAAAACTTTCTTAGTCGTCCTTTTAACTACTTTTTGTTTTAAAAAGTTTATATTTATATTGTTTTACTGAAGCCAAAATGGAAATTAGAAATTTGAAGAATTTACTGCTATCAATCTGAAATTTTTCACGCGTTCTTATCAACGAAATTTGTGTTTTATCAAAACAGAGGAGCTGCATTTTCGCCTCATTCCACCAAACATACAATTGAGCAGCAGTTCCCCATTGCAATCGCCGAGGGTAGAAATGAATTAACTAACTGGACTCGTTTTCACGTCATTTCTTAGATTCATGCAGATGAACCATCATAATCTATATTTTTTTTTGTTTCCTAACTTCAAAGTTAGAATGAAATTGCAAATGACGAGACAGGAGTTTTTTTTTTGATCTTTTGACCCTAGGTTCCTGGAGAAGGGGGCCTCAAGTGTCATAAGAGTGCTTCTCTAGGGACCACTCTGGTGCTCCTAAATGCGTCATCTGAACCTTTCAGTACCAAAAGATATACTTTTATTTTATTTGAGAAGCACCGAAACGCTTTGTTTGTAGAAACATATCGAAGATTCGTCATCTTTTTTTCTCTCCATAGTTCAAAATCTAACGACGGCAAAAAAAAAGCGGAAAGACACATCTGAAGTCGATGAATAGACACGACCTCATGCTCAAAAAAATATCCTCTGAAAGAATTCTGTAGTTTAAATCCAATTTTTAATATTCAACAGCAGATCATCCGGAAATGTTTTCAGGTGATTTCAAAAGGTTCAAAATATCTTGTGTTTCTTCTTTTCACAATGCCCTAGATCAAAAAGCACATGAATGTCGTGTGAAAATCAGCCAAGGCTATTTTGAAAAGCGAGCCGCCGTCGGGTTTTTACAACGTTTCGGCCAGGGCCGGCCAGACTCTCCGCTTTTACAATTCTCTCTCGCCAGTTCTTTCCACAGATTCCGATCAATCCCGATCGCCTTTTTTTGCCCAATTAGTTCAATGCCAATTTGTTCTATTTTCATTTTTTTTTGGGTGTTCCGTGGATGTAGTCTCTTTCCAGTCTGTTAATTTTATCGAAAATTATTTTCTAGCGGTGGTTTCTATTTTAAAACAGGATAGTAGGCTTCAAAGTGTTCCGTTTGCACTTACCCAGCTTCCCATTTTTCATTGGTTGTGTTCCATGGATACTTTTTTTGTTGTTGAAAAAAAGCAAACGTTGAAAAACTCTGCTTTTTCCGTAACTTTTTCTTTTTCAATCTTCTTGAAAAACCGTAATCAAAGATTATAAAAAGCTTATTTGTCTTATCAAATTCATGTGTTGGTCTTTTTCTCCCTTCAATATTTCTTTTGCATACCTTTTTCAAATATATTGAGTTCATTCCAAGAAAGTGCACAGCACAGTTCATGTTACGCGAAAAAGTGTAGTTTTCACGTTTTCCTCAGCTTTTTTTGCTGAAGAATTTTAAATGTTTCGAATTCGAGTGGAATGGGATTTTTCAGAAGTCCATGTAGAAATGTCGAGCCAGAGCGGCTGGTCGACGTCTTCGCTGCTTTCCGAGCCGCTCAACGAGGAAACAGGTCCGTTTTGAGTCTTCGTTCTTTTTTGTGCAAAATCAAGATAGTTGTTCCCGGAAATGAATGTTTTGATAAAGACAAAAATGATATCTTTTTTCCAAACTCAAGCTTTCAAGTTCGAGTCTAATTAAGGTCAAATATTTTTCCTGACCTTTTCATTCCATTTTGAAATAAGTCCAAAGATCATAGAGTTGAGGAAAAAAGTTTTTTTTTTGGGAAAACAGCAAGAAAAATCATCTTTTTTCTATTTTGGCTTACTTGGACCCAGTAAATGTTCGCATTTTGAGTCCAAGAAAACTGCAGGTAAAGATGAAAAGAACACAGCCGAGTTGCTGAAATTGCCGACATCCGGTCGCAGACTTCCAGGCTTTTCCCTAGAATGTCACAAAAGTGTTGCTTCTTCTCATTTTGGCTCTTTCTAGAGTAACTCTTAGAATCATTTGGTTTTCTTCTTTGATAAGGCTTACTTTCCGTTCGTTCAAGATTTTTATGTTTTCAATTTTTTTAAATTTCTCTCGTGAAAATCAGTAAGTGGAAGTTTCTGATAGAGCAGAGCTTTGAAGGTCTGTAATTCTATCGATCCTGCTGAATCCATACTGAAATCCACCTTTTTTCACAAACAAAAAGCAGAGAATGGTGATTAGCAATGCATGAAGCGGCGATCAATGTCGTCTTCCAGACGTTTCATTTCCATCTTCTTTTTCGTCCTTCTTCTAGAGGACATCCTATTTATTTTTAGTCAAGTTAAATGGCAAGTGTAGGAAAAAACCCTCTCTAGCAGTTCTCTTCTGATTTTTTCCCTTTTCAAACTCAAAAACGATAGAATTTCTTCGTATGGAACAATGTCAATGAAAACTTTGACTCATTCGAATTTCATTTCTTTGCGAACCTCGTATTTTTGCTATTTACTTGCGTGAATCAATTTCGAACTCCTAGAAAAAAGACGAAAAAAAAACATGTATCCGCTTTATTCAAACGGATTCGCGACAACGAGATCGGTTCAAAGCCGGGCAATTTGTGAGTTTAGTTTGAAAAAAGATTCATTTTTATTACTTCAAATAATTGAAGAAAGAAAAAATAGACCTCTGAACTTTGAAAAACTCGTTCCTTCTCTAAAAAATGAAATCTATATGAGATAGAAAAATGTTTTTTTTTTCGAACAACAATAGTGTTATAATTCCTTCATAATCGTTTTTTTTTTTGACCAATTGTTTGTTCACCTGCTTGCCATAGTGTGAACCAATTTTGGAAACCTCAAAAAACCCTTTTATGGCTTTCTTGACTATTCTATCATCGATTGAAGAGGAAGACAGTGGTAAGGCTAACAAGCAAAAATGAGAAGTTCTGCGTAACTTTTTTTCAAATTTCGTGTTTCAGATGACTTCATTTTGGCGGACAACGAAAGGCTCAAGGAACGCGTTGACGAACTTGAAAAAGTTGTCTCTTTGCAGAGAAATGAAATTGTTGGTTTCAATCTACCGTAGACCAATGGTCACATGTGGAATGGCTTGAAGCGTAACTAAGGTGATTTTCGAGAGCGCGTCCGACGCAAAACAACTTTCGCGTCTAGAAAATCCGCCAAGCACAATTTGATTTTCATTTTTGAGCCGTCTGTACACCAGGTTGCACTTCTTGGAGCCATTCCGCTGCGAAAAAGTTTTTTCAAACAAGAAATTTGAGAATGAATTTCTTCAGATGCTTTTGCAAGCTTCAACGGCTGACGTCTTAAGAAGGCTCCAGACACTGGAAAATGGCCCTCCAACGACTTCAACTCGTTAGTTTTTTGGTCGTTTCTACATGCTTTCAACTTCCTTCCAGCTTTTAAACTTGAATTTTTTTTCGCCAATATTTGTTTTTGTTTTCATTTTCTATCAGTTTCCAGTACCAAGGTCGAACGGAAGAATGTCGTCGTCGAGGTCGACCTACGCGATTCCCGCGGGCCCTTTGCGGCCGCCGACTTCGCCCATGTCCAGGAGTCTCTACTCGTCGAGCAACGGCGGCGACGCACAAGAACTGGTAATTCATTCAATTTTGTGTGCTCAATAATCATGATTACATTGATTCCGAAAGGGAGGAGAAGTCTATAAAGTAGTACATTGAAACTTGGGAGATATGCAGGAAAATGTATCGTCCTTGCAAGGTTAGCGAAACCAACGAATTTTCGAACGGAGCTTTTTTTCCAGTTGTTTTTATAGTATTTTTATATAGGATATTTTTGGAGAAAGTTCTAGAAGATCCCATCGGTTGAAAAACGATTTTCAGACTCCCAGACGCAGTTCAACTTCGCAACGTGGACAGGACTTTGTCAACGTCTCGATTGGAAGAAGTGCTAGAGGTTTTCACCAATTCAATTCATATGTAAAAATAAACAGTTCACTTTTTCACTTCTAGCGTTGAGTATCGACTAACGAGTATTTGGAAATCACTTAAAACGTGAAAGAAGTCTTATTTTATGCTAAAATCATTACCAAATTGGAAATTTTAAAAGCAGATTGGGCCTGTAAACAGCTCACAGCTTCGAAACCTATGAAAAATGCCTCCTTCGCTCCTCATTTAAATTTCAAAAGATCTATTTCATATGGTTGAGGGTCTCCTCTCCGGAAGTGGGTTTCTAACCATAACGTCAAGGAAAACGGCTCTCCAATCGTTTCACCGTCAGTGGCGTCGACGCCGGCCGTCACGACTCTCAACCGAATTATTTCGTCGGTTCTTCTCTTCTCTTCCCGTTGTCTTCCCTCACTTTGCATGAGTGTTTGCAGTGTTTTTCTTTTCAGCCGCACATCTTCGACTTTGAGTTTGCAATCTGTTTCTTCGACCCACAATCGCACGACCAGCTTTCGGTTTTTTTTCCGTTTACACTGACTATTGCTGTTCATTTATCATCTCCTGACTTGAAACATGGTTTCCTTATAGAAAAAACAGCCGCCCACCAATTTTCCTTGCATCATCGCACACTTTGCAGCTGACTTTGGCAAACAGGTCATTGAGTATTCCTGTACCTACTGATCGAGGTTTTCTCGAATCAGGAAGGCTTTGATCCTTTTTTGCATTTCAGAAACGATAGATTTGACTGCCGAACAAGAGCCGCCAGATATCAAGGCGTCTCTGAAGAGAGTGTACAGTAAGTTATATTTTCATGAGACTTAGGGATTAGAAAGAGCGTTAGCTTGTAAAAATCTCTTCAGACTTCTCTCGACTGATTTAAGGAATGAGAAATTAATTTTAACGATTCTGACAAAGTTTTTTTAACTGAAAAAAATCCCCAATAAAATTTTTTGCAGTTAGAGAATTCAGTATATATTATAGTCGATTTTTTTCTCGACTTGAAAGGAGGGGGGGCGGAGAAGGGGCGGGACGCGGTCATTGGCAGGAGTTCGATTTAACCGCCAGCGACTATTTGGAGAGCTCTTTTTTTCCACTTTTCCGCTTCCCTCGCCTTTCAAGTCGGAAATGGGTGACTTCAGTCTATTTTCAGAAAGTTTTAGAGGACTAAAGTAACCTAAGCTGAAGAACCTGCCAAACTTTCACCTAACTTTTTAGCTTTTTTTTTCAGGCTATAGAGGAAAAGACGTACGAGCGAATGTCAAGTACCTTCCAACAGGCGAAGTTGTCTTCTTCACGGGGAATATCATAGTCTTACACAACCTCGAAGAAAATACTCAAAGGTTCTATCATGAACACACTTGTGACGTCAAATGGTTAGACTGCTCTTTCAGCAAAGTAAAGTTCAATTTTCAGCATCGCTGTGCATCCAAATCGAGTTCTCATGGCCAGTGGACAGGCTTCTTGTCATTCCAATGAGAAAGTCTTGAAAACGGAACATGTTCGTCCGGTTGATAGTCCTGATGAGCTGGTGAAACAGCTTGAAAACGAGCATACCGAAGTGAGAATACTTTTCGAAAAGTCCAAAAATCATAAAATTTTGAGTTTTTTTTTTATTAAATAAATATTTTCTGCTGAATTTCTGGAAAATTTGATCTGCTCCAAAAAATCTAACACAAACTTTACATGATTCAACTATACGAGAAGAAATGATTTCTGAAGTTCTGAGCTCTCTTGAAAATTTCTCAATTTTTTCACCTTGTAGTGTCATTTTGAAGGCGCACGTTCGGATTTGGGACTCGATCAAACTACAAACAGTAATCATCATTGGCGGATTCGAAACGGGTTTCGAAAAAGGAATCTGCCAACTATCATTTTCAACAACGGATGGTTTGTGAAGTTTTGACATTGAAAAGCAAAACAAAATAGTTGCAGTTGGTGCTATTCTGGCTTGTGTCGATGAATCGACGAAACACATTCTGAGCCTCTGGAACTGGGATAAAAAGAAAAAACTGGCTGAAACCAAGGTGTTTCTCAATTAGTAATCGTTTTCGACGAACCTTGACATTTTCAGGCAGCAAACGATCTCGTTTTTGAGTGTCATTGGCACCCGAATTACAAAAATCAGTTGGTCGTCTACGGCCGAGGTCATTTGAGCTTCTTCCATTACGATCCAACTAACGGGATTTTAGTGAAAAGTGCGGCTATTTTCGAGGTACTGAATATTTCCAAAAACGCCTCCAACAAAATTTAGGGGAGAGATAAACCGAAAACAGTACTATCGATGTGTTTTACATCAACTGGCCACGTAGCCACTGGCGATTCCAACGGAACCATTTCACTGTGGGACCCGAAATCGTGCAGAACTATCAAGCAGGTTTGATGTTACCAAACTGAGAAGTCTAGATTGGTGTCAGGCTCATGGAGTTCATCCGGGTGGAGTTTATGCCTTGATGATGGCGACGAAAATCGACCGGTTGCTCAGCGGGGGCAAGGATAAGGTCCTCAGTGAATGGCAGCCCCAGGATTTGGTTCGGACCCGTCGTTTTGAGGTGATTGGACGTTCAAAGACTTGGAAAAAATCGACTACATTTACCGTTTATTCTTCCGGAAAAAAATTGAACAAACTATTGGACTAAATTTTAAATCTCATCTTCTTGGATATTTTTTGAAGGAGAGATGGTTTGCGTAAAAGTTCGGAGATCTCTAAGAAAAAAAATAAAAAAAATGAAGCGGATGAGAAATACAAGCTTTACTTCAGCTAGCCGAAGAGCGAGGAACTCCTAGGATAATAATAGCAGACGCGCCAAAACTCCTTATTGGAACATCAACAAACACGCTTCTCATAGGAACTTTGGAACAAGGCTTCACTTCGATTATTGAGGTAATTTTTTATCATTTTTTTTTACCATTTCAAGAACTTTCAAGAATTTAAATCTTCAAGGGCGATGCGGGAGACGTGACAAGTTTGTGCACAACTTCGGATTGCTTGATCACAGCCAGTAGCGATGGAAATGTTCGCAGTTGGGACACTTCGAAAGGGACAGTCAATTGGAGTCGAAATTTTTTGGTTGAGAGGAAGATCGCTCGAAAAAAATAATTCGAGATTTCGCAGGAAGGAGTCGAGTGCATGGATGTCGATTCAAATAATATCAACCTTCTAATGGGATGCAATGGGGGATCTTGGCAAATAGTGAAGGTTTCGACGCAAGAAGTTGTTGAAGAACATCGGGATTCCACCCAACCAGTCACTTGTGTTCGCTTCTCACCAAATGGAAACCTTTTCTTTGTAGCCACAAAGGTTTCTCACAATCTTCTGAACAAATGTTCGAGGAGAAATTTAGCAATTGTGTGGTCTGATATATCATCTACATCCTGCATCGTGTCAGCAACTTTCCCGCATCACAAACTTCAGTTCTCCCATAATTTCAGCTGATTGGGATTCGGATTCTCAATTTATACGGGCCAATTCTTCTGCCAATCATCTGTATTTATGTGAGTTAACCAAGAAAAAACTCCCTCATTTCCTGATTTTAGGGAACAAAAAAGGAGAAGTGGTCGAACCAAAAGATGTTCAAGATATCAACTGGGAGACTTGCAGCTGCCGGATATCTTTTGAAGCGGCTATGGTCGCACATTCTTCAAATGGTAAAGAAAGGAAAAAAAGAAGTATACATCACTTGCACAGGCGGGTTGACGTGTGTCACGAAGTCGAGTGATGGGAAACTTCTCGCGGCAGGAATCGACAACGGAACAGTTCGAGTTTACACTTGTCCAGTACTCAGTCAAACTGTAAAGTTATCCATTTCATATTGAGGAAAAAGTGACTTGCAGGCTGGCTGTGTCGAACTTTCTGGACACAGCAATGGAGTTAACAACGTAGCTTCAGCTCCTACACTTTTCTCCAACACACTTTTCTCGTCTGGATCTATTGAAAACTCTATATTGCAATGGAATATTGAATGAGAGAAAATGAAATGAAAGTCTTTTGTCTCGCTTATCTGCAAATGAGAGAAAGTCGGAAAGAAAGTTGAGATAACATTCAAAGAGCGAAACTGAGGTGGATTCTCGAAGTAGGACGGGCGATAAAAATCTCGAAAGCGAATGATGTATATAAAGCTCTACGAGAATCACGTAAAGGCGCGTTTTTTTACTTTTCATCTACCAACAAGGATTCTCTAATTCGCCACATTATAAAGTTTGAATATTTCAATTTTGAAGAAAAATGTCTCTAACGCCATGGGTGTTCCGGTGGACGTCGGTGACAGCTGTATTAGGAACTGCTGCGATCGGAATTCAACTAAGTCTTTTACCATTATTTTTCGCAGAACTGAAAGATCTTCGATCAACATTTGACAATGAGATGAGAGAATCATTAGTGAGTTCATCTAATTTCGGAAAAAAAATAATTTTTCTGTAGAGCTTATTGGAAAGTTCCTACGCACTATTGAGCCCGAATCGACTAAAGAGACGAACATTTCGTGTTGAGAAAAGGTAAACCTCAATTTTTGAACGAAATTCAATTTTTCGTTTAGAGCTACAAATGCAAAAAGTAACTTTGATGAGTACGAAGATATAAGTATTGACGAACCAACGTCTTCTGAACCTTTACTGCTACCAGGTAAATCAAAAAACATTTCAAAATTAGACTCGCTTTCCAGCTTGTCCGATAGAGCAAAACAAATGTCCAGCTGGTCCTCCAGGACCTCGCGGAACCCGAGGACTGCCAGGCAAGGCTGGATTAGACGGATATAATGGCCTAGAGGGTAAGATTTGGTTCTGAAAAAACTAATGAATATCACTCAGGTCACCGTGCCTCTGATATACCGGTTAACGAGCAACAAATATTCTGCACCGTTTGTCCGATGGGACGTGAGGGAAGAACAGGGCCGATTGGGAAGAGAGGTGGCTTCTTTCATTCAAATCTTTCGTAATAGATAACTACTCAGGAAGTGCTGGCCTTCCCGGAGCTGACGGGGTGACGGGAATGAGTGGCAGGAACGGACAGCCTGGATCGCCTGGAGAACAAGGAGTTCCTGGAGTGCCGGTGAACTCAGAAAACCATCCGAAAATAAATACGTTTACAGGGTATCAATGGAAAGCGTGGTGAGAGAGGACAGATCGGCATGAATGTAAAAATAATGCCAAAGAGGGGAAGAAAAGGTCCTCCTGGTATCGCAGGCCCTCCTGGTCCAGCAGGACAGACAGGAAATCATAACCTTATCGTTTGTGTTTATTAAAACAACTAAAATGTTTGCAATCATTCAGAGAGGGAAGGCAGGAGTGCAAGGAAGAAATGGAAGGAGAGGAAATTCAGGAAAACCAGGAATACTCGGGGAGGCAGGCGAAATCGGAACGAGAGGAGCTGATGGAACGAGAGTATGTTTCTTTTTTTGATAAAAATGTTCAAAAACTGAAACATACGAAACGATTTCAGTATTGTAACTGTAATGAGCTGATGGGGATGTCGATAAAAGCTGCCCAGAACTTCGCGTACGAACAGATATCAAAAAGCATCGTCAACGACTACGAGAACACGTAAGCTCATAAAAACTAATGATTTTTTTTATGATTTTAAATTTTCACAGAAAACCTTTCAAAGTCCAAGCAGCGTCAGATGAGACACCAAATGGGGAAGTCACAACTGGAAACGTTCAAAAAAATCAATACCCTGGAATAGTTATTCAAAAACTACGCCGGACGAATGGAAGAACCACTGTCCCGCATGGAAAGAGATCGAGAAAAATACACAAGATCAAGCGTGTCCGACGTCTCCATTCAAGAAGAACGCTGTCTGATCAGCCTATTCAGGTTGACTACTGAATTCTCTATCAACTCATTCTCGGATATATTTTCCGAGTAACAGCTTTAAATCTCTTATTTTGACAACTGAATCAACTTCCGTTTCTTTTTTTCGTTCCGATACAGCTTCGAAAAAAAAGGAGATTACCCAAAGACTTTGCAAAATCGGTTAAAATGCGTACATTTTTGGATTACAGGAATCTGAGAAACAACATTCAAGCTCGAATTATGATGTTTTCGCGATAGAAAAAGAAATACGTCAAAAAAGTTCTCTGCATAAAATTTTTAAACAGGAAAAAGAAAAGGTGGGATAATAACAAAAGAACCAAGACAAAAGAATTTCGTCTTTTTTCAGGTTCGAACGAAAACTGATCGAAGCCTGTTTTTGAAGCCATCGAGAAGCACTAAATCGTTTTCACAAAGTTATTTCAGGAATATGAGAAAAGCCAAAAAAGTTTGATTAGTGTTGTTTTCCGTTGATAGACTTTTGATTATTTGAAACTTCAATTGATTTAGAATAATACCCAGCAATTTACATCACTTGGTAACTCGATAAATTATTTCTTTCTCCATGGAGCTGGATCCAGGCTCATTCATCTCTACATATTAACGAAAGATGTTTCAAAAAGTTAATGGTGTGTTCATCGGAGAAGTGGAACATGTTTCAAAACGCAAAAGAGTTTTCATCGACCCATCAAATTTGCTCCGAAACAGTACTAATTTTTGTTTTTGTAATATGAAACCCCTCAGTAACTTTCTGATCAGCAATATTTATGAAAATTTTAAGTGATGTCGCGTTCAAAGCAACTTCCGCCAAGTTCAAAGTGCTTTGACGGAACAAAAATGACTGTTAGAAAGTGAAAAAAAAAATAAGGAAGATTTTAGAGAGTCAGAGGTAGTTGTGAATTACCTTCAATCAATCAATCAATCAATATTTATTGGTTGTTTTAGTCAGATGGAATCGACTAGGCGGTGAAAAAATTGCTCTTTTGAGCGGCACTAACACCGCCTTTGGCGAAAAAGAAGTCGAAACGTGTAGTCGACTGAATCGAAAGCATGGTCTTACGGTCCTTCTCCTCGCTCTTCCACAAGTAGATCTCTCAGTTTCGCGGGTACGGGCACGGGCACGGCGATGATGGTGGGGCTCGGGCACGGAGACCGTGTACACTCTAGGGTAGCCTCGGCCGATTGAGAGAGCTACCACTTCGAGTGAAGAAAATACACGGAACCTTGATAAGTTACTAACCAAAATTTTGAATTAACGCGTAGTTCGTTTTCGTTTTAAAATCCCTCTAATTAATTTGAACACACCAATTTGAAAAAAAAAAGCTAGAGGCCATCAGGCCCTCGTGGCGCGTGTGCTTTCCCACGGTGTTCCGCGCAATGAAAAAAAATGCGAAATTTTGGGTCCCAGCGGCATATTATCCGTGGCGCATTATTGCGCCCTTCTCATCGTTTCTGATGCAAAAAAATTGAATTTCTTCACTTTTTTTCATTGGTTTTTTTACTTTTTTTCTATTTCTTGCATTTATGTGATCCGCCTCTCTATGGGTACATCTTGTGGAGCTTTTAAATTGCGCATTTTTTTCTAAAACCGGTTTTCAGATCTTTAACTTTTTTTCTCAAAAAGAGCTGAAGATTTTTTTCTAAAAAGTCCTAATTTTTTAAAATTTTGAAATCTGTTTCGCGACATGAAAATAATCGCTCTATTTCGGAAACTATAGTTTTTAATTTAATCAGTTAATAATAAAAAGTTATTATCTAGTTCCTTTGACGTAGTTTAAAACCGGTTTCGCGTAAATTAGAGCCAAATTGAATTTGCTGATGCAGTTTAATGATTTTGATATATGCATCATCTAAATTATATATTTTTTTCTAGTTTTTTGATGGTTTTTCGGATTTAAACAAAAATTTCGCCATACGAGGTTTTCTTTCTAAAATTTCTGCTTTCTATCCATTATATGTTTTTCTGAAACTAGGTTTTCGAGGTATATAAAATGTTTTTTTTTTCATTTGCTCCTCGAATTTTCCTCATTTCAATATTTTTCGTATTTATAAATGCTTATTCAATGGGAGCTGATTCATTTTCATAATATTTTTTGTTTTTATTTTGTAATCAGTAATTTAGAGTTTTCCCTTTTCGAAATCGTTCCTAAATGTTTTTTTAACGTAAGTGAATGTTTTTTCACATCATATTCTTCAAAAATGACAAATTTCGAACATTTCAGGAGCTATTATCCTGAAATCGCAAATTCTAAAATTGAAAAAAAGTATTTTGAGTATGCGATAGGGCGTCTCGGTGTGCTTACACTCTAAGCATCATTATTTACGAAAAGTCTTGACCTAGCGTAATAAAAAAAACACCGTGTTCCTGCAAGCGTTGGCGCGCCGAGGACACGCTAGGTGTCCCCGCTAATTTTTTGCTTTTTTTGGCCATATAAACTCATGAAATCCGTCTTTTCTCACTCTTATGCGTTTCCACAAATCGTGATGCTGTTCAAAAAAAAATTTGACGCATAAAACTCAACCACACCCATTTTCAATTTGAATATGGGTCGAAACTCGCCCCATTGGGTTTGAAACCGGCTTTAAAAATGAGCATGCGTACTAATAAGCATCATAAAATACGGAAAAATCATTTGAAAAAGGTTTTTTTCCACTCAAAAGGCTAACGGCGTGTTCATCGGAGAAACGGAAAATGCTTCAAAACGAATAATCGTGTTCATCGGCGCCAAAGTTGCTCTAAAACAGTACTATTTTTGTTTTGGAGCAATTTTCGTTTTTTCCGAAGAACACGCCATAAATGCCAGAATCCCGGCACGTCCCCTATACCAGTGCCTGATGCCGTGTTCAAAGTGATTCCGCGAAATTCAAAATAGCCGTCAGAGGACAAAAAATAATAACTAAATTATGGAGAGAAGATTTTGCATTTTTCGGGATTTGAACAAAAAAATATGCCTCTTTTCTCCTTCACTTTGAGCGAACTGCGCCCCATCGTAAAATGGTCTCAGCACGCGGACGTAGTACAGTAGTGCGGCGTCATTTAAAAAGAAGTTTTTTCTTTTATTCCCATTTTGTACAACTACAATCGCCATGTTTACATTCGATTTTAGTAATTTTGAGAATAATGATATGATTCCCCATGTCCAAATGTACATGCGGAGCGTGATTTCAACTCTATGATAGGAGCATGTCTTGAAATTCTCAATTTTACTTGGCTCCCAAGGCTGAGGTACGTCCAGTCCGTTTTTTCAACGTTGTTCGCGGTATTAATATCTGTTTTAAAGCATGGGCCGACCTGAATTCAACTCTCGTGGCGGCGGAGGAGGTAATTTATATTTTATATCGATCTTTTAGCTCTATTTCAAATTTTCGATCAATTTGTCTCTCTTGAAAATTTTTTTTTGTTTCTCGTGAATTTGTAAAATTTTCCGTTTGTAAGAAACATTTTGAAAGTCCTCAACGTGTAGAAATTTTCAATTTTCAATCTCGCGTGTTATTGATTTTGCATTTTAAGAGAAATGAAGTGTGATTTCAAAGTTATAAAAACATCCTTCAAAGTTTTTTTGAAACCAAACGATGTCGAAAGCCTGCCATATTTGAAGTTATTTTGATAATCACAAAATTAACTCTTTATCCTCAAAATGATTTCGGAAAATAGACCAAATTATAATTCTGCGTTCAAAGCTAATTTTACGCACGTAGCAAAAAAGTTTTTCTGGTTAAAAAGAGCCGAAACGCGGCAGATTCTCAAGGCGTGATTGGTTGGCCCCGCATATCTGTCACGAAAAATATTTTGAAAGTAAATATATATTGGACATGAATTGAGTTTCAAAGGGTTACCATTATAATGCATTCACTTTTATAGGCTTCCGAGGTGGACGTGGTGGTGATCGCGGTGGATTCAGAGGCGGAGACCGCGGAAGTTTCCGAGGCGGTGATCGTGGTGGTTTCCGAGGCGGTGATCGTGGTGGATTCCGCGGTGGTCGCGGAGGAGATCGCGGCGGATTCAGAGGAGGTCGAGGCGGTTTCGGAAATGATCGAGGAGGCTTCCGGGGAGGAGACAGGTGCATTAATTAATTACTTTACCGTTTATTTTGTAAACTTTTTTTATTCACTGAAAGTGTGAGAAAGTTTATTTCTAATGCCCTTTTTTTTTTTTTTCTAAAGCTTATTTGACGCGCGCAGCGAAAATGATTTTTTGGTTCAAAAGCACGAGCCGAAACGCAGCAGATTCCCACGACGTAATTGGTTGGCCCGTCCAGCCGGCAAGAAAAAAATTTTTTTGAAAAATAAATTTATATTGGAAAAATTGCCAGATATGCGGGGTCAACCAATCAAGTCGGAACCTGCTGCATTTCGGCTCGTGGTTTTGAACTAGAAAAACTTTTTGCTGCGCGCGTCAAATTAGCTTTGAAAGAGGCATAAGCATCTATAAATTAAATTAGTATTGAACGGGGCATAAAACAGCGGAGACACAAGGTGCGAGCCCACTGTCTGAGATAGTTTTAATATGTCAAAAATCGCTTTCTGACAGTTTCTTTTAAAACAAAAAACTTTTTTTTTTCTTCTCGAACTGATTGTGATAAACATTATTCGAAGTTAAATAACAGCTGGAAAATCAAAATTTCAATTACAGTTGTTTTTCTTTTCCTATTGTAAACCCTTGGCGCGGTAACAAAAATAATGGTTACAGAGGCGGCCGTGGATTTCCAAGAGGCCGAGGTTCCCCTCGCGGTGGACGTGGAGGAGCTGGAGGAATGAGAGGAGGAAAGACAGTCATTGTCGAGCCCCATCGATTGGAAGGTGGGATTTATTTTCCATCACCTCTTCTGCTGCGTCAAAGCTAATTTCTCGAGGTTACAAGACAAATTACGTCCCATAAAGTACACAACTTTTCTTTTTATTACCCAAAAACCTCGCTTGATTACCTTAGTACGACCGGCCGCCTTGAACATGCGTGTTGTGGGAACCTGCTGCCTTTCAATTCGTGCCGTTGAACTAGAAAAAACTTTTTCTCAGCCGTCAGAATAGCTTCGAAAGTGGCATATGGCGTATAAAAAAAACTCCAAATCGTTTAAAACAATTTAGTATTAATTTTGCATATTTCAAGGTTTATTCAATTCATCTATCTTTACTACGCAATGAGAAGAATAGAAAAAAAAAAATAAAACAATATAAAATGAAGAAATCACGGTTAAAAAAAAAGATCGCGTTAAAGACCACGCCTAACAGTGGTTTGCTTCCTTCATAGTTTCATTTTTTTTTTTTTAGAGAAACAAGTTTTATATAATTTTTCCGCTGCGCGTGTCAAATTGTTCAGAGCTGCTTACTATGCCATGTTCAGAGTAATTTCTTCGAAATGAAAAATCTGACTTACCAAAATTTAGTTGTCTTTTTCTTTCTCTGACGGCTATTTTGTTAGTGTTACACGTTTTAGTCCTATATAATTTTTTTTTAAACGTTAAGTGTTAATTTAACAAGTTTTTAGTTGTGTTTTTCGAAGCTAGCTAGAGTCGGCTCCGCCTGTGTGCGAAGCCTTCACTAATCTATTTTATTTAAAATTATTGTATTATTTAATGTGAAAAAAAAGAAAAACTTTTTTTCTAGGAATAGTTATCCGATTGAAAAAAATAATTAAGTTTATCTTAAATTTTTCCTAAGTGGTCAGCGCCCAATAAATTTATGATATTCGTACGTATATCGACGAGGCGGACCGAATGGTCATACTTTTATGCTGAAAACCCGAAATTTTGATAATGCTTTACGAGATTGAACGACTTCGCCTTTGTAGCCGATCGCAGAGGTAGAAAATCTGATTCTATATAGAAGTGTAATTTCTGTTTTATTTATAGATGTAATCGGCTAGACGGTAAGCAATAGCTCATCAAGGCATTTAGAAAAACCAGATTCGAGTTAGCTCATTAGGGTTCACACTGATTTTTCAAGAAATGGTTATTATTAACTGCTTCCAAACGTGTATCTGATCAATTCTAAAAGCAAAGCATATCACTGTTCTCCGCGTTCTTTATTGCGTGTTGACGAGCTCATAATGCGGCAGATATTGTAGCTGAAGGCCGTGCTCTAGTTAGAAGCCTCAAAATGAGAGCATCCACTCAAAGGAAAGACATAATATTGAATTTTAAAGGGAAATGTATTTTTCATCAAAAAATTTTCAGGAGTGTTTATCGTAAAAGGAAAAGAAGACGCGCTTGCCAGTAAGAATATGGTTGTCGGAGAGTCTGTATACGGCGAGAAGAGAGTTTCTGTGGAAGATGGCGCTGGAGCTTCAATCGAATACCGTGTGTGGAATCCATTCCGTTCAAAGTTGGGTGCATCTATCATGGCTGGTCTCGAAGACACGCACATCAAGCCGGGAACTAAGCTTCTTTATCTTGGAGCAGCCTCAGGAACGACAGTGTCTCACTGCTCTGATGTGGTTGGACCGGTCAGTCAAAATTAATAATTTAGTATTTAAAATTCGAATTCTAGGAAGGTATTGTTTACGCTGTTGAATTCTCACATCGCTCTGGTCGCGACCTCCTCGGAGTCGCCAAAAAAAGGCCGAATATTGTACCGATTGTTGAAGACGCGAGACATCCACACAAGTACCGCATGTTAGTTGGTACGTGTTAAATCATATTTATAAGATTTAAGTTCATGGTTTAGGGATGGTTGATGTCATCTTCTCGGATGTAGCTCAGCCTGATCAAGCGCGTATTGTTGCCTTAAACGCTCACCACTTCTTGAGAAACGGAGGCCATGCTGTTATCTCTATAAAGGCCAACTGCATTGACAGTACTGCTGAACCTGAAGCTGTTTTTGCCGGCGAAGTAAATAAGCTCAAGGAGGAGAAGTTCAAGCCGCGAGAACAAGTTACCCTAGAGCCCTATGAAAGAGACCACGCTGTTGTTGTAGCCCAATATCGCGCTACGAAAGGCAAGAAGGCCTAAAATCTAACATCTGTATACTTTGTTTTGTTTTTTGTTACCTTGTTGATCTTCGTTATCATTTTCACTGTTGGAATAAATCTTGCGCATCACCGTTTGATATTTCAATTTTTATTGTAACGGTTTGCACCTACTGAGCTTTGCTTTCTTTATGTAATTAGTCCCCTGCTTGCAGGTTTTTTAAACTTTGTTGTTCTCAGGGTAATGGCTACTGCTACCGCGCTCCCGTCAGTGCAGACGTTCGGCCGCAAGAAGACGGCTACGGCTGTTGCCCATTGCAAAAAAGGCCGTGGCTTGATCAAGGTCAACGGAAGACCTTTGGAGTTCCTGGAACCCCAGATTCTTCGAATCAAGCTTCAGGTTTTCGAATTATTCATTTTTTTATATAGTGGGAAATTTACAGGAGCCTGTTCTGTTGGTCGGAAAGGAACGTTTCCAGGACGTCGACATCAGAATCCGTGTTTCTGGTGGAGGACATGTCGCCCAAATCTACGCTATCCGTCAGGCTCTTGCTAAGGCTCTCGTTAGTGATTCGTTGGTCTCTTTCAAAAAAATTTAACTTTGAAGGTTGCCTACTACCATAAGTTTGTCGATGAGCAAAGCAAGCGCGAGCTGAAGGAGATTTTCGCTGCTTACGACAAGTCCCTTTTGGTTGCTGACCCCAGGCGCCGGGAGAGCAAGAAGTTCGGAGGACCCGGTGCTCGCGCTCGTTACCAGAAATCGTACCGTTAAACATTTTTGTTATTGTTGGCAAATAAATTCGTTATTTTTGAATATTCGTGAGCATTGCAGGGTATTCATTATATTTTCTTACACCAAAAGCTTGCAAGGTTAAGAAGCCGTCAAGAAAAAAGTTTAGTGTGTTTTATGTTAATTTTCGTCGGCGGTAGATGCGCAAGAAACATGGTTTGACGAGTATTTTGTAGGCAGGACGTACTAAGAAAAGATTATGCGGACAAACATGGTACTTTTTAGGGGCCCACCCGGTGGTCCAGAGCTGCTGGCCAGACCGAGGCGCCCCGCGAAGCGTTCACAATGTTAGAAGATTTCTCCAGTTACTCAATGATATAATTGAATCAAAATTTTCTTCGACCAATAGAGTTCTCTATTATTCGTTATTCTGCGGATTTTTTTTTACTTAATTTTAAGTCTGGATATGAAGACTTATGAAGACAGAGTTGCCAGTAGATTTCATACTGTGATGGGCTTTTGATTGAGGTTTTCTTGAAACACCAATTTTTTTTTCGCACATTTTAAACCCTTTTTGTTGGGTTTTCATTATTAAAAACAAATAAAGAACACACTTTCTCTTTTTTCCTTATTAATGAATAGTATTTTGACTTTAACTTATGAAAAGAGCTAAATCGCCGTTAGTTGAGTTGAAATCCCAATTAAAAAGTTCTACCATTTTCGATTAACTTCGCTTGAACTTTTTGGGATTTGGTCGGAAAACCATTCAAAAATCCCCTCAAGGTTTGTTGTAAGATTAACTGTATGAAAATTGACGAGAACTCCAAAAATGGATCTCAAATTCGAAGAAAGTGGAACCAAGCGCCTCTTGGAAGGAAAAGGGGAATTAGGGTGCAGGATCTGTCGCCCTGGCAACGGATTCAATTCCTCGATTGCCTCACCTACTCATATTTCACCTTTTCCGGATCGAACTACTTTTCCCTTTCTATCAAAATATTTCTATTATCTTCAAAAACCCTTCTTGTTACACAGAAATTTTGAATTCGAATAAATTGCATTTTTTTTTCTCTCTAAAATATTCATTTGTACTTTGAAGGCTCAGCAGCTGCTTCGATGTGATTTGGGTGACGAGGAAAATGGTTCAAGTTATAGATAGCTAGGAATATTTTTCAAATCGAATAGAGTTTAAAAATGGATCCCGTTCAAAGGAACATCGTCGCAACGGAGAATCTTCTCGAAGCTTTACACAAGGTTTGTTGAATTGTTCCCTTTTCGTGTTCAATCCGAGTTAATAATCCTTAAATTTAGGCTCAATTCAAGGAGATATTGTTTTTGTCTGTTATTTCAAAAGCGATTTTCTTCCTAGATGGTAAATTCAGGGAATATTGGTCCCAAAAAAGCAATTTTTCCTGGTTTTAAGCTTGTTAAAATAATTCTTATTTTTAATTGGAGATCTGAATTAGGTGAAACTGATTTATCAAAATCAAATTGGAAGTGGAAATTCTCCTTCTGACTAATTAAAAAAAAATTGAGCAGAAATTACATTCGATTCTCTACTGAAAAGTTGGAGAGCTTTCGAAACCGTTTCCAAAATTTCCACTCAACGCAAAACTTTTTTCAGAAAAATTGCTCAAAATTTGAAGTTCTTAGTTTCGTACAAAACTTCGCAGATTTAGTTTTATGAGGTTTTTTTTTTCTCGAGACTTGAGTATTACGATCGTTAAACTGAGTTTGATGTGAGAGATCTGCGATACGTTTTTGGCTATAACTAAGAAGTCTAACGAGATTTTCGCATAAGACAAATGGATGTCCGTTTTACTCTATTACAAGCTCGATCTTTCCTTTTTATTATCCGGAGAGCGTTTTCAAAAAAAAAATTTGCAAAAAATCAGTCTGATATTTGATAAAGTAATTAAAATGAGCCATTCGTTCAAAAACTCAAAATTTGAAAAGAAGTCTTCATACAAAACCGCCCCTTGAACTAGATACAAGGTGATAACTTTTATTTATTCAAATAAAATCTCGAAAGAGTTCTCATCGTGAAAGAGATGCAAACCTACAAACTGAAGGCGACTTTTCAATATACCAACCTATTTATTCCGTTTCGAAACAGCTTCGGTTAGGTTCAACTACTGTCTTCCGAAAAAGCTGCGATTCAACTGTATCTGCTTAGGACTCGTCGCTGCTCGACGACGACGGCTTCATGCAGCGACTGGCTTTGCTCCGGGCGAAGCACGAGCAGACGACGCGAATTCTGAAGCGAGAGATCGGACTCTCTGCCAGTTACGGCCCGGAGACATGGTCTCATCGGGGCTGCGAGCCCTATCATTCGCGCATTTCTACGGCGACCACTGGCAGGACCTTCGTCGTCGCTGAAGGACGTCGACGTCGCAGCGAGGAGGAGGAAGAGGACGTTAGCCGGTTGGAAGATTTCGCGACGTCGTCTCACGTCGTGGAAGAACAGTACTTTGACGATCTCACCTCCATCGGCAGCGTTGCTGATTTCGCGTCGAACTACGGTTAGGTTCACGATGTTTAAAGTCTGATCAGAAACATTCGTGCAGTCTAAAAGGCACAGTTTTTATGAAGATCTTAAGTCCAAAAAGCGGTTCGTTTTTGGTTATTTTGATTTTTCAAAGCATCTTAGCCGGTAAATACAATACAAATGTTTCTCAGCATATGGATTTTCTTAAGTTTGTTGGCTACTGTGAATGAGCTTCACTTTTGCATGGACCCATTCTAGATGAACTTTTTCCGTCAGAAGATCAACTGCAGCTTTAAAATAATTGTTTCCCATTGAAAGCTTGAAGCTAAGACAACCCGTTGAGTTGCGGATCTTCTTCACTTATTACTTCTTTTTAAAGTACAAATCAGAACATTTAGAACCGCCTACACGAATCGAGTACATGCAGAAAAGCTACGAAGAAGAAAAAGAAGAGAAGAAAGGAAATTCGGAGCAAAAGAAGACCCGAATTTCAGGTTTGATACTATAGTTGATTTTGGCCCCTTTTAGACTTAGAAAAACGTCACATATTGTTGAAAACACACTTTTCAAATTTCCGAAAAAATGACCGGATTTTTTGGTCCATCATTCATAATATTTGTAAGGTATGAGCCAAAAAACTTCTCAAAGAACTAAAGTAGGCACTCAAGAGCCGAAAGAATGTGGAAACTTAAAAATTTTTTTTCACTTGTGAGCCAAACTTTTCAAGAAAACTACTCGGGACAGTGACCGTATAAGAACTAAGCAGAGTGCTTTTCATTTTTCATTTTCTGTTTTTTTTAAGTTGGAAAATCTTGAGTGAAACTTTACTTTGAAGTTGTGAAGCCGCGAGCGAAAAGCCGTTCTACCACCGACCTAAGCACTAAAGCTTCGACCCGACAAGACTCGGCCCCGTCGAATAATCGTTCCAACGAGTTTTTTGTACCTCAGATCACGTTGCCGCAACCTTTCAAGCTCAGTACAAGGTTAGTAAAAACAGTTCTATCCTCATAATCAACACATTAACTTATTTGCTTCGATGATTCAAGCTTCTCAGAAAACCGCTTCCGAATACCTACGCAAAAAAGTTCCTCGATGAGATGCTGATCGAAAAAGAGAAGTCAGAACTGGCGAAAAACAAGCAACACGAAGGATTACTGTTCGAAATCCTCTTCTTTCAAAACAACATACGGATCATCAGGTTCAAAGCGAATCCAGTCCCGCCCACGACCTACAAATCGACGAATCCGCTGGTCAACGACGAGAAATACGTGAACGCGATGCGGCGGAAAGTGGCGTCGATCGCTCAGAGAAGATTCCAGCAAAACTCCCTCGGCAGGTCCAAAAGCGAGGGATCCTTGGCTGGTTCGTCATGTGAGAAAAAAACGTTTGAATTCTCAATTCATATTTTCGAGATAACTGAAGAGTCTTCAGAACCATAGAAACACAAAAATCAGTCGATAGGAAGTTTCAAGCCAGGCCTGATTCTCTTTATTTTTCAACCAGACAGGTCATTCTAATTTGTGGTCGTGAACATCTACAGGGTGAGCAATAAATATTGAAACGCGTTTGAAACGTTATAACTCTTTCAAAAGTCAACCAAACACCACCAAACTTGGAACAAATTTTATTCATACAATATAAAAACAAAATTCAAGAATAGTTTTCAAAACGTCCTCCTTTAGCTTTGATAACGGCCTTCAGTCTCTTCGGATACGCATCGATCACGGCACGAAGGTAGTCGTCGTCGATTTCGTCCCATTTCTTGATGAGCGCGGTCTTCAGAGCTTTGATACTTGGGTAGTTCTCAGAAGAGACCTTCTCGGTCAGATATATCCACACGGCATAGTCCATCGGGTTGAGGTCGGGCGAGGAAGCAGGCCAATCAGCAGCCGAGATGAACTCGGAAAATTGGCGCGATACCACTCTTGAGTCCCTTTGGCGCGATGAGCGGGGGCGCCGTCTTGCTGGAAGGTCCATGGTCGGTTTCCGTAGTGAGAATTGGCTCAGGGCAACACCCTCAACTTCAAAATCTACGCCCTGTAGTATACTTGGTTCACTTTGACTCCAGGATCCACAAAAATCAGCGGAGTTTTGCCGTCAGCGGTAATTCCGGCAAAAACCATCACGGAAGCCGGATGCGAAGTTTTATTCAGAATTTTTCCTTTTTCACAGGCACTCTGATAGTCAGTAGCGATGATCGGATGGTTTTGGCCGTTCTTGTTCGCCTCCACAGTGAAGATTTTCTCGTCGGTAAATAGCGTCGTCAGATGCGAGCCATCTTGCGTGCCAGCGAGCAGCTTTCGAGCCTTTTTCATCCGGAATGTCTTGTTTTTTTGATTGAGAAAGGCTCCTTTCTGCATACGGTAGGGAATCAAGTTCAGCTTGTCCTTGACAATAGTTCTCATCGATTCTCGACTCATTTCGTATTCTTTTGCCATCTTTCTCACGCTTCTTCCGGAGTGCGTCTGATTTTCTCTCGAACGGCTTTGACTGCTTCTGGAGTCGTGACGGTGACTGGAAATCCCCTTTTTTGGATGTCATCTGAAGTACCGAGATGCCGATAGCGTTGTGCAGTTCGAAAAACAAGAACACGAGACACTTTCAGCTTTTTAACGATCTCTGAATTCGTCATTCCACTTTTGACACAATCAATGATTGCGGTCTGGTACGGAGATGGGGCCACCATTACCTGAATACTGAAAAGTATGAGCTGTAACTTCAAACACATGATAAGTGAGCATGAATGAACAAAATAAACAAAAAAATTCAAAGGCCAGTCCTTTGTGCAAAAAGCAGCGATCAAACAAAAAACGGTTTCAATATTTATTGCTCACCCTGTATCTTCTAGTTTTCGAGAAATGAGGTCTCAAAGCCTCAAAATAGCATTTCAAGAAATTTCTTGGGGGTTTTCTTAGACTTTGACGCGCCCTTTCTCAAAAACTTCGGTTGGTTTTTCAAGAAGTATCCTGGCCAATGACTAGGAACTTTCCAACCGCAAACTAAAATTACCTTCCTTGTAAGGAATATGGATACATTAAGATGGCCTGCCATCATTTTTCGGCGTTTGGATGTGTTCTTCTTGATAAAAGGGTCCTCCCTAGGGATCAAAAGAACTGGTCATGTGCCGGCCACCACCTACGTGTCGCCGATTCCTCGCAAGGCCTACGAAAGAAGTCGAAGCGCTTCCAGAAGAGGAATCGACCTTCTGAAAGAGGCGACCACGCCGCCCGGTATCAAGGTTAGCTTCCACATCAACCTGGCCACACTCCTTTGTCCAGGTGCATGAAGCGTCGTCGAACAGAGCCTTCGACCTCCGACATTCGCGATGTCGCGTCGAGAAGATGACGACGACGGGAGCTCGACGGGTGTCGCCTCCAGACTTTGGGAAACTCCATGCGCAGGTTTTCAATTCAAGACTCCGTTCATAGATGGGCAAGTACAGAACTCCTTCGAGGAGGGTTAGTTTACACAACTATGTCGAAAATCAGGAATACGATGATCTTTCAACTTCAGGAATCTCTACAGTGTTAAAAATCAATATCATAAATGAACCTTTCATTTCAATTTTTTTAATGAATAAATTTTTTTCAAATTTGCATTCATAAACTCCAGATGGATGAGAAACTGCGGAAAACTTCTCCGAAGCCGACAACAGTCGCCGTGCCGTTCAACTTCGTCAAGCCGCCCGTGTCGCGACATCGCGACTGTGTCGCAGAGACGACATCGCCTCAGCCCAAGCCTTGGCGACGTTCCAAATCTTCGGTTTCACGGACGCCAGTCGTCGTTTCGAACTATGCGGCTCAGCTTCGAGAAGAGCTCAATAGGTAAACCAGCCTAGGAACGTCAGAGTGCTCCCCAGAGTGGTAAACTTAGAGACTTATTTAGGCTCCTCTCAAGGAACCACTTAAGTTTCAGGAGTTAGACTCTAAACCTATAGAGACCATTTAAATTATAGCCTTCCGTCAACTGTAGGTTTTTTCTTCTACTCCTAGAGTGATCACTATGGCGTTCGTAAGAATGAAAGGAAAGTTTTAAAATGTATCATTTCGAAGGGCGAAGCAAACCGAGATCAATGGAAACAACAACGGAAACGTGTGGTCGGAGACTAACAAACAGAAGGTGGCCGCTTTTCTTGCATCGCGGAGCAAGAGCAGCGAGGACATTGCGGCGAGGACCAGAGAGAAAATGTGAGATTTCTTGAAAAATATCTTCAAGAACCAGTGAAGAAAAAAAAACAACAAAACTTCAATTAACCTCAAAACTTGTCCGCTTGAAAATTTCTCTCTAAGCTAGTTTGTGTAGACTGCAGTTTTCTGTACATTTCAGGCTTAATTTCATTTACATATAATATATGATCTTCATTATTCAAGATCTGAAAGTTGTTAAGGGTCTTTCCAAACTCCAAACTATTGATGGAACATATTCACGACTTTTTTGAAAAAATAAAGAGAAGTTTAATTTCAAATCACACCATTCAATCGTTATTTCTTTTGTCCAGTCAAAAGCATTTCCTTTCTTCCGATAAATCACTAATTATCTGAAGCTAGCCTCGAATCGAGTATTAACTTCATTATGGAATCATTGCAGGCAGCAGCAAAAAGAACGGACGCGCGACTATTTGCGACAACTAGCCGAAATGAAGCAAAGGTACCAGAAGAACCTTAGTCGTTTTCATAGGAGTCAAGTTGTTCACTGTTTCAAAACTCCAAAAGTTTGGAGTAAAATTGTTCAATTTTTTTTCCTATCAAGACGCGATAGTTGCCTAAAAGAAGCGTCTGAAGAGAATATTTCAGAGTTTTAAACGGTCCCCTGGTCATGGAAAGACAGACGGCGCTGGCACAGGAGCACCGTTTCCAACGTCGGTTCCAACAGCGGATGAGAAGCGCCAATCTACGGATCGATACCGAGAAAAATGTGAATTCATTAACCCGATTTCAGGAAGGAAAAAGTCATTTTTAGAACAATCACAAGCGACTATCGCGTCACGACTCCCAGGCTTCTAACGCGACTTTTGTCGCCGTCGGGCATTCCTCGAATCAAGATCATCAAGACAGTCTCCAGAATCCCTACGACGATTCTTCCGAATCTGAACTCGCTCCTTCCAAGGAAAAGTCCTCCGCACAGAATTCGGAACGAAGTTCGGTTTCTTCTGGAAGTTCATCGTCAAAATCTTCCGCTTCTTCTTCGGCCTCCACGTCTTCTTCAGCTTCTTCCCACGGCTCCCGCTCAACTTCCTGACCGGTTTCCTCGACTTTCATCAGATTTCCTGCTTTAATAGGATTATAAATTTTAATTATTTGATAGAATGAATAATTCGTCAATTCCTTCATGGCACAATCATTGAGGTGGAACAATATATGTTAGCATGCTCATAACTTTTTTCATAATGAAATGGTTACGGAGACGGTTGTGCGGCAGACAACGACTTCGAGTCTAGAAGACCAAACTCCGGGATCCTTCTTCTTTAGTTATCAATGTAAAAGGTCTGAAGAAAGCGATTTTTGTTCAGTTTTGAGCTTTTTCCTGGAAAGTGACACGACAACTAAACAATATAGAAGCTGCTCTATCGATTGATACAGTCATTTTGAGCTTTTCCTATCAATCGAAAAAAAAGTGCACCGTGGTGTAGGGCTCCAAATTCATTCAATTCAACCCTTTCGTATTTTAATGAAACTATTTGAAGGTTTATATCTTGGCTCTCCGAGCATACACAGCTTATCCAATTGTTTCATTCGATTCGTCTCGAATTCAGCTTTACAATTATGCAAGCTTGTCAATCGATTGAGCTTCATCCAGACTTCATAATCAGGAAGAATCCTTGTAATAAAAAATGATACTGCGAAATGAATCTGCTGCTTGTTAAAGACGAACATTTTCCCATATGATCATGATATGATCAAGAAGCGTAGTTGTAGAGGTTAACTTTTCGCCATACAACGATAAAAGGACTCCACGAGCTTGAAACGATGCATCACGACGCAATGAGTAAACCGTTCGACAAAATTCGTTAAATAAGATTTATTCATTCTAAATTTACAGTTAATCTCTTCTCTGATGGCAAATTATGAATGGGGTGTATCGCTTCGACGATCCTAGGGTCATGCAATAAAGGAGCACAATCTAATCGGGAAAATAATGCTATCCTATTTCAAAATCCAAAAAGTCAATGCAATAGAATATTCATAAATTAAGAGTATATAAAAAATAGGATGAGGAAGCTTTTTAAATTCAAAATTGGCTAGGTTGATTACTCGTCTTGTTTGTGTTCGGGGTTTTCGTAGGGGGCTGGAAGACTAGTCTCTGACGGCTCAATGTTCCAGATCTCGCGAGCGTACTCGGCGATCGTGCGGTCGGTGCTGAACTTGCCCGTCGAGGCGATGTTGTACAGGGCCATGCGAGACCATTGTTGCTGGTCGCGGTACGTCTTCGCCACCTTCGAAAATAACCATCAAATCAATTCGAAAGACATTTCCAACTGTGGTTCATGAAAATTATTCTTTTTACTACATTTTGAAAAAAAGGTTCAATATTTTGTTGCCCACATTTATGAGTCGCTAAAAAAAACCTGCAGCTTCAGAAGAAATCACAAAAAGCTCATAATACTATGAATACATAGCCTCTCTAGGAGCTTCAGAAGCACGCGTGATATCATTGATTCTAAATCACCTTGTCTTGAGCTTCGACGAACGCGTCGAAGTCGGCGCAGACCATGAAGCGGTCGTGGTGTCGGAGCATATTGGAAAGATCGCGGAGCTGGTCGGGGTCTTCTGGAGTGAACTGGCCGTGCTCGATCTGTTCGACGATTTGGCTGAGCATCGCGCTCTTCTTGATGAACTCCTGGCTCGAGTAGCCGCGCTTCTGGAGTGCCTCAACGTCTTCAACCGTCATGCCGAAGATGAAGATATTCTCGTCTCCCATCTCCTCGGCCATCTCGACGTTGGCGCCGTCCAGAGTACCGATGGTCAGCGCACCGTTGAGCTTAAAAACTAGGAAATTTCAAAATTTTTTGCGATTTTGTGTGTAAAAAAAGTAACTGCATGCATTTTTCGAGCTGATTTCATAAAAAAGCTTCTAAATTTCAGAAAGCACCTTCTCCTATCATTCTCACTTCTGGTGCGGCCGAAACCTCTAATTCCCGTGAGAAAGAATTTTTTAGCTGAGATATCTCCAAAAACTCTAAGAGTCCGCTCAACAACTCCACGGACTGACCAGTACTTTTTTTTTCACTTTTGTGTTCGCCTTGAAAAAAACAACAGCTCGAGTTACTATCCTCAATAAAAACACGTATTACTTTACAAGGCACTGACCATGAACTTCATGTTGCCAGTTCCAGAAGCCTCAGTTCCAGCCGTCGATATCTGTTCGGAAAGGTCCGCAGCCGGAATGATCTTCTCGGCCATCGACACTCGGTAGTTCTCCAGGTAGATGACCTGAACTTTCTCACTGTGTGAATTCACTTTTTCTGTTCCAACCTTCAACTTATCGCCAACAACGGGATCGTTGTTGACGACCTCGCCGACGGCCGTGATGAGTCGGATGATCTGCTTGGCCATGTGGTAACCTGGCGCGGCTTTTCCACCGTAGATCATCGTGCGCGGCACCATGTCGATGCTCGGGTTCTCCTGAAATAAAAATTGTATGAATTGTTGAACATTTCAATTCATACAATCCTTTTCCACATATCAGCTGTCCATTTTAATATTTTCCCTTAAAAAGCACCTTGATTCTGTTGTACAGCGCGATGACGTGAAGAATGTTGAGAAGCTGACGTTTGTACTCGTGGATTCGCTTGACGTGGACGTCGAAGATCGAGGCGGGGTTGATGGCGACGTGGTACTCGTCGGTGAGGAACTGGGCGACGTGCATCTTGTTTTCCTGCTTGACGCGCCGTATCTGGTCAAGAAAGCCAGCGTCGTTGGCGAATTCCTTGAGCTTCTGGAGCTCGTCGAGGTTGGTGATCCACGAGTCGCCGATCTTCTCGACGATCACATCGGCTAGCGAGGGGTTGGAGAGGAGCAGCCAGCGGCGGGGCGTGATGCCGTTCGTCTTGTTCTGGAAACGGTCCGGGAAGAACTCGTGGAAATCTTTGAACCTGGAAAAAAACATTTTTGTTTTGTAATTGCCAAAAGATTGAAGAATAACGGAGATCTAGAGAAAAAAGCAGCAAACCACTCGCATTAGGGCAGCGAAGGTGGAACTACCTTTCAATTTTTTGAGCCAGAAAATTTTCTTTTTTTTTCTCACCTTGAACCCGGCGTTTGGGAAAAAAAATAGTCCATGAAAGGTTTTTGTTCGATAGGAACTCTTTTAACTCTAGGTACCCACGGCTTCAATTTTTCAATCGTTTTTCCTCATTTTAAACATTTTCTATGATATTTCGCTGAATCGTGAAGTTATATTTGTTAACTAACTTTCCCTTATCACGATTCTCTAGTCGTTTTCCTACTTTTTCTCAACAATTTCTTCTTACTCACGTGGTGCTCTTCAACAAGTCCGAGTGCAGGGCAGCGACTCCATTGACAGCATGGGACGCGACAATGCAGAGATGAGCCATGTTGATGCGCTTCTCGCCGAACTGGTCGGCCTCCTCGACGATCGACATCCGACGCATGCGATCAAAGTCGCCGGGGAACTTCTCCGAGACGCTGTTCATGAACTTGAGGTTGATGTCGTAGATGATCTCCAGATGACGTGGCAGAAGGCTTTGAAGCATCGAGACGGGCCAGCGTTCGAGAGCTTCTGGCAGGAGCGTGTGGTTCGTGTAGGCGTAGGTCTTGACGCAAATCTCCCAGGCCTTGTCCCAAGTCAGGCCTTCGATGTCGATCAGAAGACGGAGCAGCTCGGGAATTCCGATCGACGGATGCGTGTCGTTGAGTTGAATGGCGACCTGGAAAATAAATGTTAACGTCTGATCACCGCTAATTCGTGGCAGAAATAGCTATCACGACGAGCCCCTCATTTGGGCACAATATTCATCCTTGTAAAGGCATTATTTAACATTGTTTAAAGAATGAACTATAGGCGAAACTGAGTCGTTTCCATTGCATTTTCGTGTCTTGAACGACTAAATTCCATTTTGAGTCCAAAAAGGTTTAATCGAATTTTGCTCGATTAAAATTTTTAATTTTCTCGTTGACATTTCCTTGTTAGAAGCAAGTTTTTTTTTACCTTATCCGGGAAGGTGTCAAAGTCGGCGCGAGTGACTTCTCGATTGCCGTAGATGGAGGACTTGAAACGACGGATAATGTCCTGAAGCGTGGCCGCCACCAAGAAGTACTGCTGCTTCAGACGAAGCTCCTTTCCGACGAACATCTGAATATTCAGGAGTTGGAGCCCAACAGACGTCAACCGACATTGTCGTTGGGATACAGCACTCTGGTGATGTTCTCCGAAGTATTTCGATCCATGACAGCTTGAACGTAATCACCGTCGTTGAAGAACTTCAGGTGGAAGTGGTTCTCGGCCTGAAATCCGTTTTAAACTACTTTCTTTGGAAATGAATCATTCTGATAACTACCGTAAATCTTACTACTAACTGTTTAAAAGAGGTAGGTCTTAAAATTTCCTTCAGATTTCCCTTTTCTGTCCTGTCAAGAATCGCTACCAAGTTTCCATTTGAATAGTGAGAGCTTGGAACTACTAAGAATACGTATCAATTTGAAAATTCAATCCGTTGAAATTTGAATACAACCAAGTTTATCCCTAATGAAATAAATATTTAGAGAGCGGCCCAATTGACCTTGTGTAACTAAAAAAAAATGAAATATGTTTTGTTTTCATGAAAAACATATCGTGTGCCTATCTGTATTTGTTCTTTCGTAGGAAGAATATTTCCAGATTCTACAGTTGCCGTACCTTGGCGCTCCACAGCCTCAGGGTGTTGACGATATTGTTGCGGTATCCTGGGACCGGAGTGTCGTAGGGCATGGCGAAGACGACAGAAGTGTCGACCCATTTCGAGCGTCCTTTCTCGTCTTTGACGACCTTTCCGTAGAAGTTCACCGGCAGCATGTACTCCGGCCGGGCCTTCTCCCAGGGGTTTCCGAAACGAAGCCAGTCATCCGGCTCTTCGACCTGCAATCAACTATGGCTTGGGACGTGAAAAGACGTAGCTCTGTAGGGTTCTCTCATTTTTCAAATCAAAACTTTGGAAAGCCAGAGATCATTTCAAGTTTCCTGAAAAAAACTTGGAACGAGAAAAATCTTCACAGAACTCTAAAAATTGACTTGTTGATTTTCCGACCAAAACGAGAAAGGTTTCATATATAATGTTTGGATTTTGTGGCTCAAACCTGCCATCCGTCTCGGATCAGCTGCTTGAAGATACCGTACTCGTATCTGAGACCGTATCCATAGGCCGGGATTCCGAGAGTCGCCATAGAGTCAAGGAAACAGGCGGCCAAGCGTCCGAGGCCTTAAAGAAAATAACCATAGTTCATTCACGAAAGCTTGCGAGATTTTCTAAGAAGAAGATTAAAAATTCACAAAAGCGTTTTGATTTTGCTTTTCGTTCATAAGACGATGTGGTTTTGAGAAGGAGACAATTTTTCTTCTCATTGAATAAAAAATTTTCGTTGTTACAACTCAGAACTGAGACAAACAGTCGTAACTTACCTTTGTAAATTCTAAAAACTTAAAAACGAAAGCGTAATTTTCCTTTTACTAGGAAAAGTAAAACCCTTTTAATCACCATTTTCATCACTTATTTTTCAAAAATGTATTTTTCTCTGCACCTCCATTTCCGAGTCCAGCGTCTTCCTCAATCTCTTGCAGCTCCTCGATGTCGAGGCCAAGCTGAAATTCGCAAATTGTTTTTATTAAATCTCTAAAACGCAGTAAATACTTGATAAAGGGCCTCGTCGACCGTAGCCTGGATTCCCAAATTCATCATGGTGTTGGAAAGAGTGCGGCCCATGTAGAATTCGAGCGACAGGTAGTAGACACGCTAAAACTCTTCATTTTTCTTTATTTTTCCCACGAAAAAAATTAAGTTAAAGTTTTTTTTTCAAACTTGAATTTGCTCGAAATTCTCGACTTTTCTTTTTTCGTGTTTTTACGAGTTTACTCATTTTTTTTTTTTTTAAAAACACAATTTTGATAAAATATCATACTTTAGGATCCTTCTCATAGTAGTGTTGCTGCGTACGAATCCAACGGCTGACGAGATGATCGCGAACCGTGTTGGCAAGGGCAAAGTAGTAATCGCGCTCCGTCGCCACGTTTCGGTCCTGCAACTTTCTTTAGTTTCACTATTCCTTTTTTGAGTTGGTAGGTTCTAAAACTTTTGAGAAACTCGAAGCGATCAAAGCCAAAAAACTCATTTGAATGAAAATTCTTAAAAATTGAGAATTTTCTATATTTATGATTTAATAAACTGAATTGCCTGTCAGATGACTTTAACTATGTGGTAACTATTCAAGAGAAACAGAATTTTATAAAAACTTTTCAAGTTTTACCCATAATTTTTTCAACTCCTTCAATATGGACTATTTTTCACCTCTTTCTAATTTACTTTCGTTTCTTCTTCTTCTATATTTCACCTTGATGATCGAGAAATGGAGATGACGATTGAAGGCCTTTTTGATGTTGCTGACGTTCTCGACCTGGGCGATTCCTCTAACACTGATCTGCTTACGACGATCGTGATCCGACATCATCTTGGACCCGAACTGAAATTTCAATTTTCGACTAAAAAACATCGAAAAAACAAGGAATAATTTGCGAGCGAATGAAGGTACGAATATTAACGCAAGAAATCTCTATCTCTATGGTACCTATTACCGGGTAAGTATCTGGATGCTATGAAAAGTGCGATTACTACATGGTGACTCTTCGGTGGTCGTTATACTAGTGTTTCTGTTAAAAATGCCAAGACCTTATTACCTAATGCCAGAAAAAGATAACCCGGAAAGTATAAGTCGGACTACAAGAGAGCAATCGCCAATGTCAGGTAGGATACCGATAGTACCCACGTACCATGGAGATAGTGCCAGGTGGCTAATAAACGATCTCAGATTAGCTTACGACTTTACAGTAGTAAATTAACCTCAAACATATTGAAGTTGAATTTCGATCCTAAGAAGTGGATGAGAAAATCTTTCCGACGCGAAAAATAAAAGCGAACGTGGCGAGAAAACCGCTATGGTCATTCCCTAGAGAACAAACAAGACAAGATAAGAGAACCAACATCATTAAACAGTTATTTCATGGCCTTGGACCACGAGAACTTGATAAAAAATTGTTTTCTGCGTAAATTCTCGAAAAGAGACCACAAATCGCGCGATTTTTAGAGCCGCAATGCAGTAAGCGATGGCTAAAATAAATGAAAAACGACAGGTCGAGAGGGATTTTTGTCGTGTCCGGCCGAGAAACTTTGCTTTTTTCTTCCTTCTCCAAGTTCTTCTCGCCCAGATCGCTAGCCCGAGTGAAATGAACATTTGTCGTCTCTCTTCAGGTTGGATAACGGAAGAAATGGAAAATCTGGTTTTTATGAATGTAGAATAGAAACAAACTTAGATGATAACATGAAGAAAAAAAGGAGGAAGAAAAGACAGGACGAAAAACAAAAGCGACTTGGCGGGAAAACAAGACCTAAATATGATCTTTTTGTTGATTGAGTGGTCAGAAATGCATTTTACTAGACTTGCATGGCTGTAAAGTTCAAAGTAGAAACATTAGCATTCTCTTTTTTATATCCATTTCGAGACTAAAAATTCAAACAAAAATCGTCTCAATTTTGTTCAAAATTTCATTGAATTTAAATCTAGCCGAGGTGTTTTGGACTAGAGGTTTCCAAGCGAAGAGCTCGTTTCTTTTTTTTCTTATTTGACATAGCTATAGCTGCAGCTTTAAGATCAGTTAAACTAAGCTTAAACAGTGATCCTGAGAAGTTGGATTAGAAAATATTTCTGACGCGAAAAATAAAAGCGAGCGTGGCGAGAAAACCGGTATGCTTTTTAAGTTGACTTTTTGAGCTAAAAAATAACTTCGAAGAGCCAAGAAATCAAAAATCTATGTTAATAACATAACCTTATCCGAATTATGGCTCAAAAATACATAAATTTTTTAAAGAAAATATCTGTTATCGAAAAACTTGCAAAATGAACGGAAAGATTAGAGTATGGCCGCGACCTACCCATTTCTTTTATTCTCCCTGATCAGGGAATTCAGCTGAATTGCAGATAAGATGAAACATATTGAAATAACGCTTTCGAAGCTGATTCGTCGGTTTCTTTCTTTGTATTCACGTCGAAGGAGTTTTTCCGACTTATTTTTACGAACACAACCATCTATATATATATGACGGTAAAACAATGTTTTAATTAATAAGAAAAAACGATTGACCACCATCAAACCAGCTCCAAAGTAAGTCATTTCAAACTAATTCATCGAATCTTGAACTAAAATCTTCATCAAAAGTCTAAACATCACGGGAAAAAAAAAGAAAAACACGCGGAAAAAGAAGCAGCACAATGCCCATGAGCGAAAAAAGCATTCGAAATCAATATAAAAAAGGGGAACGAGGAGTCCGACGCAGCAGTTCTTCACTTGCCCAGCAGCTGTTTTCGCCCCAAGGGCTCACAAAGTTGATATCGGCACGTTTTACCGCCGCCCGACGCTTCGGATTAAGCTCACTCTCTGCCAACTCTGCCACTGGACTTTTCCTTCGAGGTGGATCGATTTTTTCGAAGGACAAAATAAAAAAGAATGATATTCCTAGCTTGCCTTTCATTCTAAATAAAAGACATTTTCAAGCGTTGAGTGAATTTTTGTTCAGAAAAGATTCGATGAAGATTTCTAAGAACCAAAATTGATTGTTTATGCAAGAAAACAATAAAAACTTGAAAATTTCGAAAAAGAAGAAAAAAGTTTGGCTCTTTATTTTTAAAACTCCCAAATCGATTCGAAACAAAATGTTTGAGCTATAAGTTTTAAGAAATGAGTCAGAGTAAAGGTAAAAAAAAAGAGATTTTCACCAAGTTCGATGTCGAAACATTTAAAACAGTTATCTGAAGTGTTTTATGGCGTATAAACTAATTTTTCAACTTCCTGCTGCGAAGAGCCTTCTTAAGAAATTCTTTGAAGATAGGCAGAAATAAAAACTCACTATTTTGTCTTCTAAATCAAATTGTTGAGGAACAACTAAGCATCTCACATTGCCAGAAAATCATCAAATACAAAATGACAATTTTCAAGCGGGTAGAAAGTCAAAGACGAAAGATTTCAAGACACAGAGAGAAAGGGACAAAATTTTTTTTGTTTTCGACTTGTGGTGCGCTTGTTTGCGTCCGTTTTGCAAAAACCACGGCGATGATCGGTCGGCACAGCGGATTCTTCTTCTTTTCTTTCTCGTTATCGACGAGACTTGGTAGCATCGAAACAGTTGCGAGCCTATCACTTCTGATCACATCACTTGGTCTTTGAGTGTTCGAAACTTAAAACGACATGAAGGACCATCGGAACATAAACTGAAAAAAACTGGACGCAAACAAAGCTTTAAAAAAATAAACTAGAAAAATAATTAATCTTGTCAATGATTCAAAAAAATTGATAATTAATGAAAGTACGTTACAAAAATAGACGCTGCTGCACGATTCACTGCTAGAGTAACATTTGCAACAAAAAAAAAAACATTTTAACTACGAAATAGTCGTTTTCATGTTTTACAGATTGAAGTAAGTAAAAAAACGAAAAAAACAGAAAAAAATAGAATAAAAAAATGCGAGTAAGATAAATTTTAACTTGCATTCACAAAAGACGGCCTCAAAAAATCAAAAAAACCTGCAAAAAAAGAATGAGGAGTTTGAATGAACATATATATATATATATATATTGCCGTGTTCAATGTGATTCCGCGAAATTCAAAATAGCCGTCAGAGAAAGAGAAAGATAACTAAATTTTGGAGGGTCAGAGACAATTTCGCATTTCGCGGAAATCACTTTGAACACGGCATATATGTTGTTAACAAAAACTGTCACCTTTTCATTTGTTTTGCGCGTCGAGGTGCGTCATGTGTGTGACATTGCGCCGTTCTGAAGGAAGGAGTATTTTACGACTGAAAAGTAGGAAATCGTAGTTTTTCGTAATTTTCTATGACAATTTCAAACATTTCTTGTTTTCTCGTTTATTTAGACTGCACTCTTTCGATTATTTGAACATGAAAGCCATTGAATAGTTTTTTCGTTAGTGTCTAGAACTTTTTTTCGTATATTCCAAGCGAATCCTATCTTATAAAAACGACGAAGTGCAAAATAAAGTTCTGAGAGGCTTTCTAATTAGTTTTCTAAATTAAAAAAATTCGAAAAACGGTTTAATATGAATGGAAAACAAGCCAAAAACAGTGCGGCGGTAGCGGGAAATTTCTAAATCGTCATATTTCTCTGTTTTTCTCCCGTATATAAGTCTAGAAATTTTCACAAAAAGCTTCACAACTCCGTTTAAAAATCAAAAAAATTTCCAAAAAAACTAAACTTATTTAAATTTCGGACAGTTTGCTCTATCAGATGTTATAGGATTCGGCTATGTAATCTTTTTTTTTCTCGAAAAATGGCTTGTGTTGGCCAGGTATAGGCGCCTAATGGTTGGTTTTATAGTCTATTCCGCGCTAGCTTGTCACGTTTTTCTTTCCGCCAAAAGTCCAGGTCAAATTTAACCACCTTCGCTTCAAGACCTTTGTTACTTGCCGTTATAAAAGCAGAAATTTGATCTAATTTCGTATACGGTCTTTTTGGCGGGAAGAAAAACGTGGCAAGCTGGCGCGGAATAGACTATAAAACCAACCATTCTCAAACTTTATTTGGGTTTCATCTTGGTTTTTTTTCCGTTCAATTTTTTCGTTCAACGGACCTTGACAATATTCGTCGGCAGGAAATGAAAGAGAGAGAGAAAATTATTTGATAATGTTTGCGTTGCACACGTGAAAATCACGCGGATGGTCAATTTTTGATTAATTTGAATTGGTAAAGTGGTTATCTTCTCGATTGAAAAAAAAAGGTAAATTCTTATGTGGAGTGATAGAAATCTCTGTCCTACATAAGTTATTTAAAAAAACACATATTTTTCTTCAAAAAAATTTCAGTAAATTTTAGTTTCGTAGTTGATTCTCTGTTGTCGATGCAATAAATTATTACTAACTAGGGAACGTTTTTTACCCTCCGGTTGAACTTTCTCTGAAACTTTGCTGAAGTGTACTTTAGGACCCCCTGATCCCAGAACAGAAAGAAAATTTCTTGCAATGGATCACGTTTTCGAGTTAGGACACTTCAAAAGCCCGAAATAGCGATTTTTGTCATAATTTGCGTATTTTGCGGACTTTGAAGCCTTATAACTCGGAAAAAAAAATTTATTGCGAGAAATTTTTTTCTTGCAATCAGGGGATCCTAAAGTACACTTCAGCAAAGTTTCAGCAACAGTTCAACCAGGCGGGTAAAAAAAGTTCCCTGGTAAAAAATTTTTTTAAGGAAATTTCATTTCCTATAAATCCCAATATTTAAGTATTTTCTGCTTTTTTTTCATATCAATCATATCATTTTTCTCAAACAAGCCTTTTTTTCGAAAGTTCACAGACATATTTTTTCTCATGACTTTCATTTATGCATCCGACACTACAATAACAGCCGAGAAATATGGTTTTTGATGTCGCGCGACGTCATTTCGGGGTGCAAAACAGAAAAAATACAGCTGAATGTCAATTGAAACGGTGAGTCGACAATGGTTTTTTTTTTCGCGAGAGGATGATGCAGATCAAAAAAAGAACCGAAACTCAGCGGGGCATATAAATTATGAAAAAACAAATAGTTTTCGCGTTTGGAAACGCTTGTTCCAAACTTTTTTCTCGCTTTTTTTTTGTTGATTACAGCCTTCTTGAAATTTAATTTAAGGACTTTGAACTATATTGGCATATATGCTATGCATAGCTAGATCTTCATAAAAGTTTAAAATGAAGATTTTAACCTTGACATTTTATAATTGAAAATGGAAAAAGTCGTAATTATATCAACAGTGCTATTTTCTAAATTCCTGTATAGTTGATTTTTTTCTTTTATGAGCGTCTTTCATTTTTTTATTTCCATATATTGAAGGATAAAAAAATAGGGAAAAATCTAGTACCTGTAAGTATTCATTTGTCACGTTTTTTTAATTTTCCACCTTTTTTTATTATATACACATTTTCCTTAAAATCCGAAAAAAATCCTTCTTCGAATGTTCACAAAAAAATTGTTGATTTTCTGATAAACAATCTTGATTTTTTTCAAACGAAATCTTTTATTATTCAAAAAAACATCACCATAAAACTTTTTGAATTCACAACTTCTCGAACAAAAACTATGAAGAACTTTTGGAAAATGTTTTTTTTTTGAAAACAAAGCCGTAAAATTTAAGTTGGAAAACTCATCGAATTTTCTCAACTCTCAGCTTTTCTGCTGATAAAAAATTGTTGAAACTAACACTCATGGAATATAAATGAAATGTCTAAGAAATTTGTACGCCAAGACTTTCAATAAAAGTGTTTTACTAAAAATCATTGAATGGATCAATCGGGAGAAGGATACAAGCAGCAAAGTCCGGCGTATGCTAATCGGTGGTTGTTTATTAGCTACCGAGTATTATATCTGTGATATAGTCTGTGTGCCACGACTTGAAATTTTACGGAACGATATTCCGCTGTGCCGCTGCGCGCCTTTGCGAACCTTGGTCGCGCTTTCAAAATTTTTTTTTTCTTTTATCAAGGTACTCTACTTTCAAGTGCTCCCACAGAAATAAACACAGCAGAATGTCGTTCCGTGAAATTTCAAGTCGTGGAACACAGACCATATCTGAATATTACAGTGTAGGCTCCTGAATTTAGCGTTTTCGACCAGATGGAAAATCGGCCGTTTATCGAGCACCAGTTTTTGTTAACCGTTTCAATATCTTATTGGCTAGCGCTGAACAAAAAAAAATACCTGGAAAAAAAAATATCAGATACTCACCCGGTATACCCAGGTACAATGGAGTTAGTATCCGGTCGCTTATAAACGACCACGGACTACCTTTGATGTAGCTGGCCGGTAGCTGCTAGTACTTTCTCCAACTGACTACTGAGTGATCAAACTATTGAGTTATTCCAAATACGATTTGAAGCTCCCACTTCGAAACTCTTATCAAAATACCTTGTTCACCAACAACAATTAGTACACTGCCCAGTTCACCAGAACTTTCCACTCTGCCGACAAATAACCAAACATCCATGCCAAACTTTTACTTGTATATTTATTTTCCCAGTTTTTGATGGGCTATAATATAATAAAATAGATGTGTAAATAAGTATACATTTGGATGTATGAATCATTTCCGTTCGACATCGAACTCGCCCATTTGATGTCATCTCTTTTTTCGCTTTCATTTTATTCGCTGAGTCAGGTTTCATGTATTGTGGTGTGACACAGGTAACGGTTATGATGCTGAGTCAACTTTTTTATTCGAGCAAGAAATACTTGTAACAATCATATCAGTTAACTTCCCTCAATCAAAATGCCGAAAACTGTGAAAAAAAAAAACTTCTGCCACACTCCTAGATTGCCTTCTAGAGAAGTTAGGCATTTGTTGACATTTGAAATCACAAATACTTCACCTGTATTTGGAACATGTTGTGAACTTTTCTTTTTTTTTTACTTATTATATGTTCTACGGGTTTTATTTAGATGCTTCTTTCAGATGGAGTACAAAAAGATCCGAAAGGAAAGAGAAAAGTTCAAAATGAAAAAAAAGCCAATCATCGTGCAACACATCAAAAATCATCAAAAATTCATATTTTCCTTTCTTTATTCTTGTATTTACAGAATTTTCCTTTCATTTTTAACGGCCTCTCTTTTTACTTCCTTGTATAAAAATTCTCTGTAAAATTTCCCATAAATAGGCTGGTTTTTCAGATTTCAAACCTCAGATTTCTTGCTAAACCTCACCAGTTGTTCTATAGATATCTCGTCGCCTTCATTTCTGCCACCTGCAAAACTTTCATCGAGATTGGCAAGGGTGACGTAAACTTCATTAAGAAAATTCTCATTCATTTCAAGAAAATTTAAAGTTCACCTCTTTAAAAAAGAACTATTCTAGCGCTCTTTCATCAAAAAACTGATCAAGGTGAATCTTGGTTTTCTTCAATCAGTTTAGGCTTGTCTATAGTCAATTTTTCCGGTTTGAAACTCGATATATGTAGATCAGTTGGGTTTTTTACAGCCGTGGTTCCACGGTGGCTCGAGTTTCCCATGAAAAGCCCTGAATGGCCAACTTCAAATGTTCATCCTGAAATTCGAGCACGAGGCCAAACTTATCATTGAAATGATTTCATAGACATTTCTGTTTTTTTTTCAAAAAAATCCTTTGGCAAACTCGAAACTCACTCCATAACCTCCCTACCAGAGAATTCCTCCACAAAAACGACCTTTTCTCCAAAACTCTTCCCCTCAACCATTTCACGGCAGACAAGTAAACAACCAAACCGACTAGCAATTTCCAAATAACTCTAAATATTTGTATTTGTGCCACTCTACTCGCAAATTTTTTGGCGAAACGGTCGAAAACGAGGAAGAATCGCTCGAAAAAAGAGCTCACGCAAATATTGACGGATGAGGGCGCCGAAGCGAAATGGGCGGAGTCTGCGTTAAAATACATTTTGATACGGTCCTTAAGTATAAATAACGGGGTCGGAAACTCTGGAGCTACACTGAATTTCCTCAACATTTCTGCTTCCTCTCTTAAAGTTCAGAAAATATTTTCCCCAGCTTCATCTATAACTCTTTTTGTCTTCATCCCAGCTTCATCTATAACTCTTTTTGACCCTTCTTTTTCTAGATTTTGAAAAATTATCAGATTTTAGATCCTCCACGCTGACACTTCTGACGGAACATTTTTTTTTCTTTTTTCAAGTGATAACCTGGGTAATCTCTAGATGGCTTAGAATAATCTGAACATCCCTCCAAGGCGGCTTAGCCGTGCGTGTTTTTGGCCTTTTCTTTTTATGGGAGATTCTTAAAACATTTTGTGGATCAAAACTTTATTTGTAGACTGAAAAATCGTAAATATTCCACTTGCCGAATTCAAAATTTCAAAGCGATTAGTCTGCATTTTTCAACATTTCCAGATATTCTAGTATCTCGCTGAACATTTCCAAGCTTCTGCACTTTTTTCTAACAAACAACTTTCGAGTTTTCTTCCGTACTTCTGAAACTTCGTGATATTTTTTTCATAATTTCACAAGGTGAAAATCAAATAAACACATCTGATTAGCTCCTTATGAAATGCTGAATTTTGGCCTCTAAAATGACTCTTTGGTCTGGCCACCTTCTTCTCAAGTTACACCTCTTCGAATTCTCTCGAAAATGATGAAACTCGCGAATACCTTCTCAAGTATTTCCTTCTAAATCATGATTTCCAGAATGCAAGCATCGACCATCGTCCTTCTCGCTCTGACCATCGCCTCAGCCGAAGCGCTTCTGGGTATCGGCCGCAAACAATCCGTGGCGGTGAGCGGCCGACTCATCTGCAACGGTGCTCCAGCTCAGAACATCAAGCTCAAACTCTACGAGAAGGAGACGAGTCAGTAGTTCAGGCTCCGATTCCAGCTTCATCTCCAACTTTCAGCCTTCGACGTGAAGATGGACGAAGGACAGACTGATCAAAACGGTCAGTTCCGCCTCGCCGGCTCCAAGACCGAAATCTCGACCATCGACCCCAAACTGAACATCTATCACAAGTGCAACTACAACGGAGTGAGTGCTTAAAGAAAAAATAGAGTAATCACTCTGAAGAAGACATGGTCAGTAGACACTCTAGAGTCCCGACAAGAAACCATTTCTCCAAAAGTGGTTTTACTTTTATGTTATTTGAGATGAAAAAGCTCTCAATTAGCTACTTAACGCATTTAGAACTGCATGCTCAAACAGCCCCTCCAAATTTACTTTGGATGAGTTTCAGCTCTGCTACAAGAAGATCGGCATCACCATCCCGGACAACTTCATCTCCAGCGGAGCCAACCCAACGAAAACCTACGACATCGGAACTTTGAACCTCGCCAACCAGTACACTGGCCAAACGACCGACTGCATCAATTAAAAAACAACTCCCTCAAGCAATTTCACGAAAAGACCTCCCATTCCAATCTCAATGCCATGTAAATAACGTATGAAATAAAGATTTTTTTCCCAATTTATTACAACGTTATGATTCAAGGGGATAAAGCTTGCAAATTTTTGACCTTTTTGTTTAAATATATCGGCTATGATACAGAAAGCATACCTATAACTATTATCGATTTATCTTTTTATCGACTTTAATCAGAGTTGAAATTGATTTTTTGCAAGATATAGAGTGGGTGAAATCACTTAAATAAGCTCAAGTGGATGAAATGTGAACTTTGATTCTTCTCACTGAGAAAATTCGAGTACAGTCAGAACCCCATAACCCGAAAGAATAACCCATTAAAATTATTTTGAGTTAAAAAAATGGTTCTATGAAATTTGAGCAAAATGTAATTCTAAACGGAGTCTTATCAAATTATTTTTATATTTTTTTCACAAAACTTTCCTGATTTGGTTAATGTGTCAAGAAGCTCTTTTTCCTGGAAAAACCGCTTTTAATTGAGCGGACGGATTGAAAACTACCTTTGAAAAAAAAAAAAATCTATCCGACCCACTTCAATTCGAGTAACAAATCGGACCGAAAGTCAAACCAAAGGTTAGTTAAGTAACAAGAAACAGCGAAAGTAGTACTCGAAAGTTGGTTAAACAAATGTCTCGAAAACTAACAAAAAGTAACTCCAATGAAAAAGCTTGAGTAAATCAACCTTAGAAATGAGGCAATCAAGGCTTTGACTCAGAATAAAATGAAAATACTTCAACACGTACTTTTACCCCAAAAAGTCAAAATTGACCTATTTTGATGCTTCCATTCAAAGAGGTCCACTTCAAAGCCTTTTCAATCGATTTCCATCAAATCTCAAAAGATTATGGTTCATCATGACGTCACAAAACTAAGGTACAGCTCATTGGAAGCTCAAACTACATGTCAACAGACTTCAAAAAGGAACAATGAATGAATCACCGAGCCAAACATCAACCTCCCTTCCCAAGACTATAAATAACGACACGAGTGAAATTTCGAACTCGATAGAACTGAAATTGTGATGCTCCTCGAGGTGGTGCTTCTTTTTGGCCTGATACCCAGGCTAGAAGCATTTTTCGGCCTCGGTCGGACTCAGTCGGTGGCTGTGAGTGGAAGGCTGATTTGTGACGGACATCCAGCTTCTAACGTCAAAATCAAGCTCTACGATGTCGATAATAGTGAGTTTCAAGTTGAGTCTTGGAGTGCTAATTTCAAAAAGGAAGTGAAAAGTTATAAACAATTATCTCGATTCAGTACTCGACACGCTCCTCGAAGAGTCAACTACAGACCAGAATGGTCAGTTCAGAGTCTCCGGAAATAAGAATGAAATTACTGACATCGATCCAAAGTTGAATATCTACCACAAATGCGATTACAATGGCGTAAGTTCCTTTTTTCAATAAATTCAGTTCCTTCGTCCTCAGCTGTGCTACAAAAAGGTGGAAATCAACATCCCGGACGATTTTATCACCGACGGCTCAAATCCAGCCAAAACTTTCGACATTGGAACTATCAATTTGGCAAATCAGTTCTCAGGAGATAGTACAGATTGTCTCAACTGAATGAATTCCATTTTTCTTTTGTATTCCCTTAAATCGCGTCCAGACTACATATGTTCTCAACAGTTCCACTGCTCTTTTTGAAAAATAAATTTTCTAATAACCATGCGAAAAAATTTTTTTTTCTGTTTAAGGAGAAACAAAGTCAAGTCTATTTTTTTACATAAAATATATTATTAAGACTATATTTTTTTCTATTTAATCTTTATCATTTTTCCTTACCTTTTTAACGTCTAATAGATCGAAATTTTTAGATTTCTGTTTTAAATCGAAGGTATTAAAAAAAAACAAACACTGTTGTCCACTTTTTTGATCCTTCACCTGATTTTCGAACCGAATACTCTTGAAATTTCAAATGTCTTTTTAGTTATTGGAGCAGTACAACGAAGTGAGTAGAAAACCATTCTTCTTTTTTGAGAAAAAAAAATTTTAATTTCAAAAGCTTTACTCTTTTTGTACAGGACATGCGGGGACAACAAATTACAATGAAATGGGAATAATTATTTGCAGTCATCGAAATAAGCTCAGTCTATCAAAAGAGCCAGTATTTTGCAACTGGAACATCTCTATAAAAACAAATTATTATATAATCGAGCAAATGAATCAAGGTATAATCTGGGGAACTAGCGATGAATGATCTAATCTCAAAATATCCAAAAAAAAATCAATGACAAGAAAGGTGATTATCATGACGAAATGGCAACATGAAGGGAAAAAACTTTGAAAATTTAGAAAGCTGAAATTAGAGAATCTACAGTATGCCGCGTCGTTTCAAGACGCACAAATACCGTAATCGTTCAGCATCGTGTTCAGGGTTTCCGGCCTGGCAAAAAGTTTCGAACATTTCGATGGGCACCGAGAACGCTTCAATGTAGGCCAGCTCGAAGATCTGGAATGTTCTCGAAAAGTTGACTTTTATTTTGAGCGCAATTAAACAAGAATAAAAAGCGAAAAGAACTCAAAGGATCACTTAGAATCCGAAATTTCTTCGACTCGAGAACCTGGTTTGATAACAAAAAGAAAGAAAGACGAGAGACAAAATACGAAAATTGAACTCAGCTCAAGAAAAATAGACATTTATTCCATTTTTCCCTTGCTCGGAAACTTCAATTCTACGAAATACGTGAAATTTAGACGTTTCTTAATTTTCACACGATTTCTTCACATAACGGTTTCTATATAAACACGATTCCATAGATTTTGGCGAACTTTCGGTGGATCAACTATAATATATATATTTTTTCGAAAAATGATTACCAGCTTGGGCGGGATCCTCTGGAGAAGCAGTCGCTTGGGCTCTGAGTTGGGCGAAGCCGCAATTGACCTCATCAGGTGGAATATCGCACAAACCACTGAGGAAAGAACACCTGGGATCCAGAAACGATTATTAAACGGTACTCATTGACAAAAGAAAGATTTCTCAGTTCTTATTAAGATTTTCGTCAAAAGCGCCAAACTTTTATAAATATTATGGAACTGCTTTTATTCCTATTGCAAGAAATTAGTTTGTGTAGAACCCATGGGAAAATTTTTAGTAAAGCCCAGGACCATTTTCTCTATGATATTCAATTCAGAACCCTCGTACCTTCTTTCAATTTTTTCAAAAATTTGTTCATCGCCACGTTGATCGACTCGTCCAGCAAGTGAACTAACGCTTCAGGAGTGTCTTAAATTTGCAGAACCCTTGACATCTCCAACTTTTGCTCCAAAGTACCTTGTTCTCCCTCGGAAAGTTCCAGCTGAAGTTTGGCTCTTTTCGACTTCGGTTCATTCGATTCAAGCTTCTTTTTTTCGCATTCCAAGGTCCAAACAGCGACAAAAAGCACCTGAACTAGTCATTTTCTGAAAAATCTCAACAGTTTCAAAAAACTTGAGTTAAAAGTCGAATTAGCGGGGCCACAAAAGGCTGCTCAAATCGAATATCGCACAGAGATCCATCTTCGAACATGTAGTCGACCATCATCTGGAACTTGGTCCATCTTCAGAAACGAACTTAGAAAGAACTTTAAAAAAAAGAATAAATCTTGATAAATGGCAAAAAAAAAAGTTTCCACCTAGATTGAGCTTCAAATAAAAATGTAAATAATTTTTTTTTTCTATGACTAAACATCCACTAATATGAATATCATAAACTGAATGAAATCTTTGATTTTTCTTTTTTCGAACTCCTGAAAACTCAACCTCAAGCATGCGAATAAGCGATCCAAGTTGATCCATCATCATAAAAGCCGAAATCATATCAACAGCTTTGACCATCATCTCGCCGCATTTCAGCTTCATCATGTACGTCACAAAAAACTGAAAACTCTTGAAATTGAAACTGAACGATTTTTGAAAAAAATGACTGTAAAGCAAAAATTTGAGTTTTTTGTAAACTGGTATTCCTAAAAGAATTTCCAAACACGTCATCCCGAGACTTCAGTCCGAACTTGATGATTGGATTTTTCCACATTTTTTTGTTTTCATGAAAAATCTTTTAATAATCTTACTTATTTTGAATATACTTCTACGCTTTGAACTCTATTTTGGCTTCCTTCTCAGGTCAGGTTTTGTGATTCTGAAACGACTTCACACCAAAAAAAATGTGAAAAATGCAACCCTGAAGTGCCAAGTAGCGCACGTTCGGAGCAAACTTTCAGGATCACCGGTTTAGAAATTCGAACTTTTTCGTGGCTATTTTCAGATTATACTGAAAGACATTTTTCATGATAGATTTGTTTCGTAATTACTATGCTGACGGCCAGAAAAAATGATTTCCAAAAAATTGTTATTTTTATTTTGGCTCTCAAGAGGGCCGTTGAAAAAAAGTAAGAAAAACTAATAGTACAATGGATAATGCTAAAAATCAAATCTTACTGAGGCAAAAAATATTTGAAACGAACACTGATCCAATCTTTGTGTTGGCCGGCCAAATTGCAATGTTCTAACATCCGCAAGACGTGAGGACTGGCCCAAGCTTGTCGTTGAGAGTAGATCCAGGCCTTTTTGAGGTGCGCCAGATCAGGAACCTAGTAATTTAACAAGAACTAGTTTTATTCAACAGTCATTATGTCGGAATTATACCCCTATGGGGGTTGGTAGAGTGGCCTCTAGAGGGGACCCTCCAAGGAAATAAAGGTTGCCTCTATAGGGACCACTGGAGAGACTCTCAATTGATAATAGAAATGTTCGAAACAGCCAAATCCCTTTCTTTTATACATTTCAATTTCCCTTTGAAAAACCTCAGCTCGATGGAGATGCGGACAAAATCGTCGAGCAATCGTGAAGGAAGTTATGGCGAGGTCCGGGTAAACTGGCGGCTTTTCGCTCATTTCGACAATTATCGGCTTCAGCATCGACAAAATGAATGGCCACCTGAACGAAAAATAATCATTTTGCAATGGAAGTATTAGTTCTTGGATCATAGCTACTTTGAAGCGAAAACCCACAATAACATCCTCATCATGAGAAATTTGATATTTTCATCTGAATCCCTCGCATAAAATAATGGCAAAAATGATAGCAATCTTCATTATAGACTTCACAGGCTACCGCACAAGCCCCTCCCCCACGATACTAGAAATCATGCAATGGCTGGTGGCGCGGATACGGATTCCTTTCAAACGGTGTCACGTGTTTAAGAATAAAAACTTCGAAAAATCATATCTCCAAAACGAAGCGTTTGCGGAGATAGCGACTTTGTGGGATCGATTCTATGTAAGAACGAAAAAATGTACTTTAAAGCTTCTTCTCCATTGTCGTGCGTCTCGTCTAAAATATTATCCAGCGCTTGATGAATCGTGGCGCCAAGTGCTCGTCGAGCCACCGAGTCTTGCTGAATAACTCGATTGCTTTAAAAAAGCTTTGACAGTAAAAAAAACCTGACAATCCAAGTACTGAATGAGGCAGACAAAGAGCGAACTCAGCTCCTGGAGGCCATATATTATGTTCTGAAAGACGGATAAAAATCTAAAAATCGGCTAAAAATGCTCATCAAGAAAATATCGGTTGAAAAAACCTCAAGTAAAGATTGAATCTCGTTGGATACCTTGGAGAACACCTTTCACTGTGAAAAAAAAACAATTGTCATCGTCACGCTTGTATGTCAAACAGTTTTAGTGATTTTTTTCTTTACCGAAATAAAACTCTGGAAAATCAATAAAAATGAAAAAACAGACCTTCATCGCAGTGAGCGCCCTCTGCTTATCCAAATGCTTATTTTGATATTCTTCAAGCAAAATCGCGCCAATCATTGGTATGGAAAATATCAACTGCGGTATTTCTGGCCTAAAATCTTCATGCTACATTTTTCCCAAAACTTAACTCACTTGTCGCTCCAAAACGGTTGTCGATCTTTGAGCTTCAAAAGGATGGCCGCCGCTTCTTCCCTCGGAATTTTCGGCAGGATATTCTGCGAGAAACTTTGTTTTCGCTGTTTTTCGAGCAAAAGTTCACTTCGTCATCGTCCTCATGGGGCTCGATTGTATTGGAGCGCATCATTGGGCTGAGACAAATCCCGCCGATCGAAGAACCCGCCAGTTTCTCATCGATCGCCGTCACTGGCTCGGTTTTTACTGGGTTCTTAATTTATATCAATGGCTCTTTCGAAAAAAATGAGGAGAAGTTGAAGAAAAAAATAATCTATCAAGGAAAAAAATTGGATTGGTTTTTTTAAAAGTTTCCTTGACTTTTTACAATGTCGGTTCTTGGGAATTTGGATAAACTGTGAGAGGAAATTAAAAATTAGACAGTTTTTTTCGTTCGAACATGAAGCGAGTTCATAAAGTCTCTTGAAATTTTTTTATTAAAAAAACGAACCAAGGTGTCTATCGGGCCGGATCCGTACATAATTGAGTTTGAACTCAGAAAACCTTTTTTTTAATGGTTTATCTGTTAAAATAGTTCGTTACTTTTCGACAGTTTGAAGAGAAATTTGCTCCGGCCCGATGGTTTTCCTCGAGTTTTCCTCGTTTTATTTTTCTTTGGCTCTTAGGACACTTGTGAATTGAATACGATATTTTTTAAAAAAAGGTTATTTTTCACCTTCTGAGACGTCGACGCTTCCGCTACATCATAATTTTCCGTGTTTTCAAGCTTTTTTCTTAATTTCCTCACTCGTTTCAAATATCGATACGCCCATTTATAACTGAAAAAGAATCAAATTGAAACTGAAAATACAAGTGGAGAACTCACAAAATACTCTGTTCATCAATAGCTATCGGAGCAGTTCTACCATTCACCAATTGTTTGAGGTTCTGAAAACGAAAAGGTTTTTAGAGGGGAAAACTTGATGAAAATTAATATTTTTATATATTCTGTACCAAATACGTAGAAAACGCGTTCCTGAAAACTTAAAAAAATCGAACTACTCAAAAGTTTAATGAAAATGGTCTTGAAATGAAAAATTAAAAAAAAAAACGTAAGTGGGACTTTTTAGTGACAGTGATCTAAAATCTTTCGAAAAGTTAACAGCGACTTTGAAAAGGTCTTCTCAAGACCATTTCCTCGAAGTGAGCTTCGGTACAACTGGATATAATTGTTTTCTCTGACTCGGAGATATGTTTGACAGTCCGAGGGAGACCCACCAAAGTTGGGAAATTCAAAGAAATCCTCGTGAGAAGCAGAAAAGTGTTATCGAAAGCTTTCGTTGAATCCGTGAACTTCGTGCTCGACGCTTGGCATTTGAAGTTGAGTCTGCAGTTCGATTTCAGTCATTTGTTCGGAGAATCGAACTAACTGAGCCAGACGACTACTGAAATCGGCGAGATTCCCCTCAACACAGCAAGTGGCGCAAATGGCTTCGAAAGTGAACCCACTGGCTCCCATCATCCCCTGTTGAACGATTATCGAAAGCTTTTCCTGAACAAGAGAACCTCCATTTTTCGAAAACCATTTATAGTCCGTTTTCCCGACTTGAAAGGGCGGCTTTCGTCTCTCATCTTGACGGGCTACTTTCATGTTTCTCTAAGCTTACCGATGAGGGAGCAGAGAGATACACATCTTGCTGATCGCTCAATGAAATGCAGTAAATAGGCTTTTCAAGCCGTGAAAAACGGACAAAAACTTTTCAAACAACAAGTATTGAGCAAACATGAACACGGTTAGTTTCAAATATTCAACAAAAAAATTGGTAAACAATTTCTAGCGGATTCTAAAACTGGTGCCTGGTTACTTGGAAGCGCAAAAATCTTTCAAGGTTCAGATAAACTCTGAAAATTACTTTCCCGTGCCGTGAACACACTCAAAACACCCACTATTAATTTTTTACTTGTTCACTCCACAAAATTGCAATGATTTTTTTAAAGATTCTAGTAAAAAAACCAATAAAAAGTTCGGAAAAAAACACCTCTATATCCGTTCCGGAATCCTTAATTTTTTTTTAAATTTTTAATATGTAATTACTTCAGCGATTTATAAAAACCTACAAACGACATCGATGACGTCATGGAGAAGGCGGCTCCCAGCGCCGAGTTCAACATGCTGATATCGTTTTTTTGCGCCTGATTCGGGTCCCGCCGCGAATAAATCGTCACTTCCCCGTTTTGCTGCATCTGCTTCAGCCTAAAATTGGTTTCTTTCTGAATCGAGTAGCATGTGAAAAACGAAAAACAAAACTACTTATTTTCAATCCTGAATATAAAATTTGAGTGGAAGAAGAGAAAGGGGTTATATTTTACAATTTGCTTCGCATTACAACAAACACTATCATTCTTTTTTAGGATTCAACTTGGGGATCTGAAATACACAGCTGTAAAAGATCGAGAAACGAATTGAGATTTATCTAAAACTATTCCGAGACTCTCTTTCAAAATGACAACAGCTCACCTCGTCTCAATGAACTTGTCGGCTATTTTCTGCTCCATCAGCCCCTCCTTGACCAAGTTCATCAACAAACTTCTAAAGGAACAGTCTTTCCAAGCGGCGTCGACTAGATCCAACGTCTAGACAAAACAAAGTATTTTGATTATTTTCTTTTTTCGATTCCAACCATTCTCAAGGTGTTCAAAACGCGCTCAATAGCAACGGAAATTTCCTTGACGGCATGTTTGTAGCGTTTGACCATGCTGTTCCAGATCTTCGACAGTTTCAGGTAGTAGAAAACAGCGACGTGCCATCGGAATGTAACCCTCACTTCCATCCTTTTTTGAGGCTTTTCGTGCTCTTCCGCCTCAAAAATTCAGATATCAAAATTGAAGAAAAGTGTTCTCAATCTAGTGTCATTTTCGATTCACAGCATCTCGTTATAATTCTTCGAGACACGATGGGAAAAAATTCGGAGGAAAAGTAAAATTTTCAATGTGGCCTCAAAATGATGAAAATACTTTGAACAATACAGTAAAATTAGAGTTGGTTTTTTCAACCCAATCAAGAGGAAAGGCCAGCAAGTTCAACTAAGCACCGGTATACTAGTGATCCCTTGAAGGTTTTTTTTCGATAATTTCTCGGAAATTCTGCTACTTAATATTTTTTCTTTGGAACATCTATTCAACCTTCTCCAATGTATTAGACTCGAAGGTTCGAAAAAATTCAAAATATCAAAACAAACGTAGTGTAATTCCCAACACTTGAAATGAGAAACTCCAGAAATTTTCAAATCCCTTCTAGACAACACCCCTGAAAAAGAATTGTTGGTCAAAATTCCTAGGCGACTTCTATGAAATAGCTTCATGAGTGAATCTCAAACCACCTAAACGTGTAATTTATTAACTGTGATTCTTTACTGTACACGCTATTCGGTAAAGTCACTCTTAAGGGTTAAGCCGGTTCTCAACTTTAATTATATTCTTTGCACCTCGTGTATGGATAAATTATCATTATTAAATCTGATTCGAAAGAGATCGAAAAAAAGGAACCTGAATCAACAAGGTCGCATGGACCATATCGAAGACTACTTCGGCGAAAGTCATCCCATTTATTGTGGCGAAAGCGTGAAAAGCATCGGCGACCTGAAACCACGAGAAATTAGTTTACAACTCCAACCAAGCATAAAAACCTCATCAACCGAGCTCAGAATGCGATAACAAGCGAAGACGGACGTCAGAGTTCTCACACAAGTTCTCGTCTGGAAAAAATGTTTCCAAGTTTTTGAATATCAATTGAAATTCGTGATTACACGTCCCGGAACTCTACCGAATATATGCTTCATTAAGACTATTTTCTAGTTGCTTTCCACGTCCCTTTAAATTTCACTCAATGAAAACTACTTCTCATCGTTCTGAAGTGATTAATGTATTTAGTTCAAAGAATATTACAAGCTATTAGGTCGTTTACTAAGTTTCTTTCTTTTTTTGGTTGAAAGTTACTTGGTGTATAACTTTTCAATTTTGGATTCAAACAGCAAACAATTTCTCCCCCGTCATCCTCAGCTATCTGTTAACGTGACTGTTAATTTTGGAGTTTCTGACTTAAAACGAGCAATGATATACTCAAAAAAGGGCAACTAACTCGATTTCAACACCTCTTAGAAAAAATAAAAATCTTTTTTCTTTAAAAGTTTCGGTCAGTGATCAATGACAATGACATGGTCGCTGAACATTTAGAAGCTTTTCTCATGAACGGCTTCGAGATTGATTTTGATTTTTTGTGGTTATTTAGTACAGACATGGTCTGGATCAGTCACGTTTTCTTCAGAAGGTCTAAACGTTTGACGCCGTCAGAGAGCCTCCAGAAGTTCATCAAGCTGTCATTTCAGTTGATTACCGTTTCTCAAAGTTTTAGGCCGGAAACACTCAGCTGAACCACTTCTGCATTGACACAGGGCTGCAGTGACCTTAGTTGTACTTGTTTTTTTTATTAACTTGAGAGATAGCAAAGAACAGAAAATTTGAGAGTGGATAGAAACCACTGCCCTGGTGCTATAAAAATTGTTTGATGAAAAAAGGCTGTAAAATTAAATCCTCGAGTTTCACGGTAGCTGCCGGTTGCTAATTTTATGCCTATAATTTTTTTCAAAACCTCGAACCTGATAAATAATTACAAATGTACTTCGGGGAAAATCAAACAAAAACAGGACGCGCATTGTTTCAACAATGTTGGCCAATCATACATTTGTATGGTCTGGCTTTTGAATAATTAATTCATTTCTCAAATTTTTTGGAAGCAAACGAAAACTTTCACGAGCAAGCACACCACCTCAGTTTACGTTTTATGTAACTTGTTCAAATGATAAGATTGAAAAAGTAAGATAAAAAATAAATTCGCAAAACTTTCCAAAAATCGAGATTTTTCGAGTTCGGACAAAGTTCTGTATCTTTTTTCTGCATAGTGTTATAGGAGTACAGTTAATTTTAATCTGAACTTCAGATTGTGTAGTAGTAAATACTATACGAAGCAAAATTGTGAGAAGTGCTTTTCTGGTTGAAAACTTTTTTAAAAAAATTTCCTTCAAAAAAGAAAGAAACTTAGTAAACAACCTAATATTTCCCACAAATATCTCTCAAACTGTTTTTCAGTCCATTCAAACCTGCTTATATCGATCACAGCATTCATTTTTTTGGTCGAAAACTTGGATGGGCTTGCAAATTCTGCAAATAATACAATGACAGGCTGTAATTTCCCAAAAAGAAACGTACGCTTCAAAATGCCGTTTCAATGTGGCCTGCATAATTTTCAGAATATCCTCGTCATTTCTCGCCTCAAACCGATCCATAGCTTCGACTGTTGTTCGTACTAATTGCACCAGTTCTGAATATTGAATCTTTTTTGCACTGAGAAAGAAAGTGATGATTATTTTCAAGCTCAATGGTAAAAACTGCTTTGAGCATTTTTAGAATTTTTAATTTTTTTTGACGTTTCAAGTGGCTTGGGGAAAGTACAAGTTGAAAAAAAAACACTTTTTTTTCAATTTTTCGTGACCAAGATATTGTAAATTTCCCACCTGAATGATATTTATATCTTCTCAAAAACTGTGAAGTTAATGAGTCTTTTAAAATCCTCAAAGTGGCGGCAAAAGGGCGATTCAAAGCGTCGGGAATGTCGTGTTTTGAATTTCGCATTTCTCCGATTTCCTGAAATCTGAACTTAAAAATGAAAGTGTTCCAGAAAAACCAAAATGGCATTTAAAAGCCAGGCGAAAACGTCTCCAATCGCACTACACAAATCAGAAGCGTATTTTGTGTCTTCTAGCGAGGGACATCTTAAAAATGAGTTTGAAAGTTTATCCCAGGAAAAATAACTCACTGTAAATTAATCAAGGCGAATTCTACCAGACGACAGGCTCCATTCATACATTCATACTTTCGATAGTCTTGAAAAAGACAAACACTTCTCAAAACGGTTGCCCATGAAATTTTCTAAAATTCTCAACATTCATTTGAAAATAAAGCTTATCACCTCTGTTTTCACTAAAATTATTATAAAATCTGTAAACCGCTCTTCGAATTGTTCTGTCATGGTGGCCGCTTTAATTAGCTCATCTAAAAAATTCGATAAAATAAAAGCTTGTCAATTAAAATGAACTCACTTGAAAGCGAAACCAAATTGCAGGAATGTTCGCGTAGCAGCTTCAAAGCAATATCCGTGGACAAGGTTGAAGCAGCCCACATTTGCTGTATGATTTGCTTGAAAAAAAAAATGAACCGAACAGTGGATTGACAAAAAAAACCTGCTCAGAGGTCAACTTTTTCCCGAAGTCATCGACTTTCATCTGTGAAAAAATAAATATCCACCTTCTCTATTTCGCAGGTTTCTTAAATCAATGGAAATTATGAAAGAAAAAAATTTATTGCGTGTTCATCGAACAAAACGAAAATTGGTAAAAACGCCAAAGAAGAATATTGCTCCAAAACAAAAAATAGCACTGTTTTAAAAGAACTTTGACACGCCGAACAAGATTTTTCGTCTTGAAGCATATTCAGTTTTTTTTTTCCAAGAAACATGCTATAAAAATAACGGAAAGAACCAAAAACGCCGAGAATAGCAATTTTATCGCGTAAATCGCGCACACGCCATGCTCTGCACAGCGGCGAGAACTCACAACCAACACGCCTATGTTTACGCGCAGCATTTCAACTCCTGTCGTTTTTTTTCAGTCTATTCTTTGTTTGATTTTCGTAAGATCTTTCAAAAAGTCTTTTTTCAATTTGCTGAAGGCAGCTTCTCATTTTTTTTTTCACAAAAAAACCTGACTAGAAGTTTTATTTCCAAGTGTCGTGCAATATATAAAATTGGATATGAATCAAAGTTTTGCGTGAAAAAGCTCCTCGAAAAAGTTGAGCATGGCGCACCAGGATCTTTTGTCAGCTTTCTTATTGTAGGAGACTCCAGGTTTTTTGAACAAATCGGCTTCTAAAATAGGTTTTTAAATTTTAAATTCAAATTCATGAACTTACTGGGCTCAGTGAAAGCATGTTCCGCATGGGCATGTGATGTAAAGACGAAATCTGCGTTTCTCTCTCGCATTTCGGTCATGAATGCGTCGACCTTGAAGTTATAGTTTTGGACGTAGATATAGTGTGCAAAAATGTGTCGCTTGTCATTTTTCTTGTAATCTTAAAATTCTCTACTGCGTTTTCGTCCTAGTGTAATATAGAGAAACAAAAAAAAAAATAGTAAATGTTTTTCCATTGTCGCGGCCAATGCTCGGACAGAAACCCCACTTTCTCCTTTCCTCTCCAGAGAAGTCAGAGCACTATCTCGCCAACAATAAAAGCAGATTCAGCGACCTTTCCGGGCTCACTTATCAACCCTCGGATCCGAGACTCTCTCCTGCTAATAAACACTTCCAAAACCGCTTATACTTTGTGATCATGTGTCAGACAAAATTTTCTGTTTACGACTTTTTCGCCTTTATAAACTTGTATGAAAAAATGCAAATGATCTAAACTTCATAATTTTTTAATGGACACTATCGCACACTAGAAATACGACAGAACCTAACAATTTGTTAGAGACGACTGGAAAAAAAGCATGCTCACTTGTTCTTTGGGGATATGCGAATCAGCGTCACCGTGCTGAATTAATAACGACGGCTTTATCGGGGTTATGGGAAAGTTCGGAAGAGGCTTCAAACTTCCGTGAAAAGACACGCCGCCTACGAAGTCAAGGTTATATCGAGCCATGTCGATGGTGCAGATCCCTCCTAGACAGTAGCCCATGGCTCCGATCTGAAAATCTCATTTTGAAGCAACAAAAGACGATCTCAAAAAAAAAAAAATCTCAGAGAGGAGCACAAACGTAGTCGGAACACTCGGGATGTAGAAATTAGATAAATAACAAATATACTTCCCAGAAAAAATTACAATTGAAAAAGTTGCTCTCTATACTTTTCAATGACCAAACAATTTATTTTCATCTAGTTTTAATTCAATCTTAGTTTGACTTTTTTTCCCCATGGGTTCGTTTTTTTTTCACCTTTGTCTGATCAAGGCCTTCAACTCTTTTCAAAGCTCTCAGAGTTGCTTCAAGTCGTGGCCTGAAGTTCTTTTCCCGTTCCTCCAAAAGCGGCAACAGGATTCCGAAAGCTTCTTGAGGCTCCTTAGGTCGAACTTCTTTCCCATAGACGTCAGCCACTAAGGCGATCACGTTGAGCTTGAAAATAAACTTTTAGAACCAAAAAAGGCAATTTTTAATGAAGATTTTCAACTTGATTCCCCTTACATTTATCGTTTAACTACAAAAAGTGATGAACTGCTTCAAAATTCAATAAAAAACCTTCTTTGTCAATTTCTTGGCGGCTTCAATTTCATGGTCCGTAATTCCCATGAAGGCGTGGTAGATAATGACACCAGGCAATAAGTTCCCACCTACAGCGTCACTTCAAAAATAAAGTATTAAAAACACATAGTGAAGAAGTCTCAAAAGTTACCTCGGTCTGATTAAAATTCCCTCGAAAACGTCGCCATTTTCAGATTGATATTCAAGGGTTTCCTGATGTACCATGATGGTTTCCTATGGCTGAAAAAAATTCATATAAATACAAAAACAAAAACAAAGCTTTTTCTTTGGAAACAATTTTTAGTTTTAAATAGTCGCCGGAAGAAAATGTAGTTGAGACTCCGAAAGAACGCTTAAAATAAGAAAAAAAAAAATTAACTTCTGAATGAGTACCCGAAAATGATAGGAAAATTTTCGAAGCAGCAAAGACCAAGGGAAGTGCGGCTGACCTGTGCTTATCAACTCAGCAATAAATTCCATCAGACGGCAAAAAATGTACAGAGACGTAGAGTGATGTTTAGTATGTGATATTTGTGGCAGGAATCACACGATTTCATCTTGGCGACGAAAGTTTTTCCTCTTTTTTCAAATATTCGACTGAAATAATATAATCTACGTTGTAAGAGAGCCCGTGAAGCGGTCACATCTTAGGAGTTCCAGAGTAGTTTTGAGTTCAGACCTACAGGGACTCCTCCGGTTTGCACTGCGCCGTTTCTGCTGGCCATTCTAGATTATTTTCGACCACTTTTTCTATTCATTAAAATGAACAAGGCTATTTTTGACATTAGTAGATAAAAAATTACTGCAAAAAACGGCTTTACTTTTTTTTTTTTACTTAGACGGGTTCCTCAAATAAGGATTGGGGTTCTGAGTTCTCCACCCCTAAAGCTCAAGTGGCCCCTGTAGGGGTCTCTCAACTTCATTCAAAAACGTTTATTCATTCAGTTTTTCCTATGAAATGCTTCTTCGCTTAGAGTTCATAACACTTATCAACTAGCATGTCCCCCATAGGGGGTTAGAAAATTAGGAAATAAAAACATAGGCAAAACGGAAAGTTCCTTTGAGGATCCTTAAAGGATCTTGACTAGGGCATGGTCTCCGCTCGACAACGAGTTGAGGAGTGAGACTTTGTGGGTGGATAGGCCTAGGTGAGAGTACTCGGAATCAAAAATAAAATTCTGCTAAACCCCACAGGCGGCTGAGGAAAAGCTCGTCGAAATTCTTCCAGCGCGGATATGGCCGCGCTCGGAGCCTTTGGTAGCAACTGGCGGCGTGGTTTAGTCGGTAGTGGTCTTGTGCCTTTTGGGAGATAGAGATGGGAGGGAGATAAAAAGCTTCCTCTAAAAGCTCCTAAAATGATGTGAAAAAGTTTCTTTCGTTCAAAACGAAATCAACATAAAGGATAAATTTTAAGAAAGACTTTATTTCAAAAGAAAAAAAAATACGAAAAATAAGCCTCGTGTTATTTTTAGCTTTTGAAAAAAACGAAGAAAAATGTCTATGTACTTGCTCGATATAATAAAGCTTTTTTTCCAAGTTGATCCCTTTTTTGTGATTGTTGAAATTTTGTCTCAAGTACCAGAGATATTGCGGTTTTCAGAATGCTCTTGGAGCTCGCAGGTTGAAATGAAAAATATGAAGAAAAGTCAGAAAGTTTTGTTGACACAGAAATCGCGCAGTATGAAGAATACTATCGACGGGGTGACTGTTATAAAAACGCTTTTCGCCACTCGCTTATCAAAAAAGGTCTTTTTTTCTTATCACTCTTTTTGCTACATATCTTCGAGAAAAGTTCATTCCTTCTTCCCAGTATTTTTGCTAAACGTTGGAATCTTATTTTCTTTTTCTCCTTTGAGACCTCGTATACCTATAGAATTCCTGATTAATATCTTCGATTTTCCAAAGATGACTCCTTGATAGGGACCGCAAAGCCACGCCCCTTTTCGCGATAGAAAAAGTGGCTTTTTTTTGGTTTTCAACTTTCATTTTGTTGTAGTTGCAAAATATGTGGAACTGGCGAATAAAATTTGACACACATGTACAGAAAAAGCTTCCTCTTTCGTTTAAAAAAATATTTCACGCTTTTTTTGATGCGTTCTCGCGGAATGTCGTACAAAAAAACGTGAATGGAACTAAAAAAATTTTTGTCATTTTTTTGCTTTTTTTCATGTGTTTTTCAGGTCGAACGCACTCTTTCTTTTTTTTAAATAATGATTTTTGATTCAAGTAACGAAAAATTTTAAAACAATAAAATAAAAAAATTCGTCTTTGCCAAAAAAATTTTTAGGGAGCGCCGAAAGTCATAATTCAAAAATATCGTTAATAAGCGAATATAATCAAGTTTTTTTGTTTTTTTAAAAAAATTTAGATCATGGCCTTACTTGAATTTTTTTCTTCACAGTATCTGTGCTTGAAATAGTTGTTTAATACGCAAAAATGCTCTTGAAACTAGAGAATAAAAATTAGCGGCGTTTATCACACAGAAAGCGGCCGAACGCAGGTTTTTTTAAACGATTATATACATTTATTAGTGAAAAAAATCTTTCAATTAAAAAGAATAAAATAAAAAAATTCGTCTTTGCCAAAAAAATTTACGGGGCCGTTTTAAGGCAGCGATCGTTAAACGAGGAAAAAAAGCACTAAAAAAACAGTTTTTTTCGAAGTGAATTTTCACGGAAAGTTTGAGTAAAGATTTGCGAACATATTCTGATAAAAAAATAGCTGAATTACTTCAAGTTTTTTTATTTTTTTGAAATAGGCAATCTGTGCTATCTAAACGGCTCAAGGGTAAGGCGGATGGAAGCTCCCCTTGCTAGACCTAGCAGCTTGGCGCAGCGCGTGCGCTGCGATTTTTCATTTTGAGGTCGCGAGTTCGATGCCCGCAAGCGTCAGTTTTTTGTTTTCTGGAAAATACCGACTTTTTCGGCAAACTAGCTGATGAGCATCATTTTAGCACTCTATTATGATTTGTTACATCATAATAGACCAGTATCAAAACTTGTTCTAGAAGAAAAATCGAGAAAAATGTCAAAATGGATAATACCAAAATTTCAGTACTAAAAAAATGGTGCGCGGCGCGCCACATTTTTCGTCATAACTTTTTTCATCCTCAATCTTTTTCGAAAAACTAAACGGTTCTGAGTTTTGAATCGAAACAGCTATCAAACCATACAAAGCTCAATGCTGAAAAAAATTTTTTGAAAATTGGTCTGCGGTCCCTACTCCTTGATTTGATTATATTGATTCGATGACATAGCCTTTTCCAAAGATAATTTCCGAGCTAATTGAAACGGAGAAAAACAAGCCCGAAAAGAACAGTGAAACTTTCAAAGAAATAGTGGAGAATTTTTTTGATAATTGCTTCGATTTGTATGAAACAAATATTCATTAAAACTTTTAAGGCTCGAGAGACCATAAATTATGAGTCTATCGGAAAAACTCTGAGAGGCATGGCGAAGACGAATCAAATCGAGGTAAACTTTCAATATTTACAAATTAAATATTAATTTTTTTAGATTTTTTTAAAAAAAGCTTTTTCAAACCAATCACAGATTTCTCGCACAAGGAAACTTTGAATAAGTGAAGAGCAAAAAAATAATTCGACAAAAAAAGCAATTTTTCGCAGGAATTTTTTTAAATTTCATTGTGTTTTTTTATTAATTTTTATATAATATTATTTATTTACAGGCAGAACAAAATAACATGTAAAGAAAAAAAGAGAAAAAAATTTGGCATTAAGCCTGAAATAAATAAATAAAAGGCACTTGAGGCCCTCACGAGCCTCTGAGCCAGTAATGAAAGAATAAGAGGTGAGGATTTCACAAAGGTAAAAAAAGTAAATAGAAAAAAAGTATAAGTTATGACACAGTGTAGCACAGGTGAGTGGGGAATTTAATCGTTTGTAATGATATAGACGCGCATAAGATGGATTAGAGTAGGGCTGAAGCACGGGTACCTGGTTCAACGAAGTCTGCTGGGAATAGATCCAAAAAGGAAATTGTTATCGAGGGATAGTAACAAAGACCTGAAACGATCTGGAGAAACATTGAGGTTTCCCAATGTAGCCAGTTTATTCCAAAGAGGGATGAACGTCTCAAAGAAATTTTCGAAACGAATCCCTACTCTGATAAGACGTGATGGAGCACGTACCGAATTTGATCTCCTGGAAACACTGTGAGAAACTGGCAAATGACTCTCCTTAATATAAATTTTATGTAGTGTTCTTAGACAAAATTCGACTCGTCTTCTAAAAAGAGAGTTTGTGTTAATCTGAGCTAACCTGTCTTCATAACTAGAAAACCTAATGTTTGATTTCTTGTAGTTCTGTGTCAAGAACTTTTGCCCCCGGATCTTTGGCGAGAGATTCTGATGCGAACCTCTTTGTATTCACGTCAATTCCGCAACCTTCCGGTATGTTTCGTACAACCTCACATTTAACTATCTCTGCAAAAAAAGTTGTTTGAGCTCCCAATTGGATAAAAGTTTTGCGCCCTAAACAATGAACTGATCCAGTAACGCTACAATTTATACATTTTATATCGTTTTGAAGCGCGCTGTCTCGTTTACTCGTTAATTTCAAATCAAATATTTTTTTAGTAAGATATAATCGACTAGGCGGTGAACAAGAACTTTTGAAGCTATAACGAACAACCGCCTCTTACGCACCTTTGCCCCGTTTTTCTGCGCGTAGTCCATCCAGTTGCGAGCTCAGAATGTAGCGGATTTTGTGCTGGAGCCCGGAGACCGTGCTCTAGGTTGAAGCCTCGAAATGAGACGAACACGTCTAGTGAACATTTTACACGGAACTTCGAAGATCAAAAAAAAATTAGTTACATTTTTTTTTGAAAAGTGAAAAAATAAAAAATTTAGAATAACAAAAGCCAACCTGTCTATATCAAAACGAGCTGAAAAAAAAACCGTAGAGAAAACTTCTCTCAAATATTTCATCAACAATGACATTTTTTGTTAAGAGAACGTGCCGAGTTTTCAAAGAAATCCTCTCCGACGTCAGTTTCTGGGTGAGACGAGCCAAAATTGAAGGCCAAACGTCTTCTTTGCCGCCAGTTTCGTGGCTCAAAGCATTTCGATCCGAAAAAGTTGAAGTTCCTGAAGACGTTGACGCTACTGGATTCTTTTTCGATTGCGCAAGGATACTTCATTCCAACAGAGGATACGATAAAAATCCGGCTCTGGAAATTAGCGATGATTCGATAAATCAGAAGTTGAGAAGAGAAATCGAACCCGACGTATATGGAGACGGCGATGGGTTGGTAAATAAACTATCATAAAAAAAAATATCACTCAAAAATCGTACCGCCCGATAAAATATCGACGCGAAAAGGTACTATGATGTTTGAGTCTCAGTTGGGTTAAAACGGGGGAACAGCGAGTATGAGAAAAAATCGGTGGCCCAGATGTGCTGAAGCCGTGTCTCAGCACATCTGGGCCACCGACTTTTGAAGCCGTGTCTCAGCTGACACGGGAAGTACAAAAGGTCGAGGTATCGGAATTTAATGAGACTTGGTATATAGGTACTTTCGGACATCCTGAATCCAAAGAAGTTGAAAAAAAGTGCGCCTTTTCGGTTCTGGTCGAGTTATGGCGCCTCAAAGTTTGCACGCAAAAAATGCATGGGAAGGGAGGAGGGAATGTGTTGCGGCGACCAACTCTATTTTTGCCATTTTTTTCTTCGAAAAAAATGAGGAATTTCTGAATATGGAATAAAAAAATAAGCGCTCAAAACTTTAAAAATTCACTGAAGGAAACTTTCGACAAAAATGTTTTTTTGTTTCACATTTTCTATATGGTCAGTATAGTCGTCATAATTAAACTTCGAGCCGTTTGGAATTTTTTTGTATCAAACGTTGATTTTGAAAAAAATAAATTTCTAAATTTTGAAGTTCATCCAAAGAAGAAGTAGTTAAACGGTCGACTGTTGAGCATTTTTTTGAAACCAGGTCACCTAGGGACCGCAAAGCCACGCCCCTTTTCGCGATAGAAAAAAAGTGGCTTTTTTTGGTTTTCAACTTTCATTTTGTTGTAGTTGCAAAAATATGTGGAACTGGCGAATAAAATTTGACACACATGTACAGAAAAAGCTTCCTCTTTCGTTTAAAAAAATATTTCACGCTTTTTTTGATGCGTTCTCGCGGAATGTCGTACAAAAAAACGTGAATGGAACTAAAAAAATTTTTGTCATTTTTTTGCTTTTTTTCATGTGTTTTTCAGGTCGAACGCACTCTTTCTTTTTTTAAATAATGATTTTGATTCAAGTAACGAAAATTTTAAAACAATAAAATAAAAAAATTCGTCTTTGCCAAAAAAATTTTTAGGGAGCGCCGAAAGTCATAATTCAAAAATATCGTTAATAAGCGAATATAATCAAGTTTTTTTGTTTTTTTAAAAAAATTTAGATCATGGCCTTACTTGAATTTTTTTCTTCACAGTATCTGTGCTTGAAATAGTTGTTTAATACGCAAAAAAATGCTCTTGAAACTAGAGAATAAAATTAGCGGCGTTTATCACACAGAAAGCGGCCGAACGCAGGTTTTTTTAAACGATTATATACATTTATTAGTGAAAAAAATCTTTCAATTAAAAAGAATAAAAATAAAAAAATTCGTCTTTGCCAAAAAAATTTTACGGGGCCGTTTTAAGGCAGCGATCGTTAAACGAGGAAAAAAAGCACTAAAAAAACAGTTTTTTTCGAAGTGAATTTTTCACGGAAAGTTTGAGTAAAGATTTGCGAACATATTCTGATAAAAAAATAGCTGAATTACTTCAAGTTTTTTTATTTTTTTGAAATAGGCAATCTGTGCTATCTAAACGGCTCAAGGGTAAGGCGGATGGAAGCTCCCCTTGCTAGACCTAGCAGCTTGGCGCAGCGCGTGCGCTGCGATTTTTTTCATTTTGAGGTCGCGAGTTCGATGCCCGCAAGCGTCAGTTTTTTTGTTTTCTGGAAAAATACCGACTTTTTTTCGGCAAACTAGCTGATGAGCATCATTTTAGCACTCTATTATGATTTGTTACATCATAATAGACCAGTATCAAAACTTGTTCTAGAAGAAAAATCGAGAAAAATGTCAAAAATGGATAATACCAAAATTTCAGTACTAAAAAAATGGTGCGCGGCGCGCCACATTTTTCGTCATAACTTTTTTCATCCTCAATCTTTTTCGAAAAACTAAACGGTTCTGAGTTTTGAATCGAAACAGCTATCAAACCATACAAAGCTCAATGCTGAAAAAAATTTTTTGAAAATTGGTCTGCGGTCCCTAAGGTCACCTGTAGAAAAAAGATTGTATGGACTTTCAATCAATTTTTTTTTTCTTCCCTTTTCTCCGATGAACTTATGAGAATAAACTTTTTACTATCTATTGGAGCCCATTGAGCTTGAAAGAGAAAGACGAAAAAAACTTTGTCCAGAATTTTTTTCTCAAAACGAAGTAAATTAGTGAATTTTAAAGTTTTTTTGAAATTAAAAGAATTTTAAAGTTTCTAAAAATTGTCAAAAAGTTCAACCAGCTGGGCTTATACGGGTTCAATATGGGGGTGCTCGCTGAGACCTCGCCTTAGCACGACTGGGCCATCCTCATCAGCAGGAGAGCTGTTCCATCAGCAGGAGCGGAACTGGTTGACAATCTGAACAGACTATACTAGACTGCGATAAATTTGCAGTTTTTCATTTTTTGTAATTAAATCATGAAGGATTCGAAGTTCATTGATTGGCCCACACTTGCTTTTGACCCTCGATTTTCATCATTTCTTAACCTTGAAAAGTTTTTCGTTTCATTTGTGCTGATAAAACTGAAGTTTATAAATTTTACCCGGTTTCAAGTTAAAAATAGCAAAAAATACTACATTTTTTTTTCACAAAACATCGCAGGAGTAGTGTTTTTGGGGCTCCACTTCCTGAATAATCTTGATTGTTTTCCCAGGTTGTCGCTTGAAATCCCGCCGCGAGGTTGTTTTGTTGAAGATGTTCGTTTTTGTTTCTCCACAACATGCGATTTCGGCTCATACAATACAATGATCTACTTGAGTGAAGACTGGGGAATTGAAGTTTCATTTATTTGTAAGAAAAGGAAGGATTCAGAATTTTTGAGGAATGGGTGCTTGACTATATCCGCCCGACGATCAGGATCACAGAGTTGGTGGCTCATCAGAAGAATTGCGCCTCGGAATATCAGATCTATGCGAAACTTTTGCGACGCGACATGGGATATTATTATGATCCGAAATTCTATCTCGACCCGAAATTTCATTCTCACTGCAAGATGGAGAAGCGAGAGTGGCCCGAGAATAGCGGTGAGTGGTCTCTTCAGGGTTTTTTAAAGGCAAAGAGTTCAGTTTTTTGAAAAAAAATTTCTTGAGAAAACAGTTGAAAGCCGCCTCAAGACAGCGAAGAAATGGTATAAAAAAGTGGTTGCCGCTCTATTTTTCCAATTGTGCTAATATTTCGAGAAGTTATTTTATTCTATAGGTAAAGTCGGAAAGGATGCAAAAAGACTCATTAGAAATTTTCCTTTTAGGGTGATCTTTTTTGCTTCCTTTTTGCGCCATTTTATCGGCTTTTATGCACCTTTTTTGCTGCCTCTCCCTTTTCCACCATTTCTTGAGCCTTTAAGAGAGTTTAAGTGAGAGACTTGAGAGAGGCCTTTTTGCTGCCTTTCTACGGCCTTTTTCGAGGCTCTCTCTTTTACCGGTCATTTCCCACCATTCCGACTTCGCTCGGGTCGGAAGCTTTCATCGTAACAAAGAATCGAGAGGAAAGACGTTTATATAAGAACGAAGGTTTTCTTTGTATATTTTTAGTATAATTTTTTTAGAAAGGCAACTTTTTGAACAATTACAAGAAAAACCGTTTGAAAAATAATGAATAAGTTTAATTTTCACTGGTCACCAAGCTCTAAACCAAACTCCACTTCTCTCATTTTCAGATTGCGGATGGGAAGAGGTGATCCTAGAGATCTCAGAATACCCTATAGGAATGCGAGAATTGAGCATTTGCTCTGGTGGACGAGATTCGGAGAATCGGGAAGATCACCAGGGTCTGAAAATCGCGCGGCTCCAAGTCGAAGTCATCCTCCCGCCGGAAGGACCCCGGGTCCTCCCTCCTCAACTTTGGGCAGAGGATGAAGAAAAACATTTCCTCGAAAGTGAACCCTTCACTCTTGATTCCGCTATGTTAAACCTCAGACCCCATTGACTTGAAAGATGTTTTCCTCAACGTAGATTTTGAGAAAACAGAAAATTATGGCCTTTTCCTCAAAATATTGATAGGGGCTATTTAAAGGAGCGAAGGCTCAATCGAATACAAGATATAGTTCAAAAATCTTTTTAGTGTTGTTTTAAGTCGTACAAGACTTTTGTTGTTACACTTTTTCAACTAACTTTTAACAAGTATTTTATTACAATTCAACAGGACTTAAATTTCGTGCGAGTTTTGATCATCGTCCGCATTGTCATGTACTTTTTTTCAACAGAAAAAAATAAATTTTTTTTAATACTTCGTCATTTTTTGTCGGTGTTTTGTTCATTCTTGAGTTTTGATCATCGTCCGATCTTTTTTGCCAGTCTGATCTTTTTGCCTTTCTTGCGCGGTCGGACTCTTTGCGCTCTTATATTTTCGTACCCCTTTTTTTTACCCTTTGCTCTGGACAAATGGCCGATAAAAGCGTGAAGAAACGTCCGCATTCTGATGTTAAAGACGACTCTTTTTCATCTCTCCCTGATGATGATGCCGATCTGGAGGCGTTGAATACCCGTGATCTCCTAAAGCGAGTTCTATTCGACAACAAGCTCATCATAAAGGCTCATTCTGAGTTGAATCTTCGCGTTTCCGACCTCTGAACAGAACGAACAGAACGCCGACCTCATCGTCAAATGCACCCTTCTGAATGCTGAAAACCAATCTCTTCTGGCAGAAAACGAAGCGTTGAAGATTTCAATGGCTAGTTTCACACCCACCTCACCATCTGATGTTCGCAGTTCTTCCTTGTCTTCTACTGCTCCTGACATTTCCAGTCTGTCTTCCCGTGTCAAATTGTCGGGGGAAGTAGCTGCATTGAACCAGAAAAGCTACCAGGCTGTCGTTGAACGCCTATACGACGCCAAAAACAAGAACCAAGACGATCTCGATAAGCAGTTCATCGACGACATCTGCATCGATGCTGATCTTCGCTGTCCGATTGAGGTCTTCAGGCATGACTGCGATTCCGAACGCCGTCCTCTGAAGGTCCGATTCGAATCTTAATCAGTAATATGGCCTTCTCGCAGACTATCCCTCCTCGCTGTCGTAGAGACATGACGCTGACCGAGCTGTCCCTTCTACGCAGATTGAGAAAAAAGGCCTACGAAGATAACGTGAAGGTAAACGCCTTCAAATACTACGTGCGAGACTTGGAAATCGTCGAACTCGATACTCCTCGCCCTTTTAAAGTGTGGTCCCGTAGAGAAGAATTCTAACTATAATGCGAATAACGCCACATTTTCAAACCTCAAAATAAAAATGTTTACTTATTAATTCGATCAATCTTGACGTCAGACTAACCAATCCAACTCTTCACTTTCCTTACTAACACGGGAAGTGCGAAAGGTCGAGGTATTGGAATTTAATAAAACTTGGTATATAGGTACTTCCGAACACCCTGAATCCATAGCAGTTGAAAAAAAGTGCGCCTTTTTGGTTCTGGTCGAGTTATGGCGCCTCAAAGTTTGCACGTAAAAAATGCATTGGAAGGGAGGAGGGAATGTGTTGCGGCGGCTAACTCTATCTGCCAGCAGGCGGCGTAGTGTAGTGGCTAGCGGCCTTGCGCTGTGAAACCTATGATGCAGGTTCGGTCCTTTTTTGGTGAATTTATTTTTGCCATGAAGTTTTTCGAAAAAATTGATGAATTTTTGAAGATGGAACGAAAAACACCGTTCAAAGTGTTGAGACTCATACAGACAGGTCCTCGTTTTAACAGTTTTTTCAGCACAGTCATTCCTATTTGGAACAGCCTGTGCTAAAGATTCGACATGAACACTTCAGCCTCCCGCTTCAGGAATTTTCTCGACTCTCTCGACAACAATCAACTACTCGCAAGTGTGCCCAACAGGCTTCTCTAAAAACCTGAAATTTTTGTTCCAAATATTCAATACGTGTCTCCTATCCCGGTAAATCGCTGGTTAGGGCGTTTTTATATCGGGTTCCCTTTCACTCAAATTCTTCCTTTTCTAATACTGTATTTTCGTGTTTGAGTGAAATAAATAAATAAGTAAATAAATAATGTTATAAGTACCGCGGAATGACCTATAACCACTTGGAAAAAAAAAAACGAAAAAGACGACAACAACAGAAAACTTCATTTAAACATAACACGAAAGCGGTACAATGAGTCTCGATTAGGGGCGTGTGTGTATTCGTTGTATTTGTATCGGGGAAAATAGAGTTCACAGGGATTTTTGATTGCCACTTTTGATAATTTTTGAAAATAAATTCTTCAGACTTCCCAAGATCCTAATTTTAGGGACTTTGGCAATGTGTAAATCAAATCAAATATTTGAGATAAAACGTGGGGCGAAGCGCTTGGCGAAAATGAATGAAAAAATGATTGGAAAGGATATTTACAAGAGTAGAATTTGGGGATAATTATTCACAACAATGAAGTTTTTCGGACAACAAATCAGTGACGATTTCCGAATTGCGATCTTGGTTTCCAGTCATCGAAGTTTGGTGGGTCCGGATATCTGAATAAGATGATAAATCAAACAATTGACGGTCAATATTAATATTTGTTTGCGACTTTGCCTTCAAGTTGCGAGAAAAGGTCTTTAAATTCAACTTTTCTTAATATTTCTATTATTAATTTTTTTCTCAAACCAAATCAACATAAAGAATAAATTTAAAGAAAGACTGTTTCAAAAGAAAAAAATACAAAAAAATAGGCCTCCTGTTATTTTTAGCTTTTGAAAAAAACGAAGAAAAAGTATTTTTTTCAAAAATTATTAGTCCCCATTAGTTCGCTGTTTCAATCTCACTTTTTTTCACACTGCTGTACATATTTTTTTACTATTAAATATTTTTTTAAAAGGCACCATAATCTTACATTTTTCAAAAATGAGATCTAATTCATATAAACTATCGAAAACGCCGCTTTTGACTATTCAGTAAGAAAAAGCTCAAAAATCGTTGTAGACGTCTTTCTTATTATCGCGTTTCAAAAAATCATGTTCTATTGAAACATTTGAGTCAAATTTTCTATTTAAGAAGGCGAAAAGAACGACAAAAGGTTATGATTTCAGTTACATTTTTGAGGTACACATTCGCTGAGCTTTTCTGATTTCTAAAAAACTTCTCTGGTCAGAATTTTTTTTATTATCTGTACATCCTTTCAAGCAACAACAAAAAGTTTTTCGCAAAGTTAACAGGACGCCCAGTAGAAGTAAAGCTCAGAAATGACTGTCTTAAGTTGCCGAGCTTATACCAGCTTCTGTATTCTCAGTCAAATTTTTTTTTTCATCATCAACCATATTGCATTTGTGAAAGATTTTTTTGTGCAAAACAAACGGTTAAAATCTCGAATGATTTCAACGTTTAGAACCCAGTGAGAGCGAATTAAAGAAACCATTATAATCGCTGTTGTTAACCGTTTTTTTTTTCTAAATTACAGAAAATTTACACGATTCGGTTTTAAATGAACCGATTACACTTAAAAAATAAAACATGCCACGAGCTTCAAAAATATTATATAACTTCATCAGGCCAGTCCGAAATCTAGTTAAAAAAACTCTTTCAAGAAAGAGTATCAGAAACCGCAAGAACTTTCTGAACAACCTAATATTTTGAATTTTTTAAAAATTGGTTTACTGTTTCAATCTCAGTTTTTGGAACTCCCGTGCATGTTTTTATCATTAGGTACTTTTTAAAATCACATTGATTTAATTTATTCGTTTGAAATGAGAACAACTCTGGTGAACGGTGACATTTTTTCTCCGTGATCAAAACCAATTAGAACACAGATTAAAAGCTGAACACTAAGAAACGACATAAAAATTGAAAATTAGTTCCTTTCCTGGAGAAAAATTTTTTTATGGGTCTTTCCTCATTTCCTATTCGCCCGTTACAGAAAAAGCTCGAGGAAAGTGTTTTGATGAATTTTTGTGTAACTATTCTGAAAATGGTCACTTGCTATAGCTCTTCAATATGTCGCTGGCGGTTGAATTGAACCCGTGCCAAAAAACGCATTCGCTCACGCTACGCGTCCCGCCTCCTTCGTCTCTCATGCCGTGTTCAAAGTGATTCCGTGATATTGAAGTGAAACAAAGTGAAATTCAAAATAGCCGTCCGAGAAAGAAAAAGATTGAAAAGAAACTAAATTTTGGAGATTCAGTGAAGATTTTGATTTTTGCGAAAATTGATTTGAACACGGCATCAAGTCGCAAAAAATTGACTATAAGAGCCGTTTTGTCGACAGAAATAAGTGGTTAATTAAAAGTTATACCTGTGATCATAACGACCCTGGGCTAAAAGCTCTTCGTCGCATGACTGTATCGACATTTCGCGGGTCGCCGAGTCGACGTCGCTGTGGTAGCTGTCCTTCAATTTAAACATTGAAATAAAAGAAACTGAAAGTGTGGGAAAATAAGCCAAGAGCAGATATAGCAAGATATGATACAACTTCTAGACTTGAAAAAAAAAAACTCAAATCTCAACACGCAGAAAGTTCAATTTTCAGCAATAAATTTCGATAAACCCCATCACGAATAAAACTAACATAAGCTGATCTGTTTCATAAACTCAACGCGCAAAAAATTTCCACGGTCTATAAAATGATTTAATTAAAAAAAGTTATATTCAAGTGGCTGAAAAATTTTTTTCAGTGATAAAAAAATGATAGAAGGATTTTTCCTTAAAAAAATTTTTTTAGATCATACTTGGGATAACCTCGGTTCGGCCGCAAACTGGAGGAGGGACTTGACAAAAAAATTTGGAAGGAGGGGGAGGGGGACTTGACAAAAAAAGTTCAAAAAAATTTTTTTAGGTGTTTAGCCTCTTGTCCACATCGGGACATATAATCGAAAACGTTGTATCGCTGTCCACAAGCGATCGTGTGATCTTCGCTTCTTTTGGCTTACGAGAAAAAAAAGTTTTTCATCAAATCGAAAAATTATTGTGATTTTCGGATTCAGCATAGTCGATTTAGTCTAGAAACATGTAAAAAACTCAATTCGAGTTGATGAAAACGCGAGAGAGTCAGTTGGAAATTTAAATGCGAAAGTAACCGCGTTATTTTTTTGAAATTTATTATTTTTCACTGGCATTGGGGGAATTGGCAGACGCCAGGCTCACTCATTCCATGTATGTTTTAGATTCTGTGGAAACTGGAAAGATTTATTGAAATTAGGATTTTTAGATTATAAATTTTTCAAGTTGTTTTACTGTTTCATCCGCAGTTTTTGAAACTCTCATGCATGTGTTTGTCATTAGGTACTTTTTAAAATCACATTGATCTGATTTATTCGTTCAAAATGAGAACCACTCCCTACAAAGCTAGGTTTGTATCTGAAATAAAACCTAGCTTCATTACGCGGAAAATCTAAGAAATCCCGGATATTAATCCTACAAATCTCGAAACAGACCTTACTTTCGTCAGATTCAACTTCGTTGATGACCGCCATTTTCTTGCCGAAGATCTGCTCGAACCACTGGGCCCGCTCTTTGACGTCCTCCTTTCTGAAGCTCCAATGGACGTCTGCACATCTCCTCTGATTCTAAGGAAACCCTTCGCTGTGATGAAGTTGCGGAGCGATCGACGTGTCTTCTGGCTCCTCACGGATCAACGACAACTCCGGAAGCTTCTTCTGACGACGTTCGGCCGGCGTCGTCGCAGCTTCAGCCGCCTTCTGACTCATCGGCTGCGTCAAACTGTCGAAATTCAAGATTCTGGATCCGCTGAGCGCTCGGAACGGTTGGAAATTTTCCTGGAAATCGCAAACAAAAGTTGAAAACCAAAAACATCAAACAAATTCGACTTATTACCACATGACCAAGGCACTTTTGTTGCCAGAAGGCACCTGTTGCGCGCTCCCTTTTATATATTTGTATTTTTTTCATCTATTTCTAATTAAAAAGGTTCAAATTTAATATTTTTCGCGTCTCCTCTCGTTGCAGTATCCATAAAAATTCTGACGCACTGGAATTTGAAAAACAGAACTTTCACTTGGAATTTTCTTTTCATTTTTATGGGAAATCAGCGTTCAGTTCCTGAGAGCAAATTATATCAAACTTTCACTTTTTAGAATTATATTTTAATTTACTGTGTTGCATTGAAAAAAATTTTAAAAAAATTGATCAATTTGCTCATACTTTGATTAATTTGAAAATAGACGAATTTTCATATTTTTCATTTTCATAACAGCGTTTTTCCAAAGGCTTACGCACTTCAAATTCGTCAGGATGTGTATTAGTAGTATGGGTACGGCGTCTGTGGGTGGAACTCTCCCGACTTTGAACCGGTGACATCGAAAGACGTCGCGCAGTGTCTTAAGTTTCAGTTTTATTGTTCCCATTTCTTCTTTCAATTCTTACGCTCTCGTCGAGCCGGTCGATCATTGACATAGTTGGCCTTTTCAATGTTAATCACCTGGAAAATGAAAGGTTTCTTTCAACTGAAAAAACGAGAAACCTTCATCGCCGGATAAATAGCTCTTTCCTTGGATTTGCTCTTCTCAGCAGGTTCTTGCTCGTGTTGAGAGCTGGAGGAGCTCCGACGGACTCTCGAGCCGCCTCGGTAGAGTTCTCTATCGAGTGAGTCGCGTCTAAAACTGAAATGATAAACAATTATATTCGAAAGCAGAAAGTTATCGCGGTCTTTACTGTTCGATTTGAAATGATCCTATCTTCGCTTAGATTTTATAATTCTGCTCAAAAAATAAAATCATTACATTGTAGTCATCCATGTGACATCGGAAAAAAAAAACAAATTACTCAGTTGATAATATCAAATTCTGAAATAATCGGGGCTTTGAAACTTTCGAAGCCCTTTTTGAGATTGCTCCGATTTTTTTGGCAAGAAAAGTATTTTTAAAAAAGCTCGATACAGGTCTAAAGCGTGATTTTTTCAATTTCGCAGTGTTTCGCAGTGTCGACTTAGTGATGTAGAGTAAACAGTTAAGAGTATTTATGATAACTTATAACAGCTGTAGAAATCCAAGTACAAGCTTAATCGTTTTTTTATTCGAAATTTAAAAAAACTATCGAAAAACGACGCTTTTTGACTATCCAGCAAGAAAAAAATGACTCATCGAAATTTTTTTGCAAACTGGTCATGGCTTAGGTCATGGCTACCTGCTGGATTTGAAAAATAATAAATCCTCATAGAAAATTTTTGAGATGGAAAAAATGGCAGTGGCAAAACTATTGGGGTTTTGATCTTTGTTTTGAATTTGAACTATTGGAGAGTTAAAATTTTTTTCTTATTTTTGTTTTAAAGGGTTCGAAGTTATTTTTGCAATTTCGATACCGCCACATGAGCCAAATCTTTGTTACGCGGTGTATAATTCTTTTTCAAATTTCATAACACCTGACGAAAATTTCTCAAAAGATGACCTGTCCCTGTGGTCAAAGTCCGACGGGAAAAATCGCTTAAAACTTCCATGACGAGGTTCAAAATCTTCTGGATTTGTGATTTCGTCGTCACGAGCCGGCGAAATTCTGCCTTGTTCCAGTAGCCGGTTGTACTCCATCAAAGGGTAACCCTGAAATAATATTCTCCATTCGATTTGTAACCTTTTCATAGCTGAAAAACCTTCTTCAGCTTGTGGATGAACTGACAACGGGGTCCATAAGGACATTGGCCGTAATTGGAAAATTTGTCGCACAACTGCGTCTTGTACTTCGGGTGAGCTTTTCCACGGGGCTAAAAACAAGAAAATATTCTTTCATTTTGGGCGGGGACAGTTTCAAACGTCATGGTTATGACCCGAGATTTCCAAACTTTTTCTCAAAAAAAAAAAATTAATTTCCTATCTTAGTCTGGATAAAATTCTAATTTTTTTTTGAAAACAAATAAACACTTTATTGGCTCCTAGAAATCTTAGATTACCAGTTGTTTCCAGCTGAGAATCACCTGAGAAGGCATACGAAGCTCATTTTCTCCGTGAGCAAAACGGCAAGATTCTCCGTAGGGACACGCGTCTGCTCTTTTGTAGGCATCACAGAGAGCCGTTTTGTAAGCCTCTTCCTTTCTGAATTGGTTCTTTTCCTTCCATTTCAAACGCTGACTTCACTCAGTCTTCCAATTTTATTTTCCGGTGCTACGACAAGAGCGAGTTTTCCATTTGCGAGCAGTACTGTATGCGGTAAAGCGCATTGCGTGCATGCACTCTGCGTGTTTACACTTTTGTGGCGTGACGTCATCGCGCCGTACATCTGCGGGTTTTTTGCTTGCGGGTATTTTTTTTCAATGTTTTTTTCGGAATTTTTTTTTTGGATTTTTTTTTCCGGTTTGGTTTTGATTGTGCGAATATTTTCGAAACAAAAAGAAAACTTTTTTTTTACCTCATAAGAAGGCTCGATTTACCTCATAAGAAGGCTCGATTATGTTAACGACATTGTTTTCGACTCAATTTTAAAGCAACAAGAAATCGCAAAGGAAGTTTTGGCGAAAAAAGATGTCCCTGCTCCTCCACCCTCAACACCGGTGTTGTACTAAAATCCAATTTTCGTAAAATTTCTGACAACTCCCTTCAAATCTTTCAATGTAATTTAAAAATATCTTGAAGATTTTCTGGGAAAAATGACTTTTTGTTTGATATGATTTTTTTCTGTAAAAAAATTGTTATTTTTCTTATTTTTCTTATTTTTTTTGATATAACTTATTTCAATTACTGGTATTTGTTATGATGCAATTGTTTGATATTTTTCCTCTTTGAAATATCAATATTAGCTTACTTCTTTTTTTTTCTATATTTGTGGAGTTGACCTAATAGCTATCTATAAAGAAACATTTTCCTAAGCTGCCCCCTTTGACAAACAGAGTTTTCATCAATAAAAAAAGTTTTCTTTTTTTGTTTCGAAAAACAAATAAGCCGGAAAAAAATTCAAAAAAATCCGAAAAAACCCGCAAGCAAAAAAACCCCGCAGATGTACGGCGCGATGACGTCACGCCACAAAAGTGTAAACACGCAGAGTGCATGCACGCAATGCGCTTTGCCGCATACAGTACTGCTCGCAAATGGAAAACTCGCTCTTGTCGTAGCACCTATTTTCCAAATAGCCACTTCATCAAGTCTTAAAATATTTAAACAGCCCGAATATCGATTTCAAGCTACGCTAAAGTTTCACAAAAATTATCTGAACCCGAACCGCTTCTGTCTTTGAACCATCTCGCGCTCATCGTCCGTCATAGTCTCCCAGCTGGCCGACCTTCTTTGGGAGAACGAGGGATTTCTCTGGAAACCAGGCGGAGTTCTTTTGTTTATTTTTTTTCAAAGAGCCCCACCTCATCCTTGGTCCTGGTGCTCGAGGTGAGTGATCCTGAGCCAGCTTCGATCGTCTCGTTCTCCGGCGGCAGCGACATGTCGAACAGTGGCGTCTGTGCCGGCGTTGGAGCCGAGATTATAGTGCTCGGCGGCACGAATAGTTGTGGAATAGCGGGGATCGGAAATCCTTAAAGACTGTATAAGAAAATAAATAAAAAAATGCAAAAAAAAAAATGAACAGGGCCACCCATGGGGTATGAAGCGCACGCTCTACCAGTGTCTTTATAAAAAAAGAGTATCGCGAGAGGTATATCTCAGGCTCTGAAGTCTCACGATGGTACCTCGAGTATACCTCTGAGGACTTCGAGGAAAATGAGACAAACTTGAGGGAAACTCTCAAATACCTCTGAGATGGCTCAGATATAGCTAAAAGGTATGATGGAGATCTCACGATGGACAACCATTTTTAGAGGTGCCTTTTTGGACACATTATGGTACCCTCTCGATTCGCCTATGTGCAAACAAGTTAGGAGGTTACTCTGAACTTGACGGTACACCTCAAGCTCATCGCATCTCGATCGAATTTCGCAGAAGTATACTCGTGATAAAATCGTTAGACTTCAGACTTCTCGCTTGTGTTTTTTGAAGAAAAAAAAACTCGATGCTGAAATGAAACTTATTTTCTTTCCAACCAGTTAGAGTTCCACAATGTGTTCGAATCGGCTTTTTTGGTAGCGAAAATTTGTTTTTCGTGAAAAAAAAAACCATTTTCATTAACTTTTAATTTCTTGAAAATCTCGAACCTGCGGGAAACGTAGCTGCCTGGGCATTAAGGCTCATGCTTTGCACGGCCTGTTGAGCCAAAGCAACGAAATTCGGGTCAATGCTGCTAATATAGAAAGGGTCGGTCAGCGCGTTTGGCATCGTCGAAACGGACCACGTTCAAGAACCTTTGGAAAAAAGGTTAATCGAACAATATGGTCCGCGGGAGACGTTCACGATTTGAAAGCACATCAGAAGAAAATGTAACGTAAAAACAGTTTTCTTTGCACCTTCGCTCTACAAAACTGCGAAAACGACAGGAAGAAACAAAGCTTTGAAACGAATATAAGGAAATGGAACGACTTTGTTTTGTAAGAAAAAAAAACGAGAAAAGCTGGCGAAAAATGAACTCTAAAACAAAAATAATATTGAAAAGTCAAAGTAAAAAAAAAATAATAGAAAGCGATCTTGAAATCGAAGCGTTTCGACTGGCGCGAAACCACCTATTTGATCTCGCTAAGTTAGGTTTTTTGATCTATTGTCGATAACAGACTTGAGGTGTAGCCCAAATCCGCGCCAGGATCACACGATTTATTTTGTGCCAAAAAGAGCGTATACCAAACTGAATACAATTTCTTCTAAGTTCGCTTCAAGAGCTCTGTTTTTCGCTGTCGTTTTCGTAGTTTAGTAATGCCGTGTTAGAAGTACTTCCGGCAATTCCAAAATTGATGCGTTAGCGGTTATTCGTTTAAAATATTTCGGGATAAGGCGTAATCGAAATCCCGGGACTTTAACTTTTACGCGCGGACTATATTTTGTACTATAGTCTGTTCAGATTTTAAATGTCAACTAGAATGGCGTCATTCGAAAACGCTCTGTGGATGGCTCGCTCTCTGATTGGTTTATCGCGCCATTAGGGGGCGGAGCTTCAGCGAGGACTTGACATTTGAAATCTGAACAGACTATAACTATTTAGACATTTTCTACGGAAATTTCGAATCGGCGCGCGCGTAAAACACCGTAAAAACTCATGTATTGGGGTATATCATTGTGATACCCGTTTTTTTAAACGAATAAGTCGTCAATTTAGAAATCGCCAAAATCACTTTGAAAATATATCATAATGACGTGTTCATAGGACAAAACGAAAATTGCTTCGAAACGCAAAAAATTGCTTCAGAACAAATATTAGTACTCTTTTGGAGCAACTTTGGCGCGCCGATGAACACAATTTTTTTTTTTGGAAGCATGCTTCCAAACAAGTTATAATGCCGTGTTCAAAGTGATTCCGCGAAATTCAAAATAGCCGTCAGAGAAAGAGAAAGATAACTAAATTTTGGAGGGTCAGAGACCATTTTGCATTTCGCGGAAATTACTTTGAACACGGCATAACTTGCAAGTTATGACTTCCGTTTCTCCGATGAAAACGCCGCGCGCGCCAATTGAAAAAAAAAATTAATAATTTGGAGTATGGGATAGTACGTGTCGGTGTGCTTGCACCATAAGCACCATAATTCACGAAATGTTTTTGCTTGCGGATGGCTTGTTCATCGAGGGCATGTTCTAAAACACGAGCGATTGTGGGGCACGAGCGGCACGACCGTTACTAAATCACGAGCGGTTTCATTTTCGCTCCTTCGCGAACGCTTCTAAATCACGAGCGTTTTTGGCTTATCGTTCTGTTCGAGCGTTTCTAAACCGCGAGCGTTTCATTTTAATCATTTTCTTTATTACCATCCAAGTGTGTGTTTTTCATATTTCTACCTTCTTTTTTTCTCCTTGAATAAAAAAATTTTTGACGATCTTATATGCACATTTTTTTTCGCTCAATTTGTTGATTGATTCACATTTGAGGTTCATATAATGGATTTTTTCTAAGTTTTTTTGCGGTCTCTATAATTTCACAGATTCTGCGTATGGCAAATTTTTTTCTAATAATTTCATCTGATTTTCATATTCAATATTTCACAGATTTTTGCGTATGATAAACTAATATTTCACAGACGTCTCGCATGAAAGTCAATATTTCTCAAATTTTGCGTATAGCAAATTTTTTTTTCTAATACTTTCTCTCAAAATTTTTCTGGTAATAGAATCTCATATTCGAATTGATGCCATTCATATTTTTATTCTCCTCTTACCCGCTAGAATAGTAGAATTCTAGCGGGTAAGAGGAGAATAAAAGAATAGTAGAATCTCAAATTATAGAGACCGCAAAAAAACTTAGAAAAAATCCATTATATGAACCTCAAATGTGAATCAATCAACAAATTGAGCGAAAAAATGTGCATATAAGATCGTCAAAATTTTTTTATTCAAGGAGAAAAAAAGAAGGTAGAAATATGAAAAAACACACTTGGATGGTAATAAAGAAAATGATTAAAATGAAACGCTCGCGGTTTAGAAACGCTCGAACAGAACGATAAGCCAAAAACGCTCGTGATTTAGAAGCGTTCGCGAAGGAGCGAAAATGAAACCGCTCGTGATTTAGTAACGGTCGTGCCGCTCGTGTTTTAGAACATGCCTTCATCGAGCGATGCATCGTGTCCCCTTGTAATTGCCGATATCGCAACGGGCCGCAGGCGATATAGCCAAGCTTCTTGCTGAGATCTCGTCAACATCTCGCGGCTACCTCGTCAAAGTTTAGCTGCCATATCGCTCCCTCTCAAAAATTTGAAATTTGAAAAACATTTTTTTTGCTTTGTTTTTGACTTTTATGATCACTAAGAATAACTGCCGAGATAACGCGAGGTCGGTGGCGGTACATTGACGAGCTCGCAAACATGTCGCTTTTTTCTAGGCGCGATCTCGCATTTTTCTGGGCGCGAGCTCGCTTTTTTCAAATTGCGACAATTGAGACAATTTTCAAATTGCGAGAAAAATGCGAGCTCGCGCCCAGAAAAGTGCGAGACCGGCGCGAGAAAAAAAAGCGAGATGTTTTCCAGCTCGTCAATGTACCGCAACCGACCTCGCGTTATCTCGGCAGTTATCCTTAGTGATGGAATCAATCAAATTCAAGAAAAAATAATTTTTGAAGAAATTTTTCAGAGAGCGATATAGCGCAAGACTTTTGCGAGGTCGCAGCGAGAGGCGAGCGATATTGCTCGCGCCAAGGTTGCTCCAAAAACTGTACTATTTTTTTGTTTTGGAGCAATTTTCGTTTTGTCCGATGAACACGCCATAAGTTCCGTATTCCCGAAATAATTTGAAACGAATAACGCTTAAATTCTTCATTCCTTTTTTTTTCGCATATAAAATAATTAATGCTTTCTCATCTTATTTCCGTTTTTTGTTTGAGACAAAGCTTGTATCGCTTATTATTTCATTATTACTATTTTGTTTTATAGTTAAACTTTGACAAAACGTGTCAGCTTTTTCTCTCCAGGTCAAACGATGAGACGTTTTGCATCTTACCGATCTCTCTCTCTCTCTCTTTTTCTCTCAGTCCCTACATCACTGCGCCCGTGATAAATTCCGTTTGGACCGCCCTTTCGACTCGTCGCCTTGGCCCCATCCATCCCATTCGCTGGGGGTCGTTTACTTTCTCTGCTGCTCATTTATTCCTCCTTTTATGAAAATTGTGCTCTAATTTCATTCATAAAATAATCAAAAAAAGTCTAATAAAGCTGAATATTCCTTATAATCTATTTGATATTAATTGTTTTGACGTATCTCGAGAATACTTCTGAGGACTTTCAGCAAAATGAGGTGGACTCGAGAAATACTCACAAGGACCTAAGATATGTAGAGCTGAAAGGTATGCTGAAGGTCTCCAAATGAACATATTATGGGACATTCCCTGTCCATTTTGAGAGCTGTACTCGTGGAGACATTATATATTCGTCTGTATATCGATGCTTTCAAAATGACTTTCATTTTTTTTCTTGAAGTTTTTTTTTCTTTTCATAGTCCCTTTCTCTGAGATTCCTCGAATTGCTTTTTCGAAACAATTTTCTTCTTTTAATTATTTTCGTAATTCTTTCCGATTGCATCATTGTTTCATGATTTAAACTTTTTTTTAAGGGTTTACTTAACGGGAAGGGTTTGGATCAGGTGACATTTTGCGGTTTCGTATGAAAAGAATGCACAGGGTTGGTTTTTATATTTTATTTCATCATTCACTTGATTGATCTTGATCTGAATTTCAGTTTGAACGAAATGAAGATTCAAAAAAAAAAATACAAAAAAAAAATCAAGAATCAGAAGGTCTTGTCTTTTTCTTCTTATTTTAAGGCGTCTAATCAACTTCTCTTTCTTCACAAAAACATTTGTTGTTGAAAACTTCGTTTTTATTTGGGTCGAGGTAGCTATACACAGCTAAGTTACTTGCATGTGAAAGTCTGAGTTATAGAAGATTTGAAGAAACCAATTTCAATTTCGGTTAATGCGTATTTTCACTGGGATTTCATCCGTACTCGAAATTTCAACATTTATAACGTTTTCTTATATTTTTATATTGCGTTCTTCAATGTTCTGAAATATTCTGAAATATAGCAAGAGGAGTAATTGAAACAGGCACACTGCTCTTGAAAGAGAAAAATGATTTTTGTTTCGAAGATAGGCATATCGAAAAAACTTGAATTTGACATTCTCGGACAAAAAATTGGTGCCAAGTTTCGTGCTGCGAAAGTTTTTTTTGTGTTGACTCACTAGGGAACTATTCGGGCTCGAGTACGTGTATCAAGTTAAAATCACGATGGCTTGTAGACTTGGGTGAGAGCTCTTAGAAAAAAGAGAAATCATCTGCTGGACCACATATGATTCTGACTACACTCCTAGTGAGAAAAAGCTTCTTGAAAAAACCCAGGAAGAGTCCTGTACGCTCCTGAACCTTCCTCTTTCACCGAAACTGGGGCAGTGGTTAGAGGGCCAGTCTCATGGTTGGCTTTTTTGAGTAGGTTCGATTCCTGTCGAAGGCAAATCTTTTTTTGCATTTTTTTAAGGTCAAGTTCTTTTTAAAATTACGGAATCCGGGAAGATTTGGAAGTTTCGACAATATATGGTTTCTTATAAAAATGTTCTCTAGATGTAGAAAAAAACACTGGCAGACATCAAAATCGTACTGAAAGTTTCCTTTAGTCACTCGTTTATTTTTGAGAATCACCTGAACTAAGAAAAAAGCTTTTTCATTGATTTAATAACTTAGGAAAAAGTTTTATGTCTTTAAGAAAAATTCAAAAAAGATTTGCCCTTGACAGGAATCGAACCTACTCAAAAAAAAGTCAATCAAGAGACTGGCCCTCTAATCCCTGCGCCGGTCACCTCGGTAAAAGAGGAAAGTTCAGGAGCGTACATGACTTTTCCTGGGCTTCTTCGAAAAGCTTTTTCTCAGAAGCTTATGTGATTTAGCAGATAAGTTCTCTTGTTTCTTAGAGCTCTTACCCAAGTCTATAAGCGACCATAGTTTCAACTTGATACGCGTCGCGGAGCCCGAGTAGTTCACTAGTCAGCGAACTGTTAGAACTCAACTATGATAATTTTGCGAAAAAAAAAATGAGAAAAATCACTTCTAAATTAAAACATTTCACCAAATGAGTTTTTTTTGACTACAAAATTCAAATTCATTTCGATGAATGAAACCTAGTGTGTGCATTAACCGCAAACCTTTGACTGTTAGGAATAAATCTAATTGAGCCATCCAGTAACAAAAAGCAATCCTCGTTAAAGTTTAAGACGAGTCACTCGGCGAAGGCGGCGCGGAGTGTCCACTCGTTCCCAACGACGGCCAAATGCGTCGATGTGAAACGCCTACCAGTCTTGCCGCCTTCTCCCGCACCCGTCGGTCGGTGCTCCCGCTTTTGTCACGGAACTCAGTTTCAATTTTTCAGACGTGGTGTTGACCAAGAACGAGAGCTTCTACATCACTGATGTGTATGTTAATCAGTAATAGTTAGTTGGTTCGTTTGAAAGTAATTAGTCGCACTAGGAACAGTTTGAATGCGGCTTCCATGTGTTCCTCGTGCGACCAAGGCGTTTCGAGTCGATTGATGGGTTAACTCAATGTCCAAGTGAAAAGAATGCTATCAGAAATGGGCGGAATTGAATTTTTGAACGACGGAGAGCGAAATCATAAATTTTTTGCGGAGCTTGGAATGCGGAACCCAGGATTCCGTTCATCTCTGAGAGAAATATCGCAATTGGCGTATTTTTTTATTGAATAAACATCGTGAAAAAATAATTGGAAAAAAAAAACTTTTTTTGCAGATATTGTTATTTTAAAATGCGGAGCTGGTGAACGGATTAGCGAAAATGACTTCATATTACCTAAGCAAGAATTTCTTGTCTTCCTTTCAGATTTCTGAATGATGGAAGCTTTGTCGAGTTGTAAAGTCATTTGCCAACAAAAAAAAATCGTTGGTTACAGCGTTATTCTTCGCAATTCAACGATGGTAAAAAGGAATTTTGGGTTCCCGAATATTCGTGAGCGTTAATTGTGCATACACCAATCTTGGAGGCTCGAATCTTTGAAAATTTGAATTTTGCAAACGATTCTTGAGAATATTCACCTCTTTTCTGATTTTTTTATAATTTTTTTCCAATGTTTTTTTGTTAACAGAAGTTGGTGGAGAATATATACAGAGTGAATGAAAAATGTGCTAGCCGTTCTGCAGCGAATATTTGACTACGTGTATACGAGAAAGACGCATTATTTGATAAAAAGTTAGTTTAAAAAATCATACCGTGTTCATTTGTGGTCGAAACACGGCATCTTCACAATAAAACGACAACGGAAAAAAATGTAGGAAAAAAAAAGAAGAAAATTCAAAAAAGAGGGGAATATTCCCAAGAATCGTTTGCAAAGATTCAAATTTTGAAAGATTCGAGCCTCCAAGATTGGTGTATGCACAATTAACGCTCACGAATATTCGGGAACCCAAAATTCCTTCCTACCATCAATCCAACTGATCTACTCTAGGAGGAAACTTGGCTTATTGAGTTAAGAGTTAGGCGCAGACTTGTTCTGCGCCATTTGTGTTTGAACTTGGATTTTAGTTGATTTTTTCCACCTTTACACAAAACACCAACTCACCTTTCAAATCGGTAAAAATATACCATACCATCTTGTCAAAGGAAGAATAAGATTTTTTTTTTGAAAATGACACTAAACTTCTAAAAAAGCTTGTGATTTTTTTGTGAAACTTTGTCGACTTGTCAATGGAGCGTAAAAGTTGCAGGTGGCAGCTGTTCCCCCAACGAAAGAAGAACTTTGTGGCGGAGAGCGCGATGACACCGCCGTCGACGCCCTCGTCGCCCCACGTTGAGGAGCAAATCGAGTTTCTCCACAACAGTTAGTTATCGTTTTTTTTCCAAAACAATTGTAGCAGAAAAACTGGGGTGAGTGAAAAGCGAGAAATCTATTTTGTTGTAAAAACGAATATTTATTCGCAACTAATCTCAAAAAAAGGGAAAAAAATATAAGAACTGAAAATAAGAACTCTTAAAAAAATTTTTGAGAGCAGATCTTCAAAAAATAAAAAAATAAAAAAAATGATTAGAAAAACAGTTATGTTCACCTGGAATTCTATTCACCTAGTTCAATTAACACGGGAAGTGTTCTCAATTTCTCAAATAGATACACTAGTGTATCATACATCCAATGAAATTGAAAAAAAAAAAATCGTCTTTCGCTTACTAGCCGAATTATGGCACCTGAAAGTTCGAATAATGCACATTGGGTGAGAGGAGGGTTGTCACTGTATGTAGCTGTGGTGCAGTGGCTAGCAACTTTGCGCTGCTGATGTTTGTGTTGCAGAGCCCCTTGAAATTGATTGTTTTGTGTCGTTTTGAGACAGATTGCCAAATCCTGGCTTCTTTCTTTCTGGCTCTTATCGCCGTAAATACGCTTTTGCGAGACTGTTTATTGAATTGAGAACAGTCATATCGACTATCAGTTATATACATCGCGAGTCAAAACAAAGGCGAGAAGAAAGGTCGTAGAACCATACATGAGATCAGTAGGACAGCATAAATTGAATCATCTCCGAGGAGTTGAGGTCTTTGTCTTCCGCACCCAAAAAGAGTGTCATCAAAAAAAGAAAATCGTGTATATCATTTTCTTTATTGACTGATTTCATTAACTTTGATACTTTTCGATATTTTGACTGGCCTATATTGTTTGGTGGCAAAAAGAACTACGTTATTTTTGCTCCCTCCCAAAGTGCTCCGTTTTTGAGTGGCACTGAGATATGGGCAAATTTGTCCTGATCTTGAGCTTGTTTGACCAATTCTCGCTTTCTTTGCCGGTATTCTTGGAATTACTTTGTTGTGAAAGAAAAAAATTAGGGGTTCTGTTAAAGATCTAGTTCGATAAATATTGTGGCAATATTTCTTTTTGATGGTTTTTGATTTATTTTATACACTCAAGGAAAAATGAAGCAATCTTAGAGGTAAGAGATATTTTTTGATAGCGAAAAAAAGAGAGAAAAAAATGATGAACTAAATTTTTTTAATGAAAATTCTAGTTTCACAAATTGATTTACGATGTATATAAGCTGTTTTCAAATAAAGGTTAAGAAAGTTCAGAAAAATACGGATATATATGAATTAAGTTTCAAGCGAGACTAAATTTTATCAGCTGATATTTTTTGTCAGCCTTGAAGCTTGAGCTTGAATTCTCGATTATTCTAAAAAAAAATCTTCCCATTCAAGCTATTGCATATGTAGTCCTTCGAGTTACGTTTCTGATTTATTATGTCTTTATTGTATTATGTCTTCACATTTTTCAGCAAGCTCTCAAAAAAGAATAAAAAAATTTTTCCCCACGAGGTGAATAATGATGTTTGAGGGTTCTTTGCACCGCTTATCTTTTTCTCTGCCTGTTTTCTCTTCTTTTTTTTGCTTTCACGCTTTTCTTGTCTGCCCCTGGTCGGTTTGTTGGTACGTCGAGGGGTTTTGAAGAAGAAAACGTTGGATATGAGAGACATTTTAACAGAAGATGGAAAGTCTTTTTGAGCTGACGAGAAACGTTTTTAAACTTAACTACTTGATTTTTCATAAGAACATAAGAACTTCAAAGTTTTAGAAGACGTTTCTATTCGGAAAAATTCTTGGAAAACTATTTAGTTTTTGATTTCTAAATGGAAGAAAGTTCTAACGGTCTTGTAAATGGTTTTTTTTTACGAAAAAGAAAAGGTTGCTGGAGATTTTTTTCCATCAGGCATACCATACAAAAATAAACAATGAAAAATGAACAAAAAAACGGTTTAGAACTAAAAAATAGCTTTTTTTTTTTAAAAATATACCCGGATTAACTTGGATCAAATTTTAAAAAATTAAAAATTTTCACACTGAAAAGTACAATCCCCCACATATCCCACCCAAACTCTCAAAAAAAATTTTTTTAACTAGTTACACTACCAATTTATAAAAAGGACAATGAAAACAAAATACTGATAAAAAAACTTAAACTTGAAAAACTTTTAATGAGTGTACAAAGGCTAATGACAACCATCTGACCAAAAAATTATCATTTCTACGCTAAAAAGCGAAGAAAATATACAGGTTTTTAAATCAGCATTTCGTTTCTATTGTAATTTAAAAGAATTTTAGTGTGAATATTAACAAATTTTTTCCAAAAAAATATTGAAATGATAAAGTTATAAGTCGGCAAAGTTCATATCCACCAAAAGGATTCGAACCCTGGTCACAATATTACACAAGACCACTACCACTACAAGCCAAATGCTGGTCGAAGGCTCTGAGCGCGGCCATATACGCGCTGCCAAAAAAGCACCATATTTGACAAAGAACTAGTAAAAGTATTTTAAGTTTTTAGTTTTTATTAAAAATTGATGTCTTTTTCGAACCATTTAGACGGATTTTAACCTCGAGCCGCTTGGAAACAAGGTGATATGCAGAAAGCGCATTTTCTGACACTGAAGTTGATTGTTTAGAACGTGAGCAAATTTGAGAATTTTCTTTTTTTTTAGATTTTCATTTCTCTCCGGATCGTTGGGTTTAGGCTGAGTTGGCCCACAAAATAATACTTTATCTATTGAGCTAAACTTGAATTAGGCGCTCAAAACTTTTTTTCAAGATCGAAGTATCTGGTCGAAACAAAGTTCTTTGTTGCCGTTTCGGTGACCGTGACAAGGCATACACCATTATAGGTCAACTAAAAAATTGTTTTCCAAAAAAATTTATTTTGAAAAACACCCAGGGGAGAGAACGTTTCTGTTTAGGTTTGCTCTTAAAACACCGATACCCAAGCGCATGAAAATACACTGCGACCCATAATTATAGACCCACCCTAATTTCTCCGATTTTAAGAAAGATTGAAAAACTTTGAGCCACCAAAATTTTTTTGTGATGAACCTTGTTGATAAGGAACATAATCATAATATAATTATCAATCACCCAGTTGAAAAAGTTTTTTTCAAGATACGAGAAAAATCTGATTTTTGACCGACCCAGAATTATAGACCCACTATAAGTAATCAACAAAATTCATTTCACAAAGTCAACAAAGTATAAAAAAAGATTAATTAATAATGTGTGATGCCTCCTTGTTTCTGAGCGACTTCGAAAATCCTGTTCGGCATGCTGCCAACGAGTGATTGCGGCAGTGACTTGTCCAAACCATCCCACTCGGCACGAATCGCTCTTTTTAGATCTTTGACCGTTGTATACTGCTTGGCATTCGCGTAGACCTTCGTACAAGGACTGACCATAAATTCTCTACAGGGTTGAGGTCAGGACTGCACGCGGGCCAGTCCAGAAGAACCACGTTCTTGGCCGCAAACCAAGCCAATGTGGAGTTGCTCGCGTGAACAGATGCATTGTCTTGTTGGTAAATCATATTAGCACGACGTCGGCGGCGGAGATAGGGCAGGAGATGCTGGGCAAGCAGTTGCTGGTAGTCTTGCGAGTTCGTTCTGGTCCCAATAAAAGAAAGAGCTACCGTCCCGTTGCCGCAGAAAGCCGCCCAGACCATGAGGCTGCCGCCGCCGAAGTTTCTCTTGGAGAAGTACATCGGATCTTTCCTCAAATCTCTCCAGTAGTGAGCGTACCCATCTGGCCCATCAAGGTTGAATTTCTTCTCGTCGCTGAAGATGATCTGAACAGAAAAATTGGGAATCATAAGGTGAAAGAAAACATTGATACATTATTCCAATCCGTGGCCATGTTAGAGCGTGCAAACTGGAGCCGTTCATTCTTATGGCGTTGCTGTAGACGAGGTGCTGCCTTCATTGGAGTATTCACAAGTCGACCGGACCGATGAATTGTTCGTAAGATGGTGTTCTTCGAGACGTTTTCAGGAATTTCGGATCTGATTTGGTTGACGGACTTTGTAGAGTTTGATGCTTTTCGACAGACGTCTCGTTCAGCTTGAACCGATAGCAGCCTGTGCCGTACAGAATGTATTGTTGTGCCGTATTCTTGCGGATTCCTTGCATAACGGTCAATAGTTCGTCTTGAGCGACCCGTCTGACGAGCGATTTCCCGATGGGACAAGCCGTTGTTGAGTAGAGCATCGATTACCGCTTTTTCGGTATTATCAAGTTGAGTAGATTTAGGCATTATGGCTTATAGTGATACACGAGGACTTTTTTTCTCTTATATACCACTGAAAAAAACAGGAAAAAAACGTGTTACCTGAAACGAAAAACTCGGAAAAACTCTGGGGTGGGTCTATAATTCTGGGTCGGTCAAAAAAATCAGATTTTCTCGTATCTTGAAAAAAACTTTTTCAACTGGGTGATTGATAATTATGATATGATTATGTTCCTTATCAACAAGGTTTATCACAAAAAAAGTTTGGTGGCTCAAAGTTTTTTTCAATCTTTCTTAAAAATCGGAGAAATTAGGGTGGGTCTATAATTATGGGTCGCAGTGTATTTGAAGGAATCCCCGCGCAGTTTTTTTTTTCAAAACTCAATTAACCTGAAAAGCCTTTTGAAGACTTAAAAGCACTGGTGATGCTTTTTCTGACAATAAAACTCAATATTTTTGGCATACAATTTTGGAATAGTTTTTCAGTGAAAAAATTTTCGATGGATTGAATTTTCAAACTTTTGTTGAGTTCAGGCCAATCAATTATGAAGAGCCGCAGGATAAACCCAAATCTTTCTATTTCGTGGCTCCCGCCCGATGGTGACTGGGGTTTTTATTTTATTTTATGGGAACCTTTGACTACAAAAATATGGAAAAAAAAACTTGGACTATTTTTTGCCAAAAAAGTGTCGTAAAACGATTATTAGACTAGTGTGCAATTTTGGAATGATTTCGAAATTTTATTGCGCGTTTCATACTTAATCCTGGATATTTCCTGTTGTAAAAACATCAGAAAATTTAGTTTTTTTGTTGAAATAACTTCCTTCTCTCAGCGTTTCAATGCGAAATTAGAGGTTGACGAGCATTTTCTTAAACCTGCCGGGTGAAAAAGTTTTTTTTGAAGCTTTCTGAGTTGTTTCTGAAAACGGTTTATGTCAAAGATACGTTGCCCTCCTGGTCGGTAATAGAAGAAGAAGGGATAGGATTAGTTTAAATGTCGCGGTCAGTGTGGCGTAATTTGAGCGCGGCCCCATACGGCTTGGCCGCCTTTGGTCAGATTTGTTTACAAATCATTTGGATTTCACTCTGTAATAAAAAGAGGAGAGAAAGGATTGCTTTTGCTGATAAAGTTAGCCATAAAGTTGCGTGCAAGCTTTTCGCGATTTTATACAAGTTTTTGTGATTGATTTTTATTTATTTAAAAAAAAACATTTTATTTTTTCTTAGATTTTAAGAGAGTGAAAGAAAGTACTTGCTTTCAAAAAATTGCTAAAAATTAGCCATAAGTAGGGACCGCAACCGAATTTTCAAAAAAATGTTTGAGCTTCAATGTTACTCTAGTTGAATAGCTGCTCCAATTTACTATGCAAAACAGTTTAGTTTTTAAAAAAAGGTTGAAAACAAGCAAAGTTATTGTCAAAACAGTAGTGAAAAAAGTCGCGAAATTTAGTACTGAAAGTTTAGATTTTACACTTTTGGTCGTTCATTGTGTTTTCATACCGGATTTAAATTTTTTTTAGTAGTTTAATTAGGTTTTCAAAGTCATAATAAGTCATTAAAACAGTATCAAACCACAAGTTTGAAGAGAAAAGCTATTTTTTCATGGAAATTAATAAAAATGGCCGCTGCGAGGATCGAACTCGCGATATCAAAACTGTATGCAAGCGCACTTGCGCTGCTCCAAGTACATCTCGGAGATGGGAGGCGATCGCGCTATACAGCACTTCACCTCAAAGTACAGCATTTACCGACTATCTTGTTTAAAAAAAGTTATGATAGTTGAACAATTATTAGTCACGTGTGTTCGGACCACCTAAAAATAATTTATTCATAAAGATTCAATTCAAAATACCTCCCTTTTTCGGCGTTTTTTTTGTTATTTTTTTAACGTTGGCTCCAAGTTAACAATAATTAAACTTTTTAGGCACCGCTAAAAATTTTTTTATTTTATTTTTTTAAATGATTGAAAAATTGAGATACGCTAATATTTAAGAAATAAAAAAAGGCGCCAACGACATCTGACCATGCTAAAATGAATTTCGAAATTTTCCCTGTCTTTTTTTTCTCAGAAAACAAAGTTTTCGGAATAAGGTTTATACTAATAAAGTTTTAGTTACAATTTAATGCACAAGTTAAAATAAAAATTTTTTATTTACACGCCCTCGAAACCGAGTACAAAATTTTCAACTTTGCTCGTCCTCACGAAAATTAGGCACCGTAAAAATTTTAATTTTTTTGTCTTAAAAGATTTGTTTTTCAATTAAAAATCGAATTCGAAAATAAAAAAAGACGCCAACGACATCGAACTAGGTTAAAAACCCGAAGAACAAAAGTAGTTTTGGTTTTTCGTACGACACTCCGCTGAAACGCTACGGAAATCGGGGGAAAAATATATCAGATTGAAGAGGAAGGTTTTCTTTATGTTTCCACAAATTTTCTCTGTGTTTGGTTCAGTATTGTGATTTTACGAAAACATCAAACACAAAATCTAAAAAACCAGTGCATTTCACCATCGAAAAAAGGGGCCTGGCTTTGCGGACTCTAGCCATAAGTCGCGTAAGCTGTGTGAAGAGAACTCTTTGTGATTTTTTAAAATTATAGAACTGAAAACTTGTATATTCTTTCATTTATGAATCGATTTCAGAGAGACCATTTGAGCGCAATAAAAAAGTTTCTTCCGTTCATCCATAATTATACACGGGCAGTCTTTTTGACATGCGCCACTACTTCCTCCCGCAATTTTTTTTTTGAAAAGGTCCCCTACTAGCCTTAGGAAAGATTCATATTTCTGATAAGAAGATACCCTAGGAGAATACCTGGGTAGTAGCTGTCGGAAATAAAATGTTAGTGCCCTTGTATGGCCATATGCGCATGAAGTTTTTACGTAATGTATCATCTAAAATTTCATTGGGAATTTCGTCCAGAAAAACTCCCAAAACTATGTAAATTTTTCTTTTACTGACTATGAGACTGTGAAATTGATCATCGTTGTAAAACATAGAAAAAAAAACATTGCGTTCCTCATCGCCAAGGCTCCCTTGTGATAAGAGCCTCTTTGCTCAGTGTCCTTGGACGCCTTACACTTTTTTCGTTGAGAATTTGAACTCGTACGATTCTTGTGACAAAAAAAGAGAAAAGTTGCCGAGAATTGAGATGTATGGAGAAAAACTTTGAACTAAGGAAAAAAAAATCGTTCATGCCTATTTGCCCACTAGTTGTAATTAAACGGTCGAACTGGACTATTTCGATGGTGCCGAGTCCGAAATTTAAAAAGCATTTTTTCCAATCACTTTAATTTAAGAAAAAAATCGCTTTGCCAATCAATTGAAACTTACAAAAATTTATTTTTTTGATTTATTTATTTTTTTTACATGAATGTTCGTTTTTTTTAGGGTTAAAATAGGGTTAAAAAAACGAGTTTTTTTTTGATGTGTTCTGTGAAAGTCAATTGTCTCATCAATTGTTTTCCTGAAGATGTCAGTTTCCGCCCCTCTCTGACCGTCAAGTTTTGGCTTCAAATTGACAGTTCTCGGATATATTTATCAAATGAGTTAGGGAATTACGTGGAGTCGGTTCAAATAATTTGCAAATAATGTCTACCAAGTTTTTAGTTGGATTTTTGATGAAATTCGTTGAAATTCATATATAAAGGCATAGGGGCAGTAAAAAAAGGTGTTTCACTTCAAAGCATTACTTTGTAGAGCTTTTCATTGCGAATCGAACGGTGAACTTGAAAACGTACCGAACTTCCTAGTTTTGGAGAAAAAGTAATTCAAAGTCAGAGAGAAAAAAGTTTGAGTTCCCGCCAAAAAGGGCGTTTTGCATTAAAGTCGCTCTATGGACAACAGGTACCGCCATTTTTCGGATTCTCGCTTTTTTCTTCGTTTCTTTCAATGTTCAATTTTTTCTGTCGTCACCAAAGTTCTTTTTTTCACGAAAACGTTCTATTCAAACTTTAATCGCAAAAATGCTTCTCTGGTGAAAAATGATGATTTTACATTGGTTTCGATTTGGATTGCGACATTTTGTGTTCTCTATTTAACGGTGTATTTTATTTGTTTGATTAAATGTTTTTTCAGAGAAAAAACCATTGATTTGAAGCAGATATCCGGTTATTTTTCACAAAATGCGAGTCTAATGAGACGTCCGCAACATCGCGTGCACAGCTACTGTAATCAGCTGTCCGAGCACTGATCCAAAGCATATTTCAAATTAAAAGGCGGGAAAGTAAAATCGCGTTTTTCTTCTACAGTTGTCACATTTGTAATTTTTTTGATAGCACAGCTCGTTTCGCAATAAAAAACTATATAAGATACTGCTTTCACCTGAAACCCCGTTTTTTTACTGCCCCTACGCCACTGAAGATTTTCTTCTTGGAATTGAACTAAGAATCATTATTTCGAAGAAGTTTCTCTAGAAAGATAGAAATGATGAAAATCAATAATTTTGTTTTTCAGGTTGGAGAGCTTTTGCAGAGAAAGAAAACGGGGAAACGGACAAGTCGATAGTGGTGTTCAAGTGCGAAAAGCCGCTGCCTAAGAATTTTGAGGTATTTTTGTCGATGAAATGACAAAAATCAGATATTTTCTAGCCTTTCAATATTGACCGCTACCTGGCTGAGAAGATTCTCAAGGAGCTCGACATTGACCCAAAATATGCGATTTTTTAGTTATTCATGTTGGCCTTTTTCCAATTCTTTCGGATTGATCTGATTTTTCTGATTAATTTTTCTTTTGCAATTTCGAGTGGTCAGTTAGGCGTTTGGCTTTTTAGGTTGAACTCAGTTCCAGCACCTCAATAAATAAGCATTTAACCCGAATACAGAGATTTGGTTTAGATTTTTCAGAAGCATACTTTATGGCTTTTTAATTTAGTTTCTCTCCTGACATTTCTCCTGACTCCTGAACCGCTCACAAAGAAAATCTGTTTTTGCTTTTCTGCTTTTTAAATTTTTCCTGGTCGAAATTTCCAAAAAAAAAAGTCGAGTTCGAAAAGTTTCGAATTTAAACTTTTTTTTTTGGAACCCTTGGAAAAGCTTTTTTTTTGAGTGGTAGGCTTCATTTTTCTCCATTAGGTTTAGAATTACTCGTTGATTCTTGTTTTTTTTTTGAACTTTTGCCATCTGTAGGGTTAGTTAGAATATTTACCAACAAAGCATTTATTTTTTTTTGTTAAGGATCCACAATTAATAGTGCGTGTGTTTAGGCTAAATTTTTTAAAAAAATATTCTTTTCGTTCAATACAGGTAATTACGGTTTGTCAGATAATCCTGTAAGCCCTTGTTTTTTCTTAAATCAAGTATCATTTTTTTTTTGACATCGTTAGACTTTTGGCTGTTTTATTTGTCACTTTTGTACTGGTAAATTTTCTTTTAAAAGCCTTTTTACGCGTTTCTTCGTACCACCTTTTTCGAATGCACCCTGAAACAATTGCTCACTCTTGTTGCCTTTATTTTTGTATCCACAATTGAAACGTATTTAATTTGAATTGCAGCAAATTATTTTTTTCGTTAGTATCTAGAAGCGATATTCATTTGTTTAGACTATTTATGTTAGTTTTATTAGACTTTTTTTGTTACAATAAATTTTCTCTATTCGTCGTGAAAAAAACTTTATACCACTTTCCGTAATATTAACCAATATTGAAACAACTGTCAGAGTTGCAAACAAAACCGAAAGTCCGACACGGCGAAAATCAGTGATGGTGAGAGGCTTTCAACAGGCTTTTCAAAATTGAATATAGACATGCTTTTGTCTCAACAAGAAGGAAAATTTTACCCAAGCTGTATTCAGGATCCGGAAGGCTATTGAGATTCGGAAACGCCTGTGTGGTCCATAGAGGCCTTCTCTCAACATCCGCAGCAGCTTACGTAACATCGAAGGTTATGGGATCTTTGACAGCTTCCATAAAAGATTCCAAAACCTGCGACAAACTCGATAGAAAGTCTCTGAGCAGACAGAGATCGGGAGACAACTGTCAGAGATCTCCTATGCTGACTACGAATGAAGAAAAGAGACTATCACTAGAACTGACTCCCACGAAACTAGAAGACTTCAAAGGCTCTCCTACGCTCAACTAAGCTCCAAATGCGCCAATCTGCACGAATCGGGATTTATCAAAGGCGTCATCGTCGCCTGATTGACCATCAGGAACCTCCAAAAGTCAAAAACTGCTTCAAGCTCAATTTACTAACTATGCCTATTACGAGGAGTAGGCGTCGACGGGGCCGACAAAACCTTGCTCTAAGCAATGTCGAAGCCGCGAAAAACAACGAGACACGGCGGACAACAGTGAACCCATCACTGGGAATGACCTTTAACATGCTCTTCGAAACTGAATATAGACTTGCTTTTGTCCCAACGAAAAGGAAACTTTTCCCAAAATAAGCCATGTTACAAAAAGACTTTTGCGATATGGAAATGCCCGTGGGGCGACCGCCCATGGGATCTTCTCTCAAAATCCGCAGCAGTATACGCAGTCTCTAAGGTAGTTGATCACTGACAGAAACTCCAAAAGAATCGAAAACCAGTGACAGACTGGGAAAAATCATCTCTGAACAGGCGGAGATCAGGAGGCAACTGTCAGAAATATCCAATGTTGAATACGAAAGAAGAAGAAGGACCATAACTAGAATGGGATCCCACGAAACAAGAAGGCTGCGTAGGGTCTACCCCCAACTCAGCTCAAACTGCTCGAAGAACTTGAGGAGAAAAGGACCATGGAGCCTCAACTACGGCAAAACCCACTAACCAGAGATAAAGCGGATTGTTCACCAGTGCGGAACCTGGCACGTGAACCACCACCATCAACAGAAAATACAGGCTCTAACGAAGTTCGCGAAATTCGGGAACCCTTTCGTTGGGACAAGCTTCCTAAGCAATCTGGAACTAGGAGCGCTTCAACATTGGAAGACAGCCATCCAACGCGCCTTGAAGACGCGCCAGGCCCTGACGGTATTCACTTATTCTGGTGAAAAAAAAAGCTCAAAGCTTCAAGATAACTTCGAAAGGGCTACGGTCAAATGCTGGATGCTCTAAGAGTTTCGTACGTAACTGGACGGGATGACGCCATAGAATCGAGTGTACAACTCGCCATCAGGAGAGGTGTTCCACAACGTGACGCTTTTTATCTTTGGATCGAGAGCAAAGAATGCTGCCTTCATAATACCAGTTCTAACAGGCTCGGATGTATATATAAGTATCTTTGCTTCTAGCAAAGGATGGGGATAACCTTTGCGAAAGTCCTTGAAAGAATATGTGAAATCACGCTGGATCGTACGAAAAGAATCTTCTCATCAAGTGCAAGCCACGGAAAGAAAGTCTGCGCCTACAACATGACAGTAAGGCCGGTGATCCGCTACGCTATCGGGAACATGTTTCTACATGACCGGTATGCTCGTGGAGGCACCAGCACCGCGGCCTGCAGGGGGCTTGATGAGAAAGTTAGAAACATTCTAACAAATCTACAGGTCCGTTTTGCTAAGTGTCCGGTCTCACAACTGTACGCTTCCACAACCATAGGAGGATGGGGTCTCGCCAACCTCGAAGAAACCGCAAGTGAGAGGATTATTTATGCCTACTGCTACCTTGCGGGAACAAAAGCTCTGAGTGAGCACTTCAGACTACTCTCCGGGCAAGCTCGAAGACGAAAGCGGTCGCTAGTGACTGACTTTGAAGGAATTATGAGAAGGCCAGAATGTCAAGGATTGGACATTAGCAGGTCAGAAACGGTAAACGGAATAGTACTCAGCTTAAATGGAGTGCCATACGCAACCCCAAAGCTGCTAGCTCGTGCAATAACCAGTGAGTTTGAAAAACGGAATAATCTTCGAAGAGGTTAAACTCCGTGATTTATGTGGTAATATCACCAGAGGAACGAACATAGTTCCACGACTGTCATATCTATGGCTCAAGCCTGGAACCATAAACTCGAAATCAGTCCGGAATCTGTCTTCCCTGATGTATACGGGCCTTCCCACGCGACCACACCCGGCAATGGGACGGGGACCCAACGCAGGATGTCGCTACTGTGGGTTGCCCGAAACAAACGAGCATGTTGCAACGGGGTGCAATAAGTTCAAGGCAAGTATTATGAAACAGCTTCATGACAGCTCTGTCCGGAAAGTATACGATGGTCTGTGCATAAAAATACGACCTGGCGAAAAACTGAATTCGACCAGCCAGTCCCAGTAGTTCAACAGAATGCTCATGTCGAACTCTACTGGGACAGAACATGGGTGACGGAGGCTCAGATAAGATTTTTTTTCGTTTCATACTTTCAGAAAAACGGCAAAATATTGTACAAAACAATATGTAATTGACATCGCTTAACAATTCTTGACATTTTATAAAGCTTCTATTTCCTTTTTGTGAGTTTTTGAGACGGATTTCTTGAGCCGAAATCAAACGAAGATGATCAGGTGCTATGAAAAAAAGACCAGCGAAAATTCAAACGGCGGCTTTTCCGAATTTTTCATACCGCTAGGGTACTTTCCGACGAATCTTTTTCCAACTTTTTTTCTCGATAGAATCTTCGTTTTTTTAATCTTCCTATATAAAGTAGTTAGTTGGTTGATGATTAAAAACAGAAAGAAATAGGATGTTAATAGATTTTTTTGCAAATTGAAAAAAACTTAAGAGAAAAAAAGTCGGAAAGGGATCCGTCGGAAAAGTGGCCGTCAGAAAGTTCCCTAGCGAAATGAAAAAATCGGAAAAGTCACCGTTTGAATTTTCGCTGGTGTTTTTTTCATACCACCGATCATCACGGATCACTTCTGCTTTTTTGATGTTTTATATAGCTGTGGTATCTCTGTTTAGTGACGAAAAATCAAAAAAAATTGGCCGCGCCCCGAAAAACTCGAAGCTTAAAAATTTTTCCAAAACTTCACAATCGAAAAATTTTCAGCGACTTGTCTACGTTTTTATTAGTTATAAAATTAGTAAACACATTGAATCAGAGAATTTTAAAAAAGGTGCTCGGAAATAGTGTTTTTTTCTCTTTTGAAAAAAACGTTTGGGTGAATTGAAAAGAAAGCGCGGCAGCGGGCGAACCGTCAGCTTGTTGAATTGTTCCAGTTGAACACCGCGCGCGCAATTTTTTTGGTCATAACTTTTTTTCTTAGCGGACCTTTTTTCATAAACTGAATGGCTTATGAATATAGTCAATCTCCTTGACAAACAGTGTAAAAACCATATATTTTGGATCTTTTGAAAAAAAAAATGGCCCGCGGTCCTCAGCAGGGACACGATCAAGCGCGGATAAACGGCGGTAGTAACTACATTTAAATGTCTAAAGTTCATTTTTTGAGATCGGCATTTCAATCAGCATAAAAACTACATCTAGAAAACATGGTCGCATTCAATAAGTCACATTGTCAGCTGAGACTTTTCCCTAGCAAGAGAGAGGCTTCGGCCTTGCTCAGCGTGGCATTCCCCTTTAACGCGCATGACTGGAGTGGTGGATTCTGTTGAGGACGCTTAAGGAGGTCTCAAGGTTGGTACTATGACCGGCTCTGCTTGTTGGGAAAGATACAAGATGGTTGCTATTGTTGAGTTGATCCCTTCGGTGAGTTTTGTTCCAATCTCCGAAAAAGTACAAGTATGGTGTCCGGTCCGAAACTCGAGTCATTTTGACTATCTCTAGGTTCGGGGTTAGGTTCGGACGCATAGCGCCTGAGACTGACTCTCGATTGCACTTCCTTGATAAAACGAATCTAAGAGATGGTCCGAATAATGACTGAGCGCCAATTGAGAGATCACTGGAAGCAGAGATAGAGTTTTCCAAGGAGACTACCCTTGTGTCGTACGAGTGGCTAAGTCTCCCGATACAGAAAACTGCCTCTACGTGGCTACTCTAGTTTCGCTAAAGGTTGTCGTATGTCCCCTATGGGCTTTCATCTGGAGGGGCCTACTGAGTAAGGGTGGTGAGGATGATTGAATGATATTTAACACCTGTATCTAGTCTAAACTGTCTTATCAGGTAGCACTTCTAGCTAGGGACATTTGGAAAAAAAATTTTAGCTCTAAAATTAAGTACTGAAAGTTTGGATTTTCCATGTTCGGTCGTTTTTTGAGTTTTACTTTCGAGTTGAAATATAGCCGGTTCTCGGCGTAGAATTCAGAAGTCAGCTCCTGGGGACCGCGACACGAAGACAAACTGTTAGAGTGTGTTGCAAATCATTTTCTGAACCCTCGAATTGCGTACACTGGAAATATACATGCCCTGTTCCGGTATCATTACTACGATGAGCTCATTCCAATGAACAACGATCCGCTGGCCCACTCGAGGCGTTGTTCTTTGTAATAAGCCAGATTTAGTCCTCGTGAAACGGGCTAAAAGCAAATTCAAGTCTTGGTTGTTGGAAATCAGTGGTTGGATTCGATTCTTGAGCAAAACAAGTCTCCGGACGGTCAGTGCGGCTGTGTTTGCAATATCGAAGGTGGTGTCGAACCTGGCAGACGACAAGTGTGCGTTCAGGTGCAGAAGGGAGCTGTCGTACATAGCCACGAAAGGCCAGAGAGGTTAATAGGCAAATGTCGCCGTTGACCACAGATTCCTAGCTTTCGCAGACTAGCCAACTTGTCTCGCCAAGGATAGGTGAACGCTGAAGCCCGCTTTCGGCAGGAACTATTCGAGGCAAGGGCTCGAGAAGACCAAGCGCGAAGTCCCACAAAAGAGCGATCGACCGAACGCCGTGAGGAGGTTCTGGGAGCCGATCATCGGCAGGGACTTCATGACGGATTTCAACAACGACTATCTCCAGCAATGGAATACAGAGGTGGGATCTGGAACTGAGAAATCTAGTGGGTTCTTGAGCCCTATGCGACCCATTGCATGTCTCATCTCGCCCTTCAAGTTGATGACTGCGATGATAGCAATCCTGCCGCGGGCGCGAGTCCTCCGACTCATGCCAGCGAATCTGCGAGCATTGAGGAAAGGAGAGTGGAAGGCAACACATGCCCACGTTATCGATACCGCAGTGTTCCTGGACCAGCAATCTCTCCATGTAGAATGGATCGACTACTCCAAGGCGTATGATTCGATTCCTCATGACTAGTTGGAATGGGCTTTACTGGCAATTAGAGTACATCCGCGTGTTGTCAGTAGTTATATGGGAATGTTAAAAAGCTCTACATGTAACGTTTGAGACGAGAATTAGGTCAACGACAAGAGCGAGCACAGAGCTGGACTTGAGGAGAGGGGTCCCGCAACGAGATACTCTCTCACCGCTCCTATTTTTGCTTGTCGGCATCTCAAAGTTCATCGAAGCATGCCTAACGCCTTCTCTGTTCTCACGAACAGCTGGAGTCAATGAAATGAGACTGAATCATCAATTTTACATGGACGACCTCAAACTGTACATCGAATCAGTTCAGAACCTCCACAGTACAATTGGTCAGATGGTCCTATTGTACCAAGCAATGCGACTTGAAGTGAGCATGCGATGTGCTCTAGCCAGCTTTTTTGCCCCAGCACAACCAGGTCAACGTACGGATATACTGCTCACAGAAAAAGCGTTGCGCTGTCAGGTATTTGAACGAGTAACTAAACTGGTGCTGGAACGTACGAGGAACATTTTCTAAATCGCAGCTAGTCTTGGTAAGAAGGTTGCGTCCCACAACGCAGCGGTGGCCCCAATCGTGAGGTTATCTTCTTGAGCAACTAAAAAGTCCGGTTCAGAAAACACCCAATCCATCACTTATCAGGCACGGAGGGTGGGGGCGGATCTATGGATGACCATGTGCTCGCAAGCCAGAAGAGAAAAAAGCTCACAGACTTTTACTGGGTTATGAGTAAACCGGACTGCGAGGGACTGGAGGTCTAAAGGATGGACGGCCACCAAGGGATGAGAAACACTCCTGACAAACCTCAATGGTCGAATTGCAAGAACTGTGAAACTGGATAAAGAGATGTCATACCTTTGGATCCAATGCGCATCCTGCGAGGCAGCTGCCAATCGCTGTGATCCCTATCTAGCAACGATCCGCAGAAGTCGAGCTCTACTGGGATGAAGAGTGGCTCTCCGAGCAAAATCACATGCAAGCGACCCGATGTCGTCCTTGTAGATCACTCTACATGGAGAGTTATCGGGGCCGAGATAGCAGTATCTTGGCCAACCCGCATCCGACGAATGGAGGAATTCAAAATACGTAAATTCGAACCAGTCAACCAAATCATCCAAACGATGAGAGAGAACTGGAGACTAGCCTCTGCTCCATCACGTCGGCGCAATTCCAGTGTGCGGCAAAGGTTGTTCCCTTCGTCATTAGTTGCTGCGGAGAAGTCAGCAAAGATGCATCAGCCTACCTTCGAGAGCTTGGTCTAACCGACAAACAAGTCCTCACATGCATGGAGCTAACTGGAAGGAGTATAGTCCTCGGTACAGACCGAGTCATCAGAAACCACCTTGCAAGTGTAACTGGAGAGAGAGTGAGTCGGCTCGAAGTCAAGAAGAAGAGGAACAGGGTGATCCCGGTATATAAACAGGTCTGTACTATCACGTGTCATATATTGTAATACCGGTTATGTCCACGATTGTCAATACTAGTCATCATTTGTAGTGGTCAAGTCTACGGTTACTATGTAATCATTGGTCTATTGTTATTTTTTTATTGTCCATGTTGTTGAAATAAAAGCTTGTTATTTGTTCTACAACAGCGAAAAAGGCTCAAGAAGCAGTTACCAGTGCAACAATACCTAATAACAACCCTTACAGATACTGACGATGAAGGGAGGAGTCGACTACAAGGAAACGAGGAATGAGAAAGGTTAAAGTGGTGCAGATGGTTAAGAAGGTGGTCAAGAAAGGAAACCCTTATTGGTAATGAGATAATCTGGAACTAGAAGCTGCACCAGTACTAAAGGGCTCGGACAACCATCCAAGAGAGTTGAAAACGCAGACGAAACGGAGATTACGAACAACTGGAAAAGCAGATGAAGAGCGAAGTGAGAAAGATGCAGGCGTGAAAAGCGCCAGGTCCAGATGGTATTCACGTATTCTGGTGGAAAAAAACCTGCCAGCCGCTAACAAGTTCCTTAGTAAAATGGATCAGGCTAAGGTTTACCACTGAGAACGTCCAATTCCCTAAGTGGGTTGCCGCCGGTAGAGTGCTACTACTGGCGAAAGAAAAGGGTAATAACGACCCTGTTTCGATGAGACCGATTACTTGTCTAAACTCAAGCTTTAAGTGTGTAACGGCCATGATGGCCAATACACTAAAAACTCGAATATTTGAAACCCTGCCCTCCGCTCAAAGGGGGCTAAGAAAAGAAGAGTAGACCTGCACGCATGCCCTCATAATCGACTCGTGTGTAGGTCTCACCAAAGAGTAACAGGTCGAAGGGGCAAAGAACTTGGCGATCGCCCCTTTATCGTTTTACATTGACTCAAATCTGAGCCCGTACGAATTCTCGCGGAGCAATGGTGCCGAAATTACGCCCATCACACACCAGTTCTACATGGACGACTTGAAGCTCTACAGTCACTCAAGCTCCAGCTTGGAACGAACAATCAGAGGATTGGTAGAGGTGTGCAAAAATATCGGCCTAGCATTTAATACTAAGAATAGCGTAATAGCGCACTTTGGATCGAGAGCAGAAAGAGCTGCCTTCATAATACCAGTACTAAAGGGCTCGGATGTGTACAAGTATCTTGGACTTGAGCAAAGGATGGGGATAAACTTTGCGAAAGTCCTTGAAAGAATATGTGAAATCACGCTGGATCGTACAAAAAGAATCTTCTCATCAAGTGCAAGCCACGGAAAGAAAGTCTGCGCCTACAACATGACAGTAGGGGCCGGTGATCCGCTACGCTATCGGGAATATGTTTCTACATGACCGGTATGCTCGTGGAGGCACCAGCACCGTGGCCTGCAGGGGGCTCTATGAGAAAGTTAGAAACATTTTAACAAACCTACAGGTCCGTTTTGCTAAGTGTCCGGTCTCGCAACTGTACGCTTCCACAACCATAGGAGAATGGGGTCTCGCCAACCTCGAAGAAACCGCAAGTGAGAGGATTATTTATGCCTACTGCTACCTTGCGGGAACAAAAGCTCTGAGTGAGCACTTCAGACTACTCTCCGGGCAAGCTCGAAGACGAAAGCGGTCGCTAGTGACTGACTTTGAAGGAATTATGAGAAGGCCAGAATGTCAAGGATTGGACATTAGCAGGTCAGAAACGGTAAACGGAATAGTACTCAGCTTAAATGGAGTGCCATACGCAACCCCAAAGCTGCTAGCTCGTGCAATAACCAGTGAGTTTGAAACGGAATAATCTTCGAAGAGGTTAAACTCCGTGATTTATGTGGTAATATCACCAGAGGAACGAACATAGTTCCACGACTGTCATATCTATGGCTCAAGCCTGGAACCATAAACTCGAAATCAGTCCGGAATCTGTCTTCCCTGATGTATACGGGCCTTCCCACGCGACCACACCCGGCAATGGGACGGGGACCCAACGCAGGATGTCGCTACTGTGGGTTGCCCGAAACAAACGAGCATGTTGCAACGGGGTGCAATAAGTTCAAGGCAAGTATTATGAAACAGCTTCATGACAGCTCTGTCCGGAAAGTATACGATGGTCTGTGCATAAAATACGACCTGGCGAAAACTGAATTCGACCAGCCAGTCCCAGTAGTTCAACAGAATGCTCATGTCGAACTCTACTGGGACAGAACATGGGTGACGGAGGCTCAGATAAGATTTTTTTTCGTTTCATACTTTCAGAAAAACGGCAAAATATTGTACAAAACAATATGTAATTGACATCGCTTAACAATTCTTGACATTTTATAAAGCTTCTATTTCCTTTTTGTGAGTTTTTGAGACGGATTTCTTGAGCCGAAATCAAACGAAGATGATCAGGTGCTATGAAAAAAAGACCAGCGAAAATTCAAACGGCGGCTTTTCCGAATTTCATACCGCTAGGGAACTTTCCGACGAATCTTTTTCCAACTTTTTTTCTCGATAGAATCTTCGTTTTTAATCTTCCTATATAAAGTAGTTAGTTGGTTGATGATTAAAACAGAAAGAAATAGGAAAAAAAAAATGTTAATAGATTTTTTGCAAATTGAAAAACTTAAGAGAAAAAAGTCGGAAAGGGATCCGTCGGAAAAGTGGCCGTCAGAAAGTTCCCTAGCGAAATGAAAAAATCGGAAAAGTCACCGTTTGAATTTTCGCTGGTGTTTTTTTCATACCACCGATCATCACGGATCACTTCTGCTTTTTTGATGTTTTATATAGCTGTGGTATCTCTGTTTAGTGACGAAAAATCAAAAAAAATTGGCCGCGCCCCGAAAAACTCGAAGCTTAAAAATTTTTCCAAAACTTCACAATCGAAAAATTTTCAGCGACTTGTCTACGTTTTTATTAGTTATAAAATTAGTAAACACATTGAATCAGAGAATTTTAAAAAAGGTGCTCGGAAATAGTGTTTTTTTCTCTTTTGAAAAACGTTTGGGTGAATTGAAAAGAAAGCGCGCGGCAGCGGGCGAACCGTCAGCTTGTTGAATTGTTCCAGTTGAACACCGCGCGCGCAATTTTTTTGGTCATAACTTTTTTTCTTAGCGGACCTTTTTTCATAAACTGAATGGCTTATGAATATAGTCAATCTCCTTGACAAACAGTGTAAAAAAACCATATATTTTTGGATCTTTTGAAAAAAATGGCCCGCGGTCCTCAGCAGGGACACGATCAAGCGCGGATAAACGGCGGTAGTAACTACATTTAAATGTCTAAAGTTCATTTTTTTTGAGATCGGCATTTCAATCAGCATAAAAAAACTACATCTAGAAAAACATGGTCGCATTCAATAAGTCACATTGTCAGCTGAGACTTTTTCCCTAGCAAGAGTGAGGCTTCGGCCTCGCTCCGCGAGGCATTCCCCTGTAAGCGACGTGACGCGCATGAATGGAGTGGTGGACTCTGTTGAGGACGTTTAAGGTGGTCTCAAGGTTGGTACTATGACCGGCTCTGCTTGTTGGGAAAGATACAAGGTGGTTGCTACTGTTGAGTTGATCCCTTCGGTGGGTTTCTTTTTGTTCCCATCCCCGAAAAAGTACAAGTATGGGGTCCGGTCCGCAACTTTAGTCATTTTGACTATCTCTAGGTTCGGGGTTAGGTTCGGACGCATAGCGCCTGAGACTGACTCTCGATTGCACTTCCTTGATAAAACGAATCTAAGAGATGGTCCGAATAATGACTGAGCGCCAATTGAGAGATCACTGGAAGCAGAGATAGAGTTTTCCAAAGGAGACTACCCTTGTGTCGTACGAGTGGCTAAGTCTCCCGATACAGAAAAACTGCCTCTACGTGGCTACTCTAGTTTCGCTAAAGGTTGTCGTATGTCCCCTATGGGCTTTCATCTGGAGGGGCCTACTGAGTAAGGGTGGTGAGGATGATTGAATGATATTTAACACCTGTATCTAGTCTAAACTGTCTTATCAGGTAGCACTTCTAGCTAGGGACATTTGGAAAAAAAATTTTAGCTCTAAAATTAAGTACTGAAAGTTTGGATTTTCCATGTTCGGTCGTTTTTTGAGTTTTACTTTCGAGTTGAAATATAGCCGGTTCTCGGCGTAGAATTCAGAAGTCAGCTCCTGGGGACCGCGACACGAAGACAAACTGTTAGAGTGTGTTGCAAATCATTTTCTGACACCTCGAATTGCGTACACTGGAAATATACATGCCCTGTTCCGGTATCATTACTACGATGAGCTCATTCCAATGAACAACGATCCGCTGGCCCACTCGAGGCGTTGTTCTTTGTAATAAGCCAGATTTAGTCCTCGTGAAACGGGCTAAAAGCAAATTCAAGTCTTGGTTGTTGGAAATCAGTGGTTGGATTCGATTCTTGAGCAAAACAAGTCTCCGGACGGTCAGTGCGGCTGTGTTTGCAATATCGAAGGTGGTGTCGAACCTGGCAGACGACAAGTGTGCGTTCAGGTGCAGAAGGGAGCTGTCGTACATAGCCACGAAAAGGCCAGAGAGGTTAATAGGCAAATGTCGCCGTTGACCACAGATTCCTAGCTTTCGCAGACTAGCCAACTTGTCTCGCCAAGGATAGGTGAACGCTGAAGCCCGCTTTCGGCAGGAACTATTCGAGGCAAGGGCTCGAGAAGACCAAGCGCGAAGTCCCACAAAAGAGCGATCGACCGAACGCCGTGAGGAGGTTCTGGGAGCCGATCATCGGCAGGGACTTCATGACGGATTTCAACAACGACTATCTCCAGCAATGGAATACAGAGGTGGGATCTGGAACTGAGAAATCTAGTGGGTTCTTGAGCCCTATGCGACCCATTGCATGTCTCATCTCGCCCTTCAAGTTGATGACTGCGATGATAGCAATCCTGCCGCGGGCGCGAGTCCTCCGACTCATGCCAGCGAATCTGCGAGCATTGAGGAAAGGAGAGTGGAAGGCAACACATGCCCACGTTATCGATACCGCAGTGTTCCTGGACCAGCAATCTCTCCATGTAGAATGGATCGACTACTCCAAGGCGTATGATTCGATTCCTCATGACTAGTTGGAATGGGCTTTACTGGCAATTAGAGTACATCCGCGTGTTGTCAGTAGTTATATGGGAATGTTAAAAGCTCTACATGTAACGTTTGAGACGAGAATTAGGTCAACGACAAGAGCGAGCACAGAGCTGGACTTGAGGAGAGGGGTCCCGCAACGAGATACTCTCTCACCGCTCCTATTTTGCTTGTCGGCATCTCAAAGTTCATCGAAGCATGCCTAACGCCTTCTCTGTTCTCACGAACAGCTGGAGTCAATGAAATGAGACTGAATCATCAATTTTACATGGACGACCTCAAACTGTACATCGAATCAGTTCAGAACCTCCACAGTACAATTGGTCAGATGGTCCTATTGTACCAAGCAATGCGACTTGAAGTGAGCATGCGATGTGCTCTAGCCAGCTTTTTTGCCCCAGCACAACCAGGTCAACGTACGGATATACTGCTCACAGAAAAAGCGTTGCGCTGTCAGGTATTTGAACGAGTAACTAAACTGGTGCTGGAACGTACGAGGAACATTTTCTAAATCGCAGCTAGTCTTGGTAAGAAGGTTGCGTCCCACAACGCAGCGGTGGCCCCAATCGTGAGGTTATCTTCTTGAGCAACTAAAAAGTCCGGTTCAGAAAACACCCAATCCATCACTTATCAGGCACGGAGGGTGGGGGCGGATCTATGGATGACCATGTGCTCGCAAGCCAGAAGAGAAAAAGCTCACAGACTTTTACTGGGTTATGAGTAAACCGGACTGCGAGGGACTGGAGGTCTAAAGGATGGACGGCCACCAAGGGATGAGAAACACTCCTGACAAACCTCAATGGTCGAATTGCAAGAACTGTGAAACTGGATAAAGAGATGTCATACCTTTGGATCCAATGCGCATCCTGCGAGGCAGCTGCCAATCGCTGTGATCCCTATCTAGCAACGATCCGCAGAAGTCGAGCTCTACTGGGATGAAGAGTGGCTCTCCGAGCAAAATCACATGCAAGCGACCCGATGTCGTCCTTGTAGATCACTCTACATGGAGAGTTATCGGGGCCGAGATAGCAGTATCTTGGCCAACCCGCATCCGACGAATGGAGGAATTCAAAATACGTAAATTCGAACCAGTCAACCAAATCATCCAAACGATGAGAGAGAACTGGAGACTAGCCTCTGCTCCATCACGTCGGCGCAATTCCAGTGTGCGGCAAAGGTTGTTCCCTTCGTCATTAGTTGCTGCGGAGAAGTCAGCAAAGATGCATCAGCCTACCTTCGAGAGCTTGGTCTAACCGACAAACAAGTCCTCACATGCATGGAGCTAACTGGAAGGAGTATAGTCCTCGGTACAGACCGAGTCATCAGAAACCACCTTGCAAGTGTAACTGGAGAGAGAGTGAGTCGGCTCGAAGTCAAGAAGAAGAGGAACGGGTGATCCCGGTATATAAACAGGTCTGTACTATCACGTGTCATATATTGTAATACCGGTTATGTCCACGATTGTCAATACTAGTCATCATTTGTAGTGGTCAAGTCTACGGTTACTATGTAATCATTGGTCTATTGTTATTTTTATTGTCCATGTTGTTGAAATAAAGCTTGTTATTTGTTCTACAACAGCGAAAAGGCTCAAGAAGCAGTTACCAGTGCAACAATACCTAATAACAACCCTTACAGATACTGACGATGAAGGGAGGAGTCGACTACAAGGAAACGAGGAATGAGAAAGGTTAAAGTGGTGCAGATGGTTAAGAAGGTGGTCAAGAAAGGAAACCCTTATTGGTAATGAGATAATCTGGAACTAGAAGCTGCACCAGTACTAAAGGGCTCGGACAACCATCCAAGAGAGTTGAAAACGCAGACGAAACGGAGATTACGAACAACTGGAAAAGCAGATGAAGAGCGAAGTGAGAAAGATGCAGGCGTGAAAAGCGCCAGGTCCAGATGGTATTCACGTATTCTGGTGGAAAAACCTGCCAGCCGCTAACAAGTTCCTTAGTAAATGGATCAGGCTAAGGTTTACCACTGAGAACGTCCAATTCCCTAAGTGGGTTGCCGCCGGTAGAGTGCTACTACTGGCGAAAGAAAAGGGTAATAACGACCCTGTTTCGATGAGACCGATTACTTGTCTAAACTCAAGCTTTAAGTGTGTAACGGCCATGATGGCCAATACACTAAAAACTCGAATATTTGAAACCCTGCCCTCCGCTCAAAGGGGGCTAAGAAAAGAAGAGTAGACCTGCACGCATGCCCTCATAATCGACTCGTGTGTAGGTCTCACCAAGAGTAACAGGTCGAAGGGGCAAAGAACTTGGCGATCGCCCCTTTATCGTTTTACATTGACTCAAATCTGAGCCCGTACGAATTCTCGCGGAGCAATGGTGCCGAAATTACGCCCATCACACACCAGTTCTACATGGACGACTTGAAGCTCTACAGTCACTCAAGCTCCAGCTTGGAACGAACAATCAGAGGATTGGTAGAGGTGTGCAAATATCGGCCTAGCATTTAATACTAAGAATAGCGTAATAGCGCACTTTGGATCGAGAGCAGAAAGAGCTGCCTTCATAATACCAGTACTAAAGGGCTCGGATGTGTACAAGTATCTTGGACTTGAGCAAAGGATGGGGATAAACTTTGCGAAAGTCCTTGAAAGAATATGTGAAATCACGCTGGATCGTACAAAAAGAATCTTCTCATCAAGTGCAAGCCACGGAAAGAAAGTCTGCGCCTACAACATGACAGTAGGGCCGGTGATCCGCTACGCTATCGGGAATATGTTTCTACATGACCGGTATGCTCGTGGAGGCACCAGCACCGTGGCCTGCAGGGGGCTCTATGAGAAAGTTAGAAACATTTTAACAAACCTACAGGTCCGTTTTGCTAAGTGTCCGGTCTCGCAACTGTACGCTTCCACAACCATAGGAGAATGGGGTCTCGCCAACCTCGAAGAAACCGCAAGTGAGAGGATTATTTATGCCTACTGCTACCTTGCGGGAACAAAGCTCTGAGTGAGCACTTCAGACTACTCTCCGGGCAAGCTCGAAGACGAAAGCGGTCGCTAGTGACTGACTTTGAAGGAATTATGAGAAGGCCAGAATGTCAAGGATTGGACATTAGCAGGTCAGAAACGGTAAACGGAATAGTACTCAGCTTAAATGGAGTGCCATACGCAACCCCAAAGCTGCTAGCTCGTGCAATAACCAGTGAGTTTGAAAAACGGAATAATCTTCGAAGAGGTTAAACTCCGTGATTTATGTGGTAATATCACCAGAGGAACGAACATAGTTCCACGACTGTCATATCTATGGCTCAAGCCTGGAACCATAAACTCGAAATCAGTCCGGAATCTGTCTTCCCTGATGTATACGGGCCTTCCCACGCGACCACACCCGGCAATGGGACGGGGACCCAACGCAGGATGTCGCTACTGTGGGTTGCCCGAAACAAACGAGCATGTTGCAACGGGGTGCAATAAGTTCAAGGCAAGTATTATGAAACAGCTTCATGACAGCTCTGTCCGGAAAGTATACGATGGTCTGTGCATAAAATACGACCTGGCGAAAACTGAATTCGACCAGCCAGTCCCAGTAGTTCAACAGAATGCTCATGTCGAACTCTACTGGGACAGAACATGGGTGACGGAGGCTCAGATAAGATTCACGAAACCAGACGTAATCGATCAGAAACCATGTAGCTCCAATACCTGAATAGACCTATGGCTCATTCATGCTACATGCTTTTATATGATAATGATCTAGAAAAATACACAAATTGATCTTAGAAAGACGTACAAAAAAAACAATGTGGGTAAGGGAAGATAAAAAAAAACGTACAAAAAGCTGGATAGTAGTTAACACGCATTCTCTCAGAAAATCGAGCAAATGCGAAACATTTTGGTACGAAAATTTCATCTTTGTTCATGAGAGCTCTTCTTGCTATCATAGATAGTGAACAACCCCTTGAATATTTGGAACCAGGTTTTATTAGGCTCCGCCCACTTTCAGGCTTACTGTAGAAAAAACTCCGTTAAATCCAAACTTTTTTCCTAGTGGAGAAAATTGGTCTAAACTAATTTTAAAACAAAGTCTGTTTTCATATGAGCCTTTATAGTTATAGAAGTGGCCCGGAAAAAATTTTCTTTCAAAAGAAAAAAATTAAAGTTTTTTGAAAAATGACGATTTTCGCAGTCTTTGAGCCATAACTAGTACTAGAACCCCCGAATGCCTGAATTTTTATTTTTTCAATCGACGCATTAAGGTCTTGTGTGTAGAGGAAAAATGTCTAGAAACTCTGAATCCGGGTGATCCAGTTGACCTCCATCACGGAGAACGCGGCCAACTTGAAAATCGCAATACATTTGAAAATTTCTATTTTTTGTGAAAGCCGGATTCTGTCTTGTTTCTTATTTTAGTACAACATACCACAGACTGCTGCAAAATTACAGCTCAAAAGTAGCTAGCTGCAACCATTTAAAAAAAATTTCTGACGTTTTTCCAATTTTCCCTTTTTTCGGCATTTCCAAACTTTTTGCTCTAACTAGGACTAGAACCCCTGAATGCCTGACAAAGGAGGTTTGGGGATGAGAGCAGTTGAATATGCAGTGGAAGATGGACTTGTCTATTCTTTCTGTTATTTAGCGCTTAACTCGAAACTCCAGTCGGACAGCATGAGCGTGAGGAACATCTTTGGAATGCAGGAGAGTCAGCTGCAAAGCTACGCTCACCCTATGTTCCGATTACGTGGCGTGTCGCCAGGGTGCCGTCGCTGTGGCGCGCCTTCGGAGACACCGCAGCACGTAGTTGCGGGATGTATCCAATATCGCGCTACACTCATGCTTGAGAGGCACAACCAGGTAGCTAGAAATTTCTTCTATTGGGCCTGTCGTAAGTTTGAAGCAACACACGTCCATCATACGCAGGAAGTCCCGGTCGAGTCAATCGGCTTGGATGGAACGGTGATATGGTGGGATCGCTACGTTGCAACACCTGTCAAACTACGCCATTATCGACCAGACATGATCATCTACCGAAAATGGACAAGAGAAATCTTCGTCATTGAAGTAGGTGTTTCATGGTTCACCAGGTTAGACGATCAGTATTCAATGAAGTATCAAAAGTATGCAGTTAACTCGACGCTATTAGATACGGACTCGTTGCCGTATCCACCGGGGCCTTCATTGGCTCTGGAACTGCAGAAAATGTATGGGTGTGTAGTACGAGTCTTACCATTCGTAATTGGTTGTGGTGGTGAAGTAACGGAGAAATACCGTGAAACACTTAACCTTCTCCCCGGAGTAACAACCAAAGAGGTAGAAGACCTACTCGTACGAACGCAACGTAGCGCCATACTGAGTACTGATCGGATAATAAAAGCACATCTCTCGTAGTGCTAAACATCAAAATGCAAGTCGTGAAAGCTTAGTTAAGACCAAAACGAGCTCAGTTTACCTGAGTTCGTTCTTATAAGAGGTGAAATGTGGGAAGAGGGGTTTCCCTGTTCTAAATAACATCTAAACACATTTCAAGAGATTCGTATACGTCCACAAGACCACCTGTGGGCCGCACAATCTGACTCGATGAAATGCTAAAGCCGATAGGCCTTGTACGTTCCGTTCGGGTCACTCTAAAGTACGATATCTGATGAATCAAAGAGTGAGGCTTCGGCCTCGCTCCGCGAGGCATTCCC